TGCCACGCAATGCTCGTGATGAACTTGCCTGCATGGCTGACATCTCCACCGCCGCGCGAGAAGAAGAAGCTGGCTCCGAGATGCTTCTCATCAAAGCGCCTGCGGGCGACAGTGCGCGCAATTGTCGACTTGCCCGTGCCGGCCAAGCCGTTCAACCAGAAAATAGAACGCCCATCTTGCCCATCAGCCCAGTCGTATATCTTTTGGAGGAGGTCGACGCGGGTATCGGGAAGGCAGGCCGGGTCGTGTTGTCGCTGGAATGAATTGAACGGCGCGTCCTCTGCAGTAGGGAGGGAGTTGAGCACATCGTTCAAGTCTAGATTTCAAATCAGCTTTCCTGCTGCTTTAAGGCTATAGCCAGCTAAGCACACTCACTTTCGCTGCTCCCAAAGCTCACAGATCCATAGTTAGTGCCAGCGAAAGCCAGTGAATTCTGGTTGGCGGACACACTACTAATGAGTTGAGTGTTACCTGACATGAGTTTGGAGTAGCGACGCTAAGTTTTGCTAGGTGCCGGTTGTTGCTCTCTTCTGGCACATGTTGCCGTGTGTGGGCATGCGAACACCTGGGAGTGAGTTCATGTCTGTATCCAGATGAGTTTCATCCTCAACCAGCGAATGCATTTGCAAGGCTCGCTAATCAAAACTCCTGCCTTGCCGCTATCCACTACTGGAGAGCAGCTATCGCCTGCAAAGTAATTAGCGCAGACATCAATACTACGGGTGTCTTGGCACAAGGATGAAAGCGCTGAGGGAAAATAACCTGCAAAACGCCCTCTAGGAACCTGAGAATTCCCAGGACGTTCTACCAGCATCTTTAGTTAGTGAGGTGAAATTACTTGCTTGATTATTCTAAGATGTAGAAGACATAGGATTCCTTTTATAGTAGGAATTATTGTGTTAACCCTTTGTCCTGTGTTCTCTTCCTTAACACTTCCAGTCATCCCTTTTTCCAACATATTCCCGTAGTATGTACGCTCATTAAGGATTAAGATCAATCAACACTTTCAATTCTTGGTAATCAAGTGCTCTCCTGCTGAAGTCGCATCTCCAGATCACCTGATCAAAGGAACAGCTATTCTCTATCAGATATCGATCAAGCCACAGAGGACTGAATATCATTATTTCCTACACTGACAGGACATAAGTCTGGTCAGGGTCGTCAAATCACGCGAAAATCCCCCATCACCACCCACACATTGAGATACGCTCAAAAGCGTAGAGAGAGCGATCAGTATACTATTTTTTGATTTCCTAATTGAGACGCGTCTAGTATTTCGTATGCCAGCCCTTTGCTTTGACCACCGCTCGTAAACGCTTCGGAATTGAGTCAATCAGTGCCCAGATGGTCTCCTAAGGGATCACCCACCACGCCTGATTTAACGCCGTGTTCATGGCCTCCCGTGCGTCCTCTGAGGCACCTATCATCTTCAATTCAGGGTGGAGCTCTAGGACCTTGGTTTTTAATAGGTGCCACATGTGTTCGATGGGGTTAAGGTCTGGGGAATGGGTTGGCCAATCGATAACCCAAATACCATGCGTCTCCAGCCATTCTTGGGTGATTTTGGCCGTATGGATCCTTGCATTACCCTGGATAACAGTATCCCCAGGTACATACATAGGGAGGAGCCCCTCCTCTAACGTAGCGATGTAGGATTTCGCGGAATAGCCCTGTCTTAGAGGGTCTTCGTCGCGGTCCATGATCACCAGCTCCGACCTCCCTTCACGCGAGATTGAGCCCCAAATCGTCTGCGAAATCGCCTTTCCAGGGGTCTTAGGCTCGATCATCTTTGGCTCGTATGCTTCGTGATATAGGCGCCATATCCAAACCTGTTTTCCGCCGGCACATTTCTCATAAGAGTACTCGTCTGTAGAGTGGGTCCTTGAGAAGTCGAAATCTACGAACTCACAGGCGAATTGGAGCCGGTCTTTGACGTGGTAAGGCCTGAGATGGGGCCTCTCCTTCGCTCGCCACTTCGTAAGGTGATATTTCTTAAGCGTTCGGTAGACAGTCTTCTTTGAGATCCGGAGGTATTCGACGCCTGCGAGGAGCTCTGAGTACTCCATCTTTGGGAATCTGCGTGCAATTTTGACGATATGCCGTTCGTCTGACCGTGATAATATAGGGGGGCGGCCCTTACGAGGTCTAGATTTAAGGAGGTGGTCTTGATCCCATCTTTTCTGCGTCCTGTACACCGTAAGTTGCGTAACGTTGAACTCCTCCGCCACTTCGCTCTTCGTTTTCCCACAAGCTAGGTTCCCTAAGATCACAGCTCTTTGAACATCGGTTAATTCGTCGTTTCTGCGTCGATTGGCACTAATTTCATTACCGAAAGACCTCATTTTAATGGTGATGTTGATGGTTAAAATGGTGGTATTCAGCTGAGATAAAAGTCTTGATGTGTGACTGACCAGACTTGTGGCTTAGTACTTTACTCCACTCAAGCGCCACGCTCCTTGCCTCCTTTATTATGTAATACGCGTTGTTTCATCTCATTTACAGTACATAATGATCGATCTCTTATGACCAAATCACCCTGAAATCCAACTATTCAGTAGAATCAGTCGGATAAATCTAACTAATAGAATGAGGCTCCCTACCCCGCTACACAACGTTTGTAGCAACGTCCTTATTGCCATTTCCTATAAATATAGGGCTCCTTAGTGCAGCTGCTTTCCGCAGGTTGTAAATCTTTTCTACCCTTGAGGGCGGGCCCTGCCTACCCGGATCTCTTTGTCGTAGTTTGCATGCGACTTCTCTTACTTGATCTAGACAAAGGGTCTCTGCGCTCTCTTTTGGGAGTGCTCGTTGTCCGTCGATTGCTGGCTCAGCATTCACTTCCTCGTCCATATCTATGTCCATATCTATGTCCATATGGTTTGAGTTTTCCGAGGCAATGTCACTTTGTGCCACGGGTATCCCTAGCTGGTTCGGGCCGGGCAGGACATTATATTGTGTTTGTATACAATCGCAGGTTTCACCAGTCTGCCTATCCAGACTCCTGCCACAGTTTTCTGAGCTGCGCCATCTGCACTTCGCTCGTCCACAGTCGCCCCCGAACCAAAAGGGTCTCTGCCTGTGGAACGCCTGTTTGTTCCTTAAGCATACATCACCAGCGTTCCAGCCTAGCGACTGGTCCTGTCTCTCTGTATACCGACACGCGCATCCGTTCTCTCGAGCCACGTGGTAGTCTCTCCGGCCGGGGTTTGATCCCGCCTGCTTTCAGATTCACCGAGGGTCAGAGCCCATTGAAGGGATGAGGTCCTTGGAGCCAGCAGTGGCTACCACGCACTACGCCCCGCGACTACTGTAAACAGTAGCCGTTTCGCGTTGCCTATAGAGGTCTCCCTCTGATGGGCCGACCGTGTCTTGCAGGATAAGGCAGTACTCATGCGTTTCACGCCGGGCAACGCAAGCAGCCTTATCCCATTAACCAAGCTCGTGTCCTCCATCATCTTAAGTTGGCCCGTGATTCTCCTATTGTATAGATCCAAGCGACGGGTCTGTGTCTCCATTAAGCCTCCCACCAGGAGCATACCTGTGTTTCTCCTCTATCGACTGGCCTGTAACTCCAGTTCCGTAAACTGTCGTGCTTGTCGCGCCCGGTAAGCTCGTGTCGTTATGGTATTAACAGGTTCCGATAGAGGGGCCTTAACAAGCGCTCCCGTTGCGAAGAGGCCCTCCGGCCTTAACAGAGTTCACCTAGATTTATACAAGTTAGCCTTAACAAGTTCTTTAGAATTAGGATTGTTCCAAACCCTCGCTACACGCAACTCGTTGCTCACGCGTAACCCCAGAGTAGGCGAGCCTGAGGGTGTCCTGTTAGGGGCCTAGGACGCATCCTCATCCACCTGATAATAAGTCAGGCTTCCGGATCCAGCTGCGAGCTAAATAGACCCCTATCGGATGGTTTTCATCTCCCATTTTTATCCCTCAAGAGGCTTCCCTTGATGAAAGGACACCGTGTTTAAGCAGAGGCAGTAAACACGGTCGTGCTGGTGTTGGTGGTATGGCGATACCCCGCTCAACGCTTGCGACCTGCACGCGTAATGCGTGCGTCTCTCTCATCGCCACTACACTTAGCCATCGATCGAGAACTCTTCCCCATTAATGTTTCCACCCGCGGCGACATGGACGCGTACAGTTGGACTTCGCGGGCAGTTCTGCCTATTAAAACAAGGATAGAATTGTATGTTCCTACTTTTTATACCTGATTTCTCCCCCCAATGTTCCTAAGTGCAAGTTACTGGCACACTCCTGAGTAGCAGTTCCCAGGACCACAATGATCAGAAGTACTCCTGCAATAGCCGTAATTACTGCAGCAATCCCCGTTACAACACAGGTCTTGTTGCCTGCAAAGTTCGGACCACAGGAGCCATCTAGGCTGGGTCCTCCGTCGTCCGTATGACATGCACCGCCATCTAGGAGACGCTTAATGTAGATTCCGAAAATATGAGAAATATGTACTAGCTACAAAACGTCGACCTTCGGATCGTTATAGCCAGGAAGCTCGACGTACAAGAACATCAATGATATTGTGCGGTGGTAATAAGCCAAGTTGAAAAGGCGTTTCAAGGGGAGAACAACCAATTATAGAGATCGATGTAAGCCAAAAAGAATTTAAGCCACGTAAAAATAAGTGAAGTTGTTCATTTTATCACAGCCTTGCACTCCTTTGAAAACACCTTACCCGTCTTTCGCCATGCCAAAAGGAAAATAATATGAATCACTCAAACAACCGTAAGATGATAGGCCTTGTATACTTGCAATGCTCCTTCAGTGCTCTGGACCATAGCGAAGAACATTGTTAAGAAGAGTAAAGCGCAACCCAGAACGTGCACCATTGAACGCCATCCTGCCGATCCGCCCACCTGGAAGGCTGGAAGGATCGACAGGATCGTCGGTTGCAGTTCGCCAAGGCTACGTGGCGTTGCTTGGCGTTTACCTCTCAGATCAATCACCTCGCTCTTCCACCAACGACCACCGTAGTTCTTTTTCCATCCAACAATCACCTTGTTCCTTTTCCATGGAACAATCAACTTGAGCACTTTGTGCCGTCATCACCTATACCAACAACTCGCTCTACTGATATGTGACCTTCAAACATGCTGCACACTCGCATTTGGCAGCGTGCGGCCCATGGACATCATGCTTCCCGTCATGTCTATGCACTCCTACGCCAATCAAGTCCTATCGATCGATTCAAATCCTATCCAGGTCTATTCCGCACTACAACCCGTACATCTTTATTTCCCTATAGTTTTAATATTTACTAATAGCTCTATAGGTTTGCTGCATGACGATAGTAACATTGCTCCGTCTCAGTCCTCCGAGTCCCCTCCTCAGTCCGCTCAGCCCGCTCAATCCTCTCCGTCCCCCCCGTCCTCTCCGTCCTCTCAGCCCTCCTCTCAATTCTCACCTGCGCAGAGCGCTACTACGGACAAGATCAGCGCGCTCCAGATAGACATGGCTACTACATCAACACGATTGGATCACCTCAAAGAGTCTTTTGGGATCCAAGTTGTTAGCCTCAAGTCCGCAATCAGTGCTCTCGATACCAAGTTCGATACGAAGTTCAATATTCTCGATACCAAGCTTAGTGCCCTCACGACCGAGTTCAATGCCTTCAAGGCCGAGTTCAATGCCTTCAAGGCCGAGTTCAATGCCTTCAAGGTCGACGTCAAGGCCGAGTTCAATGCCTTCAAGGTCGACGTCAAGGCCGACATCAATACCATCTCGTATAGCCTCAATACCAAAATTGATTCAAAGTTTGCAGAATTGCAGCAACAACAAATGCGATTGGTATGGCGGGTGGTCTTTACTGTAAGTAATATCCCTCCAATTATATCGATATACCTGTTAATAGTATATAGCTTTTAAGCAGTGTGGTTGTGGCACTTGGCGGTGCGACCACCTTATTTATGCGAGACCGTTTAGCTCCGTTGGAGACTCGTCCTGTTGCGGAGAAATAATATATAATCGCAATAGGTATGACTACGCATTAATGAGAAATGGAATAAGATTTAATTAGCACTAAAACAAGTTTATTATACCCCCCCTATACGACTAGTTAGGTTTAGAGCTAGAATAGAATAAATCACCTGTTGACTTGGCTGTCTTCAACATCAAGCCATTGTCTTATTTCCAACCTGTGTGGATTTTGATGCCTCAGACATCTGGACCTTGTTGATTCTGGATCTGATGGACCGTGGACCAGGATGGCTATTAAGGCCGGGTCGGCTGATGGATAACTATTATTATTTGGTCCATTTAACGCCTGATACGGTCCTATCTAGTCCATGCAGGCTGTATCGCTACTATGGAGGACAAAAAACCCTGTAGGGAAACCCTTTTAGAAAACCACGCTAGCGCTACGGCGGCTTGCCCGCTAATTATAGCCCTATTTTTATCCTCAATTGTTGTTCACTGCTGGGGACCACTGCTTCCGCTCTCGCGGATATCTTGCGAACCGCCTGCATTACGCAGGCCTACCCCTTCTTCTCCCTCTCCCCCTATTCATCCCTAATCCCTTGGAACGGCGCGAACCCTGAACGGTCTTCCTCTTCTATCTTGCTGGCGAACTGAAATTGTAGGAGTAGACCGCGTGCGACTATCCAGCGGGCCGCCGCTATTGCACTCGCCGGAGTGGAGAGGATCTCAAGCAGGCCCTGTGTTTGGATCCGTGCGAATAGCTCTAGCCGAGCCTGTTCGCGTATTGAGCAATGGATCAGGACGTGACGTACTGTTTGCGCAGACCACCCGCAGGCGCAACTCGGGCGTATCTCCGGAACTCCAACCCCTGCAAGCCATGTGTTGAGACCGATCACCTCTGAGCGGAGGGGGAAGAGGGCAGTAGCGACGTGTTTCGGGGCTCCGTCATATAGTTTTAGGCGGTCCTCGCGCCAGTTGCCCTTCCAGATGCTTGCCGTTTGGTTCTGAGCCTTGCGTTGCCATTCCTCCTGCCAGTTGCGATCCGCTCACTTCCCGATGGCGGTTTTTATGCGGAAGGGTTGTAGTGGGGGACTCCTACCTCCCCCACGGCGGTGTTGTCGGGCTTCTTGCCTGACCATTTGGATGATCTCCTCAGCACGCTGGCGCCCCATCTCCGCCACGCTGTGTGGACGTATGCGTATCGCACGCGGCCTGCGTCTTCCTCTTACTCCTTGCACACCCCTATTCTGCAGCGTCCCCCAGACCCTTTCCAGTGTTTCCGATGTCTTAGCCACGGCTGGGTGGCTGGCTGACTTGGCGTAGTAGCCTAGGGCGCTTGCTTGGATGTAAATACATGATCAAAAGATCCCGAGGTCCAGCGCCAGTGCGAAGAAGTACAGTGACTAGCGAAATTGGCTTCCGCCCTGCGCGGCCCAGAAATTCTCACTGCACCGCCACCTCGCACTCTTGGCGTAATCTTTACGCCATGGTTCTTAGTTATCAATATAGTAGTTACTGTATTCATTCGGCCCCTAAATGCTTATCACATTGATGCCTTACCATGGCAATCACGTGAACCCAAATGCCCTTCGTACCGTCGAGCCATTCAGCGCAGCGAGTTCTCCTGCGAGGCTGGGTTCAACCTTCGCCAGCCTTATCCCCATTTCCAAGTGTACCACCACATCCCCGTCATGGTTCATTCACTCTTTATCAAGAAACGATGTTTGAGTCTACCGGGAGACTTAAACTCTGGAACACTCCCTACTCTAAGTAAGAGCCATGCGTCTACTAAAGCGCAGCGGCAATGGGGAGCTCAGTATGACCGACGACCTGGTTGAGGACGATATCCGTCGGAAATACGCCATCCTCTCGCATACATGGATACACGGCGAGGAGGTTACATTCGAGGAATTTCAGAAAGGTACGGGAACGCACAAAGCTGGATACAAGAAGATCGAGTTCTGTGGAGAGCAGGCCGCTCGCGATGGGTTAGAGTATTTCTGGGTGGACACTTGCTGTATCGATAAGTCCAACAACACTGAGCTGTCGAAGGCCATCAACTCCATGTTTCGATGGTACCGCGATGCGACGCGATGCTATGTCTATCTGTCGGATGTATCAGAGCCGGTCCCTAATACAAACAACTCGCATTCGCCACCTTGGGAGACGGACTTTCGGCGAAGTCGATGGTTTAGGAGAGGCTGGACGCTTCAAGAGCTGATCGCTCCTAAGGTAGTCGAGTTTTTCTCCAAAGACCGAGTGTGGCTGGGAAACAAGAGATCGCTCGAACAGCAGATTCGCAAAATCACCGGGATTCCTGCGGCGGCCCTTCAAGGAGGTGCACTCTGTCAATTTAGCGTAAAAGAAAAACTGTTATGGGCTCAAGGTCGCGAGACAACGGGGGCGGAAGACCAAGCATACTCATTGCTGGGGATTTTCGGGGTGAGCATGGCAATGATTTACGGGGAAGGAATAGACGAAGCGTTCCGGCGGCTCCATTTGGAAATTGAGAGAATATCCAAAGGCATATCATCCTCCTACCTCTTCTCACATCACAACGACGAGGAGTAAGGGCCGGCTAACTGAAACAGGCAACCAATTCGAAGACTTCTCGGTCAGCTTTAGTCTCGCGGATGTTTCCGAAACTGAGCAATTCGTCGCAAGACAGACAGAATTGCTAGAAATGCACAAGACCCTTCAAGGCGATGGTAGTCGTCGCATCGCTGTCCTTCACGGTCTGGGAGGAATCGGTAAAACTCAGCTCACGGTCGCCTATGCTAAGCGGTATCGAGACAATTACTCGGCGGTGCTCTGGCTCAACGCCAAAGACGAAGACTGTCTCAAGCAGAGCTTTGGCAATGTAGCTCGGAGAATACTCCAAGAACATCCGTCTGCTCCACGTCTCGGTGGTGTGGATTTGAAAGGGATCTTAGACGAAGTAGTAGAAGCGGTCAAAGGGTGGCTAAGTGTCTCCAAGAACACCAGATGGCTCGTCATCTATGACAACTACGACAATCCTAAATTACGAGACGATTCGAACCCGACAGCATTAGATATCAAACGATTCCTCCCTGAATCATACCAAGGGTCGATCATTATTACCACGAGGTCGTCGCAGGTTACAGTCGGCCGTCGTATACCAGTCGGAAAATTGGAGGATATGCAGGACAGCATCGAGATTCTATCGAATGCGGCAAGACGAAACGGACTACGCGATGGTAAGAGATTCCATAAGTAAAAACATGTTTCTAACATGACCGACAGATCCGGACGCCATCGCACTTGTCAAAGAGTTGGACGGACTTCCTCTTGCACTAGCAACAGCCGGATCATACTTGGATCAAGTGGCAGTCAGCTTGGCCGAGTATCTTCAGCTGTACAAAGCATCATGGCTGAAGCTACAGAAAAAGAGTCCGGGACTAAGCTCGTATGAAGACCGAAAGCTCTATTCGACCTGGAACATTTCTCTAGGCCATGTCCGACGGCAGAACATGCTCTCGGCTCAGCTTCTTCAACTGTGGGCGTATTTCGATAATCAAGATCTTTGGTTCGAGCTTCTTCAGCACAACGACTTAGAAGATCCCGAGTGGATTCGTGCGGTCACTGAGGACCGAATCAACTTCAACGATGCTGTTCGAGTGTTATGTGACCATGGACTGGTGGAAGCGGATTCATTGTCGCACGAGTTGGAGTCTCGTGGATACAGCATGCACAGCTGCGTACACTCCTGGACTCGTCATATGTTAAATCAAGAGTGGAACTGTAACCTAGCGAAGCTAGCGCTGAAGTGTGTCGGATTACATATTCCTGGAACTTCGAGTGATCGGTGGTGGATTACGCAGCGACGGCTTCTAGGGCATGCGGCCAGGTGTTCCTTAATGGAGACAGAGGCATACGGCGAGATGGAATGGGCGTTACATAACCTGGGCCTGCTCTACGGCGACCAAGGGAAACTGAAGGAGGCAGAAGAGATGTACATGCGAGCGCTACAAGGAACGGAGGAGGCGCTTGGACCGAAGCACACATCCACTCTTATTACTGTGGGCAACTATGGTGAGCTGTATACGAAGCAAAACAGGCTAGTCGATGCCGATAAGCTGATCCAACGGGCTCTGCGAGGATTGGAGAAACTACTTGGCCCTGATCATTTGATTACACTGGGGGCAGTCAATGGCGCTGGTCTTTTGTATCACAAACAAGGTCGGCTTTCTCATGCAGAGAGGACGTATCAGCGAGCATTACAAGGATATGAGAAGGCAGTCGGGAGTGAACAAGCCAAGACTTATGTCCCTGCGCTTGACGTAGTGGATAACCTCGGTAATCTATATGTGGAGATGGGAGAGGAGGAGAAGGCACTGGAGATGTATTTGAATGCTCTTTCAGGATTTGAAGTTGTGCAAGGCCGGTCGAGCAAGCGATGGCAGGATATTAGTTCCTCTTTGGCAGCATTGCATGGGGATGTGGATTGAAATGGCCTATTCCTAACGCTAATAGCAGCTTCTATGGGCACGTGTTACGAGAAGGGGATATCACGTGGTTGTGTTGTAGTTGACCGTCACCACACCCCGTGTGACAGTAGCTGTGACAGGAATCTTGATGAGGTTCCATCTCTACGCTAGGTTTGATTAGGCTTAGGCTCTCAGCCTATGCTAACCATGGGCCATGCCCATAACACCTCGCGGCGTACCTGCTCTCTCTTCTTTTAGGTGTAAGAACCACTTCGTCTCCTTCCTGCATAAGAGCTCTCTACACTATCAGGACGGTTGATACTCGATTAACTTGTCGGACCTCCTCAGATTCTTGATCTTCTAATGCAACGCTAGAGATCCAAGAGTCGGACACATAGGTCTAGAGAAAGGCACGACATGTATCCTAGGCCAAGGCTACCTCCTCTAGTGAAGAGCTGTAAAGGTATATAACTAGATATCGTCCGGCTTGCGGTGTAGGACGTCGCGAACGTATCTAAAGGATGTGAGTGTTATGGGTTGAAACCCTTGGTTGGCTAAGGCTGAGAGCCCAAGCCTGATTAGGTTAAGGGTTGATTCAGAGTCCAACCCTCTTCGATGTAAACAAGAAAGCTTCCCCTTCTTGTTCTCTTCTTTAACTTGATCTAGAATATATTTGGCTACGTGTATGTTGTGTGCATCCAGCTACCGTGCCGTAACAGTGAGTGTAGGTCATATGCATGATAAGTCTAGGTGTTCCGTACTCCTTGAAGAACGACGTGGCGTAGCCGCGCTTATAGATAGTTGTCCGACAGTAGGACCGTATCGTCGAGGGGCTTGCTCTGGAAGCCAGCTAGAAGTTCCTTTGCATCTTATTCTCCGGCTTCGCCCTTTCTAATAGCGCGTTGTGGCACCATAGTCAAAGAAGTTTCTTAGAATAGTCGTAGAGACCTTTGGCTGCTTGGAGCGTTGATAGCGTCGACTACTTCTGGAACTGAAGGAGAGCACTGTAGAACTGCGAACAGGGCTCCTGACTGAGACCGAGACTGGAAATCTAGGGAGAAAGGGCATCTTTATGGTCCTTACCAGAGTGTATTTTCGACGGGCCCTCGTCTTTCAGTGGTATTGACCCTATGTTTTCGACCTCGTTTATACCGCTGGGAGAGTTATGGGGAACTCCCAATGCTGTATGTTTTTGTTTTTGCTTTGTTTTAAAGCTGGCTATCAGGTATCTATTTCGCTGCAAGCGGCACACACCAAGTTGGAGGATATTCTATTAGACTTGGTGAGGGAGGGCCGGAGGGGAGATGGCAAGGACATGGTCCATGCCGTACATATATCAAGCCGACCGGCATATGCAAGTTAGGTCCTTTGATACAACAATCGGAGACTGAAATCTCCCCCAAGCCACGGGTCTCTTAATTCCTATCGGCTTGCCTGGCCTCGAGATGGGCCTTATATAAGATGGAATTCGATATTTCTCTAGAAATGCTGGGCTAGTCTCAATCGGTTCAGAGCTCACGGATAGAACTGGACCGCGAATATGACAAGAGGAAACTACGATGAAAACACTCCATTCAAATTCCTGGGCTTCATAATCCGGCACGACTCGATCACAGGCCACGATTCATGTGTTTGATTCTGGAAAACGGGCCGTCGAGCGCTGGATTGACGCTGGAGAACTCTACATTGGCCCAAACGAGTTTCTGGACTCTTCTCCCCATGGTGGTCAACGCGATGGCGCCTAGCAGTTTTGGAGGCCGCCACGTCCATAGCGTAGTCACCATGTTTGCTGGCAATTCTGCGTACTTCGACTGTGTCTTTGGACAACTCCTGACCCCCTGTACACCTTGTCCGTGCTTGTCCTTTGTGGAGGGACTATCAGGGTAGTAAGCAGGCTTATCATCCAACTGAATAAACCGACAACACCAAGAAAAAGGACAGCCGAGTCTCGCCGACTGGCCAAGTCGGAAAAATAGTAGATTCCTGTTCAATAAAACCCTTTCGGATGCTTGGATTTCGTCCCTCGATCTGCCTCTAATGCGCACTCGCAAGTCCGTCCCCTACTACGTTCGCATCAAGTTCGCCCACCAGCCCTTCGATCTCGTCACCAAACTCCACCTTCTGCCCCCTATCATCCGGACACATCAAGTCCAGCTTGCTATCCGGCCCCTTATCCATAATCAAGAGCTTCGCGAACTCCACCCGCCCGCTCGCGTCGCTCCAGTGTCCCAAATTATCCTCCTGCGGCCGCTTGGGGTCCAGCATCAACAGCATCCCCAGCGTGCGCCCCACAAAGTCCCAGATGAAGTAGACCTTGTTCTTGTACGCGGCAGGCGTCATGAAGGTTTGGAATTTGTTCTCGGCCATGGCGGGGTGGTCGATGAGGAGGCGGTAGAGGCGTTTGAGGTAGTTGACTTTGGAGGCCCATTGTTCGTTGGCGTCGGTGGGCACTTCGGCATTGAGCATGGCGTCGGTGTATGCTTGACGGGTGGCCACGTTGGGGTCGGGGAAGCGGAATCCACTAGGCATGGCGAATGTATAGAGCCGGGCTACCTAATTGGAGTAAACAAGGAAATTGGAGAGGGTCCTATAGTTTCCCTGGAGATTAAATGCGAATTCGAGTTGATACATGTGCGGCTGAAGCTTGAAGAGCTGAGACTAAAGCTGATAGATAGGGGGAAGAGACGGTGACGTAATTACAATGTATTGAATGTGTTCCTTCCGGAACGGTACCAAAAAAACATCGATATTCACCTGAAGACTTCAAGGGGAACAAAACCGCGGTCCATAACCACGACTATACCCGCAATACGATGAACCTCCTTAGTTGCCAACTGATATCTTTGCCTTGGACGTTCTGTCTTTGGTGCAGTCGAGATTGATACGCATGCTGGCCAGAAGGGCTCCTCCAAGGTTTCGAACACTCTGAACCATAGCTGTCATCAGACGGCAGATAAAAGGTGAACGAAATAGATCTCATAACGAATGACTCTAGAGATGACTGTACTGTAAGCAAGGCCTGGCAATGTGCCAGCACGGAATTGGGAGGCCTTCTGGGAGGGAATATGTGAAACCCGCATAAGAAGATAGGGTTCTCGTCGAGCTATGCGGAAATAGATATATAGGACCTGCATGGAGGATTTGACATCCTTATTTATTTGTACCGGCAAGTGGTTGTTAAAAGACAACTGCTTTACTGTACCCGTCGAACGTTTGATTTAGCATTTGTTATTGATGTTATAACTTATACTAACTATAGCTTCAACTTGTTGTCAGGGTCCATCCTCGTCAATATGATACATATAATGGATCGCCGAATCTCCCAAATTTCTTCGCGTTTTCACAATGATCTATAAGTCAACCGACTGCAATTTGTCGCCAGTATCCGTCTCTTCGACAGACTGGTTTTATGAATACCTTCGCAACAGCTCGTTTCCCAATGGACAGCCGATATGATGATATGCAATGTGGAAGCCTTTAATCCCGTACGAAGGACAATCTATCACACTGGCGGTTGAATGGAGATATAATCGAATTCATTTTATCCTATTTTCTCACTGGCGTATCTTTACTATTTTCCCCGTTACCGAGTCAATGATTTCTTTCGTACTTCCATGTCAGGGCAGGCTAGCACTATGAGTCTTCCCATCCGGTAGCGATACGGCCGATGCGCCGTAGCCCATACACGACCGACACACACCGCACCGGCCTGCAGCTCATGAACAGGGGAGAAACGGCCACGGCTCATCGTCACGTTCTGTTCGTGGTGTGCTTTGCCATCGAAGGCCACGGGGGGTGAACCGCGGTTCAGGGGAAACGCACCACTATGAGTCGAGGGATGTCATCTTCACTCTGTCATAGGACGGGCATGACTATGGCAAGGACGTGGCGGGTCCGATGGGCTAGCTAGATGCTCTGGATCTGCCTGCCTTCGTCCATTTTCCTGTTTCGCTCGTAGAGCACTATGCATAAGATTCCTTGCTGGGAGTGTGGACTCGTCGTCTCCTATCGTCTTCTCTTGGGATAGGATCAAACGGCCCTGGATGAGGTAGCGGTTCAGAATGCTGTAAAGCGGCATCTAAGCGAGGATAGAAGCGAAGATATGTACCTTGTTGCTTGATTTCAATGGAAGCTTTTGAACTCAAACTGGGACAATCAGCAAGACTCTAAGCGGTAGGGCCGAAAAGCTCAGTGCAGGCAAATCATCCAATTCTATCAGGGAGACCCCTTCGTCCGTCTACCACACCATCGACAGTGGTGGTTCTATTAAGGCAGATGATCAGCTGCTACAGTGGAAACAAGACGATACATTCGGCATCCCGTCCTGGCATCAGTATCGGCATTGTGCAGAAGCTAGCGAAACCGTCTACAGGTATCGATTCGAGACCAACCGATGCTGAAATTCTTCGGGTTTTATAGAAACGACGACTGAAACGACAGACGAAGATTATCAATTTCCTATCCGGTGACTGCCCGTCGCAAGAGTGAATCAATTCCCGGCAATCGTTCTTTCTGCCGCCGAGGGCTTGTCCGTAGGGCTCTTGGGATGTGGAACGAGATCAGACAAATTGCTGCCCAGGGGATGCCCAGATGTGGAAATATCCTGGGACATGGTCATCCAGTCGACCAGTCGAGTTGCTTTGCGACTGTGCCCCATCTCTAGATGATCGTGGGCAACGATTCCCAGAGGGTTGGGCTCCACCGTCGTGCTTGATCTTCTATACATGTATATGAAACTTCATATAGAGCTATTTGTAAAGTGCTCTATCCTCTAGGGCCGGGGTGCGCCTTGTCCTTGGATTATTGGGCGATTTTCTTCGACGGTTTACCTACTACAATTCCTATTGAAGGAAAGGGCGGAACCCCTTGACCGAGTGTTTTAATCCTCAAGTTTATGTAATATGTTCACTATACGAACAACTCCTATAATTCCGGTGACAGGAATGGAGCTATAAGGATTCCTTAGTGACCCTGTAATTGAGCGCTCGTGCCGCCTCGTGGGTGATGATCCAGTTTCACCGCGCCTGTTGCGGAGAGCAATATATATCCCTGTCGACTACCCCATGATCTACGTGCATTCAATGAATACCGCCCTCCCCAGCCAAGCCCGCCACCAAATCCTGTATGAACCTATTGAACCTTACTGGACTCAAGCTCAACTACTCCGCTATCGTGAACTCTACCCGAAGTGGGGTAAGCCCCTAGATGTCCTCGTGTTTAAATGTGTTAAAGCATATATAGGTCGCTAGCGTGATCCTTTAAGGGTGTGAATTGTCTGGTCGTTCGGATCGCGACTCCGGTCTGTACCATTTTTCTTCCCCAATTGTTCTTGGACCTCAACGACATGGATTTACCCCGCATCTTGTATAAGGGACCTCCGAATATCCGAAGCGAAGGCGCCCTGGTAGACCTCAGGGTTGCCCAAGCGCCGGGCGGCCAAGTGATTCAACGTTTCCCAGAACAATTTGGCACCGCGGCGCCCCGCAGGATGGCAATCATTGCCGTTTGGCGCGGCGAGGCCGGGGGGGTGGCTCTAACTGCACATGTACATGAGATCGATTGACCTCTCGCGTGCTTGATATGATTTCCCTGCCCTCGGCAACTCGTACTCATCCAGAGCTTTAAAGTCCTCGAGACACCGGATTCCGGTCTAGGCAGTATGGAGCAGGTTCTCGTCGTTCGAGACACGGTTTGACTTCGAAAACTCTCGCTGTGACTTGCGCTCATAGTCTCCGAACGTCCAACATGGGGAAGCCAGATGATATGAACATTGACGATACCAAGGCGGCGGAGGCCGTGGTTGTGGAGGATGTTAACAAGCTCCACCTCACGGTCAGCCAAGAGGCTGCCACGCCAGGAGAGGGAGAGGCGATGATGACCAAGGCTAAGTGGTTGGCATGTATAGCTCTCGGCTTAGGATACACGACGCAATTCCAACAAGGAGCGTGTACCGGAGCTATCTTGAAAAGCATTGACGAAGAGCTGGGTAAGAGAGATAATAGGTATAAGAAAGAATGAAGCTGATGACGAAAAGGACCGACAAACTACTACAATTGGATGCTCGGTGCAAATACCATTGCAACTGCCGTGACATTGCCACTGGCAGGAGGCATATCAGATATCATCGGTCGACGTTGGTTCTTGATCTACGGTGGTGTGCTAGGCATCATCTCTGGAATTGTGGCGGTATCGGCCCAAAGCATTCCTCAGGTCATCGCTAGCAGCGTGCTTGCCGGTATGGGTGGAGGCGCACAACAGCTTGCGTGAGTTATCACGGATCTCGGCCGTTGTGAAATTACGAAATTGCTTACACCCGTTGTAGCCTCGCTGCAACCGGAGAACTCGTCCCCAACAAGCACCGAGGGAAGGTCCAAGCCTGTCTCGATCTTGCCATCCTCCCATGGACAATCTTCGGAACTCTCACTGGTAGGTATCCTGTGTAATTGTCAGTCTGGGGTGCGAATGCTGACCATTCGTCTAGGTGGAGCCATGGTCACGTACCACAGTCTCACGTTCCGGATCAACTTCATTATCGGCATCATCCTCAACACCATCTCTTGCCTCATGGCTTTTTTCTGCTACTTCCCCCCTACCAGGACCCACAAGCTCATTGAGCGTGGAACGACGAAGTGGAAGGCTCTCGCCTCTCTTGATTGGATCGGTGTGGGTTTCCTCACTGTCGGACTCGTGCTGCTTCTGGCCGGCGTGGCTCTGGGAGGCGCAACATACCCCTGGGATCATCCTGGATGGATCGTTCCTACGGTCCTTGGGTTCGTCTCACTCGTGTCTCTTGGTTTTTGGGAGTGGAAAGGGACCAAGGAGCCATTCATGGCCAGAGAACTCTTCGCCGGCAAACTCCGCACGTTCGTGCTGTTCCTCTGCGTCGATTTCGTCGCTGGAATGGCCTTGTATGCCAGTGCGGCGTTCTGGGCGCAGCTCTGCAGAGGGGTCTGGCAGGTGACCCCGATCAAGGTTGGCGTCTTGAGCATTCCCGGAGGATTCGGCGGTGCAAGTAAGTCCTTCTCGTGATTGAAAGGCCGGGACATATCGGATCTGTAACTGACTTGGAATAGTTGGGGGCTTTGCTGCCGGGATGGTGATCGGTCGCTACAAATACACTTCCACCAAACACTGTCTTATCTTCGGCACCATCCTCAAGATCATTGCAGATGTCATGCTCATGCACCTGAAGCCAGGAACCATCCCTCTGGGACTCGGGACTGGTTTCATCTCGATGGTCTCCACCGGCTGGACTAGCGTGTCCCTTATCGTCTGCGTGCAACTCACCTGCGAAGATGAGGACATCGGTCTTGCTACGCTGATGCTAGGATCCGTCCGCGCAGTTGGTGGTTCCGTCGCGGTCACCATCTACTCCAGCCTGTTGACCAACACAATGAAGACCGACGCAGGTCCGAGGGTCGGGGAGGTGGTGTTGAAGATGGGCCTGCCCATATCTTCGTTACGACCGCTCGTCCTATTGCTCATCAACGAAGACACGGAGCTCGCAGGTCACCTGCCCGGTATGACGCCGGAAATTTTGCAGGCCGCGCGGGATGCGCTCGCCTGGTCGTGGACACTCGCCTTTAAGCGCGTCTACACTGCCGCCACCGCGTTCGCTTGCCTCGCTTGCGTCGCTGCGATATTCACGAAGGACGTGTCACACGCGATGACGGACCATGTAGCGGTTCGACTTGAGAATGAGAAAGAGAAGGAAAAGGAGATTACAACAGCTTAAGAAGGTAACCCGCGCATGATACTGATGAAAGGCGTATCTCTGTCCGTCAATAGGGGTATTAGTGCAATGAAATGGATTCTCTTGATTGACTTGCAAATTTCGATATATCCGAACGAATGTTAATGCATCGTCAAGTAAACAGATATCAACAGTGAAGCAGTACAAATGAAATCCAAGTCCGACAAGTAATCAATGACTATTATGTAGACGCCGAGTGGTGTTGGACTTGAAATGAGTGCATGTCGCGATACTAAAAGAAGCCGAGGGTCTCAACTCTCAACTCTCTCCCGTTCCACACCAGACGTTGGTTCCTTCCTTGCGTTCGTTGTGTGACGCCAAGTTGCACAGCCACACATCGACTTCGTCATCAGTCGACATCTCCCCCCAGACCAGCCATCATCATCACCACCGCCGAAACACCACAGTGAAAGGTACGCAGCCTTTTTGCCTTCTCTCTTTTCACAACGGCTGGAGCCTCCAACCTACAAAGCCATAACCTGATCTACGTGATCTCCTCCTCAACACCTCGCATTTCCGTCTGGTCCGAACCCATCAGACACGCCCCCTCCCACCCAACATGTGCACCAGCTCCGACCTCTTCCTCGCCCTCCTCGCCGTCCTCTTCCCCCCCATCGCCGTCTGGATCAAAGTCGGCGTCTTCACCTGCTCCTCCCTCGTCAACGTCCTCCTCACCACCATCGGCTACCTTCCCGGCCTCCTCCACGCCTGGTACATCATCGCCGCCTACCCCGACCCGAACACCTACGACTACGACTACGAAGCCCTTGAGTCCGGCAACGCCGACGGGGCTACCTACCCTCACGAACACGCCGTCGACGGCGTCTGGATCTACGTGCGAGACCCCCGCCTGGCCCGCCGCGCCATCGTGCAGAGTAAACATCCGAATGGGTACGGCGCGGCGGCGCAGGAGCAGCAGCGGGGAAGGGGCAGGGAGAGTGATCGGCCGGCGCAGAGGAGCTATGGGACGACGGGGGGGCAGCAGAGCGGGGTGACGGGGCAGCACGCGGCGACGGGGGGTCAGTCGCAGGCGGGCGGAGAGGGTGGAGGGGAGGGGAGTGCGGGAGGGGCGGCGCCGCCGAGTTATGCGGATGTGGTGGCGGGGGATCATAAGGTTCAGCAGCATGATTGAGGGGAGTTGGCGAGGATGGTGGTGTGGAGAACTGGGGAGGTTGTCTGGGCGCGGGCGATGCATGGGGGGATTGATCCATTCTAGGGGACGGTATGCGAATGATACGCGGTGGCAGGCACGCCGTCTTGTTTCTTTGTTCTGAAGGCAGTTGGTGCTGGCATTGAAGGCGGAATTATTCTATTCGTATTGAATGATGTCTATGATTAGTGCCTGTGGAGGGCAGTGGTAGCATGGTGGACTTGGCCTGTTAATCTGGAATCTTTTTATACCTTGAAATGGAAATCACATCCTCAATGATACTTCCTTAGGGTGACATTGAGACATCTGCGCTATGTGGACGATAATAACTACCTAATAGCATGGAAGAGCCATAATAATCAAGTACGCGAGTCTTTTGGTGTTAGGTGATAGACTATATTACGCGCATTGTCCTTTATGCATTTATCTGTGTCGACCGGAGTCATTTATGTAGCCCACTCCCTGATACATTTTATAATGTCGTTGGTCCATTCCAGGCCGAGTCCCTCGCACCGTCGACGGACCCCAAACGAAGGAGACACAAACCATATACACCGTGTCCAGTAAGGGGGGTCCCTCCTTCTAGTCCACCCGTCCGATAGAACTCCAATCGATGCCGCTAGAAGCAATAACAATAATAGGGTATTATGCGAGCGAACGTATGAGCGCGCAGAAGCAGGCTCGAGCTCCCAGAAAATAAGAAAGCAGGTCACCCCGGGAATGGACCGCTGCGTCCGGGTGAAAAAGTGAAAGTACGGTCGTCAACCCGGCGAGCAGACGGGACGAACCTCACCCACTAGGTCTACCCGCCAAGTCCATATCCATGAAGGCGTTCGTGTCCCGCACCAGGACCATCTCCGCCGCCCGGTCTACAAAGTCCTGGTGCGCCCTCGCTAACACCGCCTGCGCCACCGTCTCCCCCACCACGCGATGCACCTCGTTCTTCCCGGACCACATGTGCTCGACAAAGACGCCGTCGCACCCGGAGTTCGACCCCAGCCATCCGTTCCCCTCGGTGCATGTGATCTCATGCAGGTCAGTGGGGCGGTCGTACGCGTAGCGGATGTACTCGCCGAAGGCGGCCTGCTCGGCGGGCCAGTTCTGGCGGAGGTTGTCGCAGCCGGGGAAGCGCTCATGGTCCTCCGGGCAGGAGGCCCAGGCGCGGAGGATCTCGTGGGTACGGGGGTTGTTCTGGGCGATGATAAAGCCGGCGTTGTTGTAGACGCGGCCCTTGGTGTCGAAGTTCTGGTCGGCGATGGGGTCGCGCGCCATGGTGAGAGAGGCGCCCGGGGGGACTTGCCAGCGGTTGAGGAGCCATTCGAAGGGGAGGTTGAGGTGGGTGAAAAGGGCGTCGGCGTCGATGCTGATGACCATGTCGTAGTTGTGAAGGTGGTCGGAGAGGGCGGGGATTTTGGTCCAGGGGGCGACGCGGTCGCTGAAGTTGGGGGTGCGGATGAGGTGGTAGTCGTAGCCGTGGATCGTGGCTGTCGAGGTTAGAAAATCGCAGGGGGAAGCGGACGACATGTGCGCATACCGTAAAGCCAATGATTCAACATTCCCGTGCTCGTGTATCCATGCTGTCCGTAGACAAACCGCTCCGGGTTGAGCGCTTGTTGCGACCTGTCCAGCGGCCTCGTGTCGATATCGACAATCGCCAATCGCCTGCCGAGTGGTTTGGTCCATTGTGGCGTGCCCTTAAGGACGTATGTCTGTCCCCGCACGGTGGTGAAGTCCGGTGCGTCGAGCGGGTACCGCATAGGTGCCATGAGTTCGCGCATCATCGCGGGAAAGAGGGCCTCACCCTCGATAGTTTGATGGGGTAAGAAATCCTGTGGTGCCGGGCTGTATTGATCTATCAATCCACGGCTCTGTCGCATTATTCGGATCGGATACTCACGGATGGTATCGCAGGCCTTTCCCCTTGCTCCATGGGACCGAGTCGCGATCGATCATCACGACTGTGAGAAGAAAAAAGAACAGAATCCCAGCCGCGATGGCAGCGCGGGCCCAGGTGAAGTTCATCATCTGGAAACCAGGCATGGCGCGATACATTATGTGGAAGGGCCGAGTGTTTGGAGGGTTCGCGGAGGTCTTGAGTCGGTGGCGATCCTGCTATCTAGACATGGAGGCAAACCCGGCTGATCGGAGCACAGGGGGCTCGGGAGGAAATGATAAATGATAAAAGATTTGAGACAGTGGACGAGCGGAGAAACGAAAAGGGGGGGGAAAGGAAAAGGGAGCGTTGGATTTCGACTTTCGAGTTAGGCTGCCACCGGCGATGATGATCAGATTCGCTGACTGAGGGAGTGAGTGGAGAAGGGGGAATTATTATTGAGATATAATAAGCAGCGCAGCGAATCTACGATTGGGCATTCGAGTCGTAATTATGAGCGGCGATTTTGACGGACGAGGTGACATGAACGATGAACGATGAACGACGTGGAGGAGAAATCACCAAATCTACCAATCCGCCAAATTATTCTTTCCTAGATCCCGCGATTCCGTTCTAGTATTCCGTACATCTTAGCAGTTTGGTTCGTACCAAACTCCCAATCACTCTCCGCACCCTTGCAAGGCTGCCGACTCGCCTGCGTACGTAGTTCGCCGTTTAATTTTACATCAAAGAATCCTCCACTCGCCCAATCCGTTGGTCCTTCACATACGGAGTACATATATATGATATCTCCATCCTTCCAATCCTATCTTAGGACGTCATACTGGGACAAGGCTGGGCGGTATTCGCGGGTCATATACGCCCATTTGCTTCTCCAAGACCGCCCAAGGCCACCGTATCACTCCGCGGACGGCTAAACCGCTGTCTCGATGACTCCATTATTCCGAGTGATTGCCTCCGATGGAAGATTTGCAGCGGACATGGCCATTGGCTGCGTGGCTTCAGCTCCTCGCCAGGGCTCGCCTTTCCTCTTAGGATTCGCCGGAAACTAACCCAATTCCGTCGAGCTGGTGGCGCAGGGTAGGGGCGGGAAACTCAAAACTGGGAATCTGCCTGGAATAGGAGATAAGGGTCTCGATTTCGTTTCGTAATTCCCTCCCGAGTCCAGGCTTAACGGCCTTTCCACGGTGATACAATCCTGCTATTAGCTGGTTAGAGAATCGTTTGTGAATTGCGATTGCTGTTGTTCAGTAGCGTCCGGAAATTAACATCAGGACGAAATCACGAAACCCACCCCGGTAGAGGATCCTACAGGATGAAGAATCCTACAGAATAAAGGATCCGTGATCACCAGTCAATTCCAGCATCGATTGATTGAGACGTGAAACATAGCCACATTCGATATAGAGATCAGCCCACGCGTCGTGCAAATCGTAACCTGATTCCTCATAGAGCCCCTTGGCATACGCTCTGCCCTCTGTGACTGGTCGTAGACTCGCATCCTTCCAAGTCGCATCATGCCGTCGGCTAGCTCAGGCTGACGCCTAGCGGGACAGGTTTCATCGTTGATACTCACAAGTCTTTGGGAATTGGGATCAGTTTCGCAACATCGGATGAAAAGTTCAGGAAGATGATTAAAACATTATGAGATGTGAATTCGATGGATGGACGAGTTATGGTGCTAAGCCCTCGCGTGCAGCCTGCAAGCAATTGACCTCCCGTTTTTTTAATCAATTGTCTCGCCAAAGTTACTCGAAGGAGTCAGACGCTGACATGGATCGAACGAAAAGGGTTGCGATTGGTGGAAACTTTCCGGACGATATCTTGGATAGATGGGTGGTATGGTTTGGATAGTGATTGCTGATGCCCGAGAATATCGACGGAGTATGATTGAAATTCACCGCCATGGAGGTTACGAAAGACAGACTAGGTGATCAGACATAGCCGTTAAGCCTGCGACTCTGCCGACATAAAGGCTAGAAACTTGGTGGGCGTGGTCGGAGTGATGTAGGACCGTCCTGGATCCTTCAAGGGGACCTTTAGAACTTTAAGTGATAGAAGTTCTACAAGCAATTTATGGCAGGAAGAAGGTGGGCTAGAATTATATACGGTATACCTACTCCATAACCTGGAGTACTTAGGTAATACATACTGTACCGCCCTCCCCCGAACTCCTCGACCCACCTTCATACCTATTCCCACTCTTATCGCCCCCTCCCGCCTCCCGGCAGCGTCTCATAAGGTGCGGAGTCGCATACATGACCGGTACCGAAGTAGCCGCAGCCTGCGGGAAGGGATGGAGATTGTCGTAGGCGGAGTGCCCGGAGTTGGCGGCGGAGGGCTGGAAGACAGTATGCTGAGACGCGAGAACGAGATGCGCGATGATGGAGAATACGATGGCGAGGAGATAGCGAGGGGATAGCACGAAGGGAGAAAATCCGGCACGTGGAAACTGAAAATTGACTCGGTGTATTTGTGACCGACGTTCGATCAACGTCGAGAAAGCCTACTCTCACAACAAACTCATCTTCACCTTCCTCTTCCCCGTCGACGCCTCCTTCTCATCCCAAATCCTCACCCTCACCATCTCAAACAGCGCAATCGTCGCGCTCCGCGACCCGCTGATCGTCAGCACGTATTCGTCCGCATCGTACGTGCCATGCGGCTCGGGCGTCGCCAGGTCGCGCAGACGAATCAGACTCTCGACGCCGAACCGCGGAACGAACACGATGAACCCGTTCGAGAACACGCGCATGACGAACCCGTCCTCTTCGATGTCGCGGCCCTTCAGCGCCTGGCCGACGTAGTACTCGACGCTGGCGCGGCCGGCGTGCTGCGCGTTGCGGTGGCGCACGTTGATGTTCTTGCAGACGGCGTCGAGCTTGGTGCGGCTGTGGAGGCTGGCGTCGAGGGTCTCGTAGTCGATGGCGGCGGCGAGTTGGCGGTGGACTTCGAGGTCGGCGTACCGCCGGATGGGGCTAGTGAAGTGCGTGTAGATCTCGCTGGCGAGGCCGTAGTGCTTGAACTCGGGGTAGGTGTACTCGCCGGAGCAGAAGTATTCGGCTGACATCATGCACCGGGTGGCGAGGATTCGAACTAGGGTGTTGAAGAAGGGCTGCTTCGGATCCACGCACGTGTCGAGGGAATCGGCGACGGCTTTCGAGCTGTCCGTCCGCAGCTCCATTCCTTTGCGAACCTTGAGCTGGTTCTGAAGTTCCTCGAAGTTGGACCGCGGGGGTGCCGCGTGTCTTCTCAGGAGGGCGATCTGTGGATAGACTTCGTAAACCTTCCTTGCTACACTGATGTTCGCGAGAAGCATGAATTCTTCAACCAACGAGTTAGTGTCCAGTAGCTGCTTCTGCTGCACATCCACCGGATCTGACGTCTCCGACTCGGTTTGGACTTTGACTTCGGGACTGGCGAGGTTCAGCGCTCCATTGTCCATGCGCTGCTGCTTCAGCTTCTTCGAGAGCATCAACAGCGACCGCATGCCTTGCGTGAGCTCATCCTGCTGACCCTCATCGTCGATCCGAAGTTGCGCTCGCTCGTAGCTGAATGCCTCTCGCGATCGAATGACGGACTTGGTGAAATTGGTACCCACAATCTGCGCATCCGGCGTCAATTCCCAGACGACCGAAAATGCAAATCGCTCGACGTATGGCTTCAGGGAGCACAAGTCTGTCCCCAACAGCATCGGAAGCATATCGATGCGCTTGTCCACAAGGTATACCGTCGTTCCACGCATGGAGGCTTCTTTGTCCATGGCATTGTTTGGGCGCACAAAGTTCGAGACATCAGCGATGTGGACGCCGACTTCGAAGTTGCCGTTGGGTAGCGGTTTGGCATGCAGAGCATCATCGATATCTTGGCAACTCGGGGGATCGATACTGCAAACGAGCAGATCTCGTAGATCCTTTCGCCCTCTCCATCCCGGATCCTCCTTGCTGGTGGGCACTTTCCAATCATGACCTTCTTGCGGCAGACAGTCGAGAACGGTCTTTGGGAAAGGCCTGTACTGCACATCATATTCGAGCAGTAGCGCTTCCGTTTCTGCCTCCTTTGACTCCACCTCTCCCAAGGACCGCACAAAGTGGCCCACGGGATACCTTGAATCACGCTCCCAGCTATCAATGGTGACAAGTAGCCGCTTGCCAACCAGCTCTCCTGCCTGTCGTGTTCGAATGCGAATCTTGGGGATCCGCTTGTCCATTGGTATGAGGAACACCATCTGCTGCGCCCGGTTCTGCTTTTCGGCCACTCGGATCGAACTACCATCAACATGACCGACATATTGCCTCCAGTTTCTCTTGATGACACCAACAACTCGTGCGGTGGGTTGGGGTTTCCCTTCCAGTGTACTGCCATGCACCCTCTTAACCTCGTCATTGAGGAGTCGCCGTTCACGTTCACTGAATACGGTCTCGCCCTCGGCTTCCGCGTCGTCATCTTTCGCCAGTGTTTCCTCGTCGATGGCCTGGGACGACGGAGTTTTCCATTGGGCTTTGGGTAAGACTTCCACCACGACGGTGTCTCCACTGACGGCTCGATTCGAGTTCTCTCGACCGAGAATGAGCAGTGCTCGCTCAAATGCAGGCACGTGCACACTTCCCTCCAAGGCGTTGTAGTTCGATACGTTGAATATGCCCTGGTGCAAGGTACCGGCTTTGATGCCCGTGAGCATCTTTGACATGGTGTAATGTTCCGGGTATACTGCTTTTGGTCCTCCTGTTCTGGTTTTATCACTCTCTGAGACCATATCCAGGAGAGTCGTGGCGTCTGGTAGAGTGGATATGTATTCCTTCAGGGGCACAGCGTCCAACCCTTCTGACTTCGCTTTTTTAACGTTCTCTTTGTCGTCGCTAAGCATGACAATAGTGGGAAGTTTCGCCTTTTTCTTTGAACCCTTAATTTCCTGTTGCAGATGCGCCTGATACCAAGCCACGACCTTACGGACAGCTCGATCATTGCGGTCATTGATGCTTTCGCCAGTTCCTCGTTCAACGTGAGTTTCCTTTCGGAACTCGTTGAAGAAAACATAGAATCGCTTGTCGTCGTTACGAGTCAAACTGACGAGTCGATTATAGAGAGGCAGAGACCTGTTCTTGACCTCTTCAAGGACTGTTTGGAGAACGACGACATCTTTGAAGGCACTCTCGACCTCGAAGACGTCCATGGCGCTGAGGAATGCATTGGTGTCAGGGACAAGATAATGGCCATTTGTATATGCCCCTGTGCGCGCTGGCTGATCCGATAGCTTGGGCTTTGGAGCTGTGAAGAATTAGATATAACCAAAACCGCTGTTTGGTAGGATCGAACCTTGTTTGTTGTACCCCTCTAGGCTATTCAGAAGGCATGTTGAGCACAGTCTTGAGGAGCAAGGAATATCATCTCGGAGATAGACTTCCCTCACAATCTTTTGGACCTTGCCGGATTTAGTTGATCTGACATAAACTCGGCTTGATAGCGCCAGTGAGGACGGATCGGCCGTCCTTGGTCGCTTGAGGCTTGTCATGGTTGACTACGGTACGATCCGATATACGACTCCCTGAGTCAACGCAAGCAGTTCTGATATTGAAATCGGCAAGGGCGTTGATATGAGATTTCAGGAAATCTCTACAGGCATGAAAGGATAGTTCCTTCGCTACACCAAGTATCCCTCTGTAGTGGCAGGGATAATTGGTTGAAATATCTGCGCTTGAGGCAAGAAGAGGTTGAGAACAGTGCTTGCTTGCGGAAAAGATGATATCAAGTTAGAACCGAACATCCATTTCCTCCAAGTCTCTTGTTTCTAACCCTTTAACTCCGCCAGATGCCAAACACGGAATACACCAATCACCATGCGGATCCGGGCTCATCGAAGGTTATTTTGTGGACGTGGAGACGAGGATGATGAAGGAGAAAGCAGCCGAAGCAAAGATTCTGATGGAGAAATACCAGCAGCTCATGCACCAGGTCTCTCAGGCTTGTTGTCGGAGCAGTTGTCTGCGCCACAAATGCCACAAGTCACGGGGTTAGCCACACTCAGTCCCCACCCTGTGGCTTCATCTGTGGCTTCAACCTGGTCAACGCCACCTAAAGCTTCCCAATCAGCTGCATCCAAGCAGGAGCCTGAGCTCCCATTACACAACTCTCCCGCCTTGGGTTTAATAACGCTTGACGGTCCCCCCAGAGACGTACAAGCAGACATTGCAAACGTTTCAATCTCATCGGATTCATCCTCCGACAAGGAACCTTCCGTCCGTCCTCCATCTCCTGAACCCCCATCCAAGGACGCCATCGGTCTGCCATCTCCTCCTGATCCTACCAACTATCCTCGAATCATGGCCGATCCGGCCGCATATATCCTTTCACTGCAGAACAACATTCGGCAGCGGCCCATCTCGTGGGAGGGTGCTGTGAGAGCAAAGACCATCTCTGATGCCGACCTCAAAGCGATCAAGTCCATCGACAAGGTGCGAACCGAGCAGAGGAAGGAGACCATCGAGTCGGATTCAAAGACATATTGCTCGTTATTACTAGGCGGGGGTGGCCAGAGGAGTATATTTGAGTCGGCAGCAAAGAGACAGGATATTATTCAATATATGCTAGTACTGGCCGGAGATGTGCTTGAAGGTATGGATAGGAGCTGCGATGCTATCTTCCAATGGCAATTGACATATGATAGATGTACCGGAATTCGCAGAGACCCTGATAAAGCATCCCGATCCATACGCACACTTGTTACCCTTTTTGAAGCAACCAAGCAATCTGGAAGAGCCCATAGCATTGCTAGCTTCGACTCTTATAACAAGACTCCTATCTCCTGCGATTGACACCAAAGGAGCACCGAAAGTCAGCGAAACTCTCCCCGTCGTGTACAAGTATCTTTCATCGCTGTCGAAAACCTCCGATGCAGGGCTGCAAGACATTGCAGTGCAGCACTACACAAACTTGTTGAAGAACACTGCGTCGCGGAAGATCTTCTGGGATCTACGCTCCGAGACTGTCGCTCCGCTGTTCGAGATATTGAAAACTGCTGGTGGCGCTGCTTCCAAGGATAGCTCGTCGATTCTATCCACTCCGACAGCAGCAAGCGTCGGAGGGGTCAGCTTGCAGCTTTTGTATCATGTTCTGTTTGTCATCTGGAAACTGAGCTTCGATGGCGAGACTCTTGGCGACGGACTCGACGAGTAAGTCTTTTGTTGTTTCCAATGTCAACGTGCTAACTGGCCTCAGCGAGTACGACCTAATACCCCTCTACGTCTCCCTCGTCCGCATCTCCCCCAAAGAAAAAACCACGCGCCTCCTCCTCGCCACCCTCGTCAACCTCCTCAACTCCAACCCCGCCTCCCTCCTCCCCGCCGCCGCCCTCGCCCACCTCCACCCCGCCGTCAAGTCTGTCCAGTCCCGCCACCTCACTGACCCCGAACTCCTCGACGACCTTGCCACCCTCCTCACCCTCCTCGAAGACCACGCCAAGTCGCAGACCACCTTCGACCTGTACGCCGCCGAGGTGCGCGGCGGTCACCTCCGCTGGTCCCCGCCCCACCGCTCCGCCATGTTCTGGGCCGAGAACGCCCGCCGAGTGCTCGAGGAGAACCGCGGCGAGCTGCCACAGCAGCTCGCGGAGATCTTGGGACGCGACTGGGAGGGCGACACGCAGGTGCTGGCGATCGGGTGCAACGACGTCGCGTGCTTGGTGAAGGAGGTGCCCGAGGCGCGGTCGAAGTTGGAGCGATGGGGGTTGAAGGGGCGGGTGATGGCGCTGATGGAGCATCGGGACGGACTGGTCCGGAGTGAGAGTTTGAGGGCGCTGGGAGAGTGGTTTAGGTATACGGGGACGCTCAACTAGATTTGGGTGGCCGAGCGTCTTTGGATATTGGCGGTGGCGACGGTATTCACGCACAACTGCATGTTGAATCGGTTTGCGTATCCTTCCTGTTGGCTAATGAGCTAGTGGAAGGTCCGCTGCTCAAATTCTTGTAGTCTGATATGTACCCTTCTCTAGAACTACCCATTCTTTCTGGTATAGAATCTCATGTTCTGAGAGTAGGCTCCTGAACCTCTAACGCCAATCCCATTGACAAACCCGCTCAGGGCTTCGATGAGATACCGAAGTTATCCAAGTTCCACTACGCCTTGCTTCTTCGAGACGACCTCCTGGGAGATTCGGTTACAATAGTTTCCTTCTTCGGTGTTGACTTGGTATTCGTTTTCGATACTTTGCTAGGCCTATTGCGCTTCGTCAGCGTGCTTAAGACAAAAACATACAAATGATCAACGGACCTCTTGGATTTAGCCTTTGAATTTTCCACCTCGTCAGCATCTTCGCTATCTTCGCTATCCTCAACATCTTCGGTCTTTCGTCGTTTTCTAGAGTGGTACGGCTTAGCTCAGTCACGCTCTACTTTTAAGTTGAATCGGCAACATACTTCGATTCCGATGAGCCGGTGCCATTGACGGCTTTCGCCTCTCCATTAGCCGACACATCCGCAGCGACTGGACCGGTCTTCTTCTGTACGCTCGGAACAATGGCCGATGTACGGCCACCGACGGTGAGGAACGTGATCTTCTCGCCGTTTGGTAGGACATTTTGACCCTTCTTGCCCTTCGACCAGCGATGCAGCATGAGCCCTTCTTGAGTGTTAGCACTATTCGTGTATATAGGAATGATACGCACAGCCTTTGGGAAACTTGTCCTGATCTGCCAAGGTCTCGCAGGCGATCGAGCAGACGGAAATGAGGCTGTCATGGAGGGTTTTGATCTGCGAGTTTGAAAAGGTGTTGCAGTACTGTTCAGGGTGAGTCTTCGCTTGGTATAAGACCTCGTCGCTATCAACGTCAGAATCGCAAGAACGCCCATCGAAGGACGAAAAACATACGCCACCCAGTTTCCAACCCCGCTAATGTTCGCCTGGTTCAGCAGGAACGCTTTGATCGGGACCTTTTTCTTCTTCAACTTCTCGGAAAACCATCCAACCGTAACGATCTCCTTGTCAACGACAGGATCCGGACCGTTCTCCTTCAGCGGCGTGGTCTGCCGCAACTTGTCCGCTGGAGCATCCACCAATCGAATCCTCCCCAATCTTCGAGCATCTGTGAACGCCACCTCCGTCTTCTCCTTGTCGTCCAATTGCAAGATGAACTTCCAAAACCGCGGCGGCCACTGTTCACCTTCTTTCTTGGGCTTGTAGGAGCCTGTCGGGACGGTCGACAGGTCGATCCATCCGGTCATTCCGAGATGCATGACCGGGTGAGGGGGGGATGCCATCGTCATCCAAAAGTACTTCCCCTGCTGGCCGGCATCGAGGATCTTCTTGCCTTTCATAGCCTGCTCGAAAGCTGCGGCGGACGTGCCGGCTTTGCCGTATACGATAGTATCATCTTGCGTCTTCACGGACGAGATAACTTTGCCAGCGACATGCTTTTTGAGGTAGTGAACAAGTCGAGCAACTTCTCCAATCTTGAGGGACGTTAGAAAGTGGTAAAGGCATGTAACAGCAATGACAATGGTTGTAATAGTATGTATCAGGCATATTGAGAAGGACTTCGAACGGGCACTAGGATTAATAAACAATTTGTACTCACCTCAGGCATTGTGACAGTCCTTGGGTCTCGCTATATTGGTTGTACAAAACGCACAGCAGGCTAAAATCTTTCAAAAGAGCAGAACCAAACTAATTCCAAAGGCTGTCTTTGAAATATTGATCGGTTGTGAAATTGTTTGAAGCAACTCGACACGGAGAGGTCAGTTGTCGCGCGCCCTTCGTCATCCGTCGCGTTCAGTTTGACGCGCTGTCACGTGCTCCCTTAGATGATTTCAACGTCCAACATTTGCCATCATACCAGACAATAGCCATCTAGATATTCAAACCATCGACCTCACCATTTACGTTCTAGCCAGTCCTACGCTAATATTTCCATTTGACTGCCGATTGCGCTGAAACTCATTGACCGCAGAAATGGATCATCAGGTACGTTACCTTCAGTTTTGTGGGCGAACCGCTGTATTGACAGTACTTCAGAATCGAGCAGGCTCCAAATTCGGCGGCGGAGGTGTCGCATCTCAGTCCTCGACCAATGCCGACCGTCGCGAGCGTCTCCGCAAACTCGCGCTCGAAAACATCGATCTAGAGAAAGACCCATACATCTTCAAGAACCATGTGGGCATGTTCGAGTGTCGACTCTGTCTGACAGTCCACCAAAACGACGGCTCCTACCTCGCCCACACGCAAGGACGCAAGCATCAAACAAATCTAGCTCGGAGAGCAGCGCGTGAGCTAAAGGAGGGGAAGGATAAAGAGGGCGCGCTGCCGGGGATGGCGCAGATCCAAGTGCGGCGGAACCTTGTGAAGATCGGGCGGCCGGGCTACAAGATCACGAAGATCCGCGATCCGTTGACAAGGCAGAACGGGCTATTGTTTCAATTGCAGTTTCCAGAGATCACACCAGGGATCAAACCCCGAGTACGGTTTATGAGCGCATTCGAGCAGAAAGTCGACGACCCCGATAAGTCGTATCAGTATTTGCTGGTGGCCGCGGAACCCTATGAGACGTGTGCCTTCAAGCTTCAGGCGCGCGAAGTGGATCGAAGAGAGGGCAAATTTTTCGAGTGGTTTGATGAGGATAGCAAGGAATTCTGGGTTCAGGTGTTGTTCAAGACGGAGCGCGAGGAGCGTTACAGCGGTGTTCCAGGTTTGGCACCTTCCATGGGCAAACGATGAAACCCTACCTAATAGTCTCTCTACGACTATTGGATTTGGGAACTATAAGAACACTCCCGATCGGCTGGGGTCCATTACGATGTTATGCAGAGGCTCCATACTGCCTCTCGATATGATATCCACCTGGGTTGTCTCTCCACGCGGTAAACGGCGGGAGTCTGGTGAATAATGGGGGAATCGAATAGATATGAGGCTAGATGGGCATCGAGCTGCACGACGGCAATCCGAATGTCCTATGAGATATAGCCCGTTGGCTTCGGGATGACAAAGAAGGGGTGTAATGACAGATTGTATGAGAGTCAAGGAGAGACTTTCTAGTCAATACCAGGATCCAGCTACCTTTCTCTCCACAATGCATTCTACAGCGGAATTTGATTAATATTTACTTTGCTTTGCTTGTTCAAGAATTAGATTATCCCATGCAAAAATACTTTTGACGCCTAGAGCACCTTCTAGATGTTAAAGTACCGGTATGCGACTCCGTAGCGCCCTCCTCCTAGTACGAACCTGCTAAGCCCTGAGCCTTACAGTAGAAAAGAGCATTGAAGGTTTGCTAGCGCATTTGATGTAGCTGTTCTCCGTCATGCTGCGTTAGGGTCAATCTCACGAAACAAGGACGATCCGTTTAGGATTGGGTTACAAAGGGAGGGTTTTGAGACACTATAGTCCCTTGATTCCTGAATCTCGAGGAGCTAGAATTAGGATCTTTTAGCACTTGGCTGTTCATATGACGGGATGGTCACAGGACACTCGAGTGGAGGATAGATGGCTGGTTTTGCAAAGCATCGCACGACTTCTATCAATCACGATGGTTGCATATTAAAACGTCGGCAAAATAGGGGTATAGCAGAGGCTCTCCCGATAGAGACCGAACCACCCAAGCAATACGCATCAATTTTAAACCTCCTTTCGAGCGTGTAGGGAATCCCTCATGCTTCTTCAGTGACGGGTGTATTCCATGGGGTAGTATCTGATATTCGCAATGGAATCAAGTACAAATACTCCCTTGATAGGCGCTTAGAGACAAGACTCATTTCCTGTAGAGCATCAGGCCTGTGAGGAAGATTTCTGCCGTCTCATTCTCATTCATGTGCAGTTCCTCGGAAAATTGACACACCGCCAGACTCGCGTCACTACTCTTGCGCTGGCTAAGTCCTGTTGAGTGGAGATGGCAATCAAAGTCGGCATTTCAAGGCCATTCTAACAATAGAATGGCGTCAATATTCCGGAATTCGCCTAAATTATCAATATATAATGTCAGTGCTGTGTGCGAATCAAGAGAGCAACTCGCATGACTTGGAGCGAAGTGCTGATGGCAATATAAGGTAGATATCAGGTGGCTGCATAACTGCGATAGGGGAAGGACTGAGATTAATGGGGTGGCCACAGTTACTCTCACACTGATAGATATCCAAATAATCAGTGTAATCGCCCGGAATTCGATATATGGTTGCTTCGATACACTGATACAACTGAAATGCTATGATTTCAATCGACGAAAGTTCATGACTATGCATCATATCACATACGACCTTTACCAGCAGTCATGGAAAGGAAATCGATAAATCTAATACTCTCCTAGTATGGTGTATTTGCGAAAAGGGGCTCACTATGTGCAACCCAGTCTATCACGCGCCTCACCTCCCTGCATCATTAAAACTGCAAAATAACCTCAAGTGAAGAAAATCAAGTGCGCCACAGTGTCGTATTCTTCTCCTGTCCTTGACAGCGGAACCAAACAGAGGCTGCAGTGTGTCGGATGCATACCAGAACCACCCAGTCGGTTCAGTCGACCATGCATTCGGTCCGTCAGATGACCGGTTCGACCCTCTGACCAACACCCTTGTCGAGGTTATCGGAAGGCAACCGGATAGGACGCATAAGATATGCATATCAAAAACCTGTTTCATTGATGCTATTGGAGAGGAGAGAGAGGTGACGTACGAAGAAGTAAGGAATTAGATAGGGGTAAAGGGAGTTTTAGGGGTCAGGCCCGGCGATAGTGCATGATGCTATTCGCATGAACTGTGGATAATGATGAAAGGTTGTATTGCAAAAGCGACCGGGCTGAATGGTAACCCGGGTCTCACCATGCAGTTGAGAATTCCCCAAGTACCGATACCTTTGTCTATATCTCCACGACGACGTTGAATCTTTGGTAACCATATTTTGGGACTGGTACCGACTGGAACCACACTTCATGTTGACTGAATAGGAAGTGCATCGAACTGTCCTTGGAAGTAACATTCGTCTCACCCAAATACTTTCTAACATTGATTAGCAAATCATATGGAAGAGACTAGGGAAATTGTGAGCTGATTGCTGCCACACTGAATAATCAATCGCCAAATATGGAGCAAACATAGCCGTCGCATCCGACATCAGGCAACAGAAGTGGAAGAGGTTCCGCCAAATTCGTTACACAGGGCTATTCAGATCCAAAAATGGCTAAATATCTAGTTCGTCTCAGGACCGAACACAAATATCATTGAGCATGGTGATGATTTGCTGGGCGATGGTCAATACGCCGTGCAACGAAGCCCGTCGTGACTCAGATCTGACATTGATATTGTGCAGTGGGTGAAATTGGAGGAAAGGTATTTCACCAATGACGAACGGAATACGCTCCGGCTTATTCACTGGTTGAGGACCTGGAAAAATAATTGAAGTAATCATTGGCATCGTCGACAAGGCAAGCCCTGTAGGGGGTGCACATCCGATCCCCGCAATGTGGTGTGGGGGAAAGGGGGGGTGAAGCGATCGATCATCAATGGATCACCACTGACTCGACTCCGCTGGTGATCTCCAGCCAGACAAAGAAAACCGGCCATCAACCGAACCGACTAGTGTCATGGTCCATGAAACTAGAGACTACACAGTACTTAGTTCTGAGCCCTTAGGATAAGCCAATAGATCATGCCAAAAATCAACGCCTGTACGACGATATCGTGTAACAACATCCGCACATCTGCAGGACACTGTGTTGATGCGATGCGATTTGTGGCTGTTGCACCTATCGGAACTGTTGTGGATCGATCCATCGATAGGAATATCTGGTTTGTTTCACATTCCAGTCTGAGTGAACGATGACCGCCAGAAACCTGTTCGTATATTGACTTTTGCTCCAAGTACCACACGGAGGTGCTCGCCTCTTAATAACCCCTCCGATCTGCTGTCGTCTCCACCTTTCTTACTCTCTACTTACTGAGCATCGATTTGAACTCATAATGATTAGTTCATCGCGAAAGAGGAAATCCTGCCGGTAACGCCCTGGTTTCGCCCCGAGATGGGCACTGTGTATAGCTAAGATGCAGACCGGAAGATGCCTTGAGAGTTGAAATGCATTGTCGATCCTCAACATGCGCCATGCTTCATGCTACTGGTCAAGCCATGAAAGCTGAGCGACTGGCTACCCGCCAGCAAGTACAGGGATCTCCCATCGACGGACTGCAGGACAACTGGTGTGTGTGGGCAAAATCCGGGTCCTTGCTGGTTGTTTGATCAATGCTTGCTGCCGTGCTGCCGTGCTGCCGTGCTGCGAGATCTTGCAAGGTGGATTGGTGGCCGGAAAGATCGTATGTGTACAAGTAACTCCAGAAAGTAGCATTTGAAATTCTACGCCGTTCAAAAATCTGATAGGACCGGCGGCGTATTCTCCGGGACTGAGATCAAATCTGATTTCTCGGAGACTTTAGCCAATGTCGCAACTGTCGAGCTGCCCTTGAGACAGTTGTCGTCTCTCACATTCCGATGACTGCCCTCTGGCGCTTGGATCGCTATCCATACGTGAATGGTCAGTTGGGGCCACTTTCCGCCCAAAGGTCAATATCAAACCCGATTTGTCTGGTCGTCATAAAGTGCACAACATATGCATTTCCCCCCATGACCAGGTTACGATTGCCTCGTATCGTGAAGGGCACGCCATTGCTGGCCCTTGCGGTTTGTTAAAATCTCGGTTGAAGTGACACAATGGATAGTAATTGAAAAACCGACAGAAGCCTCGCCAAAGTCATCGCTTGGATGGACCAATGGGACATTACCCCACTCCAGCCGTATATTAGATTCCGTATATTAATAGCATTTCATCCAAGCAGATTCACGGGGTTTGGACGTTAAACTCTGCCGACTCAGTCCATTCGGAGTGAATTGATCATCCAAACCTTGAAATTCGCACTGACGGGCACTGTACCATTCCACTTGGTCAGCCTCGGTGGGATAGGCGGATCGACTGCTGCCTAGGGTATTTCTCAGAACAACAATCACGAATTTAAGACAACTGGAAACCGGAGGCGCGTGCCAAGATTTTGTTCATCTGGTCGATATCGCTGTATTCGAGCCGAAGGGTCTGAGTCAATGGCTGATTCCATGCAGCGTCGAGCAGTGGCTTTCCTGTTATCGGAACCCGGACGACTGCGCCTCACAGTACCTTGATGCATTCGAGTCAAGTTTCATCCTGGCATTGTTCAGGGCTCTTGTCGCTGTCTCGCCTCAATTCTCTGACATGGGGTTTCAATGCGGTGTACCGGCGGGCGCATGGCGATACTGCTGCAGCTGATCAGTGAGCACCTCAGGCCAGTCCCAATACCCGTAGCAGAGCGAGTGAATAACGCGGATTCGGACTGCTGAAAACCTCGCTTCGGACTTTCCGCCGAGGAGGGACCTTCAGCAAGGAACTACATCCTCAGTGTCGATCTGTAGCATGTTTATGTACTCCCTGCATATCGCCGCCGGAACCTGCGCCACATCGACTGTTTGCGGTGGCGATACTACGCAATATATTTGAACGGCACAGTCGAGCGAAGCTCAGAATCCGTTGCACTCGGGCAGTAGAACGGAGATGAGTGGACGGGAGAACATCTGCGCTAGGGAGAGCGGCCCAAGGACCCTAAGCTTGCATGAAGGTCATCCTGATGGACGAGCAGCAACAGTCGTTTGATTGGTTGCATGATCCTAGAATGTAGGTCATCCGTCCGTAGGCCTGATAGAGCGGCGGGGCGAATTAGAGAGGCAGAGAGCAGGACGGGGACGCAATTCAGTGCTTGACTTCTCGAGCACGGAAATGCGACCGATCAATCAGATGGAGAAATGGGCCAGCCTGCCCCGCAGATGCGACCCGAGAATCTGGCTTTGTTTCTCTGGAATCCCTTGCGTTCGTCGATGCTGAAAGACGCCCGTTTGTTGATAGAATGAGTTGCGAATCGCAGATTCGCAGCGCTTTGACCGCCCGTCCCGCAATGTCTCAGGTTATACGGTTCCTTCGCGGTCCATCGGTTCATGCGAGGCCAAGACGGGAGGGAAAAATCGAAACCTTAAGACTTGAGAAGCTGAGTGGAGGAGCCAACGGCAACTGGTCAAAGCCACAGATGATGGTGATGCCACTTGCTAGGGAGTACGGTTGATGATTCCAGCCCATTCGGACACATTGAACATGCATTGCTGCTGACTGAGACGAGGCGTTCCGAGTTAGTTCGTACAAGATAGAAACTGTTGGTGAGCAATCAAATGTAATCAATTCTGACAATGGACCCACGATGCCGTTCAGTAACAATCAATTGCATATTGCAACGTACTGTACTTATTTCGGTTCGACTTCCAAGTCATTTCGATTTTTCAAAAAGTCGATATCTCAACTGGCATGGTCGCAACTCGCGTTCTGTGCTCTAGTTCCCCGCAGGTGGGCGATCGATGGCGGCATGGCGCAGCGGCGGGCTCTGCCTCTGTCGAACCGGGAGTAGAACCTGTAGAAGCGATGGGCCGCTGCGGGATCCAAGCACCTGGGCATGCATGAGCCGATGCGAGTCTGCCGTATAATGGCCTCTAGCCTATGGGCCTCTGGGACTCTCCCCCGATTTGTGAATCTTTCATCCACGATCAAGGCACAATGTCCAAAAGCGCCATGCTGAGCTTTGACGGTTCGAGTTTGCGCCCACCGAGATACCCATGCCGTCTGCATCGTAGTCGTCGGCCGCGTGAATATCCAACGCCCCTATTAACTGGGTCCTAGGAGTCAGGATAGGGCTTCATCTGGTCGCGCGATGTCCAATCCAGCGAGGCCAAGACCTATTGACGGAGAAACATCTTGCGCTGCTACCAAAACCGGGCCCTAGTGATGCACCTAAGGAAGCTGCAAGCTGCAACGATTCCAGCAATCCGTCTACGTGATGGCGAAATTGCGCAGAAACGGACAAGCGTCTCCGCATGGGACATGGTGGCGTACTGCAGTCAGTCCATTATCAGAATATCAACCGCTCAAAATAATCAAATTGTCATCGTTCTCTAGGCAGACGAGGCCGTCCAGCGGAGCCTCCTGCCCGTTATCCAGCAGCGGCTCATCGCTTGTGGCGACCACTACCTGTCTCGGAGTGCGCTAGAGCTTCTTCGAGGCATGGGCAGATCTCCAGCTCATGAAGATCTCGGGCTCACAAAGTCCGTTGAGGTCCGAAAAGGGAACGGTTTTCATTATAAAATGTTCACACAATTCACATAAGGAAATTCGGGCCGTGCTACTTCCTTCACGACTGGACCCCAATCCCCATTCGATGTGTCTCTCATGGCGCCATTCGCGAACATAAAACCGAATTGCGCGTCGAAGGATTAAGGTCTGAGGATCAGCTCGGCAGCCTAATGGTCGAATAATCAATGAATTCCCGAAATAAAGTGAATGGGGAAGGTTTACGATCGCATTTGGACTGGCGCCTTAGTGCGTGCAGGGTCAACCGAGTTGCCCGTCCATCCGCCGCGGTTGCGACTTGCAACTGGCGACTGGGGACTCGCGGGCGGACAGGAGCGAAGCCTTGAGTGACTTTGCAAATTCGCCACCCGCGGATAGCGGTCTTAGCGGAGGGACCAGGGGGTAAGGATTCTCCAATACTATCAGAGATCGCGAACAAGGCTGCGGAAAAATCTGTAACCGACAAGAACTTCGAGTACGCGATTTCCGTAGCGCCGCTGGATTTCAAGACTGGCAAAGAGCGGTTGGAGACTTGAAAGATGTGCGCGTGACTTTCGTGACAACATGAATTGTCGGTGTAATTACCTGGAATGAATCGTGTGGAAGAATCAAACGAGGACAACATCATGGTTCCTCTGGCTGGCAATATCAAAGGCTTAAACCCGGACCAGGGAATTGATGCCATCTGGGGCTTCGGACGGCGGCTACGAGATACAAGTCCCGCCACCATACACGGTGATTGGAGGGATGACTAGTCGCGAGCCGAGAGAGTTCGATTTGGCAGACGAGAGACCAGACTGCCAGGTAGATGCCGGTCATGTCCAAACCGATTGGGAAGCTCAAGCAAAGACCACCGTGACTTGCAGAGTGAGCAGGGCTTCTGGATGGGGACCGACAGGATATTGCAGATAGGGAGGATCAGAAGACTCAGAACAAGGACAGAAGAGTCCGGAGAGGGGAGCAGCGGACTGCTCATTTTATATTCGAATGACTGACTGACTGACCGACATCGTCATACGTTCAATCACCACCAAAGACTTCCTAGTTCCCGCCCCCAGTGCGGAGGACTCTAGCCTGGGGCCAGCCGCGGTGAGACATTTGGAAATGTTACAGTTCTCTTGTGCCTTGGAAGTTGGATATTAATGTAGTACGGGAGATACTCTAGAGTCAAGAATAGGACGGGTAAGGGACCTTAGGAAATACCTTGAATGTGTACCCTGAATGTGTACCTGTACAGTAGTTTCATCACTGCAGATACCATATATTCCGTACTTATTCCTGTCATCCGCTGATATGTACAAGATGTACTCTGTACTACGTAGGTACCCGTACCGGTACTTCATGATTCTGCGCCGCTTTTACTCTCGAGGATTGATCGTCTAGAAACATCCTGGTCCAATCGTACCTCTAATATCATTGTCGGCGAACGACGGTTTACGAATCCGATATCAACCTGCATTCCCGCCCATTCTCCAAGGAAGCCTATTCACTATCCGGTCTTATTTGCATTTCCATTATTACTCCCACGCCCCAACCCCTCAATCCTGTCCTCCTGTCCTCCTGTCCTCACTACCATCTCTCCTCACATCGCATTCCTAGGAATTCCCAGGTGACGGTTTCGCTGTGCCTGCCCTTGCTTCCTACACCCGCCTTACAGAATCCTGCCGGTGAACTCCTGATGGAGAGACAACCATTGCTGAGAGCGTGAAACCTTATTGTCAGGTGAGTTGATCGAAGCGAACGTCCTATTCTTGGACCATCCGTTCGAAGATCCGAACTCTCTTCGTCTCCCGTCTCGCCTTCTGTTATTCTGGCCTCTGGATGGCCTGGGAACACCCGCTGCCGCAGCTCATCACGCGCATCATCATCCAATCCATCAGAGACAAGAACTGCACCAAGAACTGCACCAAGAACTGCACCGCCTTCTGCGACCTGCGCGCCCATCCCATCCCTTGCCCCCTCCCTCCCTCCATCCATCCATCCCTCGTCCACTCCACCCTCCATCTCCCCTCCTCCATTCATCTGATCCCAATCATCCATCCATTTGATAGAAGAGGCTCCTGGGCTTGCCTCTCTCTGTCCTATCCACTTTTTCCATCCTCCATCCAATATCATTTTCCGTCCACCCATCGTCGTCCATCTTGCCTTGCACCCGCTTGACCGGACCTGGTTGACCTGCGCCTTTCCCTTTTTCCTTGCCCTGCCTACCGCCGACCAACCTGCAACCAACAACCAGCAACCCACTTCGTCGCATACCCGCGAATGCTCGTCATTAGAGGGTGCGGGAGCGTCCGCTGACACGTTGTAGGGTCAACCAGCTGTTTCTTGTCCGGCTTCATCCTCCCGCGAATCATCGTGACTCGCTTCCGGCTGTGAAACGTTTTGCACATCTTTTCACCGCAACACCTTGCAGCTTGCAGCTCTTCCCGCCTTCCCGCACGCACCAACAGAGGCAGGCAATCGGTAAATCATCCAGGCGGTCCATTTCTTGTCGCATATTCGCATACTCGCATACTGGCATCCGATTCTTCCATGTACCCAGACCGGCAGACACCCCGACAAATACCTTTAGACCTGAGATCTCACAGCTGCGCTTCATTGACTAGCACCGGACCCCTTCGCGACCGATCGTGATCCCGGATTGCGCAGAAGCCACTGACTGTACAGTGTGTTCCACCCCCGCTCCCTTGACCTTCCCGCCTCCCGGACCCGCTGGTCGCTGCGCTCGATACCTGCCAGATCCCGACTTCGACCACTCAAATCTCTTCGCATGTCGTCGGCCGTCACGACTGCACCTCAACGTCTTCCATTCCCGTTGACCATCCATCGTCGCCAACGCCCGTCGCGTCGCTCGACCGACTTGTTAAGCTCCTCACCGCCTCCAGCCGCTTGAGCCGGACGGCGTGCCCTCGCTCGGAAACTGGATTCTCTACGACAAAGCGTGCTCGTCGCCGGAGCCATGTCGCATCCCGGCCCAATCAATGGCGGCTTGGGTCATGGCAGTATCGATGGATCTGGGACCATCAATCCCGCAGCGTTAAATGCGATAGGTACGATATGATATTTCTTATGATCTGCTATGTCGGTGCGCGCCTGCGATGCCCGGACCGTGCAATTGATGATGGGCTATGGTGTGCAATCGCGACCCGTCTTTCGTTACATCCGTCCGCGTGCATCCGCACCTGGCGAGAAATGTTGCTGACGTTGCGCTTTTCCTTTAGTTCCAGGTGTACCTCAAAGTGCGGTCTACGGTATGGCGCAACAATCAACCCCTCGAGGCATGAAACGAAGCCGCACCCCCGATGTTGGCGATGACCATGCGGTGGGCGCTGAAGCAGGTCGGTAGTCCCAAGAAGAGTTGTGTGACATAGTATCCGTGATGACGGCGACCTCCAAACATTCTATTTGTCTCGGCGCACTAACGTTTCTTTACGATAGATGATTCTAAACCACGAAAAAGAGGTCGACCTCCAAAGGCCAAACTTTCAGACGCCTCGTCAACTGCGGTCCATGGACAAACGCCCATTCACCACCCGATTCACACTCCTCGGACCGCCACCCAACAACTTCCTCAGACATCCCCTTCACATGCATCGCCGCCTCCGAAAGCGACTCCTACGAAGACCACCGTTGTCAAAGCGCTACCGACCGTTCGAGACCACACCACCGATCAGCTTAACGAAGAAGGCGACGAATACATACCGCGTGAGTTCGACGAAGCCGGCGAGAAGAAGATTGCTCCCAACGGCGCGCCACTTGACGGACGCGAGTATCATTGTCGCACCTTCTACGTACCGAATCGGGGCGATAAGCTGTTTATGCTAGCCACCGAATGCGCTAGGGTTCTCGGATATCGCGACTCCTACCTGCTATTCAACAAGAATCGGTCCCTGTTCAAGATCATTGCTTCGCAGGCCGAGAAAGATGACCTGATCCAGCAGGAGGTTCTCCCGTATTCATACCGATCCCGTCAAATCGCCATCGTTACAGCACGGTCGATGTTCCGTCAGTTTGGCAGCCGATTGATCAAGAACGGTCGCCGCGTTCGGGATGATTACTGGGAGAGCAAGGCGAGAAAGCAAGGATTCACTGAGGAAGACGCCGCCGGAGAGAAACGACCGGGGGGTGCCAAAGCCAGAGAAGCCGCCGCTGCCGAAGCCAGTGGAGTTGCGCATTTAACGGCGCTTCCGCACGGAGAGATCATCTACAGCAACGGCCCCAATCCGTTCGAGCAGCAACCTGGCATGGGCGGACTTGCTGCCTCGTTGGCGCCTTTGCCAATGATCAATCCACTCGCCGACTTGCCACGAGGAGACTACGGCATTCAACGACCACGTCATGAGATTACAGGCACTCCCTATCAGGATCGCACGCAACCTAGCACAGCAACCGAGATTCTCAACCAAGCCGCGCAGACAGCCGAGTACAATAAGGTCATCAACCAGCAGCGCACCAATCGGGGACAGTATCTTGAAGATATCTGGAAACGTCCGCACGATCCTCCTCAACAGCCACGTCCAGCAACTCCCGCCGAGCAGACCGCCGTCAGTCGTACTTCTCACGCCCTCCCCTCTCCGCAGATGGTGGTTGCTGGGACCATGCCGGGTGGCTCGTCGCAAACTCCTAATGCTCACCATCGCGGCCAACAGCCTCCCATGATGGCCCCTTCGCCATACACGCAACCCACTCAACACCATCCCTCCATGGTCGCTCCATCACCGGTCCAAGGCATACCCCAACCCTCCCTCCGGCCGGATCAGCATCCTCATCCTCTCCAGCAGCAACACCGCTCCCCCAGCGTTGGCTCTTCTAGTGGCGCCAACGTCTCGTCCGCACCCTCCCACGTTCAACAACCACAGTCGTCCTACACCGGATACCCACCCCACGCCAACCAGATATGGGGCCAACAGCCACCACAACCCGTCCCCTCTCCCCTCCAGCACCAAGCCTACGGCTACTCTCAGAACGTCCAACAACAATCCCCCCACCTCCAGCAACAATCCCCAATGCAGCCCCCCCAGCTGCCCCCCCAACACCAAACCCCCAACATGCACGCCGCCGGGGCTCCCTCGCCCATGGGCTATCCAAGCATGCATCAGCACCAGGGCGGCATGGGCGGCCCGGCGCAGGGATACGCAAACCCGAGCCCCGTGCGAAACCCGCAGATGAACTTCCATCCGGGCCAGCCGCAGCAGCAGTTCATGCACCCGGGTTCGCCGGCGCAGGGAGGTGCGCAGGCGGGACAGGGAATGCATGGATGGACGGGACAGACGGGGCCGGCAGGCCAAAGTTGGCAGGGGTTCTGATTTCTGAAATCCGGGTAGTGTGAGACTGTGGTGTACATCAGATCGTCCAGTGGGAGGACGAAGGAGAACATGAAACGGCGTCGAGGAATGTTGCGGCGATGGGTCACGTGGAGCGGGATTTGTCAAAGGAAGTTGGGGATTTGGAAAGATTTGGAAGAAGGCGCGGAACTAAGCGTCATAAGACGCGACGATCCGATGCGACGATGAAGTCAAGAATGCGCTTGGTCTTACTTTTTGCGCCGTGGTCTGATGATGGAGCATCACGACTGTGCAACCTGGTACCCGAGGAGGTTTTCTGTACCACCGATGTGGTGTGGAGAAGGGATCGTTGCCTCGTGGAGTTCTACCTTCGCATGTAGCATCCTGTCCACAAGTGCGACCATAGGTGCAACTGCGGTTCGGCCTACCCAGATCATCGTCACGCATGGCAGCGAAATGGAAGCATCGAGACCAAGGAGGGAGCGGAAGATGATTTGAGAAGATGCCGTTGTCGCTGGGGACCGCTTGAGAGAACCGCGTTACCCGGCAGCGAGAAGGACTGGGCGCAGTGGATCCGTCGAGGGATGATCAGTGGATTCTTTCCTTTGTTGAACTCTGCATGTTTGGGATGAGATGGCACGGGGCTACACGCTCGCTGGGAACTCGCTCATTAGCACATCTGCTTCGGTCGTTCAATACCCCCTTCCGCTTTTACGTTTGCTGGGCTCGGCGGAGGATTATACGGGGGCAAGTTTTCGAGCATTCGCATGGTATAGCTATCTTTGGGTTTCGGTTTTGTTTCCTGTTTTCCATCTATCTGTCTCCTCGTAGATTCCCTGCTGTTTAATTTCTATTTCTATTTAATCTCCTGTTTCTTCTCGATTCCGTTTGACATCAATACACCTGGATGTTCAAGATACCAGCTCTCACCTCAGCACACACACGCACACACTCTGCTTCTAGCTATGCTCCTGTTGCGCTTTTAATCTTATTTTCTGCACGTTCGGCCACCTACCTACTCCTATCGAAGTGGCAACACATAACATGACGATGAACGACGGTGCTAAGACCGACACGTAAACACGAGCGGACAGCGACTGGTTTGCGTGGGAGTCTAATCCTATTATCGTTTCCCCCATTTGCACCACGGCATTTGTGAGGTCTCGTTGGTCGGTTCATGTCAGCGTTGCGACAGCGTGCACCACACCCTCACATACACACGCATTGGCGAGTTTGTTTGCGGTTTGCATGATAGGGAAGCATTTCTGTTTGGCGCAGGAAACACGGGGTTGAGTTTTCGACTTCTGGCAATGCGGTACAGACGTGAGCACACCTGATTGGGCACAGTTTCCAGTCGGTGGCATTGGAACGGGTGAGAGGCGGGGAGGATTTCGTTGGTTTCTGTCAGAACTTTTCATATTCCTCCATCGCTCTTGTCAGGTGGAACTTTCTCATTTTTGGCATTGGGGGTTGGTCTCATCGGGGGACTTTGATGGTGGCACAGTGCATTGTCGTTGCATGTGGGCCTCCGGCATCGATGACCGGTGGGAGTGATATTATAATTATGTCGAGGCAAAGATGGGAGGGCGGTTTCTAGCGGTTAATGGGGTACTTTTTCTAGTATATAATATTTCTTGCCGGTTTTCATCTTGGACAATCTTGTCATCTTTCGTGAATGAGGATCGTTTGAACGGGATATCCCACAGTATAAATACTGACATTCTGTTTCTGCCAATGCCTGTGCATTATGAGAGTCATCTCCCGCTCCGATAAGGCCACATACCTATCAGGAAGTGGTCTTGTGGTGCGTAAGGGATGGCGAGTTAGGTATTTCTACATGTAACAACGATATCGATATGGCCAAGCTGGCTTCATGTGATTGGTCAGTGCAGTTTCGGGCCGATGTGTCAAAAGTTGAGCTTCACACAACCACTCCCTACATCAATTTCAAGCTTTCATATGCACGTAGCCTACCTCCGGACACGTCTTACCCTTGGTTTCTCATTTTCTAATTCGCTCCCATTCAATTGACTACCGACATGGAGCACCTTATCCGTTGATTCCATCCAAAACACCCATCCTTCGATTGACTTAGGTGTCGTTGACTGAGCAGTGAGCACACGACTTGGACGGGAGGTCAAGCTGAGCGACAGCCATCATGCCCCAACCACTCAGCCACAAGGAAAATACGCTGTTTCGCTCAGTCGTTAAGTTCTACGAAGCGAAACAGTACAAGAAAGGTACTCATCCATGTCTTGTTTCTAGGGAAGCGGTACCTAACACCATGCGCAGGCATCAAGGCGTCTGACCAGATTCTCAAGAAGAACCCCAACCATGGTGACACGCAAGCGATGCGGGCGCTCATTATGAACGCCCAAGGAAACACTGATGAAGCGTTTGCGCTGGCCAAGACCGCTTTACGCAACGACATGAAGTCGCACATCTGCTGGCACGTCTACGGGATCCTCTATCGCGCCGTCAAGAACCTCGAGGAGGCCATCAAGGCGTACAAAGCGGCGCTGCGGCTCGATCCCGAGTCGGCACAGATCCAGCGAGACCTGGCCTTCCTGCTGGTCCAGGTGCGAGACTACCCGGGATACATCCAGTTGCGGAGGCAGATGCTCCAAGCGCGACCTTCGGCACGACAGAACTGGACGGGGCTAGCGGTCGCGCTGCACCTGTCGGGGGATTTGGCCGCCGCAGAGGACATCCTCAATACCTACGAGGGCACGTTGAAGCGAGCGCCGCCGAAGACGGACCTCGAGCATTCGGAAGCGCTGCTGTATAAGAACACGATCATTGCGGAGCAGGGCGACATCGAGCGGGCGTTGGAGCATCTCGAGAAGATTTTCAAACACAACCTGGACCGGACGGGCGTAATGGAGCTAAAAGCAAAGTATCTGCTTGAGCTTGGAAGATTGGATGAAGCGAAGAAAGCTTACGAAGAGCTTTTGGAGCGAAACAACGACTACAGGGACTACTATTTTGGCTTGGAGAAATCATTAGGCCTGGATCGGTCCGACCCAGGGAGCTTAGATGGGTTAAAGCAAATGTACAAGACCTATGCAGAGTCGGGCGAACGTGTGGATGCGCCGCAGCGGATACCGCTCGATTTCTTACAAGGTAACTGGTACTTTTTGCTCTGCTTGCGCAAATCTAACCCCTGTATTCAGGAGACGAATTCCGAGAAGCTGCCGAAGCATACGTGAGGCGATGGCTCGCGAGAGGCATTCCCTCGACATTTGCAAATATCAAGGCTCTATACGGAGACGAGACGAAGCGACAAGCGTTCCAAGACATCGTACATAAGTTCACCAGCGAAATCGAGTCGGGAACACAGTCTTCAGTTGATGCCGATGCGAAAGCGAAGGGTAGACTGCGATCGGCCATGCTATATTTCATTGCGCAACACTACGACTACCGCCTCACCAGGGATCTCCGGAAGGCGATGGATTTCATAGACAAGGCGATCGAGCAGGATCCGGAGTTTGTAAATTTGACCATGACAAAGGCACGGATATACAAACACTACGGCGACATCGCCAAGGCGGCAGAAACGATGAACAGTGCCCGGGAGCTGGACGAGCGAGATCGATATATCAACACGAAATGCGCGAAATATCAATTGCGGAACGACGAGAACGAGAATGCGCTCACCACCATGAGCAAGTTCACACGCAACGAGACGGTGGGAGGACCATTGGGTGATCTACATGACATGCAGTGCATGTGGTACATCACGGAGGACGGCGAATCATACCTTCGACAAGGCCACCTGAGTCTCGCTCTGAAGCGTTTTAAAGCCATTTCCGACATTTTCGACGTCTGGGAAGAGGATCAGTTCGACTTCCATGGCTTCTCACTACGAAAAGGGCTGATCCGCTCATACATCGACCTCATCCACTGGGAAGATCGGTTGCGTGACCACCCGTTCTACGCCAGTGCCGCCATCTCCGCCATCGCCATCTATATCACAATCGCCGACAATCCTCACCTCGCACAGGCGAATGGCGTGCCGAAGGATCTCGACACCATGGATGCAGGGGAGAGGAAGAAGGCATTGAAGAAGGCCAAAAAAGAACAGGAGAAGTTGGAGGCGGAGCGAGTCGACAGAGAGAAGAAGGCTGCGGCAAAGAAAGCTGGCACGGGAGGCGATGGTGAGGCAAAGAAGGAGGACACGGATCCGCTAGGATTGAAGTTGGTGCAGACGCCAGAGCCGCTTGAGGAGGCGCAGAAGCTGCTTACCCCACTACTTCTATTGACGCCGAAGTCAATGGATGCACAGAATATCGGGTTTGAGGTGTTCATTCGCAAGAGTATGTTTGGCCCTCTTAGCTATACGAACTTGACTGACATGATCAACAGGGAAATACCTCCTGGCGATGAAGGCGCTTGTGGCAGCCCACAAGCTCGACCCAGAGCATGCGACACTACACGAGCAGCTCATCCGCATGCGCAGAACTTGTGAGTCCATGGACGACCATCCGTGTTACTCCTGTGAAAAGCTAACCTGAAAATAGTGGACGACCTACCCGCACCGCTCTCCGCCCCAACAGCGGCCGTCATGAAAGAAGTGTCCACCATCCTCCCCGCCTCCGACTCCCTCGCATCCTTCAACGACGCCTTCCTCGCGAAACACAAAGACAGCGTCACCCACGTGCAGTCGGCGCTGCGCGTCCGGGCCCTCCTCGATCCCACGTCGAAGATGCAGAACGAGAAGGCCCTGGTGGCAACGCTGGAGCTACCGAGCATCACGATGAAAGACGCGCAGGGTGCCTTGTCTATTCTATCGGAGTGGAAGTCGGACGCTGTGGTAAGGCAGGGGTATGCTGAGGCGGCTAGTAAGAAGTGGCCGGAGTCGACGGTGTTCTCACCCAAATAAATGGATAGGGGTCGGATTCGGATGCATAGTACGGTTGGCTGCACCAGCGATTGTCAATATGCCTGATTTAGGCGTGTGTTGAAGCATTTAACTGGTATTAAGTGTGAGTACCGGTAGCCAGCATAAAAATCCAAATGCATGCTCTTAAAGCTGTCGACGTGATGCATCATCTACGCTTAAGCTCTACGCGTACTTTGGCGACATGTCCATCAATCCACGTCGTCGCCGGTCGACTACTAGGGACGAGCTCCACCTCGCGTTCACCGATCTCCCGACTCCTTTCATCCTCACTGAGTTCGTCATCCGAAACCATATCGCTCTCCTCACCCTCCGCCTTGTCTTGCCCCTTTACCTCGTACTCTCCCGTCTCCCAAATGAGCCGCAAACGAACCGGCTCCAGGTTGAACTTCTTCCCGACAATCCCCATCACCGCGTACACAGAGTACCGCTTCGGTATCTCGATCTCCGCTTTCGATAATCCGCCGCCCTTGACCCCATCGAGCGCCTTTCCCGCGAGGTAAAATTGAAACCGCACTAGCCGCGCTGCCAACGAGTTCGGATTCACAGCCTCGATCGCCCGATCGACATTCGGCTCCCCATACTCCCCACACAGCGCCGCATAGCGCGGATGGCCCCTTAGGATCGCCGGTTCCGCGCTCTCCGGATTCTTCGATAGCTCGCGCGCGATGGAGGAGAGGTAGTAGGACTCGGCGTTCAGGCGCTCTTTGGCGGAGATGGTGCTGAAGTTGAGGGACTCGAGGGGGGCAAGGCGCGCGATGGTGAGCATGTAGCCGTCGTCGGCGTTGAGGATCTTGCCGTCGGCGGAGCGGAGGTCGTCGTAGAGGGGGTTGTGGGCGACGCGGAGGGAGATAAGGCCGGGAAAGACGGCTTGGAGCGCGTTGATGAAATCCCATGAGGAGATTAGATTGTAGGATAGGTCAACGTCTGTTAGGGATGGCTGGAAGACCAGGGGGGATTTCTCGTCCACCGCTTCTACATCAATGCTCGCGATCCGGTTCCGTTTCAAGACCAGCTTTTGTAAATGCGGGAGGCGGCTTAATGGTCGGGCGTCATCGAGGTTTTGAAGGAGTCCTTCCTCTAGACTTACAACGGTTAATGAGTCTGGTAGGGTCGCATGCGAAAGTTCCCGCAACCGATTACCTCCGCATAGTAAATGCTGGAGACGTACAAATGACGATGCAATGGACGCAATCTGGCGATTTTAGAGATCGAAAAATTTGTAGCAAGGACGAACAAACCTGTTGCCATGTGAGGAGGCCATATTGGATACTTAACGATCTCAGACCTTCATATACTGGTTTTGACGCCCTATGATCCGCCGTTGCGAGGTTAATATCTCGAAACCGAGTGCCGCTGTAACTGTGTCAGTCAACTCTCGACCATCGTACCGTCCAACTCACTCTATCCGCAAGCTCCTTAATCTATCCAGCTCCTCGCAAACCGATGTAACCTCCGCCCAATCCTCGAACAAATTGCGGCTCAGTTCCAACTCCAAGATCTTCGGACACGTTTCCCTGACCCGTGCGGCACCCTCCACCACCGCCCCTCCATCCTCCCGTCGTCGAGAAAGCTGACTCACACCCAGTCCGTCGAGGATGACGACCTTCAGTTCGTGGAAATCCGCCAGCTGCTTGCGGATCTTGTCGAAGCCTATTTCTTCGGCCGCCTTGGTTCCGAAGGTGATGATCTTCGCCTCGGAGTGGCCATGCACAGAAGTGCCGTCGTCGGGGTTGTCGCTGGCGTATTTGTAGCGTAACGCGTCCAGAAAGTTTCGCGATGGATCGGAGGGACGGTTGGGTCGGACGAACGAGCCCGCCGTTGGCTCGCCGCTTAAGCCTAGGAAGCATGAGTAATGGGTTCTTTGGCAATTTTATACATTTGAGGGATGCTTTCGGAGTTGTACATTCAAAATATCTAGTGCCATTGTATTCTCCTGAATGCTTCCCTCGTCCGGGGTCATCCCACTCTACACCTAACCAGTCGCCCCAGGTGCCTCTGACTTGACCGATGTAGCGGACCGTGCATAGGTGACTGTTAAACGACAGTCTCTTCCCGATATAGGAGTCTGCTGTCATTCCAAGCTCTTTCTGGCGATATCGTCTATGGTCTGTTATGGTAATCGCTTAACTAGCGGAACTTAATCGGGGGTTTCTAAAGTGCTGGAAAGCTCTGGAGCTCCTGAAATCAAGAGGTCGCCCCGCTTCCTTCGTTGTCAACACCATACGCTGTAGCTCGTGATTGCACTGCACAACCACTCCCATATGCACCAGGATTTCTGTTCCGGTTTACGAGGCTCCAGCTGTTGGTAGGTAAGTAATTTAATGCACCTAGCTAAAATTTACCATGCATAGGGCGTGCGTCTTACCTTATTGAAATCCAACCAAGAGGTAAACTTCGCTTTCCTGATAACTAATTAGGCCTGTCTTCTAGACTCTGTTAGACCGTAGACGGTATCAGTGGAGCTCGTCGGCTTATCTCGTCTGATTTATTTCATCGATTCATTCACATTTCCACATGATGCTGCAATAACTTCTTCGTCAAGCTTTTTCAATATGCGGTCACTTCGCTTTCTCGACGTCTTTAGTTTTTCGTTGCTGTTCGGCGCGGTTCTGTCACACCAGCATGGAGAGCCTGGCGAGCAACCAAGTGTAGAACAATTACACGAGCTGGAAGCAAAATGGGGGAACGATGTAAGGTATCCTTCGGCCCTGAGATAGAATATTGCTAATACGGATAAGTGGGCGTTCTCGGGAATATCAACCTTTGCCCATCTCCCCCACGTTCGGTGTCTTACTACACCGAGCGAGCCATACGACATAGCGATCATTGGTGTCCCATTTGATACCGCTGTCAGCTATAGGCCCGGTATAATCGACCCTAGCGGCATTCTGCTATGGCCGTTTGCTACTTAGGCGAAGAGATATTGACGCGATCCAGGCGCCCGCTTCGGCCCACGAGCCATCCGCGCCGCCTCTGCGCGCCAAACCCCCTTCCGAGGGTTCAACACGCGCGCGAACCTCAACCCGTTCGCCTCCTGGGCCAACATCCTCGACTGCGGTGACATCCCCGTCACGCCGTTCGACAACGCCCTCGCGCTGCGGCAGATGACCGAAGCCTACGTGGAACTCGGCCTGCACCCTGTCACCCCGAAGAACCAAGGGTCGTCCACAGCGTACTACCAGAAACCAAAGCTCATCAGCCTAGGTGGCGACCACTCCATCGCGCTCGCCGCCCTGCGTGGCCTGAAAGCCATCTACGGCGCGCCAGTCGCCGTGGTTCATTTTGACGCGCACCTGGACACGTGGCACCCGGCGAAGTATCCGTCCGCGTGGCTCGACCCAGAGGGCCCGGACCAGCAGTCGTTCTTCACGCACGGCAGCATGTTCTGGACGGCACGGAACGAGGGGTTGATCGCGAACGGGTCGTCGGTGCACGCAGGGCTGCGGACGCGGTTGTCGGGAATCGACGATGAGGATTATCAGGACGATGCGGAGCAGGGGTGGGAGCGCATTTCGACGGACGATATCGATGAGATCGGCGTCAAGGGGGTGGTGAAGACGATCATGGACCGTGTGGGGACGGAGATGCCGGTGTATTTGAGCGTCGATATCGATGTCATTGATCCGGGTCTCGCTCCTGGGACGGGGACTCCTGAGCCCGGTGGTTGGTCGACGAGGGAGTTGATCCAGATCCTTAGGGGGATCGAGGGGCTTAATGTCGTGGGTGCGGATATCGTAGAGGTGAGTCCGGCGTACGATGGGAGCACGGAGGCGACGGCGTTGGCTGGGGCACAAGTGGCATACGAGATCTTGACCAGCATCGTCAAGCGTGGGTTAATCGAGGGGGGGAAGACCAAGCAGGCGGGTGGAACGGCTTCTCGCGATGAACTTTGAAGGGGGTGAAGGAAGAGAACAGCATAACATAGTGGCCATTATACGACAAACTCTGAATGTTAAATAACGCCTTAATTTTATAGTCGCATAAACCGAGTTTCTTTGTTCGGAGCAAACGCCAGATACAAGGAGGTAGTGAACCGTTTAAACCACTCTAACATTTCCAGTCAATGGCTGGTTAGGTAAGTTCCTACTTATTATACCTGTGTACTTCATAGCTATTGATATCATATACCTTATGAGGAAAGCACCATTGCAGCATGAATGCCTTTGCACCGCATCCACGAGCTCCGTTCGAGGGCTACTATAGGCGCTTTCACCTACCTAGTGGCAACACTCTAGTCCCAACCCTCTGCAGCGTACGAAAGATAAAGCACAAGACTCACCTCCTCTCTATCACCTACATCCAGAATCCAGGTGTCGACCAAACCATCTGGCAGCGCGAGTTATCCCCTTCCCAAATCTCCATGACCCCGTCCACAAATGATTACTTCACCTTGACTGTCCCAGAGACCTGCGACATCACCGTTGGGAAATACCCTACCTCCCCCACTCAAATCTCCCTCCGTACCTCCGACATCACCCTCGAAGCCACCTCAATATCCCGTACCCCATGGGGCGGACCCTTCGACACCCCCCAGGACTGGCTCACCTATCTCCCCCTCCCCCTCCACTGGCACGTCCACAGCCTCGGCTCCCCCGTCTCCTTCCAGCTCCAGCTTCCCGGCATCGCCGATGCAGACAGGCAAGGTCACGCAATCCTACACCAGGAGAAGAACTGGGGTGTCACGTTTCCCCAGCGGCACGTATGGATTCAGGCGCGCGACGAGACGCATTGGTTCTATTGTGCGGGGGGAGCATCTTGGGTGTGGAGGCGTTCCTGCTGGGATACTCCGGGGAGAGGGAGCAGGTGAGCTTTCGGCCGACGTTGGCGATGCGGGTCGGTGGGGTGAGTCCGACGATGGCGGCGACGGTGAGCTGGGAGACGAGGGCAGTCGAGAGGAGGGCGAGGGGGTTATGGAGGAGGCTAGAGGTGGTCGCGACGGCGCCGGAGGGGTCGTTCGTGGGGCTGACGGCGCCGTTTGCGGAGGGACTAAAGAAGAATTTCGTAGGGGAGAGTTTCTGCGCGAACGTCATTGTGAAGGTGTTTCGACGGAGATGGATTGGGGGTGGAGGTCGGTCGAGACTCATCGGTTTGTTAGAGCGGCGCTGGAAATCGGCGGAGGCTGGTATCCCCCGGCGGGTTCGGTGGAAGAGCGGAATTGATATTAGTATGGAGTATAGGATAAGAACTCTGGATTGTGGTCTTGGTATGGGTTAATATGATTAAGCTTCGGTTCCGCCGAGGTGGCGCATCTGCTGCAGTGTGCGCATTGGTGGTCGCATTTTTAGTTTTTTACCCCTCATGTTCCTATTTCTTCGTTCTGATATAGTCATCATGATGGTTTACTTGCAATGCCTTCTTGAACGACGGAGTTACAGACCACCGTTACAGGACGGTAGTTATTGGTAATTAAAATCCTGAACGGTTGACCCACACAGGGACAATCTCCAGGATGGATCGGGATGGGCGCCGGCTCCAAATCGTCGCTTGCTCATCTCCAAGACTCGCGTTACTACCCTTGATTAGACTAGACCGTCAGGGTCTCAAGGACGATGCAGCATTGCACATGAACAATCCCACGGCGCGTTTCCTCTTCGAGTAGTTCGTACTTCGGAATTTTTCAGTGGAACGAAGCAACCAAATGGGAAGTCTCGACTCTTCCGGGAACCGGCACGCTTGAGTTAAGGGGACGGGATTCAGGATGGGTCTTCCCCAGCGCCAGTGCAGAGTTTTGTCTCCACTGTTGGGTTCATTATTTCACTCCGCATTCTGATCGCGCTGTCGTCTTATGACTTATCGACCTGATATTGATATCTTGACATCCGTCACACAGGGACTACCAGCAATTGGACAAACCTGAACATGGCCGCGGACAGCAAGAGCCAGGTTGAGGATTCGAGTCCAATCGAGGGCACCCCGACCATTGAGCCCAAGGAGGATGTGCTTCCAAAAGAAACGGCCAAAGGGCTGGACTTCATCATTCGCGATGCCAAAGCCGCTACCGACAAGGAGCGGAAAATGACGTTAATGCAAGGCATCAGGCTGTACCCCAAAGCCGTGGCGTGGAGCATCCTTATCTCCACCTGCATCGCCATGGAAGGATACGACATCTGTCTGATCAACAACTTCTACGGCTTCCCAGAGTTCAAGAAAAAGTACGGCGAGCAGTTACCGGATGGAACGTGGGAGATTCCCGCCCGGTGGCAATCGGGACTCAGCAACGGTGCGAACGTCGGCGAGATCATCGGCCTCTTCATCAACGGCTGGGTGTCCGAGAAATTCGGTTACCGTTATACCGTCATGGCCTGCTTGATCTTGATCATCGGCTTCACTGCCATCTTCTTTACGGCCCAGACCGTTGTGCATCTCCTCGTGGCGGAGATTCTGTGCGGCATCCCGTGGGGCGTGTTCCAGACTCTGACCATCACCTACGCATCCGAAGTGTGCCCTGTGCCGCTGCGAGGGTATCTGTCTACCTATGTCAATTTTTGCTGGGGGTTGGGCCAAGTGATTGGGATAGGGGTCATCAAATCGATGCTTTCTCGCACCGATGAATGGTCGTACCGGATCCCCTATGCGCTGCAGTGGATGTGGCCAGTGCCGCTCCTGGTCGGGATCTATTTCGCCCCGGAATCTCCCTGGTGGCTGGTCCGGCAAGGAAAGACGGACAAAGCCAAGGAATCCCTCCTGAGGTTGACCAGCAAGGATCAAGAAACGAACTTTGATGCGGACGAAACGGTCGCGATGATGGTCCATACGACGGCCCTCGAGGCGAAGATTACCACCGGCGCATCCTATTTCGACTGCTTCCGAGGCGTCGACCGTCGACGAACGGAGATTGTCTGCATGTGCTGGGCCATCCAAAACTTGAGCGGGAACTCCTTCTCGGGGTATTCGGCCTATTTCATGCAGCAAGCCGGGTTGGATCCGTCTACGTCCTACTCCTTTGCCTTAGGACAATACGGCATCAACATGGCTGGCGTGTTCAGCGCCTGGTTCTTGATGAGTCGCGGGATCGGACGTCGATCCCTTTATTTCTACGGACTGTGCGGACTTTTCATCATGCTCTTCGTTCTGGGATTCCTCGGACTCATCCCCGACTCGCACGTACGCGAGCGTTCGCTTGCGACCGGCAGCATGATGATCGGCTGGGCCATGATCTACCAGTCCACCGTCGGCACGGTGTGTTACTCGCTAGTCTCGGAGCTGTCCACGCGCCGTCTACAAATCAAGACGGTTGTGCTGGGCCGGAATCTCTACAACGTCGTCGGCATCGTCTGTGCCGTCCTGACCCCCTACATGCTCAACCCCGGCGAATGGGACTGGGGGAACTTTGCAGGATTTTTCTGGGCAGGGATCTGCTTCCTGTGCATTGTGTACACGTACTTCCGGCTTCCAGAGCCGATGGGCCGGTCGTTTGCCGAATTGGATCTGCTGTTTGAGCAGCGGGTGCCGGCGCGGAAGTTCAGCAAGACGGACGTCGATGTGTTTGCGGAGAAGGTGGAGGGCAGCGTGATCGAGCATTACGAGGAGGAACAGAGGAGGAACTCGTTGGTACATTGAGAGCAGGCCAAGTTCCTGTTATGATAGCCTTATGATCATATATATAAATACCTGACAGGCTAATGGGCACCGTCGTTCGATTTTGGTCGCCTTTCCTAGCATTTGCTAAATCATGGTAGTGTATCAATCCCCTTGTACACAGTGATCGTTGCTGAGTATATGTGACAGTACTTCGTTCGAGGATTAAAGGCGATCAGAGTTATCAACTACTAATTATATGTGGTGCGATCTCAAGTGCTCAGTCACCTGGGCACTACGGGCAGCACTAATATATGGCGTAACTAATTATCACACAGAATGCTTGTGCTACCACAGTAGCATGCATCGTTCAACTAATATACGAAGGACAATGTCCGAGACAGCCCGGGAATGGGGTATACATATGTAAATTGTTCCACGCAATTATGTCATAGTCCGTATCCCGACAATTTATTTCTGGCACGCGGTGAATCTGGTTCAGGGATTGATGATGTAGCACAGAGATCTCAAATCTCAGCAGACACGAAATGAAGTCCGTGCTGGAATGAGTGGATGGTTCTTGGTTCAAATACAACTTTGATGACCCCACTACATCATGATGCATGACATCAACTCCTCCTCCGTCTAAGAAACCTCACCTTTCATGCCCCAGAGGCGGATCTCCATGAAGCTCCCAAGATGGTGCTCTCGTGCAGCATCCTCGCCTTTATATCTGGCGCTGCACAGCTATACGTCACCGCTGCCAACCCTGTAGGGGAATCGAGAGGCAGTATCCCCATGTCCAGATCCCCATCTACAGCGCGACCGTTAAAGGGGCGATTCCTACATATCACAGGTACGTATTGTATCTCGCCTCTTCTGTGCGACGTAGCACAATAGTTTGGACCCTGGAATGTTAATTCGCGAGCCAGATATCCATTTTGATCCGCACTATAAAGTCGGATCGGATATTGGCAGGGACGAGACCTGCCATCACGGCTCCGGCCACGCCGGCTTCTACGGAACCCCGAAATCCAGCTGCGACACCCCCGAGAACCTCATCAACGCGACATTCGCCTGGATCCAGGAGCACCTGCGCGATGAGGTCGACTTCGTCGTGTGGACCGGCGACTCCGCCCGCCACGACAACGACGAGAAGTTCCCGCGCCACCAGAAGCAGATCGTAGCGCAGAACGAGTTCGTCGTAGAGAAGTTCAGGGAGGCGTTCGGGAAGCCGGAGGATTGGGACGACAATGACTCGACGAACGACTTCCTCGTTCCCATCGTTCCGACGTTCGGGAACAACGATGTGCTGCCGCACAATATCCTTTTGGAGGGGCCAAATTTTTGGACGGAGCGGTATTTGAAGATTTGGAAGCAGTTCATCCCGGGGGAGCAGAGGCATCAGTTCCAGAGGGGTGGATGGTACTATGTGGAGGTCATTCCGGACAAGCTCGCCGTATTTAGCTTGAACACCTTGTACGAGCCGAATTGAGGGGATGCATGTGGTGCAATTCACTAACATCAAGGCAGGTATTTCTTCGAGTCGAATTCCGCCGTCGATGGCTGTGCCCTACCAACCGAGCCCGGTTACGAGCACTTCGAATGGCTCCGAATACAACTACAATTCCTCCGCGAGCGGGGCATGAAGGCCATCATCACCGGCCATGTCCCCCCAGCGAGGACCGAGGGCAAGATGTCCTGGGAAGAGACTTGCTGGCAGAAATATGCGCTGTGGATGCGACAGTACCGTGACGTCATCGTCGGAAGCATGTATGGCCATATGAACATCGACCATTTCATCGTCCAAGATTTCGGAGACCTGCGTAAAGACACGAAGAAAGGAAAGATGAAGTTGCAGGGCGGAACGGGGTCGCACATCTCGACGGAGGACACGCGGGGACTTGTCGAAATCAGCTCCGCGAGCAGCTATCTGGTGGAATTGAGGGATCTCTGGGCGAGACTCCCACCACCTTCAAAATTGGGGAAGAGGGCCGTCGAATGGCATGAAGAGAAGTACGAAGACAACGATGGTCTCCTTGATCTGAAAGACGACCATTTTGCGGACAGCTATTCTGTTTCGTTGGTTTCGCCGTCCATAATCCCCAAATATTTCCCGACCCTCCGCATCATCGAATATAACATCTCCGGCCTGGAAGGGGCTTCGTCCGCCCCTATTTCCCCCATGCGAAGGCCACCAAACGATCTTCAGAACCCGATCCAGAACTCTAACCCTCGATTGACGTCCCCGATAGACTCGACAGCCCACGAGAGCTTCAAAGACTATCTTAACCAGACGGACTTCGCCATCGCGATGAAAAAGGAAAAGAAGAAACATCGGAAACACAAGAAAAAGAGCAAGCGATACAAATTCACCATCCCTCACGGTCCTTCTTCAGCCGCCGTCCCTGGCCCTGCGTACTCCCCCCAGCCTCTCACCCTGCTGGGTTACACCCAATATTTCGCCAACCTTACCCACATCAGCAACGAGCAGGATCATGGTTCGTCAATCGTACCCGAGGAGCACGATTCAACAGTCGGACCCGCCTCCTCAAAACCGAAACCCAAGAAGTTCGACTTCCACGTCGAGTACAGTACCCTTGACGATTCAGTCTTCAAGCTTCGAGACATGACCGTGCGAAGTTACATCGGCCTCGCGCACCGGATCGGCAGGAAAACCCAAGCCAGTTCTACTGATGGAGACGCCATCGAAAGTTCGATACAGCCTGAAGGGAACAAGAAGAGGAAAGGGAAGAAGGGCGGGAAGAAAAAGCAGAATGTGACGTGGTTGACATTCGCGAGGCGAGCGTTTGTCGGTACGTCGGATCCCGAGGAGCTCGAGAACTTGTGTGGGAGCGACTAGAATATTAGATGGAATGATAGACTTTGACGAGCGTTGGTGTCCTGCGAGGATGTCTGTGTCAAAAGATATGGGATCTACCATCTCTACAAATATAATACCCAAATCATATGGATCAGCATCGCATTTGCGATGAGGACAGTAATTAATCAATCCAAAATTATTTATTATCCTGGACTATATAATAACAACGGCTGTATAGTGCGCCTGTAGATGTGAAGGTATCATCCATGTCTCTATGATCCAAAACGATCCCTTCCCTCTCCAATGCAGGCCCGGAAAAACGTGTCGCTGCTTTCGAGACCCTTTCATATGTGCGTCATACCGCCAAAAAAAAGATAGCCAAAAACAAATGCCATTAGATCACAGTGTGGGAGGAAAACCCCGGATTTCCCCCGACTAGGTAACCCCTATATTGCATTAGAGATCTGAAATAGATCAGGGAGACTCCCAAAAACTCCGAGCAGCTGCGTGGACTGCATGTGCAAGATAAGGTATGAACCTGAAGATGGTATCAAGTGAAATCACAACCGAAGCTTCCGCGATGCCAAGATTTCGGTGGAGCGCGGAGGCCCCTACGTTCGCATCGAGATCATACGATGATTCCGTCGTGTTGCCAGTTGCCCTGGAGGCGGACTGGATTGCTTGCTGTGACATCCGACGGGTATCCCTTGGTTGAATAAAGGTAGGAATGTGCCCTTATGCGATTTGTCGTTTTCGCGGAACGGCGGATCAAGCGCCTAACAAGTCACAACCCCTTTCCGCCATTGACGACTTTCTCCATCGGCCCGTTCCCATGCGTAGTATGACCATTCAACCCCGACTCTTTCTGCAGCTGCCATTCCTCCCACTGATCCAGCAGCTCGATCTGATCCTCCGTGTCGCCGTCCCGGTTCGAATTTGGCGAGAGCAACGTGATGCCGATGCCGTATATCGAGTGGGCCAACAGCACGAACGTCAGGCCGATGATCCGCCCCGCGTTCATCCGCTCGCCCAAGATCAGCTGCGTCAGGATCGTCTGCACGATGACCCGCACCGTCCCCGTGGCCGTGAACCGCGTCTCCCCCGTCCACTGATCCCATTTCCACACCCGCGACGTGGCCGTCCCGAACCGCGTCAGCCCCGCGATCGCCCCGAGGAGGGCGAACTGCGCCATTTTGCCCACCGCGGGGTACGCCCCGCTCACCTCGAGCACGCGGCCGCTAAGCAAAATGTCCACCACGGTCGGGATGTAGATCCATTGGCGGGATATCAGCATCAATATGATTGCCGCGAGGAAGCTCCATGCGCTAATCCCCCACGAGGCGTGCCACTGCACCCGCTGCGCTTTCGCCGGGGAGTGATCCGGCTCGCGAGAGAGGCCTAACCAGAACTGCGGTGGAACCGCGATGGAGACGGCCACAGCAGCCGAGGAGAGGACGCCGAAGATGATGCCGATGGCGAGGATGGCGTGGGCGCCGGCGTCGGCGGCGACGGAGATGGTGAAGCCGATGATGGCGATGAACGAGGCTACGCCGGAGAGGAGAGCGGGGTAGAAAGGCGAGGGTTCGGGGACGAGTCGGGGGGACGGACGGCTCTGGGAGAAGCGGCGGGGGCGGCCGGAGAGCATTAGGGGGAGGGAGAGAGAGAAGAAGATGGCGAAGGGGAGGAGGAGGCCGTGGGCGATGGGGTAGACGACGAGATCGAGGTATTTGAGGGTAAGGATCCGGAAGATAAGGGTGGAGAGCGAGAGGGCGGATGGAGTGAGGAGGGGAAGTAGTGACTGCGCGAGGTGATGGTAAGTTTCGCATTCAGAAGTGTTGCCAATGTTGCCAGCCCGGTCTAGCTTCCCATCTTGACATGTTGACGAGACGATGAAAAAGGGGACGAGAACAACAAATGCCTTACCGATATTCTGAATCCTTTGATTCCTGTGGAGGCTATCCCCGTACATGTCAAGAGAATGAACTCAATGCCGGTCAACATGAACAGCAATAGGAACGGCGCGTCCAGTGCGTTGAGCGCCGCCTTCATCAAAATCATCGTCGCGATGGACCATGTTGAATCGAACACGATCACACCCGCACTCCCAGTGTTCGCACGTAGCGTCGACGTGAGCAACGCGACGACGCCGGCATCGATTGTGGGCATATTCGATATCGCGGTCTCCCGTCCCATTACCTTTCCCCGGGGGTGAGACGGGGAGAGGTGGGTGGATGGATGGACGGAGACCGGGCGCCTAAGAGGAGCGGGCTTGCGAGGGGAGAGCGACGGCTAGTGATATCTTCGTATCATGGTGGTGGAGAATGACGGAGGGGGTGAGTGGATGGGAACAAGGCCCTGGAACGGGATCGGGATTCGGAAGGGTCAAGGTAAAAGACGTATAGGTACGTCGAGTACAGAAATGAGAGGATGGTGAATGGTGATAGGGATTAGGGAGGTGCTGAAGGCGCATTTCGGTTCGGATCCGAATCTGCACAAGAAACAGGATTATTTAAGATTATTTATTACAGCAATCACAACAGGATGTAACATTAATTACTGCCGCTAGCAGGGGTTAGGCCCACTTGATGCCCTAATATATTACCGTAATCTTGATGTCAAACACAGTCATTTCAAAGACAGTCAAAGTCACCCCAAACATCCGAGATTCTGATGACATTGTCGTGACAGTGGCCATTTTCCTCTATCACCTCCTATACCTAGATGATCATGGTTATTGAATCGCTAATTGATGCTTGTGTATACTTGATGTGCCTCCGTAATGCAATGTCTATGCTCCATACCTAGCCAATGAACAGTGTGTTATTTCCAAGGCGTTCCCATCACGATTACGAGATCCAGTTCGGGTGCTTCATGAGCACGTCTTCGGATTATATCATCTAATAAGATCTGCCCAAAGGTGGTGGTTTTCAGCCCTTGACATTCTAGCCATTCAAATAAGGCTGCGTGCTCGGTTTCGCAGCACCGAGTCTTGTGCTCGGGACGTTCCATCTCTCGGTAGGCTATCATGACACAGAGCCCGTGTGTCACCGCTACGATATTGGAGTTTCCTTTGTGTCCTGCTGCCTCTTGATTTTGTCAATCCCTAGGATCGGCCGCAAGTCATCTGCTATTGGAGTGTGCAGCTTAAAACTGTCACCACACTTCTTGAGCTCAGATAACTTCGTGCTCTGACTAATACGGGCCTGAGTTCGGTATTTTTGTTCCGCGAAGCGTTTGAAAGCTTGCCGGACGTCATTCTCGATGGCGCTAACACCATTGCTTCCAGATTTAATGTTGTCCGGACCAGGCTTCGTCGATAGATCATTGTCCTTTGTCCCCTGGTTCTCGGTGACCAAGTCCTGATTTCCTTCCTTAATATTTCCCTCGGTTTCTTTGGCAAAATTCCCACCCAGATGTGAAGCACCAACGTACACTTGCGGCGTTAACGCCTTTCCTACTAATCCAGGAGGGAGATCTAGAAGCATGGGATCTAGAAGAATGGGCTCTGGTGTCCATGCCGTCTGTGGGTCCCGAGATGCTCTGGGGTCCATGGAAGGAAATAAGTCATAATCTCTAGGGTCTGTTGAAAGAGGAAAATCTGGCTTCATGTCTTTCCCTGCCGGTGGTTCATTCGTCTGGTCCATTTGCGACCGCGAGCCATCCAGGTTGCCAGCATCGCGGAATTCTGGACCATTCGACCACTCTTCTATGGACGCACTATCAATAATATCGGCTTTGGGTATGCCTGCCGACCCTGATGCATCAGGCATAGAAGTCCAGATTCCAGACTCTCGTCTGGGAATTGCAACCTTCCTAGCTGGTAATTCATAAGGTCGGCCTGGGTACGGAACGTTGGTCGGCCCGTTAGCAACTGGAAGATGTTCTCCCCAACACACCAGATATCGGCAGACTGAGGATCCGCCTGTCGAGGGTCCCCATCGAACCCGGCCGTCTCGGGGGGCATGAATCCTGGAGTTCCTCGAACACTCGTGGAGTCGAATCCGTGCATGTCTACGGTACGTTTGGAAAGTCCAAAATCTGAGAGGTTCACCCACCATCTGTCGGGTGGCAAGGTTTTGATTAAGATGTTCTGCGATGCCGCCAGGGCCGAGTCAGCCGGAACCAATATATTCCAAGGGGCACACCCGTCACTTACAGCCGGCTTTACGTCTCTGTGAGCGAAGCCTTCCTCGTGCATAAACGCCAATCCCGTGAGAACTTGGACAGAGATATCGATCACCTCGATCTCGAGAAGACTGCCATGGCGGGCAAGGTACTTCTTTAGGTCTCCGTATTCGCAATATTCCATGGTGATAAACAGGGATTCCTGACTAGTAAACCAGCCATAGGATTTAATAAAGAAGTCGGTAACTATACTAGTTAGCATATATCAGTCCTGGTCTCAATGTATCGTCCTCCCGGCTTGGAGTTAACGGTTGTCACCTTTTCCTGAGAAAACTTCGCCAACGCCTGCAGCTCACGCACATAGTCGAGACCAGCTTGAGCCGGCCGGTGCAACTGAATTTCCTTGACCGCACGCAGCGCGATTGCTTCTCGGCGCGATAGGAGTCCATCATCGACTCGCCGCTCTAACCAGACCAAGCCGAAGCCTCCGTGGCCAAGGACCTTTTCCCGACTCCAAGCCTCGCGTCGAGTTCGGTGGATGGCGATATTCCCTGTGAATTCCGTTTCCAGCCTCGAGTCGCGCACGAGTTCTGGCAACGGTGGTTGTGTCGCCATTGCGTAACTTTATCATGGAGCATCCATGTCGTGTTGTCCCAGTGAGTGTCGGTATTTGCGTACCCCGTCCAGCTATGGACAACGTATCTCAACCTCGAGACCACGTTGATCCCAAATTGCGGAATAAGTTGAGTAAAATTCGGAGGTGTTGGGTCAACCGGCTTTTAGCATGTAGCCATGCATGAATGCGCAGCCTTGCAGCGCTTTCGACTGCGCCTCAAACCACCTGTCTGTCATTGCCGTCTCTTGAAGGCTTCCCAACAGCCAATAACAGGTGCCCTGGAGTTCCAGCCTGCGGCCCTGCACATCTCATCGTGAAGTCGGACAGCTGTGACATTGGACAGCTTAAACCAGCCCATTACGCGACGGTCATGATCAGGCTCAATATCGGAAGAGATCTGGACTTTAAACACAGTGGAATACTCGTGGCTTTCTCAGATACATACCGGTACTACCATATTTGCCTCTTCTGCCCTCGCCGCGTGGTAATCGGTGGGCGGCCGAGATCCCTCCTTCTGTATGAAATTGAAATAAGACCAATTGACCAGCCGACTGCCTTCCCTTGGCAAACGCTTGTGGGTAGATCATGGCTGAATTAGGTCTCGCTATATTTGCCTCGATCGACATTTGTTACAAGTTCGTGCTTTTATATCTCGCACCTTCATGGGTGCTCTGGCGCTGACCTAGACTACGCAGATATGGAAAGGAATTGGTCGCTATTTGCGGCGCTTTTAACGGAGCCGAAGTGGAGCTCCGCGAGCGGACTCTGCGGATAAATCTGGGCTGGCGCCGAATCGCCATCCAATTGGACTTCTTGAAAAGGGTTCAACACTTGATGGAGGACGACCACCGAGTGCTGCATGAGAAGTCTCTCCAAACCTTCGGCAGCAAGCTGAAGCTCGCTACCAGCATGATGAACAGGCTGGTCGAAACTCGAGCTACCGCGTCCCATGACGTCGAGCTGGTTCCGAAACGAGTCAAATACTCTTTGAAGAAGGAAGGTCTTGATAAGGCCATTGAAGACCTCGAAGCATGGCAGCGAGCATCCGATCCCTCATGGTTTCTGATACTGCGCATGGCTGACCGTCAGCTCGATACCGAGATCTCGACGGGAGCCGTTAGAATAGCGGATTCGGTTCCATCAACGCTCACAATACGCGGTAGCGTGCAAAGTGATGGATCTACCTCAGCTGGAAAGGGTATTACCCTCTCTGCCACAGAGCTCCAAGCCTTGTCGACTGAGCCGATTGCGTACTGTGATGCTGAGTTGGCACTCAGGGCAAACGATGGCCAAAAGTTCATCCTGGACCGTGTCCATCGCATATGTCCTTCTGACAAGACTTATCGAGACGCTAAACAGACTGTTCGAGATCTGGCACGGAAATTGACGCACAACGAACCTCTGACGTTCGGATTGCTGAGTTGCAAAGGCTTCGTGACCGAAGTGTCCGGCACAGGACCGGACCGACGCGCCACTTTCACCATGGTTTTGAGAACGTTGAAAGGCTACTCCAATCCCCGTAGCCTTCGCCATTATGTTGTATCGGATGATTGTCTGGAGTCGTTGTCTCAGCGGGTGGAAATCGCGCAGGATCTAGCGAAATCGGTAAGCTATGTCCATACATTTGGCTTTGTCCACAAGAACATCCGACCCGAGACCGTCCTTGCTTGCCGCAAACCTGGCACCACGGAGCTATGCACCTTTCTGATCGGGTTCGACGATTTCCGCAGAGAGGACAACTGGACCCTTCGGAGGGGTTACGATGACTGGGAGAAGAATTTATATTGCCACCCGTCCCGGCAAGGAGCGACTCCTGCGGAAGACTATGACATGCGGCACGATATCTATAGTCTTGGTGTATGTATGCTTGAAATCGGGTTGTGGCAGAGCTTCGTGGAGTACAACGCCGCCGGCAACGCTTCGATTCCATCTTCTATCCTTGAAAAGGCTCGTGTTCAGCGCCCAGAGCAGTTAGCCTCCTATCTCCTGACTTCTATGAAAGACAAGTTCGTTTCGTTAGCTCACGATCGACTTCCTCGGGCCATGGGCTCCAAGTACGCCGAGATTGTGGTGACTTGTCTGACATGCTTGGATCCAGAAAATCCAGACTTTGGAGATCAAAGCGAATTCGAGGATGAGGATGGGATACATGTTGGTGTCCGTTACATCGAAAAGGTCAGTGATGCCCCAGTCGGTCATCTGTTAGAAGCACCAATTAACACCATGTAGGTGCTACTTCGTCTCAACAATCTCTGCATTTAAAGACCCAGAAGACCATTGGTGTTGACTTGTAAGGAAGCCTGGGTCGTGTTAAACTGCAGATGCATGATCGGCAGTACCTAGATTCAGAATCTAGAATCTTTAGAAAATCCTTTAAAAGCCTTTTAGAGACGAATCCATGACTGCACTATGACGATTTGCGACGATATGCATTAGATGACTCCAGCTCAAATGTAAAATTGACTTGATAGAATACCCACAACTTCCATCGCGACAGTGGACAAAAGCTTAGTAGTGATACACGGACTGTACGGGGCACCTTCTCCCTAGTCCCACAAGGTAGAGAAGGGTTTTGTGACAGAAGACTTCCACAAATCAGAGAACGGTTTGGTGATAGCATCGATCACCTCAATGTAGACTCCAAGGATATTCAGTGGAGCGATATCCCAGTACCAGCAAGCCAGCGACATTGCCGTGAGACTCGTCAATAAAGCCATCAAGAAGTTCACTCCATTATTGCTTAGGACATCCATGCCCACAGCAACCTTGCGAGATTCATAATAGACTTTGCGGTCCAATTCTTCGCCATGCTCTTTCTTGGCGGAGCGGTTCCTCAAGTTCGTCGTCTCAGGCCCAGCGAGTCCGCTGGCGGACCCTCGGGGGGTGACTGGAACTTTGGCACCTCCTTTGCCCTCCACGACCTTCCCGCTTCTACTATCAACAACGCTCGCCTGTAAAACAGCACCTAGGATCGAGTCGAGGATGCTCCCGAATAGTCCCATAAATAGCATAACTCCGAAGAATCCAAGAACCTTGCGTGCGTCCCAGAGAGAAGCGCTCATTTCCCTCTGGATAGTACTGCCCTGTAGAGACGATGACACTCCGCGAACGTACTTGAGTAGTGAAACGCGAGGATTGGACAACGTGTCAAAGATCTTGGTGAACAAAGGTTTGGACTCCCCGTTAACCGAAGGCGGGATAGACGCCTTGGAGGCACTCGCTCCGCTGGACCCGAAATGCTTTAGAGGCCTTTGAAGGTATTCCATGGGTAGCAGCGAGACGAAATCGTTCCCGCCGCAGAACTGGAGAAGCAAAGTAGCAGTGAAAGTTACAATCGAGGAGCCCAGAAGACCTGCCACCAATCCCAATCCAGTTACTCCACCATTCGTCCCTTTAGGGACGGTCTTCCATGGCCTGGTAACAAGTCGCGGGCCCGCATTTGCCAATATGCCTAGCTCGGAGGAAAACGTGTCCGCTGCCACGGCCGCATAATTGGCAACGATTCCTACCACAAGCACATCTGCCGGACGACCTATCGCGCCCCACCGAAAACAGAACTGGTCCTCTGGTAGGTCTGCGTTCGTTTGGAGGCGCAAGGCGAGCGTGTGCAGAAGGACGAGGACGCTGGCAACGAGCGAGTTCGCGAGGACCTGGGAGGCGTTCCGAGGGCCTTCGCCAGCGGTAGATCCGACGGATGAGAGGGTAAGGCGGGCTTTGACATCGTGTTTGATCTACGCCATGTCAGCTTAAGAACGTTCGTGAAGCGCTGAGAGCGGATGCAAGATCCGCTTCGAACGAGGTATGCGCACCTTAGTTACATGTGACCCGGCGAGAAAGAAGACGCCGAGGAGGACGAAGAAGACACTCCATGGATGGATGGCATGCGTGATTGCGGTGAGCAACGCGACAAGGGCGCCGGCTGGAGTGAGGGACTTGTGGGATATGGCGCGGTACTCCAGCGCGAAAATGGCGGGCACAGCAATTAGAGGATGCATGGTTTAGACGGATTCCGAGCTTCTGTTAATTGGCAGAGTTATGGTTTGGAATGGAGAGCATGTTTGCCAATATAGGCGCGGAGTAGATTGTTCAAAAGCAGCATTGGAAGATGTAGATAACAATTTCCTGGCTGCGTCCAACACTCGTGATGACGCGCCCTGGTACGGCCCAACTCCCAACTTCCCAAGCCCCAAGGGTCTTCAGCAGACCATTTGGGACAACACCGCCGTTCAGATTTCGTTTCTTCGTCGGATTCGTGAGGTTCGTCGTGTCAGTGAAACTTTATAATCATCTAGTGTTCCCGTATTGACTATTCCGGAAATCCACTTTTCCAAAGTGAAAAAGGAGGGATAGGATCCAAATTACCAACTAATGGCAATGCAAGACCCCAATGAAAGTCGTATGAAGTGCTGCACCAGCTGACAGCACCCCGTGCCATCGAACGCCATCGCTAAAACGTATACTCATGACGCTTGTCAAACTCAGCTGTTCCGAGGACCATGCCTTCCCAGTGTGCATAAAGTTGGACAGAAACACGCTTCTTTCGACAGCATCCAGCGACCGAGAATCGTCCCGATGTCGAAACGACCTCCCATACCCTCGGCCGATGGAGGCCCTTGACGAACCTTTGGGCTGACCAGGTAAGGGTCAGTAGCAGCATCTCTACGAAAGGTAAGTCTCGTGCAGAGGGTGTCCGGTCTAACGATCCAAACTCACATGTACGCGTCCCAGGATAAGTCAAATTCTTGAATAGCCTCGATGGGCCGATGGGGCCAACTCGAATCCTCCACTCGAACCCGAGATACGTAAGGAACGTTCTTGAAGAAGCGTTCGATCGATTTGACGATCCATCCCACATCGATGATCGATGGTGCATCTTTGCATGGCGTGAGCTGGATCACAGGGTCTGGGCTACGAGCGCCAATGGTACCGATGATGAGCGTTCTATGTGAAGGCCGTTGGTTGACACGGATGACGAGACTTTCTAATCTAAGTTGTGGAAGCTTTGAACGGATTACTGCCCGCTCCAGGTCAGGAATGGTGAGTTCTAACTCGCAGAGCAATTGTTCTGGAGTGAGCAGGTTGTAGTAGTCCTTTTCGGTGAACGAAATTTGGATCCGGCGAAGGTTCTCAAAAGCGGGCCTGGTGAGGTTGGATAGAAATTGGGAGAAAGAAGGGACGCTGTTGAAAATGAAGAGCGTCGTGCTGTAGAACCAAGAGTGAAGTTCTTCGCGGACGTCAAACGATACAAGCGAGAGCTTCATGAATTGGTCTCCTCCTTCTATCAGGATGTTAGCAATGGACGTCCCACCTTTCCTAAGATAGTATAGGAAAGAAGAAAATGCAGGGCAACACTATTGCGGATAGGATCACGATAGAGTGCTAGCACGAATAAAATATTGTGACTTACCAAAGTAATCGCAATGATACCCCCCCTTTTTGTCAACCCTCCAGTCGTTAAAGAAAAACTTGTTCGGTTTGATCAGGGCATGTTGGTAGATTAATAACCTCATTTCCTTCGGTAGGTCCATGAGGGGGAACGGTTTTCCGACGAATATCCATTGATCGACGTCAACCTCCTCCACTTCATCTTTCGGGTTGCTCGATTTCCCAGCCAGCATCTTGGTCCAATCCTCCTCGGGAGCCCATCCTGATGCTATTCGCATTACGGCAACATATCTCCCCGTCTCTGACACCGGGATGAGCTCCTCCGAGGCAGATTCAGATAACGTGGTGCAGGCGAACAGGCGGGACTTTCGACGAGGTCTAGTAACCCGCCAATACAGTTTCAAAACAGATTTGATGACTTGTCTCGACTCTTCTAGTCTTATAAGGCACTTGATCGGTTTCCCAAGCTCGTACGTCCTGTTGTCACCGGATAAACAAACCCAACCGCGAAAGTCTTGGGGAGAACGATTTGGCGAATTCGCCCAGTTTTGAAGATGGTCACAGAAGGCTTCACGGAGCTGAGGAGAAGGGGCTGGCAGATGTAGAGGAGACAGAGAGAACGCAGGCACAGCCCGCTTCCGCGCGGAGGTTTTGAGGGAAGATGATGGAGAGGATGGAGAGGATGGTTCTGGGGCTGAACGTTTCGGGGTGAAGGGGAACGTTCTCCTTCGGATCGTGCGTGACGGTAGCGACTCCATCTGTTGTTGTGTAAAGATTTTTTCCCTGGATACGATCTTTCTGCTATCTCCGGGTCGATGTGGGAGCTTATACGATTATATTTTCGAAGGACCGGTGAGTCAAGGTGAGATGACAAGGCTGCGGCGGAGGAGGCAGCACTCCCCGTGGGGCCCCCGCTTGACTCGACCTTGGAAGTTTGTCCGAGCGCAAGAAATCAGATAGAACGAAAATCCCGGAAGTCAAAGGCGATCGATCTATTTCAGAAGTCATCCCCCACCAAAAATCCTGAATGTTCAACGTTCAGCTTGGAGGCTAACAGTCCGATCATGATAGGTGGTTTGCTGGCTGGAGTCCGGAGTTTGAGCTTGAGAAACGTGGGGTCCTGCTAGTGGCACGATCCCACTGACTGGGGAGACGCTAATATTATTGTAGGCAGTAACTTACAATACCGACCCTTCCTTTGAAGACATATGGTGAGTCATCAGTCATCGTCTCGCTTCAACGCCTAGAACCGAATTTACATTAAATCTTAGTTCCGTTGCGGATCCATCATATTTATATACCCCTTATTCAAAGCTACCTTTCAGTATATGATCTAGAGAGGCCAGCAAAGGCGACCCGGGCCTTCTCATCAAACAATCCCCAGGTGTAGGCAGGTGATGCTTCTTATTGCTTCCCACGGCTCGCATGTCAAGTCAAATCAAACGCCCGAAAAACTGCGGCAAACGTTTCATATGTTATTCGAGTACGGCACACGCAGTTATCTCATGGTGGCCAGTCCACGGACTGATATATGCCGACAGGTGGGTCTTGTAGACGCTCAAGAAGTATATACCGCCTAAAGAGGAGGAAGAGAACTCCACCCAGTGTCTTGCTTGCCTGGCTCGGTCAGTTGCGAGAAAAGTTCTAGCATTTGCTGTTAATGCGTCGTATATTCCTCTCAGAAATATATTCCAAAAGGAAAGAAATATCATAAGGGAGAGAAATATCACAATGGCAGCGGATAAGAAGAAGCTGACTTGACCGAAATGAACCGAAATACCACTTCCTCACTTTGGTTCAGATCACTTTCACGAATATCACATCATCCCGATGTCTCTGTTCTTACCTCTCCCTCTTACCCGCACTCCCTTCGTTCACCTTCTCTCTTCTCATTCGACCCTCTCTCTCCTCTCTATTTTCCCACAATCATCTCAATATCTCCTTTCACTTCTCCCTCCCTTTACCTTCTCTCTTCTCACCCGATCCTCTCTCCTCTTTCTCCTCCCAAAAATCATTTCAATATCTCCTTTCTCACTTCTCCCTCTCACCTAAAGTCCCTCTCTTCACCTTCTCTCTTCTCACCCGGCCCTCTATCTCCTTGTTCTCCTCTCCAGAATCATCTCAATTTTAAAATCACACCCCCATGATCAAGAGACTCGCAACCACCAAATCTCGGCATTATGTCCACCATGGCGGACAATCAATTCATCCTCTCTCTGATGCCAAGGCACTATGGCCGACGCGAGGACACTTCAAAGCTCCCTGGTCTTCGCGGACTGGCGTCACAGGCAAACCTTCCAGTGTCCCTCCGTACTCCCGAACCTGACTTCCGATGCGACATCTATACGAAATGGACGATGCCTTTCCAGAGGCTCCTTATACAAAAGGGTGGTGAGAAGATCGTCACGAAAATCCTAGGTTATGCGATAGATACCGTGGATGTTGCTGTTCTCAACCCATCACGGTTCATGGAACGATTCCCAGTTGGAATCAGGGAAGATGGCCAGATGTTCGGCTTTGGCTCATTCGTCACTCCTGCTCTTTACCCTCAAGGGAGGTGTAGCGCATTCCGAACCCCTGAATGGCTGGTGAACGCCATTGGCGTCCTGCGACTTGAGATCAAGTTGAGCGTTGTCTGCAAGAAGTGGAGGGAGCTTATTCTCACTGAAGTGGTAAGTGGATTGCTCATAAGGAGAGTCCGGGTAGACAGCTACTAATGGAGATCCTAGGACCTCCATCAGAGTCCAACTTCTGTTGTACGCATCTCGTCGGAGCTTCTCCACAGCTGCACCATCCCAAACAGGGCGATCTATGCCAATCCTCTCTTCCCAGATAAACCCTACACGAGCATCCAGATCATGTGCTCACTTGAGGACGGCGGATGCAATACTTGCGCTGGTGACTTTCACGCCAAGATGGATCTCTCACAGTTCGACTGCGTCGACTTTCGCTTTGCGCCAGATGGCAACACTGCGTTCAGTGTTAATCCTGCCTGTTTCCTGCAGGATGACCACTTCGACACGGCCTATCGCACGATCAAATTCACACTTCCGAAGTGCATTACCCACGACGAGGGAGCGGCTTTCAAAATCGTCGGCAAGACATCTGGCTATTTCACCAATCAGCCCACGACTCTTGTCTTCGACCTCAACTCGTGGATCCCAAAGAAAGCGGATCTGATGCCTCCAGCGCTTGCTCGAGCAGTCAAAGCATTTTCGAAGAATGATCTAAAGCAGGTTAAGAGCGTGGTCATCAAATTCCCTGCAAAGAGGTCAGCCCGCCAGCAGTTCATCTATAACATGCAAAGGTATCAGAGGGATGGTCCGACCGCCAAACGACGCGACTGGCGAATGCGATATCTGACCCTGATCAATGTCACCACGATTCTCTGGGAGTACGTCCGCCATCTCGGCAATATCTCACCGCGCTTGGTCCAGAATTGCACGGTAGTTCCTCTTCCCCCCAGCCCTCACAAGACGCTAGACGAGATGGACCAGATGGAACTTTCTATCTTCCGCACGGCGAAACAGAACAGACATGATCAAATCAAAGATGCTAGACTCCATTGGGAGACCTTGTTCAACCTTCAAATACCTGATGATGAGAACGAAGATGCTCCCTGTACACTGGAGCTAATGCTCGCCGAACTCGAAGAATGGCGGACCGAGAACCCCAACTCAGAGGACTGCGAACATATCTTTAGCAAGTTCCTGAGTAGCAGCGTTCGCGAATCCTACTCTCCTTGCTCTGATTCCGATGGGGATAAGAAAGGGCTAGGCAGCAAGCTCTGCCAGAAGTATGAGCTTGGACCCAATGGGCAGTTGCAGGAACTGCGCCTCGTCTATGGCGATATCACTCTGATGAGTCGAACCGAGAAGACGGAGTATGATTTCCTCAAGGGATGGCAGGGAGAGCCTGGCTATCCTGGAAAGGTCACTCTTACTGACCAGCTTGGAATGATTGGCAACGAATACTGCCATTTAGACATGCTCGATGTAAGTTGGGTATTGAATCCTTTTGTTGAATCAGGCTAACCACCAGCACAGTGAACTCCAGGGTGACACAGAACATTTTGCCGTCTTGGTGAACAGGTTGGGATTGAGATTGGAGTGTCACTGGAGCGGAAAGGGAGACTTGCACGATTGAAACCCGTTGTTGGGGGGATTTGATGTCGAATGCAGTCGTCATGGATCGAGTGATGGATCACACGGGACGGAACCGTTTTCTCCTGTACCAGTACCATGACGTGCAAGCATAGGAGATACAATAATTACATGTACTCCAAAAATTCAAGTGGTGCAACATTGAAATTTGTAATGTCGAGGTTGACGTTTAAAGCAGAGGCGACACATCGCCAATGAAGTGGATGACGAGTCTTCTGCCGCCCCTCCAGCCCAACCTCCCCTATCTCTCCATCGAGATGTCTCTGATATTATGGACTCCATCATGCCAAACAAGGAGGGTGATGGTAAATCAGAATTGCCATCCACTGTTGCACAACGCGGTACGGAATACTGGGACAGTTTATAAGTGCGGCAACGGCGGTTGATCGCATCCGCCTACTAGTTTACCATGGTGACACCGCCAACGATAACGATATGCCAGTACCCGTCCGAAGAACCCCTTGGAAAGATACCGGTACTCACGAGATACTGGTTGAGTTACCGTCAACCTGTGCAACAGAACATCTTTCCCAGCCTCGCATTTCGATCCTGCTGCTTCTGGAAAATCTTAAGATCCATGTTCCGAACGATGCAACTTGCCAGCATGGTATCCCCTCGTGCATGCACCTCCTTGGGCCCGTTGCTATGGGATCTAAAGGCAATCAGCGCTTCGTGCTGCATTGACACTGATTTTTCACTGAAAACATTGGAGCTTGGTGTGGTCTAGGAAGGTGAACTTCCCTTGGTAGGTACAGGTGCTTTCAGTCAGTTACAGTTGATGCCATATGCTTCTAGAATGACCCGCTGCGCACGGAAGTAAGTCGTGGTATGTACGCATAAATGCTGTCTTTATTATGTTTGTTTGGATCAGTCACCTACACCTTGCTGCTCATCCAAAGAAATAAATATCATCCTCCCTCATGAACCAGATTGGGTTCCATCAAGCCATTCATCACTGAGTCTAGCCAAGGTGCTCCAACTACTCTCGATATACCCTCAACAGTAACTCTTTAATATGCACCTCAATCCCTTTTCACTCCTCTGTGTCCCTCTCTTGGCAGTCCTGGCAACTTGTGCTCCTGTCGACACGGCTGGACGGTACGAATCAGAGCCATGGCAGCTTCAGAACATTTCTATCTTCGAGTCATTTGCGAATTCCACCCAACCTTCTTACATCAGCTTCACAGTCCGTTCGACAACTCCTGGACTAGCAACCGTCGTCAACTGCGAAGGATCAATGCCTAGGCCGGGGCGACCCCTGGCGGGTTTCAAAGGAGTATGCTCAGACAAGAACATCCGGTTCAGATATGAAGGGGAATCGGAGTTCAAGATCTGGATTGTCCGATCCATCGCCGACCCTTCGTGAGTAACCCGAAATATAAACGCAGTTCAGACCTCGAATTCCATAACTAACTAAACATTAGAATAGGTCCGCCTTCGTTTGGTCGCACTGATTCGGGCTACTGGTACCTGAAGCCATGGCCGGAGAATATGAACCAGGAAAGCGGTCTGAGAGGTGTCTTGTACACCCAGAACTGCCTCGAAGTTCGTGCAACACTGACTGCGGCAAAATGAAAGCCGCGTTCTCGATTGAATGGCACTGGCACAATTGAACACAGCTTGGGTGACGTATGGGGGAAAGCTACATTCGATATCTAGCAAAGGAACAGGCGGAATGAGATTATCATATAATGGTATTATTGTGAGTAGAGAAGTGAGAATTTGGCATAATTGTGTGGAATTTTGCATGGAAAACTGGATTTGGTCGACAGTTAGCCAGATAATGTGCCCGTAGGAAACTGCGTAATTGTCTAATGTTAGGTATATCATGAGTCCCTTAGGCAAGATACTACCATCTCAGCGCTGTATTGGTTTGACATCTACTTCCCTGGTTGTGCCAGTCTGAATAAAGGGTTGCTCGGAATCAAGGAGCCATCAGTCGCGAATACCTGCATTTGGATAATTTACTGGCTTCAGACTTATCCCAAACCCCTCTCTGGCCCCCCTACATGGCTATGATGTCCCAAGGTCATATCGAACCCCCACAACTCTGTTCCTCCGTAGCATGCAACTACCGACCTTGGACCGTTCTAAAACCAGGTTAGGAATCGTGAAGAACATGAAGTGGCGTTGTTTCAGGTCACCCCGTCACAGTCCTTCAACTGAAAGTCCCCTACTTCTATATCTTCTGGAAGCGGCATAGACGAGTTTAACCAAAGGGACTATCCTTCAGCCATGGTTCCGGTAACTCAATCTATGTAGGAGTACTCCTTGGCGACCCATTCCCCCGGGACTGCTAGGAGGGCGAATGGCGCAGACTCCCGGACGACCATAGGCGTGTTCTCATCGTCGTATGCGGGAAGGGGGCCGTGTTTCTTGGACGGTGAGGCTTGTATGAGATTCTACTTGTTGAGTCGTGCATGTAAACGACTAAACAAGGGAGGCGGAGCTCCTGTGCTTGACACAGGAGGAGGAGCCTCCAAAGTCCGCACCCAGAAGATCCGGACTGGGATAGCCCAGAGGCCAGAGGAACACACGAGCTGTTGAGATTTGTGAGCAAGGTTATCCTCGGCATTCCTGATGCAACCCATGAGACACGCACCAATGTGATTCCGCCTGCATCCATTTCTTCAGACGCACCCGCAGCCACCCCGAGGAGCTGGTTCACGATGGGAATTAGGGCATGCTTCCCCTCCAAAGCAAGGTCTCCAGCAACTCGATGTCATGCATGCCACGCGGGCACCACGAGCAATACACGCGAGGTCCTTCAACGATGTTTCGCGAGGCAGGAGGCAGAGGTATTTCTCGGTACTTCTCGCAGCCTTGATTCAACGGTAAAGACGTGTCTTGCATTCGAATCGCGACATTTCTTCTTCCGCTGTATTGCCGTATCGTGCCCAGTAACGCCACCCTGCTTTTGCCATAATGCGATCAGCTCGCATTCGCTCGCGTCTCATGTCCATGGAGGAATCGGGAGCGTTTCCGCCGCCTATGAATGGGCTGAGACTTGAGAGGTAAGAAATTTTTCGCGTCGATGAGAACGCGTCCTAGCATGGCGGTGCCGAACGACCGAGTTCAAAAGCGAAGCCAAATCTAGATCGGAGCAAGCCTGGGTGGCTCCTTACGGCGTTGGCCAACGCTCAATCCTTAATTCTGTACAAGGACAACCCGGCAGCAACGTTGCAATATGACGAGTTCCTGGTGCATAACAGTTTCACTAAACCTAAAGCATTATTGCATGCTTGATGCCGAACTAAATACCGTACCGACTGCATCGATATTCGACATGGACAGAACAGGTAGAACCCATGAAATTAATATGCAAACGACAGAGTCCCCGGAACGATGCATTGCAGACTGCTAAATTTACCTTGCGTCTTACTAGGTTCTCCAGGACTGGAAGGAGGGGTTTGGGAATTCTGCTTGCTGTGCTTTACCGCTAAATACTGGACCTGGCACTGGAGCCTGTAAGTAAAGGAGTACCCGGCACGAGGCTGTCAAGGGACACGGAAAGAATCGTAGAACTCACAGAAGAGACTAACAAAGCAGGTCCGAAAAGGATTTAGATGAAATTCACAGTTCCGAGAATAATGGATACAGCCTTCAATATCACTGCCAGGCCCGGGACAAGACGAGGAGTAAACTGGCGGTGAAATTGTGTTGCAATCTACATTGGCACGGTCGGATTGATATCTTGATCAGATTGATGCTGGATAAATCTGGAGATCTCAGGCAGAATATCGGACCAACGTCATCGTAATCTATGGGACTGCAACCACCGTTCATCCGTACTGCAAGGCATAATCGACAAGATAAAACTCCCCAATGATCCGGGAGACAAAGACTATAGATTTTGGTATTGAAATATAATAGAGCCGCAAAGATTAATGAAATCCTAAGTGATGGATACTACAATTGTCCTATATCGAGTGGAGAAGGTCAGAGTCATGCTCCGTCATATAATACCAACTGTCTTGCTGACGATACGAACTAGCCTTATATTGACACCGAGTGCTCATTGGGAGAAGGTCCATACTTCCGAGATGAGGATCAGACGCTTAGATTCGTTGATATTATCAAGCGAAAGATCTACTGGTTAGATATACGTAAGGGACCTTCATCGCTCCATAGCCATCAGCTCGATATATCTGCAGGGTTTGTAACGCTATTCCAACAACCGATGCATACCATCGCAGCTAACGGCGATCCAAGGTGTACTACAGACAGTACTATGGACAAGGGGTCCTTCATTTTCGGAGGCAAATATGGCATGTACCGCTTTACCGAAGCGTCCGACAATTCGCCTCACCCGGTCGTCACTGAGCTGGCCAAGTATCCCATTCCGGATGACTTGAGACAGAATTTCAGAGCGAATGACGGCGGCGTGGATCCAGCTGGCCACTACTGGATCGCAGTCATGAATGATGACTCAGTGAAGGAGCCAACGAATGAAGGTACGAAAATTCTAGATTCCAAAGCCATTGTAAAGCACTTGAATCGACTGACAAGAAAAGCTTTCGTTCTCCGATATGGTCCAGACCCAGTTCGACCACCTCGGAGATTCTTGGATGGACTGACCATACCAAATGGCATCGCATGGAGTCCGGACGGCTCCATAATGTACTTATGTGACTCGCCTTCGAAGAATCTCTATGCATTTGACTTCGACGTCAACAACATCGACCACCCCATTTCCAACCAACGGGTCCTTTTCCATCTTGAGGGCGATGGAGTCCCCGATGGCCATGCCGTTGACGTTGAAGGCTGTATTTGGCAGGCAATCTACGGTGGTGGCAAAGTCCTACGTATCTCCCCTGAAGGCCGTGTTCTGACGGAGATCCACCTTCCAACTCGTTGTGTCACTTGCCCGACGTTCGCTGGGACAGACCTGTATATCACCACCGCGGAAGAGGGGAACCCTAAAACGTATCCAGAATCGGCGCGGTTCGGCGGGAGGGTTTTCAGGTGCCACGTTGGCGTTGAAGGACTGAAACTGCATCGGTATAATCACAAGACCTCCTGAGAATGGTGCTGGGAAACGTCACATTCGTTCCAACGATGAGCGATCACTGTCGTCAGCTTGAGGAGATTCCCGACGGCTTCGCCAAGTGATAGACTGGGCATGCTCAAAACCCGCCCAATTTCCTGATAGCTAAATCCCGTCAATCCAGGGGTATCCCAATTCAGTGTTCTCAGTTCCAACATTCCGGAAGCCTTGTCCTAATGCCGTTCGACATCGCCATCTGAAATGCAAGGCATTGTGCCGAAACGTATTTACTTCTCTCCCAACGGCAAGTGGTCAATTAGCGCGGGACTCAACCTGCATAGTGCATACGGATTGACTTCGATTGCATCACCAGGTGCCGCAAGCCACCTATCTCGCATTCTCGCTCTGCTTCGGCGCGACATACCTTCTTAGTGCGCTGGTCCTGACACCAATATTAAAAGCGAACCGCAGTTCTTATTTGATGTGTTCAGCCTCGAAAAGTGGCTTTCGTCAATTTCCCTTATTATTACCCCCTGTCACCTTCAATGCCCTCATCTCAACCAAGCTGTTAGCCAAGCGGAAACAAACCACCTCAAACTTCCAAAGTCGAATACTCAATCGAGTCAGCTCCAAACTTCCAATGCCGGTGACGAAATCGAATGGCGTGCCGGGTTCTCGGGCAATTCTCCCCGTCACGCGTTGTGTAATCTCCACAGTCGAGTTGATCACCATTTCCAGAAAGGTTGGAGCGCGACTGCGCGAGCCGTTTGAACCAGGGGGTCGGATAGCGTCCGTTAGCCAATCGAGCGAGCTATTTTCTCCACCACTATTCGCCGCAGAATTGCGGCGTCGTTGGTGACAAGGGGGAGTGCAGGGAAATAAAGAGAGTTTCTGATGTGTGGAACTTGTATTGTAAACTGCGAAGCATCAAGCATGAGGATGAGGCGGAGCGATGGAGCCATGGGAGGCAAATGTACGAGCGGGATGGAGCCGAGAATGGCTGAACTCGCATCACTGGCTCTGGTTCCGAAAGTTCGATTCTAATATGGACCCGAACTGTCGGGATTGATGCAGGGAGGTCGTTAACCCTATCAAGCGCTCTGTTCATTGATTTCATCCAGAACGGAGCTTGCCAACCTGTCTTGCTGCGATTCATGTCACAGGTTTGAGGTCACTCTTGACTCTTGACTCTTGGATGAGAGGCGATAAAATCCACTATCTCAAACATCCAAGAGACATTACTTGTCCGGACCTCAGGATACCTTGCAAGCGAAATTGGTCCCGACTGTGGAAGAGGAGGACGATTACGATGACGAGGGAGGAGCTGCATCTACCAAGCTCGTAAGCGATGCGGAGGCATTAATAATAATACGGCGTATGGAGATGTAATAATGTCATGCAGCTTCGTTGCTCACCCTGCCCTGCGAGTGCCCGCTGCTGGTACTCAAGGGCGTCCGAGAACTTGCTGGGCTGCCCTGGCGTTACGAACCCTCTCTCTCCACCCTGGTCAGGTCCCCCCCAGTTTGGGCAAAGCCGTCAATAGGTCAAATGTCTGACAGCTTGCGAAATCGGCGTGGAGCCAGTCTATCAAGTCTGATCGACAATTCCTCAAAGCAACTTTCCAAGCATAAAGCAGAGAATTCTTCTGGCTCAGCTAACTCATAAGTCGCAAAAGATCTCCAAGCACGACGGCCCTAAGAACTATGATGGTCGCATCGGAGGTAAGGTTCTTACATTTCTATGCCGACAGAATGGACGAGTCCATCTTCGTTGAGCTAGGCTTGCTGCTTAGACATTGGATGGCTTGAATTCGGCGCGAGTCACTTGCAAAGAGTCATCGACTAGTGACCTGCTGGCTGCCAGGGTAACAAAGATCAAATGGGTACCGTACCCCATTGCAATTGGTTGCAAATAATAAGACACCCAGCATCTCATAAACTTTATCACCATAAAGTATGAACACATGACCATCACCACAATGCGGCAGGGAGCGTATGCAGTATTACCAACCAAGCCTTCCATTTCAACTGGACCCGCGTAGCAAGTCGAGAATCAACACGTCGCACTCGACTCGCACCCGCATGATCACTCGCAGAGTACATCCGCCGCATTTACCAAACCTGGGCATGGATACGAAAGGGATGCTCTGATATCCTTGGAACAGTGCCGGTTGCTCAACCAGGATCGATTTCAATCTATCGATCTCGGGACCGTTTCTGGCAGTTTGTGTTATTCACTGGCACACATTGCTAAACAGGTCTGAACAACTGTGCGTATCGGGGGCTGTCGACGAGAGCTCCATTGCCCAAGAAAATGTATTGGATATTACCCAAGTCAAAAGCGAAAATTATACCTACAATATGCCTAAGATATCGTTCCTCCCCTTTCCGGTTTGAATTGCTTGCACAACGGCAACAGTAACCGCTGGACCCTCAACCCATTTCAACCACTCTAATGACGAACGATCGTCTTCCTTTGATGGATATCGAGCTGAGAGCACGTCATCTACATAGTAGTGTCTCGCTTGGATATTGCGGGCTATTTTAGCTCAACTTCTTTGCAGGTTGGGGTTAATTGATGGTGGCCAGCCCGCATCCATGTTGTTCACCGCCTGACCGAGTCGAAAGCGTCCGATCCGATCGAAGCAGAATCGTTATGTTTCTGCTTGACAGTGTTCGACATCGTAAAAGGGGCCCTCGCTTCGGGGCTCCTCTGGCATTCTCAGCCACGAACTTCACTATTATGTCAGGCGGCATCAGCGTGGGTGGGCGGGGAAGTTCTTACCCGTGATGCCGTGATGGACGTTGAATTACACAATACATCCCACGCATGCAAGGACTCACTAATCACGCAACACTTCGGGACTGAGAAGGGTAGTCCCGTTATTTGCATGCGGCGAATCGCCATAACCGATGAACGAAAGGATTTTTGAGAGTTTCTAGAATAGCATTTATTCCTATTGGCTGACTGGGCTGCCTCACCGCCCTCTTTTGTTAGTGCATGATGAGACGATGGACGATGGCCATTGGGCGCCGGACAATTTGTTATTGAACTTGCTAATGCTATTAGCAGAAGTCTCCTGGACGCTAATGCGAATCAGTGCATACATTTATGCGCTGATTGCAGACTTGCAGATCACTACTATCCAATATGGCAATATCTTCTCGCCTTTCGAGGCGACAGTTAATTACCTCCAGCCAGCGCTATCAAACAGATCATCCAACTCTACACCGTAGACAAAAGTAACTAGTTGATCCCTTTAGGTCATCAGCTCAACATACCCCTTGCTTTCTGGGTATGGGTTACGTGCTCCAAACTAGCACGTTATGACTTGTCCATTTCGGCCTGAACTTCATGATGATCGGCTATTTATTGACTATCATATCATCTTGCACACCACCGGAAAGTTTCTCCCGAACAGGTGCAAGTATGGTGAAGAAATCCAACTCAAGGGTGTTTGTTGAGAAGGACGAGAGGGCAACTTTGGTCCCAACCATGCTTTCGGGCTCGGTCGCTGACGGGATATGCATATGTACCGAACTTGCATGCATATCGATCTATCATACATGGACAAGTGAGGATCGAGCTTCAAAGTCGTCTTTGTGAGATTCAGCACAACATCGCTCAGCCTCTTCGCCATGGGCGGGTTAGCTACTACTACACATGAGGACCTGGCCATACCGTCCAATTGCTTGTCATTCAGTATTCCGAACCATAGAAAGGCTATGTTACGCGTCAGCCATAAATACCGATCGGCGATCAAATCAGTGGAGGACCTGTTGCACCTATTGTTCCGGCTTGCTGAATCAAGACTCTGGCTTTTAATTCTAGTCCTTGGCAATACACAGACAGTTATGGTGACGAAGCCTCTTAGCACCCCCACATACAAGGGACAAAGGTCTTACTGTTGACCGAAGATTCCACGCTTGAAAGAAGGATAAATCCCCTGAAATCGAACTGTGGTGGGATGCTGCCTGTCCAGCACTGTATCACCACAATCAATCATAGTTGCCGTCCGCGTTGACGTGAACATGGCAACCAAAATACTTGCACGATGCGAGGCATGAGGATTTCACTAGTAGTTCTACATTCTGGTTTCTGAACCACCCTCTGCTGGAACTACGAAGGTCCACAGAGGTCCACAACGGATGGACGTTGGTTGCCGTCCGCAGTCCGCTAATGCTGGACCGTCCTGGCATGGAATCCAAGTCGCTGGCACCAGTACGGGGGAATCAAATCGACTTTGAAGTGCTAATACAGAGTATAGACAAGTTTTAAGGATGAACGTACTCCTGGGCAACAGGCAAAGTATGCAATAATGCATTAATGCATTTTGTAATGATGCATGGCATTGGTGAAATTAGGAACTTTTCATCTTGAGAATGGCCAAATTCCGGGCTTGGCAATTATCCCGCACTGAATTCTGACCTGCAGGCCGCATTGCATCCCACTCACAACGTCTCTACTTTGCCTACCAACACGGAACTGCGGACGCCGGATATACGGAGTACTGAAATAACATCCTACAGAATCGCTGCCCCAAGAGTCACGATTCCAATTCCCAGTCTCCAACCCACTCCCTAGTCCCTACCCTGTCTCTCGTATTTCTTTGGGTCAAGGTGATATGTCTTTTTTGTCGCTATCTGCATGTTGAACGTGTGAGACAACCAAGAAGGGCAAAAGCCGTAAATGACTTGCAGGCGATTGTCATGCCTAACTTACCGCAGGAGCCAGCAATTATTCATGAGCAGGGCTAATTATCCTCGACCAACAACCAGCTTCAGACTTCAGTGTCCCAAGCCGCCGTCATGGACCGTTAGAGCGGTTGGACGGAGGGTGGATGCTAACCTAGTGTGCTCCACGCCCCACTGTCAGAGGGACAACTGGACAAGAGCCTCCCCACTTTCCACAAGTGAAGCTTCTAGCCGGACGCCAAACTGCGCCCAACATCACGCATGCCACCAGGTTCCACGGGCCGTGAGATCGGGCATTCGAGCGGCTCTGAGAATGAACGCTTGGAGAAGAGCTGGCCTTTCTCCAAAGTTTCAGTTTTTGACGATTGGTACCATCTGGGCTCTCCGCTAGCTCCTTCGTCCTGGGGACTTTGCCTCCCTTGGTAAGGATATTCCCATCATACAGTGTACGATGTATCCCTGGCCCTGCCTGTTCTTAGCCCGGAGACTGGGATAGTGACCGTTCAAGGACCTCCGGGGAGCCTGAGGGATGGAAAGTGCGTGGTCTTCCGCCCTCAAGCATCAACAACCTTGAGCTTTGAAGTTACCATTGACCACTGCCTAGGGCCGCGCTGGAATCAGCGCTTCCCAGACTCCCAATGGTGAGGGATGAGGCTGCGAAAGTCGAAACGGACGGGCATTGTTCAGTCTTGTCCCAGCCCCACTCCCTTTTCCGCAAGATGCACGAAATTACGTCCCATGAGCCAAAGCAACCAGGGTCCCGAAAAGCATCGTTACTTTGCTCGATTTTCATTTTTCGCCGATCCCAGTCACTGAACTCCTGGGGGTAGATACCTGGTACTCGCCGTTCTCGCTGCTATCCCCACCGATCGACCGTTTTGCTTCTGCTTCCTTTTGCCCCCGTGCTGGGTCGGTGATCGATATTATTGCTGAACTCAGGAATTTCCCTGTCCTCCTTCTAGGTTTAAAGTTTTTTGTTTTTTCTATCCCTTGAAGCTGCGACAGAATGAGGCGGCATTAGGACCATGGTCCTGGGCTTTGATCTAAGTTTAATCTGATTCATACGGAGTGGCGTGACCTCGTGTCTTGTCACCAATCACCAACCAACCCCTCTTGCCTGGGTCAACTTCTGTGATCAGTTCTACATTTTGTCTTTACGGCCGATGGAGTACTTTCGCAAATGTGTTCCTCCCTTTCGGGGACACGATATGAATCAAGTACTTTGGCCGAGCATAATCGCCCACAAGGATGGTTCAATGCATCTCCAGTTCTCCACAAATCCACAGTCCTTGTCGGGCTTCCTACGCCCCAGTAAGACACCAACAGATTACAGATCAAGACAAGAAACAAGCAAGCAACCAAGCAGATAACGCGCAGTAGCGCAGTTGCACAGTGCCTGCGGAGTCCCGGTAACTGGGCGTACTAACTGACCTTAGTACGGTCCTGACGGAGGACATGGAGTGGTGTACCCCCTCAGAGGTTCATACCAAGCACTGCAAGTCCGCAACGCGCCAACGCCTCCTTTTCTCTCCACGAAGCCGCGAACGGCCTGGCCCTCCCTGACCTTTCTCCACACCGACATTATGGCATCAACCAAGGCGGACCCCCTCATTCTGCCCAGCCCACCGGACACCAGTGCACATTCTCCCATGTCACCGTCACAGGCTTACAGCCAAACTTAGCTGTATACATATTACTCACCCTTCCCCATGCTCCTGTGCCAGATACCCACTTTGACCTCTCTTTCCTGTTATCCATCCTCTGTACATGGTACATCCAGTACCCTCGACCGCAACCAGCTCTGCTTCTTAACAGACGACCTGTTCATCCTCTTCCCATTCGAACCTCAATCGATCCCGGCGGACTCGATCTTGCCGGCCGCTTGCGCTTTGTGCGGGCGGGTGTCTGCATGCCGTGATCGGCCTGCTTCCTGGCACTGCACCTCTCCGAGAATCTTATATATCGGCCTTCCGCCAATCCACCACTTCGAGGCACGGTTGATCGTCCTGACCAGGACGGTGACACCAGCCTCTCCATAAACAGTCATCGTGGCGATCCCGCTGCCAGCTCTTTCGTCCGCCCTCGCTCATACACCCAATCCGTTCCCGCTCTCGCGTTCAGAGCTGCTTCGGCCTCGTTCCCCAAGCTTCCGAACCACCTTCGACCCCGCGACAGGCATCGTCGAATCCGTCGAAACGGCTCCAAACGGGTCTTCATCAACAAACCCTACCGCCTCATCTTCCGTTCCATGGTTCCCCACCCGCCTCGAAGGCGAGGGTAATATTCCCCGCCATATGTCGCATCGGGATGCCACGGGTTCTGGCGCCACTCCTGGTACCTCGTCTGGATATGATTTGCCACGCATTCCAAAGTTCGACGGATCACTCTCACAAAGTCAGGCCCCGTCCATTAGCGGAATGGCATCAGCAGCTTCCTCACGCCCAGTGAGTGTGGAGCGGAGCGTCGAGCCAATCTTCCTGGCGCCAATCGACCGTGGAGTAAGCCCAGCAATGTCGGATGGACAGAGGAGCTCTGGGAGCCGGTCGATTGGGGTACATTCGATGTTGAATCCGTCTAGCGAAGACCAGACGGGACAACATGGGAGGCGACGGAGTGCTGCGCAGATGGAAGCGTCCTCAACCGAGACAACACCATATTTACTCCCCAGGCCTCTGAGCCGCATGCCTAGCGAGGAAAGCGCCATGAGCGATATATCGCCGGTTAAATTTGAATCCAGAGCAAATGGGGACGGGAGAAAGATTTTGACGCCACGATCTCCGACCGTTCGCCGTGGCCCGTTGGGCCAACCTACAGGGTCCATCGACGCACATCAGACTCCGTTTATTACCGCAGGTAGCGGACGAAGCTTTCCGGAGCCCGTCCCGTCTCAACCACTTCTCGCTTCTATATCTGGATACCGCCAATCCCACTTTCCACTACCGAAGGCACCGACTCCACCTCTGGCTCATAGTCGTCGTCCCAGTCTCGGCATCATTCCTTCTTCCGCGGCCGCCAGCCCAGGCGCTAGCACCAACTACTCTTCCTACAGCCAAGGACAGACTTCTCCAGCAACGCCATATGGTGCGCATTCCAACAACCCGACCCCACCCGGATCCTTCCAGTTGGGCCCCACTCCCGCTGGCCCCCTGAGTGCTATTCCTCATCAAGGACTCGATCAATCCTCATCAGCGCATCCTTCACGTTCCTATCCTGGCACTCCAACCTACCGTCACAATTCCATCCCAGTCGCGGCCGCGTCCCAATCGATCCAAGTGTTCACCATATCCACCGCCAAGGGACCCGTTCAAGTTCCAGTCGACGTGCAGGCGGCCTCCCGAGTCGCGGATGAAAAACGCCGCCGGAACGCGGGAGCCTCTGCTCGATTCCGCGCACGTCGCAAGGAGAAAGAGAGGGAGGCTAGCACAACGATCTCGAGGCTCGAGCAACGACTGCGAGATGCGCTGGAGGATGCTGAATTTTACCGCTCGGAAAGGGATTTCTTAGTAGAGGCGGTGTGCCGAGTTCCTGGAGGTGCAAGGGAATTCTTTCCCCGACCCGAGTCTCCTTGCAGAAACCGGAGAGAAGTTTCCGCAACCCCCACCGGGGAAGACCGAACGGATGACGGATCTACTAGTCCGCCTCCGTATGAGGTTTCGGCCAGGGAAAGAGAAAGAGAACGACGAAGAGATGCCGATGCAGCAAGGAAAGGCGAAGAGAGGAACACCCGAAGGAGAACAGAGGGATACGACGCTCCGCAAGGAACCATTGAGATCTATCCCAGCGATGACAAGCAACCGTTATACTCAGCATCTCACCCACTCCAGCATCCCTCGCCGCATTCGCATCCTGTAAGCCACGAGCCGTCGCAGCACCCCTCATTCGCTCCCCAATTGCCTGCTTATCAGGACCGGTATCCGAACCACTTGTCCCAGTCGGTGCCACGGTACGGAGCACCTCCACCTGCATTCGCACGCCATGCGCAGGCGCATGATACATCGGCATCCCAACCGAGGCAGCCCAATCCTAATTCCGGTGGACGAACGGACCGATCCGCTGATGGGGGGTACCCCTCGTATGGCAAAGAAGCGCGGTAGCTCCCGCCGGAACGTATCTCCCCCTGCTTACTCCGAAATTTTCCTCTCTGTACAATCTGATTCTGGCGACATTTTGCGCGGCCGTTGCTTTCTGAACACTCGATACACACCGCTGCTGTGCGTCTTGAAGTTTCCGCGATATATACCCGTTCCCGCATTCCGCAGGACAAGTCCCTCCATCGAGCGTATCCTTTCATTACTGCAAGATGCCATAATTCTCCGGCACTTTCGTTTTTCGTTCGTTTTCCTTAGCGTTCTGGCGGCATTTTGCGATTCCTGGCATTCCATCCTGCAACCATCCTCCTTGTGGACAGTACTGAAGGAGCGATTTTGGGGGCACAGATTCGCCGTTGCATCTGGGGAGTTTTCGTCCGAAGTGGACACGGCGCTTTTCATACGTTCCCCACTGGTGGAATTATTACTAGACTTTGTTTTAGATCTCGCGATCGGATTTTCATACTATACCTATACCTCATTGTTGGGGGTTGGCTATTGGGTCTGGATGGATTCTGCTTATCCGCTTGTGGCAATCTGGACGAGACAGATAGTGTTGCGGCGATGTACAGATTGGTATTTATGGGAAGCGCAGTGGGAACGCTGATGAGGCGCTATGTTAGATGTCGAGGGTGGATATGATATTTCCAAGCGAACGGGGGTAATATTCACACAAAGGATATCCCCCAGAGTAGAGGGTGAAGCTGTCAGCGATACACAGGCAGAACCTCCCAGGTGATATGCATGTGTACCGATGGATACTGCAACCCTCGACTCAATGTATTATGGAGGCAGATACGGCTAGTGATTCCAGGTGTACCTTATCAATTTAGTAATACAAAGTGATCCTCTTGGTTTAGAGTATGATTATGTGAGAATCCGAATACCGTGACCCTGTACGAGGAATGAAGATGAAATGAACGGATTGATATCTACCAACCACGCAACGTACTATGTAATCGAAATGGAGGATGCCTCCATGCATGGAGTTAAGGCAACAAGGCAATTTACTGACTCCACGCGATTCCGATTTCACATATCATCCGACAGGATCTCCTCCACCTCCGCATGCGGGTGATATATTGATATATAAGCTACAGCACACACGGTTCGCTCAGTAGTCAACACGAACATCCAATAATCGAAAGTTCGTGATACCCAACACGAAACAGTACAGACCCCATCTTATCCCGCCGTTTATCCCTATCGCGCTCACATCCCGCGATGCACCCGCCCCTTATATCGAGATAGATCCCCCCCGACGCGAGCCAGAGTGATGAGCAATGAGCGCACCGCACCCCCTTCGCATGCGATCCCGAGAGACGGTCCCCACGCATCCTCACCGGCGGCACCAAGCCGGTCTATCGTCGCCGGTAACAATCAGAGCCATGGCGCTGCACGGGCGAGGGCCAAGGCGGAGGCGAAGAGGTTAGAACAACTGGAGCATCTAGTACGGTCGTATGACCTGTTGATATACTCAGAATTGGCTGTGGTTTATTGCATGGAGTAAGTAGGTTTCCGCTATTGTTTCTTGACCGTCAGGACTATCGCACCAACAGGCCACTGGCCTGCGTATCGCACCGAAAGAACGTATTGAGTCGGACATTATGCTAACATCACGTACAGCAACTCCTTCTTCGCCCTGTTCTTCCGTGCACTCGCTCAGCTCCTCTACCTATCCCCGAAACCGCCCTTCCTCTCCGAAAACCTCCCCGCCGCGACATCCCTCACAAGAACCACCTCGTCCGTAACCCCAGGCGGGAGCACCCCTTCCTCAGCCTCGACACCCGCGAACCCATTCGTAACCCCCCACCAATCCTCCCCGACTATCTCCGCGATCTTTATCACGAATATCCTCTGCATGGTGCTTCATCTCTACTGCGCCCGCCCATCCGCGAGCGAAGCTGCGCGCGGCTATCTTCATGGCGGCCTCCTCATTGACTTCATCGGGCAGGAGGGTCCGATAAGCAAACTGAGTTTGTTGATGTTAGACTTTGCGATCATGGGGCTTCAAGTAATTATGCTGTCCGTGAATGGAGAAGTGAGGAGAGTGACGATGGAGCGCAAAGGAACAGTGTCTACTGGCGCAGCGACCCAGGTTTCCACTCAAGGAAACACGGCGCAGGACCACGATGCGGAAGAACGAGGAGAAATCCTAGGCGCGTCATCTTCCACCGCTGCTACTCCGTCAGCTGCTGCCATATCGACGCCGTCGACCACGTCAGAGCAATCAAACACTCTAGATGACCCCTCCGCCGCCGACATGGACATTCTAGACGGGATTGTCTCAACCCAAACGCCTCTGGCAACATTCCGCTTCCTGTATGCGGCGAGGGAAGAATACAACGCCTACCAAGGTCCTTCCACAGGCATAAGCAGGCGGCCGGCGGCCGCTTCATTCTTGCAAGGACTTGCGGAACGGAGGAGAATGGTGTTGGTTCAAAGGGGGGCGGCGAGGAGTCTTACAGTTTAGCAATGTCCTCTAAAGAACGATATGATCACACAGGTTGGGAATTCAGGCTTCTGGATAGAACCTAGAACGACCACCGTGCGAACGACGTTGAACCCCAGTGTGTCGCTTGTGGTATGGTTGTGGACATGAGCTAATTGAGCCGTTGCGTTGTATAATATAGAATTCAGCGGGTCGTTATTTGGTGGTGGATGAGTTTGCACTGTTGTATAAGCAGACATTTCCAGGAAAGGAAAATAAAGTACCGAAGCCACGAATTCTTTAGAATTGCATTATTTACAGTTCGTTAGGAGTCTGGCGTTTCTGGCCATAATTGGATATCGATTTGCAGTTGCCAACACTGCTGCAACTGTACTATACTAGCTAACCCGGAACACAACCTACACTGCGCCGATAATAATTCACACTCCCAAGACCTTTCCATCAGTTCAAGTTCGCCCCTCATTGTGCTGACTTCTTCCAGCTTCCGGTCTTCTGAATCCGCTTGACTGCCTTCCTCATTTCCCATTGTGTGAACGTGGCAACCGAGCCCCTGATTGGTGGCGGGATCATACGATAGGTGATCCGGAAGTATCCCATGCTATATTTATATAGGCGCTGTTGCTTCTTAGTCCACGGCAACTCATACTCATTCCGCATCCGCTCGGGTAGGAAGGCGGTCGTCCACAGCCTGAGGAGGGGGGAGGCAGCAGACATTGGAAACGGGACCTTCGGCCACATGAGAGCTTTCATCAGCGTCTTTGCCCAGTGCGTGACTTCGAGGGTTTCGATGTTGTGGTTCCAGTATACCCAGAAGTCATCCAGCGTCTTGGGCCACATCTCGGTGGGCATTCGGAGCGAGGTCGCGTAGACGGAAGTCTCCCGGAACAGTGCCTCCACCTTCCACTGCGGGATCTTATCCTTTCCCCAGACCGCTTCGTGCACGACCAGGAGCGACATGAACAGTGTCGCCGCTGTCCACTTGTGCAGCTCCGGGTCGTCGGCATAGTATCCGTCTCCTTTGACGACGGAATGAGCCCGATGAATAATGCCGAAGACCGCCTTCCGTTCTTCCGGGGTGCCGAAGACGCAGGCAGTGAGGAATCGGGTAGTCGTCTTGAGACGGTTGAGGATGCGGTCGGCGAACTCGCTATGCTCGAGCGAGCCTCTGGCGAGGCCGGGGTGGGCGAACTGAAGGAGAATGGCGTATTGTCCTCCGGCGAAGAAGCAGGGCTCTCCGACGAACTCCTTGAGCACATGGGGCTCTTTCACTGGATCGTACAGCACAATGGGCTGCATGCCCGGGTAGCCTTTCTCTGAGTCCCCAGGGGTGGAAGGCTTCTCAGAGGGCGTCGACTCTGTTTTCTCAGTAGGAGTCGTCTCGGTTTGCTCAGTGGGAATCGTCTCGGTTTTCTCAGCGGTGGTCGTCTCGGTTTGCTCAGTGGTGGTCGTCTCGGGTTTCTCAGTGGTCACCGCCACGGGTTTCTCGGTGGTTATCGTCTCGGTAGCCATTCTCTTCCAGTCCAGCTCTTCGAATATCGACGGAGAGAACGATAGTGATAGTCAGAACTAAGCCAAAAAATCAGTCAGGGCGACAGGACCGTAGTATCAGACTGGATCCCCCAGTTCCCACCCCGCATCCCCAGATTTCTTATACTCACAGACCCCCACCGAGGCAGGCATGTGAGCGCATGTGGTGGAGTATTTCGCCATCTGCCTAGGGCATAAATCTTTCGATTTGGACGTTGATAGTGTATATTTGGCGGGGTTTCGCGCCGATGAGGCTCATATTGCTGGTGTTAGCCTGTCCACGGAATCGGGAGGGACGACCCCCGAGAGGATGCCTGTGTCGATGTTCTACCTGTCTAGTATAAATAGCGTTACGCCGTTGTTTTCGACTTCAGGATGGCATGGGATCCGTGGTGGAGGAAGTTTGAAATCCCTGGCCGATAGATCGGATGTCTTGTCGAGCCGTAGCCGTCACCCAGAAATGTGTTAGCGTTATGGGCAGTTGGGCTATCAGCCTATCAACAGTAGTACCCCCCACATCGCTGGGCAGCGAAGATAATAATTTCAAAATCAATTCTTCCTTCGTCATACAACAAGCTCTTTCGAATATTAATTAGAACTCTAGTCCCTTGGGTTTTCCATCATAAAATCGCTCCCAAGTCAGAGCAGGGCAGTAGGGTCAAGCTCGTCAAAACAGCTTTGGGAACCACGATGCCGCTGTGAAAACGAGGGGGCACTTTCATAAGACATCCAGCCGACTTTCTCATGGGAGATCTGAAATGAGATAGACCTGGCGCATCCTAGAGAAATAATGAGGATATATCATAATATCATGTCCTTTCTTCACCTTTAATGGCCGCAGGAAGTTCCTCAATTCTTTGTTCAGCGGACTCCTGAAGTCATGAGTCGCGAATGTCGGCTTTACCAGGTTCACGCGAGTCATTTCCTCACTAGCTATTAATCACTGCGACTTCATTAACAACTTCAACATCAACAATCGTCCCGCCAATGATACTAACACTTATATCTAATTCTATCGGTCCGCATTTTCTGTGCATTGCCTCAAGACTTAGAAATGATCTGAATAAACACACGAGAGAGACAGATATTGAGCTGCCGGATTACCATGTGGGCATGTAAGCATGCCGCGTGATCAAGCTATTAACTGGAAGTACTTAATTAGCTAACTACCACATTGGCAACTTATCCACGCCCTGTCTATTTCATGTTGTTTCTTCCATTGGGAGAACATTTGCGTACTGTCTATTCTGATTTGGTCCCTGGGACGCTCGGAACCCAGGAGAATATTGGACTCAGGCAGCTCTCCACTATCGTGAACATAACAATCTCATGTAGCCATTCAGTATGGCTGTCATGTATCTCAGGGTATAACAGCCATTTCCATCTGAGACTCCAAGTCATTACCTAATCAAGTCCTCATTGCGTTTACTGTATCTTTCGTCTGTGGTCCTAACCAAACCCTTATAATGCATTTCTCGTCGACTTCTGCCCTTCTCCATCCTCGCATCAGTTTCATTTGCCTCAACGTTTGCGTTTGCGAGCATATTTTTTACTGTTCCACGATGTCCATAATACAGCGTCGGATAGTCTGGATCGGGCTTGGACTCTATCAGTGGCCCTAACACATCAGAGTAGCTGAGTGAAGTCGCTACTTACCGGGAGCATTAATGCCAGTCGAGAAGCGTCTGAGCGGGCTGATGAAGTTGACCGCACTACTGTTAAGGAGATGTAGCCAAAGTACGTCTCTTTGCAGAACTGGCGCAAGCATGGTTCGAACCTGTGACCTTACACGTTGTTACCGGATATTCGCTTACATATAACACTTGATGTACCTTTTGAAACCAGGTATCAGTCAGCTGTCCCTCAAAACAGGCCGTCGAAACTCACTCGACATTCACTTGGCATCAAAAGCAAAAACTGACCTCACCTTTTTGGGTGGGTGAAGAAAGTTAACCATCTCGCAAGCCCCAGGTGCCTGTTCCATGGCACTGGTATTTTTTTTGGCTGTACTTGATCCGCATCAGTCATTAAACCAATATGATCACTTCCACTAAGAGTTTAAATTGCCAGGTTTAAATATATAACTACTGCATTTAATTCACTTCCTAACTATGCATGGGATTGGCTCGCCTTGTGTTTGCATCTACAGAGATTGCTAAAACCGATGACCCACATGGAGATGAAAGACCTTATCTGCGTCGATCGCCTATCTGGCGACTTCATTGATAAAATTGACGGTACAGTAACTTGATTAGCGATGTCGACACCAATGCCCCCGGCAGCCAAGTTTCGACCCCTCGGCGTGGATAAGAATCGGGAACGGAGGTTGGATTCTATATCCTTCTACACAGGCTTGTTGAAAGTGCTTCTAATGCATAGCAGTTCGGAGAAACACTCAGGGGACTAGACCATCACTGTCTGCCCTTTGGACTGACCGATGGTATTGATATATCATTAGTTAAGAAGAATTTGCCATAGGTATCATAAAAATTGAGAGTGCTTCATAATTGAACCGCACACCAAACCCAGCTCCAACAAAACTCCATGCCAGAATAGAACATAAAAGAGAGAGAGTGGGAATCATGCTCGGTCCGACCTCGACTATAGCCCTATGCGTGTGAACTCCTCGGTGAAGTACTCCCAGACCTTGTCCATCATTCCGTCTACGATATAGTTCGCTATCAGCGTCTTTGTACCCTCATTTGCTTCACTGCCGTCCCAATCGATCATGTACGCTCCACTACCGGCCTTCCCGTCAACCCCCGTAGCAGGCTCGGTCTTCTTATCCTCTTGTACGCCCTGAAACCCAACTGCATTGCTGGGAGGGAACTTCGCACTTGTCCCTAGCCAGACATGCCTCTCGCCGGTCTCCTTGATCGAAAGCGTCTTCCCCATCCACGAAGCCAGCTTCATGGCAGCGCTCCCGACATAGTGTATCGCCACCTCCGTCAGGTTCCTTTTATTCCGCAGAATATTCGTATTCACCATTCCAGGGAACACATGAACGAAGCTCACCCCTTTCGCCTCCTCTTCCCTCGCGAGCTTTGCAAACACCAATGTCAGCATCGAAGCGAGGTGCCCTCGGATTTTCGAAATTGGGGTCCGGAGCAGAGACATGTCCATCTCGTCGATCGGTCCCTCCTTCGTCCCAGCAGCAATAAAAACAAGTCGCGCCAGCTCGCCCCGCTTGGCAGCGCTTCCAAGGGCGGGAAGAAGCTTTTTCGCCGCGCGCACCCTGCCAAAGAGCTGCAGTGCAAGATGGACGGGTAGACCCTCCTCATTTGGTTTCCGATCCAGCTCGAGTGTTCCGGCGGCTAGGTAGGCAACGTTGATTCCATGCTCTTTTTCGGCTTCGAGGATCTCGTTGCACACACGATCGACTTCGCGCATCAAACCGCAGTCCGCTGCATAGAAAGAGAGTGTCGCGGATGGGTTTGACTTGGATATTTCGGAACGGATTTCATCGGCGGCAGAGGCAGAGCGGCCGACGAGATGGATTCGGGGAGAGAGATCGGTTGTTCGAGCTGCGAATTCGAGGAGGGTGGCACGCCCAATTCCGGATGTGCCACCGAATACAACCAAGACTGGATTTTGATGAAGTGTGTTGACGAGGGCGTTAGAGGATTCGACGACCGAAAGCGACACCATTTTGGGCGCGTCGTTGAGAAATGATTAGATTCGAGGGGTCGGAAAGATTTGAAGTGAACTTGAACTGAAGGACAGTGTGATTTAGAGGGACATGGAACCAACGCAGACATGCATGATATTATAATACTTATTATCCCTTCGTTAATTAATGCTAATTAATGCTAATGGGCGTGGGGTGCGACCCAATTGCGACTCCCCCTGACTGAAGCACAACAGCAGGTCTGGTATCATAGTCGTGCCAGTCCTCACTAAGAATATTGAAGTTCCGGAGGAATGATAGCAATATTCAAGCAACTAGGCACCAACCACGACGCAATCGTTGCAGCGACGAAGTTGGTCGTTGGAGGTTCTGGCCGTAAGGTTCATGTCTTATGCGGATTTTGTGGTCATTAATCATTCAGATGAGGAGCGCCCACCGGGTGCGGACTCTGCGGACCCCGGAATGCTTGCAACGGGAGATAAAAAGAGTGCCCGTATCCGGGGATAATAGTAACACCGTGAAGTGACGCAAACTCGGCAGCGAGTCGGTGCATTTGACCTCCCGCAGGCTGAAGGCATAGAATCCCAATTTTGGTCTCGAGTTCGTCCACAGTTTGTCCGACGGCAAGCCGGGAGGAAGAGTGAAGAGCAAGAATACCAGTATGTAACTGATGAATGCCCAGCAGCTTCAGTAATAGTGTCTTCCAGTTTACGCAGGTAAATTTGTTCAGTATTAATATGGGTATTGGGCATTGAAGTGAAGGAAATACATGGTGGGTACGAGTTAAACAAGTTAAACAGTAAAGTCATCGAAATCCGTCGGTGCCTCTTTTCTTCCACCCACATTGACCGTGTCGAAATCCGTCCCTGTCACGTTTGCAGCGTCCTCCAGCGTTTCTCTTCCGACCCAGCTGAGATATACTGTTTCGTGGACCTGAACCGGTGGTCCGGTACTGGGAGGGTCGCGATCGAATTCCGGTACTCGTTTGACGGTAAACACGGTGTTCGACTTTCGTTCGCGGTGCTTGGCGTAGCCCAGGAATCCGAACCACCAGAGCGCACCGAACCCCAGGCAGGCCCAGGAGATCGTCGGTACGAGATACCAGGTGAGCGTGAGATGTGCCCGCCCGAAAAACCGGGCAGATGGCTTGATCCAAGACGCGATAACGGGGAATAGGTTGCCGATCGTGTAAATGAACGCTGTCAGCACACTCAAGAAAGGGTTGATCTTGGACGCCTTCTTCCGCCACTGTTCTTTCTTCTTGAAACGCAGGATAAGGATCCCCACGCCTACCATCGTGCCAAAAATGCCGTTCAGTAAATACGCTAACAAGCTTGTGAGTAGCGAGTACGAATTTTCAGGCGTGAGGCCCCAAGTGGCGAAGATCAAGATGAACGAAGTGAATAGATGAAGCGTCAGTGCACCGAATGGCGTCTTTTCGCTGTGGTCCTCTGGTCGGAGCCATCGGGACCTCAGCAAACGGAGGAATGGCTTAGGTGCCCAAGGGGCTCGCTGAGCCGAGCGAAGGATGCGACCAAGAGACAGGTCAGAGTTGGAAGCGAAGAACTTGGCCCAAGGGATGATGCCTTCCTTCGCGATCTCTTGCTTGACGCGAGCCGCAGTGTACGTCATGACAATGATGTTGCCTAGCGATGAAATTGCAAGGAACGCATTGAATACGCGGCCTCCGGTATTATCTTCGGTGAGCGCTCCAAAGGTAAGTTCGAAGAAGGTGAGGGCCACAGATTCGCCTTGAACTTGCAATTCCTTTGGGACGACCACCATGTAGCAGATATTGACTGCGAAGTACAATACACAGACCAAGGATACTGCGGTGATCATCCCTAGTGGATATTTGCGATGAGGTCTCCCGATTTCTCCGAGAACATAGTTGGGTTGTTCAAAGCCATTAAAGGCGTAGACTGGCTCTTGTTAACACTTTCCAGGCCCAGGGGGGATAGAAGTAGCTCACTGATTGAAAGGAATGCTTGTGCGTAACCGCTGGCTTCCGATGAAGAGCTCTTGAAAGAGGTTGAAGCTCCGAGATTCAGATTCACCGTGTCCTGTCGGTTTATTCCCGTTGTCTCAGGAAATCCGCCTGCTCCGTAGATGATAGCCGCAATGATGATGAGGAGTAACATGCAAATCTTGACAACTGCAAGAAGATTGTTAAGCCAGATGCCGCCTCTCCGGGAGAAAGTATGGATGAAGCAAGCAAAAATCGAGACGGCGATAGCGATGCCCCTCACCGCGCCATTGGAAGGGTCCTGAACGTTTGCGGCCTGCATGATACGGATTGCAAAGGACATAGCATTTCCTGCCATATTGCCAAAGATGATGAACGAGACTCCGAACAATGTTGCGGAGAGCAACACCGTCTTCGCTCTGTACGCGGGCTTCGTGAAAACATATGACAACTATACTTGTCAGAACCAAGCCAGCCGGATTTCAAAGCTTTACTCACGTAATTCAAGTCACCGCCGCTTCGCGGTACGCCCTGCTCAACGCCTTCGTAGGCGCGACGAGGAACATTCAGTCCGTATTCGATGTAGACGTGCACCCCGCAGAGAGCATATATAATCCCAGCAAACCAAAACATCAGCGTTGCTCCTGTGCTACCGGTGCCCTGCATTGCGCGCGAAGGAGTCTGGAAGATGCCGGTACCAATCATTCGATTGAATACAAGTCCCATAACAGACCAGACTCCTAAACGAAATCGCTCTTCAGGGGCTTCCGTGATGATCGCATCCAGGTCGAGGTCGCCGAAGGGGTCATCTTCGCTGCTGTGTTCCGACCCGACTCTTCCAACCCTCCCGACAGGATCGTGTGTGTCGAAGTCGGTCATCCTGTGTATTGAAATGCAAATGATTCAAAACTCTCAATGACTGCTTGCCTCTTCTCCTTCTTCAATCATATATTAGTAGGGCGCGAAAAGCATGAGGATTGAGAGCACCACGTCTCCAAGCCTCACTCGAGGCATTCTTGGACTTGACAACCATTGTTCAGAAGGCGCGAAAGAAAACGAACTCCGGTCACCAGCAGCCTTGCCGGCATGCATAACTTGGCGTATTCCAGGAGGCTTGTTTACGTTTTGACGATTGGCAGTTTGGCGACGAGGCGCAGCCTTTGACCAGGTTGAGCGAGATTCCTCAAGAGGCAAGAGTGCGTCTCCAGCCCTCCTCTCTCCCTTCACCGTGGAGCCTGGAGCCTGGAGTCCCAGCCTTATCCCGATCGGTCTGGCACGGACATCGAGGATGCTTCATTTGATTGGGGTAATAGGTAAGGAGATTTTAATCCAAATTATCGTGTCGTCCAAGCTCTTCCAAGTTCCAAGTTCGGGATGATGGCGGGGATGGGATCACAGTTCAGTAGTTCACACGTTTGGCGTAGCAGAGCCGCAGAGAGGGGTCTCGGTGAGACAGTCACTAGATGCAGGGGACTGTCGAAACTTATCAGGGTTGAGGACCCAACCCAGCCTCCACCATCCGTACATCCCGTCTCGGCCTCTGGGTTATCCGCACCTCACTGCCACTTTCATCCCACTCTCATCGCCAGCTCACCACTCAGAGCGTGGTTGACCTGGGGGCTGGGTTCGAGTTTGATGTCATTTGCATCCAGCGCTAGGAAGCCTCGCCCGGTTCAGGATTTCTAAGAGGTCGGCGGGGCAGATTTTGCCCTCCCCTCTACCCTGTTCCAATACCTCCCTCCTTTCGACGGAGGACGGGATACAGTAGCTCTACGGAATAGATGTCCACGCAACACTCGCTCTTTAGAGCCGAGGCGAAAGCGATACATCCCCCCATGGATAGATCCTACATTGTTGACGGACCAGGTCGGGCCGTCTAGGCCTTCACAACGGCCTATTCCCATGGTCCAGGAACGCCATTTCAATATACCTCTCGAATCTGCCCCAGCCCCATTCGACTGTTTCCTTCGGTAACGACTACTCGGTGTGTCGAGTCATGCAAGTATATCTCGTGGCACTGTGGCTTTGTAGTCATACCTATGGAGCGATAGTCAAAGGTGGGTGTTTCGCCGACGAGTAATCTTCTACACTTGCATTCTTATTTGCGCAACTTGGAGTTGGATCGACATTCAAGACCATACCACTCAAGCGTTGCGACAGCATGGCTTTTCCAATCCAGATAGGCGATGTCATCCACTTGGGTAAAGCCGCATGGGAGCTTTACAACTATGGTTGGAACGCTGATCTAAGAGCCAGTAAGTACTCGATGGATTTGCGTAGATAGACATACGAGCTGATTTGTAAGGTCGACAATATGCGGATTTTGGCCAGTTAGTCAAAAGTCTTGCAGAGAACTTGGATAACATCGGCAGAGTCATCAACAATGCCGTCTCTCATATGCAGACTCGGCGTATGTCGATGGCTCTGCCGGTATGGGATCTAACCAGCGTTCGAGAAATCACCGGCGATTATACAAACACAATACTCGAGTGCAACCGTCTCCTAAAACAAAACGAGCAATTCCGTCAAGACACTTCCCCGATGAGCAACATCGAATGGCATCTCCTCCTTCAGCCAAATGTCGATCGGCTGAAGCAGCGTGTGGAGATGCATAATAACAAGATCCTATTTCTGTTAAAGCCTCTGGAGATTGACCTACTGTGCCGCATTCACGAAGACTTGGCGAGTCGAATCGACGTGGTCTATCGCGAAGTGAGGATGTTGCGTCTTGGTGGCATGGTGGTGGACGATCCTCAACAAGGAAAGGAACAGCTGGATTCACATGAGACACCGTCTCTCCCTATATCGCAGGAACATGACTTCAACTTCCAAAGGGCATCCGAAGTTGGCCACCCTGAGCTTCGAGATAGTGACAACTTCCCACTCGCAGAGGGTTCTGAATCACTCATTTCCCTATTTCAGAATGCGACCTCGGAGTTCCAGCCTGGAATCTTCCTTCACGAAAGATCACCATCTCCCGAACAGTACCTCAATCTTCTCAAATGCGTCTGGATCATCCAGAAACTCCATAACAATCCTCGTCTACGCAATGCAGATTCGAATTCTCACTGGCCGTCGTTCATTAAACAACTTGAGTTGAATGTCTCCCAGGAGTGCTGGAGATTCACGGCTCAGTGTCCAAACCAACTCACTCCCCCCTCAACGTTTGCGTTGGTAGAAGAGCACTTTAGCATCTGGCCAATAATGGAGCCAAACGAAATCCTATCTCCTTCATATGTTGAGCAAGGGATGATGGACGAGTTACTACAGATCCAGTTAGCCAGCACACCTACGAATGCAAAGACTCTACGAGTGCTACGGGCGACGGAAAATAGGCTGCGGGTCGAAGAGACTGCTACCGAACGAACGCCGGAAGGGAAGTCTCGAACCGAGTCGCGAATCTTGGATCTACGCCTGAAGACCGCCAAGATCGTACCTTTATATGCTGCACCTGGAAGAGGCCAGAGTGCACACAATATCGTCCTCCGGACCGAATCATCCACAACCCAATTGTCATTCGCAAATCGAAAAGATATTCTCAAATTCCAGCAAGCTTTGACTGGTTTCAAGTGTTACTCTTCCTACGACAGACCTAATTGTCAAGTCAGCCTGATCGTGGCCGGGAAGAACGGACCTACAATTGCCGAAGCACATGTCCAGCTTTGGATGCCAAAGGAAATAGAAGGCACACCAAGTACAGGCGCTTCAACTGCAACAGTCAATTTTCAACCATCCCGCAATTCTGTTGCATCTATACCAACCGTAGCTGGAATTCCAATACCCAACTTCCCGACCCCAACGTCACCAGACACCTTCTTTACAACTCCTGACCCCTTCGCGCCTCTAATGAAAAGTCTAAACTTAAAAGATACACTGGGCACTAGCCCTACGACTGTCTCGAGCAGCACCTTTCTGTCCGTGAGCCCTCCAAGGAATATGGAGAGGAGTTCGAGCCAAGGGAGCTCTCCGAAATCGGGATCTTCCAGTCGAAGACCGTCGTCCATGTCGCTCAGCAGCAACACAAGCCAAGGAAGCCGGACGACTCGAGTCACCGTAAAATTGGGTCCACAGGAAGAAGGTTACACGTATCGCAGACCGCTTCGCCCGATGCTTGTTCTCTACCTGAAGCTGCCGGACCAAAAGCTCTCATTCGTCACCATCCACATTGATGAAAATACCGCTATGAATCCAGAACGATGCAAATGCCATATTTCCGGTAATCACTGTCCTATCTCTGCTATCGAGCGTAGCAAGGGAACCAAGGATCTTCTTGCCCAGCGATATGATGCGGAGGACTCGGAAGACTGGGACATCACGCGCCTCGGCACGACGAAGCGGAAAGAGCTCCCGGAACAGGAATTTCGAGGCCTGCAGAGGGTCAGTATCAAGTTCGAAAACGAGCAACTACGGAAAGAGTTCGGTGGGGTCGCCTGCCGTTGCAACCTGGTTCGCGTTATCGATCTGCAAAAATGCATTCGAGGAGGTCATCAAGGCTTGTTTGGCGAGGTGAAGCAGCATGGACGAAGAGAGATGCATCTCTGGCATCACGAACAAAACGAAAGGCGTGATATTGTTACTGGTCGTCAGCCTGAACTGTATGGAGCTTGATCCGGACCTATTTTCAGTTTCGGTTAACTCTCCGGTTTGCTTTCTAGTGGCTGGACTGGAACGGTACTAGCTATACTTTGTATTTTCATCCTGTTTTCTGGTTTGGAGTCTAAGATATCTCTGCGGGAATACACCCTTTTGGTTCTAGTTAAATATGGCTTCAGTCAACTCTGTTTTCGTCCCAACCATTGTTTTTTGCTCTATCATCGATTCAAGGTTCTATTAACTATGTATTTTACTAAAGAATCAGTGACTTTCAACACCCTGGTACACTTAGGGCTTGCGTCGGTGGTAATTATTCCCTACTCATTGGGCTACTCGAACGTTAGGATATAGAACTGTTGCAATACCCTTGCCTATTGATACCTAAAACGCAGATCTTCTAGTACATCGATCAACCTTCGGTCAGCAATCTCATGTGATGCCAACCAGGATCTCGGATTGCGGGGTGCGGGGTGGTAGCGCCCGCTCTGAGAAGTGTGGAGGATGCTCTGAGTACAGTACTTGATGCGTTGTATCTTCACTCACATGCCTCTGATACTGTCGATGTGCCGCGGTGTTACCATTATCTTGCACATGAACTTAGCTATAGTTATCGTATATTAAGAGTTAACTTCCCTAGTTCAGCAATGGTCATATGTCTATTCTTACTTCGCCTATGTAGTCTAGTTCTCCCAATCGACTGACAAAATGATCAGCGAAGTTCTCCCCTATCTCACACCTGCTTTTGTTGCGGCGTGGGGATTTATACTCTTCATAGTGGTCCAAGCCTTCATCCGTATCCGTTATGCCCTCCGTGTTCGTGCAGCAGGCGGTGTCCACGCCCCAGCCCTCGGGAGCAATCCCGTCGGTGCGTTCGGATATCTCTTCAAAATCGGAATGGCACAAGCTCAGAATCGGATCCCCCAGTTTTCGATGGACATATTCGCTACGAAGACCAACCCGGAAAACCCTGGCATAATAGAGATCAACGTCACCGGAGGCCAGCGGTTCATGTTCTCCCAGGAGCCCGAGCATATAAAAACGGTGCTGACTGGGAAGTTCGCGGAATATGGAAAGGGCGAGGAGTTCCATCACGTTTGGGTATCCCTCCTCACTGCGACGACTGACGTTCAACATCGCTGAGAGAATTCCTAGCAACCGTTCTTGGGAGACTCGATCTTCACTACCGATCATCAGAAATGGCAGGACAGCCGCAATCTAATCCGGCCAATGTTTATGAAGAACCGCGTTAGCGACTTGCACACCTTCGAACGGTGGACGGCCGTCATGATGAACCAGTTCCCGGCGCCCGGTCAAACATTCGACATCCAGGACCTGTTCTACCGGATGACGATCGACGTCATCACAGACTTCCTGTTAGGCGAGAGTGTAAACAGTCTCGAGAACCCTCGGAGCGAGTTCGTGCAGGCGTTCACTGACGTCCAGCGGATGCAGACTATGCTGACCGTCCTGATGCCGATTGAAAAGCTCGTGCCCAGAGGCAAGTACAAGCGCGGGATCAAAGTCATGGAAGATTTTATCGTGCCCTTCATTGATAAGGCACTCACACTCAGTGACGATGAGCTACACAAGATCTCCAAGTCGGACAAATCGTTTACGTTCTTGCATGCTTTGGCCAATTATACTCGCGACCCCAAGGTGATTCGAGACCAGATCATCGCCGTGCTCCTTGCCGGTCGTGACACAACGGCAGCGACATTGTCGTGGTGCTTCCATGAACTCCGTCACTACCCTCAGGTCTACGCGAAGCTCCGCGCGGACGTTGTGTCTGTCGTGGGCACAACCAGAGCGCCTACGTATGAGGACCTTAAGAACATGAAGTACCTGACTCACACGATCAACGAGACCTTGCGCCTCTACCCAGCCGTACCGGTATGCCCTTGTCACTCATTTCTTAACCCCTTATATAAATCTGATCACCACCCAGTTCAACATCCGCTTCGCCCTCACCAACACCAGTCTCCCATCCGCCAACCCCAACCACCCTGACATCACCGTCCTCGCCGGCGATGCCGTCTTCTACTCCACTCTCCAAATGCAACGCCGCCCAGATCTTTACCCAGCCCCATCGCCGACGTTCGCGCCTGCCGATATCTTCTCGCCGGACCGATGGGACCACTGGCAGCCCCGACCGTGGCAATACGTTCCGTTCAACGGCGGGCCGCGCATCTGCGTGGGGCAGAACTTCGCGCTGACGGAGATGGCATATGTGATGGTAAGGCTGGTGCAGAGGTATGAGAGGTTGGAGGGGAGGGATGATTGGGATAGTCAGTATCATAAGGTGGAAATCGTGGGGACGCCAGGGCGAGGCGTGAAGATTGCTATGTTTGAGCCGACGGATGAGAAGGTGGAAGTATGAAGTGACAGAGCATTGGAAGTGATTAATCTTGACGACTCCCATTTTGAATTAATCTGAGTATCGTACATCAGACCGCAATATGAAGCAAATGACACCAGTTCTCGAGTATGCGAATGGAAAACTTCTCGTTCTGTATAATTACACGACGATTTGTAACAGCGTGACCAGCTGACATTTGCTTATTCAGACCAACAGGCTATGCAAAAGAATTCATGAAAGAACCCATGAAAGATACTAAGCGACAAAGGAATCGAAGCTAGAAGGAGTTCTACGTTGCCCAAGTCTCTCGTCTAGGAGACCGGAAGCTCCAGACAGGGTATACCGGTATTGTCTCAATCTCCATTGTTCCGAACAGACGAAAAGTCTCAATCCACCCAAAAGCACCATAAAATGGCCCTTCCAACACCCCTCACCACGGTAATCGATCCTTTCACTAGCACGACCCAGACGAACCATACCCACCACATGATCCCGAGCAGCATCCACTCTAGCAACACAAACCCAACTCGGCGCACCCATCGGAACCGCCTGCGTCGCATCCGGATCAGCCGCTCGACCCGCTCATTGACGCGACGCAGCTCCAGCGTGAGGTCGCGGGATAGAGACCCAGTGATGTTGTCCGCGGTATCGGACAAGAGGAGAGTATTCGGTAAGAGGTCATCGCTGGTGAGCTCGCGAAAGGAGGAGAGGTGCGTGGAGATGCTTGAGGCCTGGGACTGGAAGAGAGTGCCTTGTTGTTTAAGTGTAAGAGAGAGGTTGTTGAGTGACGAGGATAGAGTGCGGCAACCGATCGTGACCAGCTGGTGGTGCGACTGGCTGTGTTGCGCGAGGGTAAAGGCCTCCTGCATGGATTCGTCGATGGAGCGGAGGTTGGACGGCGCGAGTTCTTCAACATCGGCCTCGGAGAACTTCTGTCGCATCTCACCCAATATATTGTGGGAGATACATTCGCCATTGATGGCTTCGCGTAGGAACTCCGGCATTGCTTCTTGCTCGACATCATGACGACCGGGTGCCGCTCGAGCACCCCTCACATCGACTTCCCGCAAGTAAAGACTCCGGGCTTTGATCCCGGCACAAAGCAGCAGCGCCTCGATCCGTGCGATGCTCTTCGCGTCGACGGTCTCTAGTTCTTCATCCTCCCCTGTTATGGAGGCGTTAGCATCATTGCCGCTCACAATACTGCTTGCTTTTCGATTGCTGTGTTGCGAGATAGACCAGTGTCGGTGGGATCTTGGGTACATGGTGTCATCTTGATTCACAGAGAGCCCACCTCGACTGCGGCTTCTGCTAGCAGATAAGTGTGAAGTATAGGATCTTCGATCCGGGCGAACCCGTCCGGTGCTAGAGGTTCGGGCCCCTCTGCCCACGACAGCAGCAAGACGTGCACTCGATTTTGATGCTCGGTTTGTGTCCTTTCTGCTAGTTGGCTTCCACAGTCGCCTCGAAGCAGCGTTATCGACGTCCAAGAACTGGGAGTCATCTACGGCTTGCTCACTCGGCCATTTGGAGAGTTCCGGAGATGAAGCAGTTTGGATGCGCCCAAGGTCATCCTTTAATCGGTCGAGGCGGGGTGAGCGATTGGCGCTTTGTGCAGCCTTCTGGGCGGAGATGTGGTCGGGATTGGACGGTTCCGACATATCTTCTCGGATCGAATGTACGTCGAGGTGTCTGAATGTCGGCAACTCGCCCCGGTATCGTGGCATGGTGGTCTCTCGTCGGCGTTCCAGGTTAGATGTCGACTGTGTGTGAATTGCCGTCTTCTTTGACTTCATAACTTCATCATCTTCGGTCGTGTCCGATTCGTCCTCGCCATTGGTGTGAGAATCTGAATTAACATCATGCTTGTTATTCCCACGTCCAATATCGCCTAGCCGCCCTCTAAAAAATCTCGAAACAGATGATCCGGGCTCTTTCTCGTCCTTTGAGCGTTTCCTATAGCCGATAGGAGCCATCTGCCCAGTGATTGGCACGTCATCCTTCTGAACTGGCACAGGAATGGCCGACTTCGGGTATATTCCACCATTCGCACCCATGCCTTGGCTAGTACTTCCAGATCTCTCTCGTTCACCGCTTGCTTGCCGAGAGCTTCTGTCGTCGCTCTCTTGGTCAACCCGCTTCACCAGTTTGGCCAGCTCGCCGCCAAATTTCGGTAGATGCCTAGTAAACTTCTTGTCTCTCGTCGGGCTTTGTTTGCGGCTGGAGGCAGGGGAAATGACGGCCATGTTATGTGACAGAGCTTGGACAAGCGGAGAACTGGGTGTCGTGGAGTTGTTCCGATCGGCATCCATCGATGACCCTGTCGAAGGCGATTTCTGCCGCTGGTCGAGTTGGATAGTGGGAATTTGTCGACCGACTTGTTTCGGGGGAGTTTTCATGACAGCGAGTTCCGGCGAGGTGGGACTCGAGCTAGGTTGTGGCTCGTTGGATGGCTTTACCCCCTCCCTTCCCCATTTATCAGGAGTTCCCGGGCTAACTAAAGCTGTGGTGCCCTGATCAGGAGCAAGATGGGCGGCGCTCACGCGGAGTTGCTGCGCCATAAAGCGTTCCAAAGGCGCAGTGTTCTCCTCGCCTTCTCTGGGCGCCCTCCTCCGCCTCTTGCGCTCCTTGCCCTCATACTCCGAGTCCGTACTGCTTAATCCGCTCGAACTCGGGCTTCTGGCTCGAGCAGCCATGTTCCACGCTTGCTTGAGAGGGTTATTTCCAGACCCCTCATCGCGGCTTCCCTTGCCGAGGAATCGACGCTTGTGCCGCCGTCCTCGATTAGAATCCGGATCTCGTTCATCGCTTGGAATACTTGGCTCAGATTCCGTGGATTTTATAGACAAGGCCGTGTTCGATAGCGCGGAATTTCTGCGGCGGTGCGGGTCTCGAGGAACCTCCAGGCTAGGACGGACTTGGGAGGTTGACTCCGTCGCAGGAAGCTGCCCTGCGACGTCGGACTCAAAGCTCGGGAAGATTTTGTTTCCGTTTCGCTTTTCTATTTCAGCTTTGTGAGCATCTTGTTCAAGCCAGTATGCATCCGCTAAGAGTTCGGATGGCTCCGCGGTCCAATCCGGTTGTCGCCTTGATTTCCAGCCTGGTCCAATACCAGAAGTGCGCCCATGGCTTGTTGGATGCCCATGCTCGGCATATTGAGGTAGCCGGACGTTATCTCCGCCTCGGTAGTCCGGTTGGCGTGCAGCATGCTGAACAGTATCAATCCAGTACCGGACGCGTACGACGTCAGTCCAATGTTCGGGAGTAGGCCGTAACTCAATCCTAGAGCGGTTGCGTAACTTCCGGTCCCGGATTAATTGCATCGGATTATATTCGCGTCCAAGTGGGTGAACTTTCCCGGAGTGAGACGGCACCCTCTTCAGATCCACGTTTGAAGATCCAGGAATGCCCGTCGAAGTGTAATAGGAGTTGCCGGGAGCCTCGCTGCTCGATTTCAAGGGCGGTAGAAACTGCAACAACCTCCAATGCTCAACCTTCAGTTCCATGTATGCTCGAAACTTCTCCGCCCGCTTCAGGGTGGCATCAGAGAACGCGAAGTCGCTTAGCGGGACAACCGTAGGCGGTGAGCCGGGTATGGACAACGGTATCGACGTTGGGGAAGAGCTCCCAGCGCTGAAGGTCTGCGATGCTTGCCGTTGCCGCTGAAGATGTACTCGTAAATTTCCCCCGCTATAGTTCTGATGGATTCCAGCGCGGGGTGTCGGGGAAAACCCGCCGGAGGCGTTCCGTCCCCCGGTTAGAAACTGGGAATTATGGGAGGTTCTTCGACGCGTTTCGCTGAGGTTGAGGGCCATATGGACAAGTTGCATAGGGTCAATGCTCGACGTCGCAGATGTCGGCCGCCCGGGGTCGAAGAGAGCATCTTGGACCGGTTGAATTTCTTGATCATCCTGGTCCTGATGCTTTGTGCTTTCTCTCAGGTCCTCAGACATACCCGCACTTTGTCCTGTAGACGTATTTCTTGAACTGGTCGTTGAGTCTCGGTGTCTGTGTGGAGCAGATGGCGGTTCTGGGGTGACTCTTGGAGAAGCTCTTGGATAAGGATACGGTGCCTTTCCATTGCTCTTGCCCGACCCTCTCCGGCTATCAACTTGCGATATCCTCCCTGACCCCTTTGGCTCGGTGTGTTTCCCTAAAGAAGGCAAGAGAAACCCTCCTGTGCTCCTTGGCCGATGTCTTCGCAGCGTGCCCAACCGCGACTCGTTTCCCCCAAAGCTGCTCAACGGCGTCCCCTCTCGAGATGGGGGGCCCGGTGAAGGCGACGCTGAGAGTCGGGATGGAGTAGGACTTCGGTCATATCCAAAGCTCTGCCCGCGTTGGTCGGAGGTTGGAGTGGCATGACGGGAGTATGTAGTCGATGATGAAGGGTCGGAGGGGTGAAGTGACGACGCCATGGACAACCTTCCCGTGGAGGCATCCTTGGACATTATCTGGGAGCTGAACGGTTGAAGATGGTGAAGGTGACATATTTCCACATGTTTGCCCTATTGTGAGAGGTAGGGATCCCGTGGACGACTTCGTTGTACTTTGTAGATCAAAGCTAGGAGTTTGTTGTAGGCGGTGAATGGCATGTGATGCATATGGTGGCGTATATGTCATTCGACCTCGTACTTAATATCCCGTGCAAGTCCCGCCAATGTCCCGACCTTGCAGCGGATACAGCCGCCTACGCCAATCAACTCATTTCTCGCGGTATTGGGATACATCAAGGTATATGCATTTCCTGTGTTCCGTATTGTCCCATATTTACGCCAATATGAAACTTCCTTGCCTAGGATCTTGATGGAATGCTTTAAGGTTATAATATACATATATGTTTCTACTTGATAAGGAATAACTATTAGCAGCCAACTAGTCACTAAGTTAGTTACAGCATGTCATATTACATGAATAATTCGGAACCCTTTCTTTCCGGACCGAACAAGGAGGACGCCTTCAACCATGAATTTCTCCCATTCCGCAGCACTATCCAACCCTACATCTTTAAACCGCTTAAAGGTAACAACCTCCCCTGCATCCTCATCGCTAGCTCCCTCTGCGCTGGGCAGGCATCCGATATAAACTCCGCCAGCCGCTATCAACCGCGATGCAGCAGACACCGACCCAATATTTTCGAATCCAAGCTGTCCTAGGAGCCTCGCCGGTGGCAGCTCATCCAGTGAAGACTTCCGGATGGTCACTACTACGCCCTCCTTGTTGACAATCGGCGAGTCATTCTTCTCATTGTCACCTTTCTTGTCAGCCTTCTTGTCCTTCTTGTCACTCTTCTTGTCACTTGGTTCCTTGACATTAGGGAATGCTGCAACAAAGGCGCGTAAACCTTCTCTCGTGATCGGTTGGAACATCAGAGAATGCAACATGGACATTCGATTGGCAATCGGCGTTCCGTGCACCAAGTTCGTAACCTGCTTCGCCAGTTCGTGTTGGGCTATGCGTTTCGAGCGATCGAGGTTATGGCTTTCCATCACTTCGTCGACATTTTCTAGTGGTAAGAAAGTGAAGATTTTGAGCATATGTCCAACGTCCTCATCCGACACACCCACGAAATACTGTCATACTAGTCAGCTCGGCGGTTGCCAACGTGTTCGGGGACATACAGTATAGAAGTCGAAGGGGTCGGTGAAGTCCGGGTCCAGCCAGACGGCATTTCCTGCGCTCTTGCCGAATTTCGCTCCAGAAGACGTCGTCAGGAGAGGCACTGTCATCCCCGCAGGTCCGGAATGAATAAGGTCCCTTTCTTTCCCTTTGTAGGAGGGCAGTCGATTCTGAAACGCGCTCCACACGGCATTCGAGCCAGATATTATGTTGCCGTACTGGTCTGAACCTCCAATTTGGATATGAACCTTTCGAGTCTTCCTCAGGTGGAGCCAATCATGGGCTTGTAGGACGGGGTACATGAATTCGGATAACGACATGCCTTCTTTGCTGGCAACCTTGGTTCTCGCGCTGTTCACAGGTCAGCCATGGGCCGGACAAATATCCCGCGCGTTACTCACGTATCTCTTGAGAGCATGGCCCCGATGCGGAATGCCGACCCAAGTTCCCGCAGACTGACCATCAGAGACAACTCATGTAGCCACTTCGAGTTCGTAAGGACCGTATGCCTTGACGACGGAACTTGAGCTTCCCCAGAATAACTACGTCTCACACTGCGAGCATTGTCCGACATACGATGAAGCTTTTCGCATATCCGGCGGGTGTTGCTCTTAATTTCGTCGCGTGAAAGAACCGGTCTTGACGTGGTTCGTCCTGTAGGATCGCCAATGCCGGCAGTAGCATCTCCGACCTTCCATCTATCAGCCTTGTATACTTTACGCGACTTCCATGCACAACCATACCAATGCAACCGTATCGAACCCAAGCGATCCAGTCCAGTAGAGGGCCATAAGAGGGAGAAGATGGCCGATATGGAGGGATGGGGCCGTAGGATCGATACCGACATATACGCCGCATTTGAACGTCTCGGGATCGGCTGTCAACTTGGAGAAATGTCCCCTTGATCTAGCAGCATGCAATCCAGTCAGTCCATCGCCCTTATACGCCTACGGAAGGAAGCCTACCCAACGATCTGATTGACAAGACCTCGCGAGTCCAACGTCTGCAGCAACTCACTCGGCGGTGTTCGGACGGTATGCTCGGAGCTTGGGACAACATTTTCTTCGCCATCAACCGGTAAGGTCAAAGCCTTCATCAAAGAGGACTCTTGGCCGGTTTCATTCTGCACAGGATAGTTCGTCCCAGCGAGGGCTGCCTGGAGTGACGAGGCATGTCGTCGTGGTGTTGTGTCGCGAATGTGGAGGGTGCTAGGCCATTTCGCCAGACTGCCGCGACAGAAGCGTCCGGCTGGCAACATCAGGCATTTAAAAGAGCGACTACAGGTCAGAACCTCACGGGGTGGCCAATTGCGAGTGTAAGTTGGCGTACTGCGATACTGCGAGATCCGTATCGGATGTCTGTGGTAGAAAACTCGAATAAGTCGACTCAAGGTTGAACGACCGACATGACTCGTGCTCAGTGGTGGTTAGACTGGAGTCTGGGGAAGCAACCGTGGAACTGTTGTGACATCGAGAGATCGTCCCCTCTCTGCTTCCACCACCCCATCTTGAATAATTATTTGGAGGTTTCATAAACATCAAGAAGCCTAAGAGAATCTTTCCGTGACCCGACACTTGCAAGAAAGTTTTCATGATGTATCTGAATATCGTTTGTGATCCGCCGCTTTCGCAGTCCACCGTTATCCGCACTGGACAAGCTTCGGTATGGTTGACCTTTCTACGTCCTGCACTGGGAGTCATTCCATACATCTCTATATTTCATGAAATATCTGTACTATCTCTAGTGAAAAGAAATCTCTCAGACCGCTCATGGATATTGCACTTGTGATCCCTCTTCTTATTCGGACCGTCAACACACCATCCTGTTACATCGAGCTGACAGCGGTTAGGTCCCCTTTACTGTTGTACTAGAGACCGATCCATCTTCTCAGAAAACCTGGGAAGTTGGAGTATGGCACAATCTAAATCGAGAACATGATTGGGAGCTTCTCCCTCTATTGGGATCTCACTTCGACACTGAAGTCGTACGTTGCAATATGAACCCGCCATGGCCATTCAGCTTCTCATGTGCCGCTAGACAACATTGTCGAAGGACAAATCTTCAGTTCGGCGTCAACTTTTCACAGGAAAGCTCTGTGGGATACCGCCGAAATCCCATCCGGTCTCTTTCACGGTCAAATTCCGAGTAGCGTCTGCTGGACGCGATGACCAATGGCAATGGGTCCAAGACCGATTCTCGCTCGCAGACGGTCATCTGTACTATGCTGCTCGCAAGCCCAGTTCCGACCTGGATGAGTTTATATCTGGGATGTCGTCCGAACTCGATGTCGGTCGCGAACGCCCTGATACTGTTGATACTCGACTGTGGCGCGTGACATCCCGAGTCCCTGCTGCCGTAGGCAACAAGTCTTCATTCACCCAGGTGAAACTTGGCAAGGCCATAGCCTTCACCAGATGGTTTTCTTTGGTCCGTGTCTGGACGCCGTGGATCGGCCCTCGGCAGGGCAAAGGCCAGTTTAAACTCGACAACGACGCATTCCTGTTGTCGTTTCTCCGCCACGATGGCCTGCATGTAGTCGCTCTGGCTTTGAGTGGCATCGATGACTCAAGCACCTGGTTCAGGAGCGATGACGAGGGCAATGTCCTTATCGTGACGAGGAACGATGCTGCGGATCCAGGAAGGAGCCGGGCTCTGGTCGCTGTTGCCGACTCGTTCGAAGTTGCGAATGCTGCTGTGATGTACCACGCCAGGAAGCTCGTCATGGATCAGGTAAATTCTTGCGATGAAGAACATCGTCAACTCATGACGCAGAATGAAGATGAAATCAAGCCCAAATGGCTGGAAGACTGGTACGACGGATTTGCGTACTGCACATGGAACGGCCTGGGCCAGGACTTGAACGAGACCAAGATTTATGATGCGCTGGATGCTCTTGAAAAGAATGACATTCATATTACGAACTTGATCATTGATGACAACTGGCAGAGCCTGGATCGACCAGATCAAGGATCGTCTGAGCGTCGATGGATGGAATTCGAAGCGAACAAGCAAGGGTTTCCGAACGGCTTGAAGCACACGGTTGACACCATCCGCAAGAAGCATCCAAATGTCACCCATGTCGCGGTTTGGCATGCTCTTTTAGGATACTGGAGCGCCGTGTCTCCTAATGGCAAGATCGCGAAAGAGTACAAGATACGCAAGGTCCAAAAATCCCCCGGAGTCACCGGTAACGAGTGGCATGTTGTCGACGAGCAGGACGTACATCGCCTTTACGACGATTTTTACAAGTTCCTCTCTTCGTGCGGAGTTGACTCTGTCAAGACTGATGCGCAATTCGCCATCGACGAGATGACCAACGCCCCCGACAGACGAGACCTGATCCGGCCGTACCAAGATGCCTGGGCTATCGCGATCTTGCGTCATTTCTCGGCGAGGGCCATTTCATGCATGTCCCAGGCGCCGGTAATCATGTTCCACTCGCAGATGCCGACAAACAGGCCGCGGATCCTGGTCCGCAATAGCGACGACTTCTTCCCAAATGTCGACAGCTCCCACCCTTGGCACATCTTCTGCAATGCGCACAACACCTTGTTCACCCAGCACTTGAATGTACTTCCGGACTGGGACATGTTCCAGACCTCTCATCCGTGGGCACGATTCCATGGAGCGGCTCGATGCGTCAGCGGAGGGCCCATTTACTTTACCGACGAGCCGAACAAGCATGACGTTGGTCTCATTCGGCAGATGACCGCGAAAACCATCCGCGGCACCACCTGCATCCTCCGTCCGAGTACGGTCGGAAAGACGACTACGCCGTACGTCACCTACGACGAGGAAGTGCTCCTCAAAATTGAAACGTATGTCGGCAACCAAGAAACCGGAACTGGCATTCTAGGGATCTTCAACGTGAGCCGCCGCAGTTTGACCGAGCTCGTCCCGCTCGCCACGTTCCCTGGCACGGAGGTTGGCCGAAACGCTCGAACGCGACAATACATCGTTCGAGCTCATACCACGAACAAGGTTTCAAAGCCCATGTCTCTGGGCGAGAGCGATAAGGCCCGTTTGCTCGTGGATATCGAGACTGGTGGATGGGAAATCTTCTCAGCGCATCCTCTTCGTCCGTTCATGCTTCGCCGTCGCCGCGGCAGCACCTCCAAAGGGCCGACTCGTATCGCCGTAGCGCCATTGGGCTTGTTGGGCAAGATGACCGGAGCGGCCGCGATCATCGCCACGCAGATTTTCGTCCAAGACACGGGTCGATTAAGGGTGTGGGCGAGCCTAAAGGCCCTCGGGACCTATGGGCTCTATATTTCCGACCTGAAGGATCGGAACCTCGAAGAGGACTTCATCGCGATGATGTTCGGACGGGCTATCAATCCGGCTGCGGTGAAGAGAAGCGAGACAGATGAGAACGTGCTGGAGATTGACGTGGAGCGCGCTTGGAAGGAGAGTGGGCGGTCGCCGGGCTGGAGTAATGAATTGGCGGTGGAGGTCTTTATTCGCTGATGGACATCGGTTAACAGGGATATCAAATATCCTTCGTGAATGTTCATCTCGGATGCGCCAGAGCGCGGACTTCAGCACCAGAATCCAGTCTTAAAACGCATCTTTATCACCTATCAATCATCCATGCTCTTTGATCGTCTTACTCATAATGAAATATCCACCAATATTTTCCTCTTTCTCTTCGTTTAAAGGCTTCTTCTCGTTCTCATTGCCGTCACGACATCTCAATCGCCGAGTAACGCCGCCACCAGCCCTGCTCGCCAACACCTCTCTCTTCATCTCCGCTATCTCTTCCGCGGATGGGCTAACCTCATCCACCGCGTACCCCTCCCGGTCATAGAACCTTCGTCCCCCTTCATTTTCCTCAAACACCGTCAACATGACCTTCCGCGCCCCGATCCTCGCTGCGATCCCTTCCGCCACCCGCATTAACCGCTTCCCCAGCCCCTTCGACTGACACGATGGGTCCACATGCACCTCGTACACATAGAGCGCAATGAACGGCGCCGTCGTCTGCGGAGATTGTTCCTCGACCGGGAGAAACGACAGGAACGCGATCGCATCGGTCGAGTCCAGCGACTCTGGCCGCACAAGTAGGTATCTCATGCCGTTCTTCCGCATTTCCGCTCGTTTCGCCCGTGGGCGCCAGCCGAACACGGAGGTTTTGTAAACCTCGGAAGAGGTGAGCTCGACGAGGCGGAAACAGCGCGCGAAGTCGGGTTTGCTGATAGTGTTCCATGACGAATGGTCGAGGGAATCGATACCCTCGGCGGGCAGATATTTTTCCCAGAAGTCGTCGTCAGGAAGCGCATTTAATTGCTGGAGTTGGTGCTCTACTTCGTTGGCCATTCTAGGTTACAAGTATGAATAGATATTTGACCGGCTCAGCGAAGACACTTTAGCTGATTGAGAGTTGGTAGATCGTCATTATTGGCCTGTACATGTATTTAAATAAATGATTTCGCAGATTTTTGTTCTGGCTCGATCTGTGACGCGATCAAACGCGTCGTTACTACGCGAGTCATGTAACTAGAATCGTGAGGAGAACGTTTAGTTAGTTAACTTCATTTGCTGTTCTTCCCTTCCCAAATACATTCAACTAACAGAAATCAACTTTGTCACCATATCCATACACATTTCTGCATAGTGTCGATGCCATGATCAGATCGTGTGGTCGCCCTAGAAATGTGCGGTCATTCCACACCAGTTGCTCGAGATTCCGATCGCCTATAAGGCAGTTCGCGAGCGATGCAACCAGTCGGGATACCGGTGGACGAAAAGGAGTCCGGCTCCCAACACTTGATGAGGCACGCGATCTGATCTCAAACTCAAAGGCAGCGGCTGACTGTATTGTAGTGGATACAGAGGGAACGTGCTATTTCACTCTGGAGAGATATTGTGAGAGCGATAAACGGTATGTGCCTCTTGGTGTCAGGAGTATCTCGAATATAAGATGCTAAGGTTGTCTTAGAGGTTCCATCGAAATCGACTAGACAAGAACTACGTGAATTTGCTAGAGGCGAATTCGAGCGCCATAGATATGTCACGGATATTGTAATGTCCCCAGGCGTTATTCATTCTTTGACCTTACTGACCTGCATGGACAATTAGGGACATATTAGGTACTTGATATCTGTAAGTATTGGGGTTTTGGACTTTCTCGGTTGCTATCATGCATGATACGGAATTGACTGACCGACCTAGACCGGGAAAACGGAGTTTGATCATATGAAACGTTACGTCGAAGAGCAGGCTCGATGACGCTGAGTATAAATATGAGCCATCCGCAGGTGGAATCCTCGCTTTGCGACCTGCCCGAAGTCAGTTATATCAAATTCACGCTGTCGCTTTTAAGGAACGAAAGACCGTTCTTTCAAGCGGTAGAGAGCAATGCCAATCCCCTTGGAAAACCGATGGCAAAAGATCGGAAAGGCGCCGCAGGACGGAACTGGGCGTAGAGCCCACCCCACGCCTTCGGCGATTTGAGAGGAGGATGCCGCACAAGCCCTGGTACTCTGTGGTCTGGCGCAGCGCATAAAATTCGGTACGGACCACAGGACGAGAAGAGCAAATCCGCTGGTGATGCCTGTGGTCGTTCACGATTTGACTCGTTTCAAGGCCGAGCTAGGGAGCGTAGGTACGGCCCCAGGATTGCGCCGATGGACTACTTGGCTATCGCCACCACATCAAGAACACACCACCGTGGCAGCGTCGAGGAATCCGCCGGCTAGAAAATCCTGCGTCTTGTTCGGCTTGGGTTACTATAGCTCATGCTTCATACCGAAAGGTGCGGTGGGTCGATGCAAGCGGCGCCCGCAGCCATACGGTGATGTTAGGCAACATATCTCTAATGCTGCTGCGAAGTGGGAGCTACTCTCGTCAGCTTATGCATGTGGATCATATTAGGTTCCTCTATCACCAGCGGAAACGAAGTTGGGCTTGATGTGACTTCGGGAAACCGGAATCGCAGCACGGCGGGCAGGCGAGGACGGCCAGCTTGACAGCCGAAATATGAACTACTGCGAACGAATAGAATTATTCAATCCTTGCGTTAAGCTTCATTTTTCGGCCCCTCGCGGTATCACTCGTTCCATACTCCAACAGCTCCTCATTGAGGTCGAACAGTTTGTCTACCAGGTTTTTATCACAGCCATCATCCGCTTCCTTGCAAGTGATTCATACTTTCAATATGCTTGACCCAGTCTGCATACCGGGATGCTAAGCATGAACGGCACGAACCTCGTTTCCAGAACAGGTCTGGCAGGGTGCCACATCTCTCGAACACATTCAAGATCGATACCGCAGCGAAGTCTGAAAGACAACGCTCCAATCCCGGCTGTTGTTCCTTGCCCTCACTATACAGAGTCCAGCCGTCCCAACTGGGGTGCTCAGTGGCGATGCCGACTACCCTGCAAGACGGCCCTCTTGACCGTATGATGCGACTGGAAGTTGGAAAGCTGGATTCATGGAGCACCCTGACCATCGGGCAGCACCGCTACTAAGAGAGCCACCATATCTAGATTTTCGCCGTTCTCAAACGCCTCATCGCGGGGAACGAAGTAGTAGTGGTTGTATCCTGACCCGAAGACGGTCATGTTTCTACCAGCAACAGCACTGGAGGCGTTTGGAGCCTCATACCAAAACTGCGAAGTGACCGTGACGACCGCCGCTTGCCGCTGAGTTAGCTGAAAGCTAAGATACGCCTGAAACAGTGGCAAGTCATTAAATAAGGTATCCATGTGATGGCTCAATCGTCAGTACGCTGCGTGGGCAAAATACTGGGGTTGCTGTGACTGACAGCAGTGTAAGATTTGATAGAGAAGAGACCACAGGTTCTGGTCATAGTCCACGCTGATATGTTTGGAATGCCGTTCAGAGTCCCTCGAGACAAGGCCTAGTAGGGCGAATACTTTATCGTGCGGAATCATACAACCCAGCTTGCTGAAATTGCCGAAGATGGACTCAAAGTCCTTCAATGCACCTCCGTACCATTGATTCTTCAACATCGAGATCCAAGGCCAGTGGAGATCAGTCAAGTCTTTCTCATCGATCTTGGTGTTGGTGGTCACATGGCGATATCCAACGTCATGGATATGGTCTTCCTTAATAGGGGATTATAGAAACTGACGCTTCATATACCATAACTAAGTCAGAATGTCGCCAAGAAACGTGGACTATCTGCCCCGGCAGACTTTGGATTAACTGGGACATATAATGGATTTCGCGGTTGGCTACGCACGTGCTTAGAACAACTGAAGCTTGCGGCCTTCTACAAGGTAGTTCGTTGCTAACTTCGATATTCAGGCACAACTGAAATGACTCTAAACCCCAGAATTGAGAGCTGGATTACTCCGTACCTACCTTCAAATCCCAAACATTTAATAACCCCAGCCGGCCGGGAGACGTCTAACGCACTTCACGTGATCTCGGCCTCACCAATGACCCTGTCTGAAGGTGTCAGAGATCAGGATTTCAGGATATCTCTGTTTTTCGCCAGTTGCCGGTTTCGTACCCGTTACCCTCGTGTATGGCTTGTTTTGGTGGACCAGACCCCGTATTTGCCGTATTCTCCCCCACGGAACCGTGTCTCGCATCCTATAGTGTAACAGACCCCTCGTTCTTTGCCTATTGAGGAAGTCATGGCCTACGTGGCCATGATCTGTATACAGAATATAAGATGGGCGTTTTCGTGGTTTTCACGCTCACCAGGCCCAGAAGGAGCTTTTTAGCTGAGCCAGCGCATTCATCTTCTTTGCATACACAGTCGGCTAAGGAAAAACAATCATGGCAGCACCCTCATCACCATCACCAGTCCGCGCCTCCCCAAAAGTCATCGACTTACTCACTCGACTGCACAAACAATCCATAGACCAAGATCCTGAAGTCAACGCGACCCTAAATTCAGCCATCGAACTCCGCAAACATGATCCCACCGAACTCCACAAACATGATCCCATCGAATCCACTCGCGAGCTTAACGAGCTGATGCTGGATAAGTTCGTCGCGTTGGATCAAGACAAATGCGAATTTTTGTACCAACTCGTTCTCGCTACCGGAGCCAAGCATGTTGTTGAAGCCGGGACGAGCTTCGGCGTGAGCACTATCTACCTAGCGCTCGCTATATCTGAGAACTCGAAGGAGGGAAAGGTTATTGCAACGGAAAAGGAGGCTAGCAAGGCGGCAAGGGCGAGGGAGCATTGGAGGGAGGCTGGGGAGGAGGTTGAGAAGTATATTGAGCTTAGGGAGGGTGATTTATTGGAAACGTTGAAGAGTGGTCTTGAGAAGGTAGACCTTCTACTGCTGGATAGTGAGTCATCTCCATCATGGCACGATCGCGGCTAATGTGGCGTCATCAGTTTGGACTCCCCTGGTGCTGCCGACGCTGAAGACTGTGCAAAGTTGTTTAACGCCAGGTGCGGTGATTGTGGCCGACAACACTATCTCTTCTGCGGCCGGATACGCGGACTTCTTGAGTTATGTTCGCGATCCGGCAGGGCCGTTTAGAAACCTAACTCTACCATACACGAATGGTTTGGAAGTTATTGTGTATAGGCCATAAACCCTCTACCACGTCAGTCTAGCCAGTAGAATTGAAAGCACGAATCTCATCCTCTGAGATGTAGAATAGGTATTTGTACGGCTCTAGGGTATCCGCTGGCTATGAGTCTAAGTACTGGAGAGTGGTGAAATATACCTAGTTAACTTAACTTAACTTAGTTAACTAATTACTATTTAAGACTAAATCTCCATTTCACAAACCCACAGACTTCAATGGCATGCTTTCTACCTTTACCAACGCCCAACGCTGATCAAAATGCAGTTCATATTTTATCTAAAACTTCGGGGAGAGGATTGCCGGCATTCGTTTTCGCATTTTGAATTGTGTCAGGTCAGTCCTTTTAGTCCTAAATTCGTATACTGCGAGGGCTGCTATGATCAGATTGTAGACCATGGACACCGTCCGTAGATGCAGTAGGGACAAGTTTTACAATATGTTGTTAAATCCTCTCCGCCGAGGGAAATCTTCTTACAACCAAGACATGAGCAAGCAGTGTAAAGGCCCAGATGCTCGTTCCATTCCATCCGGGGACATTTAGAGACGTCGCAGCTCAACCGATGACTCTCAAATTCAGAGTAGCTCTCCCAAAACACGAAGCATCGCGAACATCGATAAGTACTGCTGACTTGAAGATGCGAGTCGTTGCCTCTGATGGAAACCCGCTTTATACAATTATGACAAAATTCAGAAGTGCAGCTGCTGCACCCGCGATGTATCCTCCTGTCATCGACCGGCATCAATCCATAGAGTGAGGGGCGTCTCGGAGAAGCAAGTCAATAGGAAGTCGAACAGGTTGCGGCGAACTGTGGAGCTCTTTTGATTTACACGTATCTCGAGGCTCGCCGTTGAAGGGCCTCACACGTAAGAACCGGCGATGTATTTGCCTTCTTTCTTCTTGATCAATGTGTTGAATAGCTCCAATTAATTGTTCGCCCTATTTGGATAGGCAATAAACGTAATAGTCGGGAGTCGTCACTAGATTTGAGTGGAGCATACTCGAGCGTCGTACTGGCCATCTTGATAGCCCGGAGACGCTCATTATTCTAGCCTAATGCCAGACCTGGATATTTCCGGGTACAGGAATAAATATAATCGCATCTTACAAGCCGTCATGTCAAGAGAGGGGTCCTAAAGCCCCGAGTTTTACAGACGCGAGGATATCGTCACAGATACAGTGTACACAGTCACTTCTTCATACTTTACACGGGATGTTATCGGGGCAAGTCGATCACCTGTGTAGTACATTGCCGCCATCATGCCCCTAACGAAGTGCCTGAAACAGTTGCGAGAGGAGTCATACCTGGCCTTGAACTGGTGAGGATGACTGAACATCATATTGGGAAATTTAGGTACCAGCAAGGTATTTAGCCATAGCCTCCTCGATTAGACCATTTTACCGTAGCGTCTCCAAAATAGAAGCATCTACTCTGTACTTTTGAAGCCTCAAGCCCACTTGTTCGATGTCTGTAACTGACGACCATCAGCTTCAAGGTGGCTTCACTCATTCAAGCAAACCCAACACCAAATATCAATTCAACCATTCCCTAGGCATGTGAGTTCGACTCGGAAGCCAGTAAGACTTTGGACTATCGTTCCAAGAAATTTTCAACTTTTGTCAGACGAGGGATGCTGTTTTCGGGTGAGGGGGAGGATCACTATGAGTATAAGTGTTACAACTGGGATCCTGACGTATAGGATGGGGGTTTGAATTCTATTCTAGATATACAGTGATACTAATGCTCTCTAGACTACAAGTATTAATACATCAGCGATAGCCTGCGCAAACAGTACGTCACGTTCTGATCCATTGCTCAATACACGAACAGGCTCGGCTAGAGCTATTCGCACGGATCCAAACACAGGACCTGCTAGAAATCCTCTCCAACCCAGCGAGTGCAATAGCGGCGGCCCGCTGGATAGTCGCACGCAACCTACTCCTACAATTCCAGTTCGCTAGCAAGATCGAAGAGGAGGACCGTTCCGGGTTCGCACCGTTCCAAGAGATTAGAGACGAATAGGGGGAAGGGAGAAGAATGGGATACGCCTGCGTAATACAGGTGGTTCGCAAGATATCCGCGAGAGCGGAAGCAGTGGTTCCCAGCAGTGAACAACAATTGAGGATAAAAATAGGGCTAAAGCGGGTAATCCGCCGTAGCGCCAGCGTGGTTTTCTAAAACGATTTCCCTACGGGGTTTTTTGTCCTCCATAGTAGCGACACAGCCTGCATGGACAAGATAGGACCGTATCAGGCGTTAAATAGACCAATAATAATAATAATAATAATAATAATAATACACCAGCGAAATACTTGGCTCGTTGATTCATCACATATCAACAAGCTCAATAAGCATGATTATTGTGTACCGGCACTCTCGATAACTTCTAAGAATCCTCCCACAAGGTGCAAGCTGCCTGTCACCAACACCTTTGCTTCCGTCTTCCCTGCAATTTCCCTCGCTTTCCCGACCGCCGCTTCAATACTGGGGAATATAGAAATCTCGGACGTCCCGTCCAGCTGCTTCCACACCTCCGCGAGCTGTTTCTGGACGGTCAACTCGGTGACCTGAGTGGCAGAAGCGTTGAGCGAGGCGAGGTCGGGCTTGTAGCCACTGTGGGAGGTCACATTGGTCGTGAAAATGACGTGGGTGAATGGACTTCTCGTGTTGAGTTTCGCATGCAGGGTGGTATGAAGAGCCGGTAGGAGGGTGTTCGGATCCCGAGTTTGCTGGTTGAAAAGGAGAATACGCGGTGGAATAGAAGCAGAGCTATTGCCACCATCCGTTGAGGAGGCTTCCTGTACTTGAGAAGCAAACCAAGTTGCCGCGACTCCAATGCTGTCCAGTGTATGTCCACCGTCGATATGCCATTTGATCTCCGATAGGGCTGGGTCGTCTTGCCGAATCTCACAACGGCCAGGCCATTTTACCGTCTCCAAGCCTCTCTGGAACCCCAATGGGAGCGATCCTGTGGTGAGGTCTTCTGTTGACGGCACCGTAGCAATGCCTGTTGATCTGAGATACTCTCCAGCCACGGCGACAGCGAGACTCGCGTTGCTCTTCTGGAAATCAGCGGCGAGTCCGAGTTTTAACGTCTCGACCTGCGGATGCCTCTGCACCACGGATAATGGGATGCCCTTCTCATCTGCCCGCTTCCTCAACACTCCCACCGCTGCTTCCGGTTGTGGGGAGGTGAACGCTAGCACACCAGGCTTGAAGATCCCAGATTTATGCCATGCGATCTCCTCGATCGTTCCGCCGAGCAAATGGACATGATCAATCCCGAGGCTCGTCACCGCGGTCGCGGCCGGAGAAACAATGATGTTGGTGCTGTCGTACTCCCCACCAATCCCGCACTCGATGACCGCGGTATCCACACCTTCGGATAAGAAGGTGTGGAAGGCCATGAGCGTGAGGTAGCGAAAATAGACCGGCTTTGCTCTTTCTTTCAGTCGCTTTGGCGGCCCCATCTTCTTCTCTGCTTCCTCGAGACGATCCCATACTTCAAAGAAATATTGTGCAAAGAGCGGTTCGGAGATGGGCTCATTGTTGATCTGGATTCGCTCGCGGACGGATCGGAGGTGGGGAGAGGTATATAATCCAACTTTGAGTGGCCGAGACGAGACCTGGTATTGCGTGAGGATGGACGAGACGAAGGCGCTTGTTGAGCCTTTTCCCTTCGTTCCGCTGATATGAATCGGTTTCAATCGATTGAACTCCGATGGCTATTTGGGGTTGTCAGCCCTATATTCCTTCATCCAAGGCCTGGGAGCCGCACACCTCATATCCCACCCTCCGCGACCAGTCGATCATCTCCGGGATCGCTTGCTGGTTGAGCTGGAGTCCATCCTGGCGAAACTTCTCCAAGACCTGGAAATTTGTCTGCAGTGTGTTCAACGCGGCCACGGCTGCCTATGCAACTACATCGTTAGCCGAGGGACTCCAAAACTTAGGGTTTCGAGATGGCGATGACGGACACTGTAGTCTCGTGCCATGGTGGCGTATGTGCGGTACGCGTGGTATTTTCTCGGCGGTAGGATAGGTGTATGACGCGCAAGCGTTGCCAATTTAAAAGGAATGGCTATTCGCATTGGTGGACAGGCCCAGGACGCGAATGATGCCGACGTTCATGTGAAGCGAAATGGATGGTTGAAAAGTCCACTAGCTGCCGGTTCTGAATTGAGGATGAAACAGGAGCTCTGGAGTCTGGAGTATGGAGGGATGTATTCCGTACCAAACCTTCGATAATAATCTCGATATGTAATAATAGTACCAAGGTGTCACGAGCTAAGTCCTAGTGAATCCGAACATCGGAATTCAGATCCCCCACAGGGGCCTCCAGTATCAGCTGTCGACTACCAGTACCACCATCTATCACCAAGCGATCGCGGGCAGAGTACTCCAGCCTCTGATCTTGCGGGGAAACATGTGGCTTATTCTTCGTCTCCAGTTATCAAGACGAATGACGAAACAAGTCTCAACTCTGGGGATACCCTTGCTATTTACTCGAATCCTATCACATTGTATATTCGTATTGCTCGGAAAACAGTGAAAGCATCAGCATACTACGTAGGCCTGTATGATACTAGATGGAGATTCCTGGTATCGCCGAGGTTTCATATGCGATGCCCGCCCGCTCGCCATGCCTTTCACATGGAGCACGGAGAGTTGGCACTCAACCTCCTCCGTTCGAGTTTAGTTATTTCAAAAGCCTCAAGTCCCGTTGGGTGACCATGATATAATCGAGATTTATACTGGTGGCCCTCTGTGTCCATTTCGTCTCGCTGTCTGAGCCCGTTGTTAAGAGGCTAAGCTAAAAGAAGATTCCCCTTGACCACCAGTTACCACCATCGCCGCCATAATGGCGTCTGGAAAGCTTCCATTGTTAATTGGGTCATCCCTAATCGAGTCTCTTGCTATTATTACGTTTCTCCCTCAATATCTCCCTGCAAACCCGCTAGTATGGACATTGTCACGAGTCTTGGCTGTGAATAGTGGGATTCTACTGGTTTACTTGATATTCATATATCCATTCTATATCAGCCCCTTGCGCCATCTTCCGTCGCCTGGTGTAAGTTGAACACGTATAAATCCATGGCTAGTTCTCGAAATTGACACTATTAGAATGGAATTCCGATTATAGGGCTAGGGGCGGCCATGTTCAAGCGACCCCCAGGGCAAGACTTCTTGAACTGGGTCACCAACGTCCCGAACGATGGCCTCATCCTCTTCCGTGGCCTCTTTCACAGGAACATTCTCCTCCTGACGAACCCAAGGACGATTGGAGAAGTCCTGGTGACCAAGTCCTACGAGTTCCAAAAGCCAACCAAGGTCCGGAACTTTCTCCGTCGCATCTTGGGCGATGGATTGATCATCGTGGAAGGCGATGAGCACCGATTCCAGCGCAAGCACATCATGCCTGTCTTTAGCTTCCGAAATATCAAGGAGTTGTACCCCATGATATGGGGCAAATCTGTTGCTCTGACTCAAGCTCTCAAGGCGGAACTCGAGCATGGCAAATCGGCTTCCACGGGTGAGCTGGAGCTCAACCACTGGGCGAACAATGTTACCATGGACATTATTGGTGTTGCCGGCCTTGGGCGCGATTTCAATGCGCTGAAGAACTCCGATGACCCCCTGATCCAGAACTACGAGGAGATTCTCGAGCCCACGGCCGAGAAGGTTGCGTTCTTCGCCTGCCAGATCATTCTACCACAATGGTTCATTGAGATGCTCCCGTGGGGGTTGAACGAGCGGGTGAAGGTGACAACCACTAATCTCACCAACATCTGCCTGCAGCTGGTCCGCGACAAGCGTGAAGCCATCAAAATGGGGGGAGAGGAACACTTCGATATCTTATCCATTCTCATCAAATCCGACAATTTCTCGGACAAGCAGCTCGTTGACCAACTTCTGACCTTCCTCGCCGCTGGGTAAGCCTCTGCCAGGCTCTAACCATCTTCATTATGCTGATTATGTTGACAGCCACGAAACCACCTCCTCCACTTTCACTTGGACTGCATTTCTCCTTGCCAAGTACCCCCACATCCAAACCAGGCTCCGCGAAGAAGTGCGCGCCTATCTCCCAGCTGACCCCTCCAACGAGCCGAACCTGGCTCAAATCCTCGAGTCCATGCCCTTGCTCAACGGTGTGTGCAACGAAACCCTCCGCCTGTACCCAACCGTCCCCATTACTGTCCGCGCCGCCGTGCGCGACACCACGGTCATGGACCTGCCGGTCCCCAAAGACACCGAGCTCGTCCTCTGCCCCTGGGCCGTCAACCGCTCTCCTCATCTCTGGGGTAAGAACGCCAGCGAGTTCGTACCCGAGCGATGGATCGATTTCGACGCCGGCGCGGAGAAGGAGGGGCGCCCGAACAATACGGGCGGTGCGAAGAGCAATTATGCCCAGTTGACGTTCTTGCATGGGCCGCGGAGCTGCATTGGGCAGAACTTCGCGAAGGCGGAGCTGCGGGCCTTGACTGCAGCGCTTGTTGGGGCGTTTGAATGGACGTTAGCGAACCAAAGCGAGAATGTGATCCCTGGGGGCGTTATCACGACGAAGCCGCAGAATGGCATGCATCTGAAGCTGAAGCCAATTGCAGATTGGTGAACATGGGAGACAGGGGGACGGGAATTGGAGTTTCAGGAACTGGTCTGTTTTGCTGGACACCATAGATGCCAGAGCACAATCTAGCATGATCGCGACGAATTATTGGACGTACAAATTTATCAAATATTATATTGCAATGACGCCAGGATGCTATAGAAAAGGCATAGTGAAGAACTAGGATATCTCAATTTGCCCCATCGTTCTCACAATGTGGTCCAGTGGTAACCGTGCCAAATAATCGTACCTCTCAAACCAATTCTCGTACAACCCGCTTGCTCTCAAACCAGATAAAGCAACATCCAGTACTGTTGCGTACGGTACCTCCCTATGTAAACGAATGTAGATTGCCCAGCAAATCCAAGAAGAGGCTCGCACGCCCAGCCGTGGACCCCTGAAATGGATCCCTGCCAGACTCCGCTACGTCTCTATGAACAAGATTAGCCACACACGTCGTATGGGCGTTTAAACAGCAACTTGGTTACTGAAGAACACCTCCTCTGCCTTATTCTTGACCGCATCGACAATCCTTTGCATGCCGCCCTCCGCTCCCTGCTCCTCTTTAGGCGCTGGCTTCGGCGCCGCACCTAGGGTCTTCAGCTCGGGGGTATGAAGGACTGCCATGCGGTTCTCTGCGCGGATACGCTTGGCGGTGATACGCTGCGGGTAGTTCCTCATAGACATGTTGGTGAAATGAGTGCCGTAGTGGATGCCCCTGGAGTTCTCATCGCTCTCAAACCCGGGCAGCGCCTCCAAGGTAGCCTGAAAGTTGGGCTCATGGAAGTAGGCGAAGGCGAAACGCTGGTCATTGTTGAGCCCGACCTTATGCGGAGTGGATGGGAGGTAGGAGTTGGTGATGTATTGCATCATGTCGCCTAAAACGATTGTTAGTTGTTGCTAGTTAAAAAAAATAACGAGGCGACTGGGCTTACCTGGGAAAACAGTGAAGACGTTAGGGACCGGCGGTACATATACCCAGCGGTGATCATTCTCATACGCGCCGGCGACGCTCTTCTCCCAGTTGGCGTACTTCTCGTCCTTGTACGGTGGGCGGATGAAAAGTCCTCCCACACTGTCTTGCGAAGCGATAACCAGAAGGCCATAGTCGGTGTGGGAGCCGATGCCACGGCCATCCTTCCCCTTGCCGTTGGTCTTGTCGCGGGCGGGGAAGCGCAGTACCCGAAGGTGGTGCCATCCATCTCGGGTATACTTGGTGAGTTCATTGATATCGGGCAGCTCAAGGCCACAGGCGATGAGCTGGAGGATCTTGTCACCGGAGTCGCCAAGATGGTTCATGTATGTCTTGATAGAGCTCTTCATCCTAGTATCTGGCCATGGACAAGGGCCATGGCATGGCCACTTCGCCTTCACGCGCGGGTCGGACTGAGGAAGATCCTTGGTGACGGTAAAGATTTCCGAGTAGTCGGCGATGTTGTCAGTGAGTTCTTCACCCGAGGCGATATATCCCGAGAAGCTCTGGTCATTGACACAGCTCGCCTTGCGGTCGTATGGTATGTCGAAGTAGCGCTGGGACGTCGCAAATGCCTTGTCTGCGACGCTGCGCTGGGATTCGTCCATGGATACTTGAAGGATCCCATCACGGCGCCATGCGTTGATCATGGCTTTGCCGAGAATAATGTCGCCACGGGAGCCAGTGACCTGCTGCGGGATCTCGAAAGTTTGGAAGGCTCCAGCTTTGGCTTTGTAGCCTGGAGGCATAGTCGCCTGCTTGTCCTGCATAGTTGCAAACGGCCTGGTGAACTTGGTGATGGCCTGGTAGCATTTGGCAAAATTCTTGCATTGGTAATTGCGGCATCCTGCCACAGCGGAACGAAGGGCGAGTGAGGCGAGCATTATGCTGGCGATAGCTATGCTTAGTGAGTAAGATAATTCTGGGAATAAACGAAAGTCAAGGACTGCAAACGAGTGACAAGAACAATAGAGTTTTGCAGTATCTACCAAACCACTCATTGCTCTTCCTTTGGGATGTCGATGATATAATCCAACAATGTGAGTCAAGCATCTCGAATCATAAAAGGGGCAAATAAAGGGAGAGAAAGTTATTCCAACAAGGAACAAAATTTTGCTTGAAAAATATGACTGAAGGGATAGAAAGAGGTTGTACATGTGACAATGAATGTGGATTTATACTTACTCAAAGTGGATATCAATATCAACAAGAACTCGAGCCGTCGCTGATGGGAAGTCTGCTCGGGTCCACCGAAATGACATATCATCTTGGACGTATCTCAGGGCCACCGGAGTGTAAATATATTCCCTCGAGCTGTTAATGCCGTTCTCTCCTCCAGAGGGACCGCCACCTCCTCCACTCAAACCTACCATACTTGGACTTCTTGGCCTATTCATCACAGGCTCGTATATCAGGTTATACACAAGCGTGAATAGCCGGCATTGTTGCAGTGCTCGTCGAGTGATTGAGCTCTCGGCGTATTCTCGCGTCTTAAAACACCAATGAAGATGTTCACGCGGTGAATCGGTCCGATGTGGCAGGGGATGCCATCATTTCCGTTCTTGCGTCTCCATGAACAGCTATCATGGAGGCCAACTAGATCAAACTTTTGCTCCATTTGGATAGAGCGAGCCCTAGACGTCTGGCACCGGATGCAATGCAGCCCTCCCCCCGATTGTGACGAAAAATGGACCACTGCGAGGTGCGTTGAGTAGTGATATGTTGTGTAACTGTTTTCGTAAATTCGGCCAATGACGACAATGCGACATGAGGACAATGGTGGCCTCTCCGCGGGCATCCTTTTCTCGGCCGCACATCGGTCGTTTCTTTCATTTGAATAGTCCGACGAGTCGACAGGTAGAATCGGGATGAAAAAGTAAAGATCGACAAACCCTCGCGTCTCGGACGACGCGCGCGGTTGGGCGGTTGCTCGCGCATGTAGTCGAGCGGCCGCAACATCTTTTTTGGCCTAAACAGGGCATTTCAGATCCTTCTGCGATGCATCCAATTAGGAATTCGGGATATTCAAGGAAGCGAATGCATCTACCCGAAGTTCTGTGGAAGAAACGGGCGTGATGGCGTAGATGACATATGCGCGCTCTGTACATGTGGATGCAATCCATTGGATAGCCAAATGTCTATGAAGTGACGCCTTGAAGATGTGCATTAGACTTCCGTTCTGTAAGAACCGTTGGAGCGTGGAGATAAGACTATTAGACGCCACCTGAGATAACAACATCAGTGGCGGGAAATGACGTCTGTCGCTGACGTTTGATCTGGGAACGCTCCTCGTTGACTCGGACAAGGGTAGAAGCGGAAAGATTGTAACAAGCGCTTAGGTTGATAATCGCTGAAGGAAAGGGTAGGCCGAGGAATGAGAGGAATGCCCTGATCGACCTAACAACTGCATCGTCAGTGAGCATGCATGGGGCGAACTAGAGGAACACTCTGCTTCTCCCGCCGCCCAGCGGATATCCGGATATCCCGCTTGAAGTGTTAATCACTCCCCAGGGTGAAGTGCCTGACCCCTTGCACTGGAAGAAATCCTGGTTCGAAATGCTGCATGTAAGAAATAGTCCACTGTGTAACCGGAGTGCAGACAACGCTCCCGGATGCTAGGTTTATATGTTTGCTTAACCAATCGTAATATTCTCAACGGCCACCTTCGACGCAGATCGATGTGCGCGATCATCCGTACAATCTGCTTCAGTGCGTAGATCATCGTTCGTGCTACCATGATCGTCGCTGCGCTGTACACAATAGTCGTATTTATTTGACTGAGAGTCTGAGACGGATGTTGAGGAAGGGAGCTTGCAGACAGCTGTAACGGAGTGGGGGACAGCGGCACAATCAAGCAACGGTTCCGGATCAACAAAAGCCTTCGACGCCGAACATAGCCACTCAGATTCCGAGTCTGGTCGGACCGGGCCTGGGTTGCATAGATGGGGCACCAGGGCTTTCCTGACCACTTCGACATATCAGACGACGACAATCAACTGAGCGTGTTCGCACACCAATTATATTGCCATAGTATCGAAACGGTGTTGGGATCTTGAGGGTCGCTCATATGCCTAAGTGCCGTCTAAAGATTCGTCGTCTGGATGGAGCTTGGCCCAACAGCCTTAGACACGTTGCAAGGCTTCTCTACCGTCGTCCAGAGCTCAGTCACCCTGCATATCGATGGTTCAGCAGCAGCGAGTGTGACTTCATTTGCAAGACTGCATATTCGAAGCGCGGTCAACCAGCAAGACTGCGTCGAAAGGACGTGACAGACCGTACACAAAGCCCGAGGACACCGATGTATTACAATGACATAACCGACCTATCCCAGCGATAGGCTGTCATATCAAGCCAACCAAATGAATCGATTTTTTGGCCGGACTTGACTTTGTGTAAATCAGGGAAGGTCCAGCTGACCATTAGTACTGCCTATGTAGGCTCCCGTCAGTTTAGTATCGCTAACGAGCAGCAGACTAGATTCGCAAATAGCCAGGCCCAACTCGTTTGCCTCCTTTCACATGGGAAGGAAAGTCGTCAAACAAAAATGAAGAATTCAGCATTCGTCATCGAGGCAATTGGAGTCCTTGATCTGGGCACCGTTATTTCTCAGCTGCATCCTTGTTTCTCCTTCCAGTTTTTTAATTCTGCCTGTCTTCCTTTTTCTTACCTCTTTGGATCCTTTCTATTGCTGCTTCCAAGTTTGGATCGAGGAGCTGCAGGATAAAACATCGAGACGGCAGATGCGGCCTGTTTCGGAGTCAGCTGAAGTCCGGGGCGGCGGGGCCTTTGGTTGTGATTGTTAGGCGGCTTGGAGTCTGGGATCCTTTGCTGCCCGAATCACACTTGCGTCCCGCCAATGAGTCCTAAAAATCGTCGGATTGGAAGAAATCGTAATTGGGATAGATTTTTCCCAAAGAGATTCTTGGTGACGCATTCGAGGGCTGATTCGGTATTTATACAGTGAGCACTAGCTGAGGAACTGAGCACGATGACCGTTCCTCGCGATAGAGGGTATGAGGCTGGTACCGAAAATGAGAAAGGTCCCTCGGCCACAGCCTAAAGGGGGGTGGTGAAACCTTCGAAATAAAAGTGATAACCAATATATTTCTTCACCAGCAATTTGGCTCCCCACTATCTGAACCCTCCATGCCAGATGTCCACTTCCGTGTGCTAGGTCTCCACCCTGGCATCATCCTCTGCACCACTCTTACTGCTATATTATGATCAGATAACAAGCGTACAACCTCTTGAGCTATCTCCAAATTTTCTGGTTCGAATGTGCTAAGGATACCCAGTGGCAAAAGGCCCTTTAAGAGAAAAGCAAGCCCTCATGTTGACCACAGCAGCATACATAGCATGCTCGATTAAGATAGTATAGAATGGAAGCAGTAGATAAAGGCCGCATACTGGTAATAGGAAAGGTTGAGAACCAGCAATGAAAAGATACAAGACGAATTTGGCTTGAGCATGTATCAAAACGAACAGGGCTTTTCAGACACATGGAAATTTTGCACCGGAATTAAAACAAAAGAGCCACACTGTGTTTGACTTTGGCAAATGCGCTCCCCAGATGTTGAATGATTGACTTGTACCGGTAGGTGTTGGGTTAAGGTACCTGTAGTAGTACACAAGTTTGAAGTTTGTAGCCTGGAAGAGGTATTATCCATGGATCCTGACGATTCTACAGGGTGCCCAAAAGGCTGGAGGTTAGTGCGCGTGAAAGAAAATAGGATATTAGGATTTAAGAGTTATTGCAGATGTTGAAGACATGAAGCTATCAATGAATCCTTTGATGATTTGACGTGGTGGAACTCATGGTAGAGGTGAAACATGCCAAGAAACCCGCTCAGGCAAAACGCCTGACCTCTCCGCCCTCCTATACGCGGACCAATACCACACCTCACACCGCCACACTGGCTAATCCGGGCGGAGCGGAGATCGGGATGGTTCATTGATGTGATGGAAACCTAGCGAAGGCAACAGACTTGCCATCAAGTGTCATCCAGATGACAACAAGGAGTTCCAATTTCACTTATATTCTCTCCCCACTCCTTCTACATACTCTGTTGTAACTGTCTTCTCTACAGCTGCATCACCGAATCCCTCATCGAATACCTCACTGAATACCTCTCACCCCATCGTCACAGCCCCTCAGTTGTTGACTAAGGCTTATCAGCGCCTTCCCATCGTCACCATCTCTTCCCCCGAGAGTTCCGAGCCCTCAACTGTCGTGAAAGTCGTCAAGCTGGGGAAAAGAAGGTTTTCCGGTGACGGCTGTCATAGCCCTAACAAAAAAGCTATGACTGTAAGTCTACCTGTTGGCTATTCACTTAGTGATGCTATATATGCTCTTGATCCCCCTCCAAGCCTCAAGCCTGAGCTTCAAAGCTCCGAGTGCTCCCGCCCCAGTCCTTTACTCGCTCATCTATCGCTACGGCTCTTTGAGACACCTACTAATACTATTCCAAGGAAATGCAGGTCGACAGCCCTGCGGCGGCTGCCGAGCAGATCAAGAATTCGAGTGGCGAGATCGATGAGGGCCTGTACAGCCGGCAGCTCTACGTCCTTGGTCATGAGGCTATGAAACGTATGAGCTCTTCGAACGTCCTGATCGTCGGCTTGAAGGGTCTTGGTGTCGAAATCGCGAAGAACATCGCTTTGGCCGGTGTCAAGTCTCTCACCTTATACGATCCCCGCCCCGCCGAAATCTCCGACCTCTCCGCACAATTCTTCCTTTATCCCGAAGATGTCGGCAAGCCTCGAGCGGACGTGACGGTCCCTCGTGTGTCCGAGCTGAACCCCTACACGCCTGTCCAGGAGCATCCGGTCAAAGATCTGACATCGAACCTCGAGGAGCTCAAGCGATATCAAGTTGTCGTTCTCACCAACACGCCGCTGGCAGATCAAATCAAGATCTCCGAGTTCTGCCACCAGAATGGGATCTTCGTCGTCATCGCAGATACTTTTGGGTTGTTTGGCAACATCTTTACTGATTTCGGAAAGAACTTCTCTTGCGTGGATCCTACCGGAGAGGAGCCGTTGACTGGCATTGTTGCCGGCATTGACGACGATGGTCTTGTGTCTGCCCTCGATGAAACGCGACACGGGCTCACCGATGGCGATTACGTGACTTTCACCGAGATCGAAGGCATGGAGGGGTTGAACAACGCTGCTCCCCGCAAAATCTCCGTCAGTGGACCATACACTTTCAGTATTGGCGATGTATCGGGGCTTGGCCAATACAAACGTGGTGGACTATACACCCAGGTTAAGATGCCTAAAATCATTGACTTCAAACCCATTACCGAGTCCTTGGCTGATCCAGAATTCCTCATCTCCGATTTTGCGAAGTTCGATCGTCCGGCGCAGCTACATGTAGGTTTCCAAGCCCTCCATGCATTCGCTGCAAACAACGATGGCAAAATGCCTCGCGCACACAACGACGAAGATGCGAACGCTGTCATCAACATTGCCAACGATCTGGCTAAGAAGGCAAAGGAGCCTGTGGAACTGGACGAGAAGATCATTCGAGAGCTCAGCTATCAGGCACGTGGTGAAGTAAGTCCGGTGGCAGCTGTTTTCGGCGGCCTTGCTGCCCAGCAGGCCCTTGAAGCGGTGTCCGGCAAGTTCCACCCTATCGTCCAGTGGATGTACTTGGATTCATTGGAGTCATTGCCTACGTCGTTTAAGCGGTCCGAAGAGCTATGCAAGCCTCAAGGAACTCGTTACGATGGCCAAATCGCGGTCTTCGGCGCAGAATTTCAAGAGAAGATCAGCAATATGAAACAATTCCTGGTCGGTGCTGGGGCCATCGGTTGCGAGATGCTGAAGAATTGGGCTATGATGGGTCTTGGATCTGGACCGAACGGTCACATCACGGTGACGGACATGGATCAAATCGAACGGAGCAACCTCAACCGACAGTTCCTCTTCCGTCCCAAAGATGTTGGGAAACTGAAGGCCGACTGCGCGGCTGAAACTGTGCAGAAGATGAACCCCGACCTCAAAGGCAAAATAACCCGAATGAAGGATCGCGTTGGACCGGATAGCGAGCATATCTTCAACGAAAACTTCTGGGAATCATTGGATGGTGTGACGAATGCTTTGGACAACGTTGAAGCCCGTACATATGTGGACAGGAGATGCGTGTTCTTCCACAAACCCCTGCTCGACAGCGGCACATTGGGCACAAAGGGCAACAGCCAGGTCGTTCTCCCCAGACTCACCGAGTCTTATTCAAGCTCCCAGGATCCTCCTGAGCAATCGTTCCCGATGTGCACACTGCGAAGTTTCCCCAACAGAATTGAGCACACGATCGCATGGGCCAAGGATCTCTTCCATACGTACTTTGTTGGACCCGCTGAAATCGTCAATCTGTACTTGACGAAGCCTAACTACGTGGAATCCCAACTCAAGCAGTCAGGCAACGAGAAGCAAACCTTGGAGACCTTGAAGGAATTTTTGGTCACCGAGAAGCCACTGACGTTCGACGACTGCATCACTTGGGCACGGATCCAGTTCGAGAAGCAGTACAACAATGCGATTCAGCAGCTGCTCTACAACTTCCCCAAAGACTCCCAGACATCGAGCGGCCAACCGTTCTGGTCCGGGCCGAAGCGAGCTCCTGACCCATTGAAGTTCGATCCCAACAATCCAACGCACTTCACCTTCATTGAAGCGGGAGCCAACCTCCATGCGTTCAACTACAAGATCAACCCGAAGGGTGTTACGAAGGAACACTACCTGAAAGTCCTTGCCGACCAAATTGTTCCGGACTTCAAGCCTGATCCAGGCGTCAAGATCCAAGCGTCGGACAACGAACCGGACCCCAACTCCGATGCATCCCGAGCCAGCGGCAACGAACTCTCCGATATAATCGCCAGCCTGCCTCCTCCCAAGTCCCTGGCCGGCGTCCAACTGGAACCCGTCGAATTTGAAAAAGACGATGATACCAACCACCACATCGACTTCATCACCGCGGCCTCCAACCTGCGTGCCGAAAACTACAAGATCGCGGAAGCCAACCGCCACAAGACCAAGTTCCTCGCCGGGAAGATCATCCCCGCCATAGCCACCACGACCGCGCTGGTGACCGGCCTCGTCAACCTCGAGCTGTACAAGATCATCGATGGAAAGACCGACCTCGAGCAGTACAAGAACGGGTTCATCAACATCGCGCTGCCCTTCTTTGGCTTTAGCGAGCCGATCGCGAGCCCGAAAGGCACGTACAAGGGGAGTAATGGCGAGGACGTCGTGATTGATAAGCTGTGGGATCGGTTCGAGACCGAGGATGTGACGCTGCAGCAGTTCGTCGATGACTTCAAGGCGAAAGGGTTGGATATCACGATGATCAGCTCGGGGGTTAGTTTGCTTTATGCAAGCTTCTATCCACCAAGTAAGCTGAAGGACCGCCTGCCTTTGAAGTAAGTCTTCTCTCTGATAACTCCCACTTCTTATGCTAACGAGTTCTAGGTTGAGTGCGCTTGTGGAAACCATCAGCAGGAAGCCCATCCCCGAGCACCAGAAGAACGTCATCTTCGAGATCACTGCCGAAGATAGTACGGAGGAGGACGTGGAAGTCCCGTATGTGATGTTGAAGTTGAGGAAGTAAAGACCCTGGATGATTGCAACGGCTACATGAGCAATGTTTACTCGGACGCTGTCTATAGCAGCGATGCGATGGATTACGGTGGGGTTGAGGAACCAACCAAGCAGTGTATTATCCTATTCTGCAGTAACCATAGATAGACATTAGCTATACGGCACAGTAACGAAAATGTATTTTTCATCTACTTTAATTGCCTAGTAGAAGTGATGGAGACCGTCGAACAAGCATATATTGTAAGAAATGAGAGCCTGATCTAGAGTGATTCCATATACCATGCATTTGCCAAACTCATACGGTACCGTCCATGCCATTGTGATCATCGCCCATAAGTCATGAACTACAAGATCCGCGCCTGCTTATAGCCGTATCGCACACCATCTCCGACGTGCCGCGCAGAACCAACACGGAACGCCAACTCTCGCTGAAAGACATGGTAAATCACGCCCAAGTACGCCAACCGCAGACACACGACAGTATTCCCACAGTCCGATGCGATCACAGCTTGACTCCCCACACCCCTCGTCCACCAACCACACCCACCCACTCCCCCCCATGCCCCGTCAACGAACTATGCGGCGCCCAACTCAAATTCGACACCTCATAATCACACTTCCACGCACTCATCGGCCCCTTCGCCGCGACGTTCCCTCCCTGTGCCTGCCCCTGCGCCGGTCCCTGCGCCACCGTCTGCGCACCCGGCCCGTTCCCTCCCGCCCCATTCTCCCTCGCGCCGCCCGTGCCTGCGCCGCCCGTGCCTGCGCCGCCCGTGCCCGCGCCGACCGGCCCATCCAACGCAGCGCCGCTCCCGCCGAGCAGATCCCAACCGAGCACCTGGCAATCGTCGGCGCCGGTGACGAGGACGCCGCGGCGGCTGGGGGCCCATTCGACGGCGTTGACGGCGGCGGAGTGGCCGCGGAGCTCGAGGAGGGCTTGGCCGGGTTGGCGGACGTCGAGGATGCGGACGATGGGGGAGTCGGCGGCGAAGGTGGCGAGGAGGTGGGCGTCGTGCGGGGAAGAGGCGAGGCGGAGGAGGGGTGGGGGGGTGGTGAGGGTGTGGGAGGTGGCGCTGGATGAGGTGGTGGCGGGCGTTTTGGTTGGGGAGTTTCGGGAGGGGGTGGGAGGGGTGTCTGTGGGGTGTTAGTGGGGATGGAGGAGGTTAGGGAGGGGGTGGAGCTACCTTTTGATGGGTCGGGTTTCTCGGCCGGTTCGTAGATGATGGTAGAATGCTCGAGGCTGCGGAGGTCAAACATGCGGACGCTGCCGTCTGCACCGCAGGAGACGAAGACATCGACGCTGCCAGCGCAGAAACGGACGTCAAAGACCTCCTTGTCGTGAGCGATGAGTTGGGTCTTGGCGGTAAGCGTCGGTATGTCCCAGATGGTGCATGTGGTATCGATACTGCTGGTGATGATGAGCTTCGGGGAGACCTGGTTCCAGTCAAGGCTGGTTAAGGGAGCCGTGTGTTCCGGTGTTTTGGAGTTCGAGAGGAGAGCGAGCGGGGTTAGCTTCGCCGTGGGCGGACCGCGCTGGTTGGCGGTGGACGTTCGATTAATGCTGTTCGAGAGGGTCTGGGAGCTTGCTTGGGAGGAATTCGGTAGTGACCATAACCGTAGATGGTCGCCTGCTGTTGCGAGGAGATCCGACTGTTTCGATGCCGAAGGCGGTTCCCACAGTATGCGGGTGACGGGGTATGAGCACGTCGCCTCAGCGACTTTGACATATTCAACGCCATAAGGTACCCCTCCCGATGTATTCATGTCTTGCTGGTTAATCTGAGTGTCAAGGATTTGGATCTACAATGCACTTGGTCAGCATATTGCTGTCCCTCAAAGTAGATAGGTGAAAAGCGGGCAGACTCCAAACGACGCATCGTGAGTATGTCGGGCCACGATCCCTTCCAGACATGATGACACTCACGAAATTATGCGGATCTTCCAAGTAACTCCCAATTGCCATCTTTCCCGCGCTTCCCAGCCCACCGGCTCCTCCACCAGGGGTGCTTCCACCATGCACCGTCCACTTGCACCAATCGAACGCGAATATCGGCCAGGGCGCGACATAGCTACAGTTCCCAGGAGTCACGTTCTCGCGGTAGGTACTCCCCATGCTGATGTCATGATTCTCGCTGTTGGCACGCGGTCGGATCTGGTCCAGCGCGAGCGGCATGCTGTGGGCGTGGGAGGGTGGTGGACGAGACTGCGGCGCGGGGGGCACGCCGCCGCCTGCTTGGAGGCTTTCGGGAAGGGCTTGATTCTGCATGGGAGGCAGTATCGGTATAGAGTCGGTAGGAGGAGAGAAAGGATAGAGGGTAGAGGGTGAATAGAGGGTGAATAGAGGGTGAATAGAGGTGTGATTCAGGTCATTACCAGCACATCGAATGGCTTTTACAGGGATGAGGTTGATGATTGTTGATCAAATGGCAGGGGGTGGAGACTGGAGCTCCTCACACTATGGAACCCAAAGCACACGGCATCAACTCCTTGTCATGGACAATCGGTTAGGATGTTTTTCAAGCAAGAGTAGTGTAGATGAGGATCGAACAGTCTCAGTACAGTTGAAAATATTAAGACAAATACATCGTTAACTCATTAACTTAATCGTTCAACTAATAGCAGGCCATCCGAGAGGCTCCCCAAGTCATACCATCATCCTATGTCACCGCTGTCCCTTCTATAACTTCGGCTGCTCTCTCCAACAGCCCATTGAACTCCTTCAATTTGCCGAGCAACCCATCATCCTCTTTCCCACACACCCTCATAGCCACATCCTGCAGCTGCAGCGAGAGCCTCTCGTTCATGTGCGACTCGTCCTGCCCCGTCTCCTTAACTCCATCCTGCACCTGATCCAACGCAAAACCCACCCGCTCCCACCGCCGCACCAGGTCGCGTCTCCGCACTGTCTCCTTCTCCGCACGCGAAAACCGCGCCCGCACTTCGTCCATTCGCAGGGCCGCATTGTCTCTCTCCCGCCGCACGGTCATCAGCTCTTCCCTTCGCAACGCAAGGTCCGCTCTCGCACGCCGCAGCCGCGACTCGAGTACGTCGGAAGCATATGCCGTTTCGGCAAGCTCGAAGAGAGTGGTTTGTAGGGTTGAGTCAAAGGCACGGAGAATGTTGGACTTGCGAGCATGGGCTGCGGGCCCAGTTGGTGGCTGTTGGATGGCAAGGTGCGTTGCAAGGAGCCGATGGGTTAGCTCGGAGGTGACTTGTGCAAGGACCTCTGGAGCGGTGACTGCGGTGCTGGTTGGATGGCTGGGAGGGGGGTTGGCGAGGCGGTGCGTAGTGATGGGGATGGAAGTCCCTGACGGTATCGCCACGGGATCTGGTGACGGTTCTCGAGAGGGAGGTTGAAGTTCCACCTGGATGGTGATCCGCTGCCGTTTGGTTAGGGCGAGTTCTGCCGGCAATTCATCTGATCGACGCTTTCGTGGGATGTAGTGCGTCTCCGGTTCGTAGGATGGGTCGGTGAATGTAGTCATGGCAGACATGGCTGGAGAGGGGGCAATGGAATCTTCCAACGCGGCATGCAGGAGCTGCCTTTGTGGAGGGTTCCGTCGGCGTGTTAGAACATCCTCATCAAGTTCGTCACCAGTACTGGCGTCATCGATTATGGTGGCTTCGGGTCGATCGGGCTCCATTTCAGCTGTGATTCGAGAGGATGGGTGAAGACTAGGTGTCCTTGGTTTAGGAGTAACGAACAGCGGGGATGTAGTGATGGGATTTCGGGTAATCTCAGCAGCGAGGCCTTCCCGCTCCATACGTTGGTTGTGGACTGGAGTCCCCAACATTTTATCAATGTGACGTTCGATAGAGGCGTCGTCGACCGTCGATTCATGATGTTTGTCGGGCTGCCTATGCGGCGATGCCGATCCCAGAGCAGCAATCGGCTCTGTTGATTTCGGGGAGTTGAGGATCGCTTCCTCCAAGTCCTCCAGAGGCAGTCTTGTCCGTCTCCGGCCTCTTTCGACGCTAGGCGGAGCGTGTTCGGATTCGGTAACATTCTCTTTGCCCTTCAAGAACGATTTCGTCTTGAGCGGGGTGCCAATATTGGCCGAGGGAACAATACTCCCTCCCATGGACGCTCTGGTCTTCCCTAAGTTCAGACTACTCATACTAAGTCGTCCGTTTGATGCCGCCGGGAGCGGTTTGGAAGGAACCACGTGGTATTTCTTTCCGGTCGATTTGGCCTTTGCGGATCGTAATGTTCGCTTATTACCAAGTGTTTTGGGCCCCTCGTCCTCTTGTTGAACTTGGCCATTTTGACCTAGTGTCTGCTCCGGTGTGTGTTGAACAGGTATCTTCTGCTGCGTACGAACATTCGGGGTTCGTTGCTCGCGCTCTTCTGCGACAAGAGGATCCGTGTCGTTGTGATCGCTAAGTGCCCTATTGCCTTCTGAAGCCGACACAACTACTTCAGGCTCCTCCTGGACGGGAGCAAAACCACCGGAGACCTCACTATCGCCTTCTGCTTGTGCCGACCATCCCGCGTTCTTCGTAGATGTCGATTTCGTTGAAGTTGCGGGAGTCTTTCTGGCACTCCTTGTTTTTGTAGAAGCTGGCGTCTTCTTTGACACCCCACTCCCTCGATTTCGGGGAGTCTTCCTTGACGACGGCTTTGGATTCAATGGCGCAGGTGTTGGAGCCTCTCTCGGCGGAATCGATGGACCAAAGGAGAATCCGAAGTCCGCATTCTTGATTTCGCGTGTGCCTGCGCCTCGCTGGCGGAGGAGTCGTCGCTCTTGTCGGTCTGATATTGCGATTAGCATTGGTGAAATCCAGGGTTCCAGGTCATTTATTACCATTTGGCGCCATTTCCGTTCATGCGCATGCCGACTTGCATCAGTGCATGTCAAGAATGATTGAGTTTTTGACAGAATGCAACACTACAGATACAGTGCATCTCCACAACCGCGACATGGGACGCGTCGAGGGCATTGGAGGTGGAACTGAGTCAGGTGTAAACAGTCTTGGCGTTGTACAATGATAAATGCGCGAGTCATGTGGCCTCTCCTCTCAGCCTACCAGTTGTACGAGCTGGTCACGTTCATTGTTCACAAGGCAGCATCATCCTCGGATTACATCGCTATACGGGGATATATTAGCGTTATCTCGAGGTTAAAGCGTCTTTCTTTCCATCACTCCGACTATGAAGCCGCAATTCCTTTCCCTGCTGTAATCCGATGTCTGCATTCCGCTCCTGGCTCCCTCCTTCAGGAGTCCATCGCGCAACCCATGAACTCCCACTGTATCACTCTCCACCAACCTCTCCTCCTCCAGGTCAGCGGACGCTCTCTCCTCATCAATCAGCCCCTCGTGCGTCGTCCTCGCTGTCACCGTATCGTAGGACAGACAGCCCTCGAACTAATCGAGGACAGGCCGCGGAATCGATCCATGCCTCCACGCTTCGACTCCAGCATGCACGGGAAACTCCCACCGAGCTTCTGGCTCTCGAACGAAAGGCCACGGAGTTGCAGGAGAGGCTCCAGCATTTAGTCGACGCGCAGTCCGAAGCTCTCCTGGCGGTAAATGGCCCTCAAGGAGCTACCGATCCCGAGCTAGATCCCGAGCTGGGAGACTTCCCTGACTACCTCGACGATGCCGACAACAGCAGCTTGACCGGAACAGCGTGGAGCACGCCTTCATCTAGGTCTCCAGCAGGCCGCGGTCATCGCCTGCCACCGCATGTATCAGGGAAGCCAAAATCCCTCCACTCGACGAGACACAATATCTACAAAACCATGCTACGGCTCTCACGCCTGAAGTCTCGCGAGCATGAGCTCCTAACACCGCAACTATCCTCCCACACGGCCAACCTCCACCGGATTGACACCTGGGACCGCCAGAAATCACGCATCGCACGCGCCGCGTCCGAACTCCAATTCTCGCCGGATGGCCGACGCGCCCAAGAGCTCGGGGAGGAGGTGGATCGTGTAGATCAAGAGATTGAGGAGCTGCAGACGCGGTTGAATCAGCTGAAGTCCCAACGGGACAGACTGGATGATGAGCATCAAAAATTGTTGAATCGCTTGGAGGCACAGCAGGCGAAGTTCCGGCGAGAAGAGCAGAACGTCGAGGCGGAAGTCCGGGACTTTGTGGGTAGAGCTCCGGAGAACCTCGGAGATGGTGCCAAGGGTGGCAATGGACGCATGGGATGGCGGACTCGCGAGGATGTAGATAATGCTGATGGACAGGGAGCGATCTGGAATATCAAGCCGGAACGACGGACGTTGGAGATGGCGAAGGACTATTGGGAATGGCGGTTGGAAGGCTCAGAGAGACGGGTTAAGGCTGCTGAACGCGAAGAAGATGCATTAAAGGACGGTGCCCAGATATGGCGACAGGTCGTTGAGAGAGTCAACGAGTTCGAGAGGTCACTCCGAGAGTCTCTCCAAGCGATCGCTGCGTCCACAAAACCTGGTGCCAATATGGAAAGCGTGTCGAAAACGTCCCGATCGATCCAAAACGCTATGGACGAGGTGGCATCCTACCTGGAAGAACAGCACGAAGTATCCATCCAGAAGGGCTGGAACCTGCTCATTACCTGTATTGGAGCCGAATTGGAGGCGTTCAGGCAGGCGCAGGATGTCTTGGGTCAAACGCTTCAGACATTGCAGCAGACAGAGTTATCTGAGCTGCCGTCATCGCCGTTTGGAAAGGGTTTAAGGAGGCGTAGCAAGCGTATGTCACAACCGGTGAGCGATGCATCGACTGCGACAGTCATCTCGCCTTCCAAGCAAGTTGTCATATCGCCATTGGATGATGATTCTGAGGATGCGGATCCAGATCCGGATTTGCTAATCTCACATCTGGACACGGATCCGGAATCATAAACATCATCTGCAACACAGCGACATACTAGGTAGCAAATTAAAGCAAAGCAAGATACTTCAATTGTTACACGGAACTAAAGGTACAAAAGAAAGTCGACCGCTGTCGATGGTGATCCTACTATGTGAATCGCTCCAACCCAAATGACCGCTACACATAACCGAAACGCCTCTCTGATCACCAGAGCATGTCCACCACCAGCCCACAGAAAACCCAAGTCAATCTGAACAAAAAAAAAAGGGGTATCTTTTACACTTCTTCCGCTTCCGCCATGATCCTCTCCCCTTCATCCAGCAAATCCATGATCATCCCCAGATCCCCCACCATCTCCTTCGCCTGCGCCTTCAGCAACAACTTCTCTGCATTGGCAGGCAAGCCCAGGAATGCGGGCGGTTCTCGCTCAGGCAGGACGTTGACCCAGTCCATAAACGCTTTCCACGACGTTTGCGGCGGTACGGCGAGGCCATTCTCCGCGTCTTTGCTCGGCTGAACGAGGAGATGGTTTTCCTCGAATGCATCGGGCGTCATGAAGGATGAGACGAGATTGCTCAGGACCGCGTGATCCTCTTCGTCATCGATTTTGCCGCCGTACATCTCCGTGATAAGAACGCGTATGATGTCCCATGGGATGGAAGTGGGGTTGATGTTGGAGCGGGATTGGGCGGCGGAATCGACCCAGTAGTCAATGATAAATGCGCAGCATTCGTACTATTGAATTCGTGTTAGCGACAATTGAGGATACTTTGTGAGGCGGAACACTTACGTCGCTGTCATTGAACTCCCAGAACCCCTTCCAACCCAACCGCGGCGCATACCGCAACCTCTCCTGCACCACCGCATGTAGGAAAGAGAGCAAAAAGTATATTCTTGCTCTCTCGACCGGCTCCTGCGTAGCTCGGTTCGCCGCGCTAGCAAGCGAATCTTTCATGTTCGCCCGAATGCCTGCTGGCTGCTCATACATCAAGACTCGGCTTGCCCGGAGCAAATTGACCGGGATCTTTGGACTGGTCTCCATGCTCAAAAACAGGCGGAAATCCTTGTGCGGCTTCAACGAGTCGATGCGTTTCTCAAGACTCTGAAGCCAGGTGGGTGCAAGATGCACGTTTTTGACGAGCACCCACGAGCCGGTTGCTGCGGCGTTGCTCACTGCCTTGTCTGCACTGGCGAGGCCTTCCGAAGAACCCATCGCAATGTTCGTGCAATGAACACCCATGCGCTCGACGAGGTTGTCGACCTTGTAGCTGGCGTCGAAACCAGGAGACGAACTGAGTGCGATGGGCGTAGTTGACTGGACTTGGTCCACTATATCGCCCAGATCTCCAGACGCGTCGAGGAGATCTTTACCGAAGACGGTGGTCACAAAACGCTCCACCGCAGGAACAAGACGGTCAATGCGGAAGATTTTGACCAGCACGAGTGACCGCAGTTGTTGATCGTATCGGTCGACATTGGAGCTCCATACCGGTGGGATATGTTGTTCGGCGAGTTCTTCGGTGGAAAACTTGTCCCAGGCTTCGGAAGGAATGGCGTTGATGTGGTCTTTGAACACCCGGAGCTTCATTGCTCTCGCCATTGCTTCATCCTTGCGCGTAGTCTCGGTAGACACATCGAGGCCTTCAAGGTCCTTGTCGAGCACCAAGTCAATTAAAGTTTTGTCCATCTTGAACGGAGCTGCTTGCGCAAGAAGCATCGCGAGCGTGACTCGATCCTTCTGCAAAAGTGACATGGAGGTACGCCGATAAGTGTTGATGAACAGCTCGCGAATGATGAGGTCGATCCGCGCTTGATGGTGCGTCTCCTTAGCTTGCCGCGCACGACTGAGGACGGTTTCGAAAATGTCGATGAAATACTGCAAGGAGAACTGGTAGAAATGATTGATGTGATGCACTTGCTCCAGAACAGCAAAGATTGCAGCGCATGAGCGAGCAATGCCAGTGTACTGTAGGGTAATGTTCTCGACTTCAGTCATAACACCTTCTGTCTCTTCAACCTTGGCACTGATTTCTCCCGCTTCTTTTTTGAGTGTTTCAAGGGTCTCAATAACATTGTCATCATCGAGGATATTGCCCCGAGACTCGTTAAGGGCCTGCAATAGCTGCTTCTCAAGCTGTCGGAGATGAACGTTGAACTCTCCCTGCATCTTGATGAGGTTCGAGCGCCTCTCATCGACATCTGGTCTTTCGGACTTGAGCACCTCATTGAGCGATTGGGTTCGAAGACTGCTTTGGGTAATGGTGAAGTTGACAAAGGTGGTGCGGCTGCAGATATCCGGTGCGAAGGTCGCTGAGGGATCCCGGGTTGACAGGTACAATTTGAATGAAGGCGAAAAATCGATCTCTTGCTTTCCAAGTTGGATAAGAACACGGCCACCGGTCTTCTGGTATTCTTTGTTCAGGACATGAGTCAGGATTGGATCGAGATGCTCGGCATCTTGGATGAGAATCGGGTTGCCAAATCGTAATGAGCTCTCGAGTTGCTTCACGAAGGAATCGTCTAAGAAGCTGGTGACGGTGAGACGGCGGTCCTTGCACTCATTCTGTAGGAACTCGTTCACTCGGCCCGATGGATCGATGATGAGAGGATAACGGTTGAACCTCTTGAGGATGATTGCGTTCTCCGTGCACAGATCATCCACAGGCAACGTATTCGCCTGCCATTTCAAGCGCTCATCCGCGGAAGAGAGATATTCCGTAACTGGGTTGAGAGGCTTGAACTTGATTCCGGAAAGCGTGAGCTGTTGGCGCCAGTCATCACTCATCTTCTGGCGGTATTGTTGGTCGTAGAAGCCTCCATACGTGACGAAGGCCGCCGCAACGAGAACGTCGCCAACAAGCGTGTCAATCTGTGTCTCAAACGACTTGCTCGTCTCCTCCCAACGCCCTCGCTCCGAAGACAAGCTCTCAAGAAGTCTGACGCTTCGGTCCACCTTGTTTTGCACTCTCTTCATCTCCGTTGAGATGGATTGGGTTTGGCTGATCAAGGCCGCATATTCCTCCTTGTATCGTCCAATGCTCGCCTCGAGCCTCTTAACTTCGTTCTCAACAGCCATCGCCTCCGCCTTGGTTTGCTCCGAATCATCCTGCAGCTGGACAACCTCCTCGCGGAGTGGTCCGACTCGATCAAGAATCTCGGAGAAGTTGACTTGAGCCTCGACCCATTGTACAAGAGGACCGCATGCCCTGCTTGCACGATTAACCCGTTCGAAGGTGAACTCCTCCTTAGACAGGAACTCGTTCCTCATACGAACACGGAGGTTCTTCGTCATTTGGGCCTCATTGTCGTAGGTAACAATGCTAGCAATAAAATCGTCGCGACGGATGATTGCTTGAATGGCCCTCCAATCTGCAGCTTTATGTCCTAGCAGTGTGCAGACAGACTCCAATGCGAGCTTCACGCCAGCCGGAGGGCTCGTCATGGATCTGACCTCAGTCAAATGCTGCCTCTTGATGTTGCTGACGCTCTTCTGCGCTTCGAGGACTGCCGGTTCTGCCCTCGCCAGATCCTGCTCCACGACTGCGCGACGAGCAGTGATTTCCTGCTCTTGCTTCTCCAACGCTTCCCGGATTTCAAGTGACGCCGCTTTGCGCTTCTCCGCTTCACGTTGATCCGCAATCATCCGTTGGAGTTTCTCGTTTGCTTCGGCATCCTTTCGCTCTAATTGGCTCTTCTTATCAGCAAGGCTATGCCGAAGATCGCGGACTTTGTCGACAGTCTCGCGCAATTTGTCCAGACCAACGTTCAAATGCCGCTGTTGCTCCTCTAGGTCTTCTCGTTTCTCGTGGTGGAGTTTCGCGTATTGTGCCACAAAGTCTAGGAAGTGACGAGGTGTGAGATACGTCGTCTTGTTATGCTGCTTCTGGAGGCGGGAGTTGAGATGGGCAATTGAATGATGTATGAAGACCATAGAGTTGACCACTGCATCGCGATGTGAAGGCGGGAGGATGAGGTCTGGGTATGCCGCAGGCAGGGTATCGGGCGCCGTGTAAGACGATCGATCCAGGTCGATTGATTGTGTGAGTTCCGAACCAACCTGGAATAGAGCTTGATCTGACCAGTCGCCGAACCAATTAAGGACGCAACGATTGAACAGTGCAGGGCTAGTGGCGGCTTTGGATGAAAGACCTTCTTCTGGCGGATTCATTGTGAAGACGACGTGCAAATTCTTGATGATCTGCTGCGTGAACCACTTATAGAGCTCCTCATTGGAGTCAAGGAGGAGACCTTGCCTCTGAGCCCCTTCACGACACGATGTCATGAGCGTGGCGTATTCGTCGCCTTCGAACAATCCAGGAACCTCAGCATTGGCAAGCAGCGTATTCATGCGTTCCAAGAAGCCAGAATCCAAGACGTTCGACTCATCCATGATGAAGCAAATCTTCTCGCCTTTGCAGCCACATCTTCGAAGCACGTTTCGAAGGTCGTCATCGAAATCGGCCGCTGAGTATTTTCCGTGCACTTTGATCTGATAGACCATCAGGCCGTTCATCCATGCGACAAACCGGGACAGGGTCGTCTTTCCACTTCCGCTGACTCCAATAAGGATAAGATGACCTTGTGGTTGACGGAAGACACGGTCAATACGGAGGACATGTTCCAAGACATCATTGAACAAGATCAATGGCACGTCGAGCTCTTCCTCGCAGAATGTCTTGAGTCTCGCTTTTACGAATTCGCGGAGTTCGCCTCTGTCCACGGGCACGTAGTTCTTGGAAAGCCAATTCGAGAATAGAATCGGTCCACCAAGTGATTTTTCTTCATCAATGACAGGGAAGTGCTCCAGCGCCACGCGGCGAATACAATCCTCAGTCCAGTTTCGCTCGTCCTCGTCCACGAGTCGATCCTGGAATAATCGTAAAGCTTCGTGGGCCCAGATGCGAACCAGGCCCTCCACAGACAGGTTCTCCAGTGGCTTGATCGCTTCGTAGAGACCTCTCACCCAGCGGGTTAGTTCACGAGGAGAATAGACGTAGTGGGGTTGGATGTCTGGCGTAAAGCGTTTCTGCGACTCGGCATAAAGCTGAACCATAGCCTTCGTGAGAGCATCTGCATGACCACGCAGGGAGGGAAGAATCTTGAGCACGGCATTGTTGAATGTCCCATAGATTTGGAGCAGAGACTGCTGTCCGGGATAATCGACCATGATTAAAGGAGCATGTCGTAGGAAACGTGAGCCCATCGGCGTCCGGCCGGCATCCGTAGGAGGGTTACATGCGCCAACAAATTGAATGCGGTCCAAGGTCACCCATGTCTTGTCAGTTGTCCTCCAGAAACCGTTTTGCTCCACCAACTGTCGGAGGAAGGAGATGGCACGTTGAGTACCATACTTGTCCGGGGCCGGAAGATTGATTTCGTCACAGAAGACGACGAGCCACCTGCCGATCTGCCGAGGCGAGAGAATAACCCCGTTGAGTGTTTTCTTATACTCACAGTGTTGTTCAAAGGTCTTAACGAGCAGCTCGGGGGTCGTTGCACTTGAGAAGTTCAGACCGACGGTTTCCATGTTTGGAAGTTTCCTGAGCGCGCTAAACAGCGTCATCGTCTTGCCTGATCCAGGTGGACCGCACAGCAGCAGAGGCTTGTGTTCAGCGAGCCATGAGTAGAGGACTTCTTCGTGTCTCACCGTATCCAATGTTGGAATGACAACGTCCGTCTGGGTAACCGAATGGGTGTTCACTTCAATCGCCGGCACCTGGTTCTGCCACATAGTCCATTCAGCCCTTGGCAATAACACTTCGTAGTCGATAAGGGAGGACGCATCGGTCAAGACAGGAACATCGACGGTGGTCAAGCCAGCAACCATGTCTCCAAACGTCTTGCGGTCAGCCAACGGGCAATCCCCAACTAGAGACCAGACGAGCGCGATGAGCAGCTTTTTAGACAAAAACGCTTCGATCTGCTCCAGCTCGAGCGGGAAGTCCGCATGCTGGATGTTGTACTCCAAAATAGTCCGGCATGCTTTGTTGAGCAACGAGAAAAGCGTATTGAGCGCTCGGATCGCGGTGAATTCCATAATATGACGGAAGTTGCGCGCTTGCTCGAGAGTCTTCTCGATGAAGTTGTCGCGATCGACTTTAGCCTGGAGGAAATCGGCAACGTGGGATTGAACCAGAAGGTTCTTCTGCTGCAGCTCGGCTGGGGGAACGGAATCGTCCTCCACGTCTTCGATGGGAACTTGGCGGAGGTTGGCGAGATAGTTGGATATCATCATTTCCGTCGTTACAGTATCGGCACTAAACCAGACCATACCGCAGCGACTGACGGTAGCCAATGTCGCGTACTTGAGAGTCTCGACTTCGAACATAATCCGGACATTGGGAGGAAGGCTCAAACGCTCCCCATTGGGTAGAGTGAGGAGCTTGTTGTCGTCCAAGACCGAATTCAAGTTCTCGACCCATTCAGGGTCAACATCTCCATCGAAAATGATCCAGTGTCTCCTGGTATCTTCGCCGCGAAGGTTATCGACAATCTTCCGCAGGATGCTCGTGAATAAACCGTCGGTCCATTCTCTCGTCGTGCTATCCAATGTGCCGTACAGCTCTTCTTTTGACATGACTTTCGGGTCAATGACATGGGACACTCCTTCGACGCCTTCGACTTTCTGAAGCGCTTGTAATAACACGCTCCACGCGCTGGATTTTCCTGACCCAGATGCACCGACCATCATCACACCGTGATGCAACCCCTGAATCTGGAAGAGCTGAAGGGTTTTTGCCAGCCAGTCATCATTGACAACGAGTCTCCTCTCTGCAGCAACTTCTTTGATGGCCTCCTTGAGGTCATTCAAAGGTGCAGGGACATACTCAACGCCTGGGAATGAGTCATGCTCAATTTTATGCATTTCAATCACATCTTGCCCAATTAGCTTTGGTCCCATGGTTTCCCGGAGGCTTTGCACGATGATCTGGGGTTCCACAACGTCTTCTTTTAGACTCTCGCTATCCTGAGAAGCCAGTCTTGCTCGCTTCAAGCCACCAGAGCTGACCAGCACACTCTTTAACGCACGCAGGCCGAAGTCGTAATGTGCCTGCTTCGATAACCGCCGAGCGCATAGATCGAAGAACGGAACCGTTTGTCGGGAGAGTTCTTTGGCACAGGAGAAACCTTGCGAGTAAAGCATGACCTCCGCAATGAGCTCCTTGTCCGGCTTCGACATGGCGACACTCCGGAAAAGCTTCTTCAGGTTATCCGGAAGGTTGGATCGGCCGGCATACCCTGGATTCATGGTGATGAAGATTCCCGTGTTCGGCTCCACGCGAAGATTCCGTCCAATGAGGTCGATCTGATGTTTGGGGTCCTGTTGTCCCTTTCGGAGACCCAGCTGGATGTTTTGGATTTGCTGAGACACAGCCGACAGGATCCGCTCTTCGAGACGGTTAAATTCGTCGAAGCAACCCCATGCCCCGACTTGACAGATACCGAGGAAGATGCGTCCCATTGCTTGGAAATCGAACGTGTCGTCACAACAGAACACGAGCGTAAAGCGTCCCAGTTGAAGCCCGAGTGCCTTGACGGACTCAGTCTTACCAGTTCCTGCGGGTCCGTACGGCGAACCTCCGAGACGTTGGGATAGAGCCTGTGTGAGAGTCATGAAGCATCGGTCCGTAAGTGGAGTGCGAACGAGACGATCAGCAACGCCGAGATATTCGTACCCGTACACGAGGCTGGCATTGGTCATGTCGACGTTCAGTCGCTTCAAAAGCTCCTGATCTGGCTTGTACGCATACCGCATCTGGGCTAACCAAAGGTAATGTGATGGCGAGTCTGCATGCACTTTCTGCAGATTCTCCGTCACATCGCGCTGGTGCACGAACTCCGTGATCAAATGCTCGTACTTCTTTCTCTGCAACGCATCGAGGTCGGTGAGTACGCCGCCAGCGAGAATGCGAAGCAGCGCAAGTTGTTGTGAGTGAAGCGCGGACAGTCCCTCGCCGCCGCTACGTAAGCACGCTTCCACAGAGTTGGTCCAGCAGACCTGCGACCCAAGAACGACGATTTGGGCGGGGAACGTCGAAACGTATTCATCGAATGAAGCTGCATCGATCGTCGGCGCAGCGAGGATTTCTGTAAACTGAGCTACGGCGTCTGCAAGGAGCTCTGCGAGAGTCGTCTTCATGCTAAGTTCCAGAGCGGCGAGCCACTCGTTAACTTTAGGGATCTTAACAAGGGAGACTTCACGCCTGAGCATCACTTGCTCACCCTCTCGCGATGTCAACCCCAAGATTATGTTGTCGTCATTTGTGATGAGGCCTGCGATGCCGGCGAACATCTTTCGGAGATGCTTGGCGACACGTGTAGTGTTGTTACTGTTGCCGATAATCTCCAACAGATCCTCGTCCCCGACGAAGTAGAACCGAGGGAACGAGACGCGCTCGCGCTCGAGATACTCTCCAAGCGCTTTCTGGATCTTGCCGAGGAGCTGCGCTAACCGCTCAAGTTTCTCCTGGACTCCCGGGATGGTGAGCACTTCCAGAACGAACGGCGAACGAACGACCTTCTTCATCAGGTCGAGGAACTCGGAGTTGATGTTCTGGAATCGGCCGGACTCCATCGGAAGCAGGTGCTTGATATCTGCGTTGCCGGTGAACACGCCTTCGAGATAAACCCATTGCCGCTGCACATCGATCCAAACATCGAAAAGCACATGGACCCGATTCAGCTTCTCTTCCCAGTTGCTTGCCTCTTCCTCGAACTCCTTATAGTACGGGGAATGACGCATCGCCTGCAACGAGTTGAGATTCTCGCTACACTTCGCGAAGAGGTCGTCCCATCCTCGGATGAGCCGGCATTTCGTCTGGTAAGGGATCAAGTCCAATGCGTAGGTTGACCACGTTTCGCGAACCTGTCGCACGAACTCTTCGAGAGCCATTTCGCCTTGCGCTTGCGCGATCACGTCCCGGATGATATTCTCGGACGGACCGAGCTGCAGGTCCCAGACGTCGCCTAGGGTCATACTCAGCTGGCTATACCGCTTGCTAGGCTTCAACATCTTGAAGATCTTGATCCAGTGTCGCTCTCGGACGGCTTCGGATCGCATGTCTTGAAGGAGAGGATTGACCTTGAGTAGTTGGCGCAACACGTTCTGGACGTGCTCGAACGCCGCATATTGCCGCATGCGAGCCGGCATATCTTTCGTCATCTGGATGAGTTCTTCCAGGCCCTTTCGCAGACGCCGAGGTTGGATGGAAGTCCATAGCGTCTCTCGAAGGTCGTTCAATCGCGACCAGATCGTGCTCAGTGCGCTCCAAACGGATTTGAAGTCTTGAACCTCCTCAAGAAGGGCTATTAACACTGTCTCCGGAGAACCGGGAAGATCAAGTGCCTCCTTCGCCTTCGCCACCATCTCGGACTCATTTCGAAGCTTCAGAAGCCGTGAATCGAACGACTGCAGTCGTGAGCTGGCTTCCTCCGGAGGGATTGTCCCTGACACCGGTTTCTCTTCCGCCCACTCCCGTGCAACATCCGCGATCTTCTGGCTCACAGCCCGATCTTCCGCCACGATCTTGGCTCGCAGTGCATCGGTCTGATCCTGGACGATCTTGGCCTTTCGCTCGAGGATGTCGTTGAGCGTCGCCCACTCATTCTCGACCTGATCGACATGTAGCCATTCGGACGGGAACTGATAGCGCTGACGGGACAGCGTCGTTTGGCCGGACCGGAAGGTTTCGATTTCCGGAGCCCATGTCTTGACGCGTCGTTTGCACTGCTGGACCGTGGTGATGAAGCTGACGGCGTGGGCGGTTGACGAAGCTTCCAGGGAATGCGTCTCGAGGTCTTTTCGCGCCTTCTCGAGCTCGTTGAAAACGTCTGTCATACGGGCACCCAGTCGCGAGGCGAAGTTGATGAGGATCTCATGTTGCCATTGGTCGTACTTGGCATTCACCTTCACCTGGACCTGCTCGTAATCGACCGTTAAGAACCGGCCGAATCTCTTGCTATTGGCCGATGTATCGAAGGTCGATCGGCTCTTCCGGAGCTCTTGGAGAAGTTGCAGCCACCGTGCGAGGTCGTCGCCGAGATTGTCGTAAACGTGCTCCGACCGGAGATCCCACAAGCTTTGAAACTGTAGCCATTTGGCAACGTACTCGCTAGTTTCGGCGACGCGAGCTTCCACGCTGCTGTACACCGTGGTCAGGCTATTGGCGCATTTGCTCGTGAGCTCGGAGAAGGTTTCCTCCACGCTGGCGTCAGTACTAGTCTCAACTCGCAATTCATATCGGGTTGCTTTGATCTTCGGCAGCGCGCAGATGATGGATAGCCATTTATGCAGCTGCTCGAGCCAACTGGCCCTAGCGAATTCCAGCGGTGGGTCCAAGTATATCAATTGATTCTTCATGCAGACCTCTAGTAGAATCGCGTTCAACTGCGGCAGGTACTTCGAGGGCTCTTTGTCTGGCTCGGCTTGCTTGAGGCGAGCCTTGGCCGCGTCGGACAATTCCTCAGAATCAAAGAGCTCAATCCATTCGGCGATGGCATGGTCTAAACGCGCCCGCAGAATATCTGCGACGCGGTCATTCATCCCAGCAACCCAATGAGGGAGGTTGACATAGTTTTCGAGATTTAGTTGATCGACCGCGCCCTGGATGGTCCCAAGATGTCTTAGCAGGTCTTCGCTGGTGCAGTGGCAGGTCTCCAGGTCGCGCAGCGCAGCTTGGACGGTTGCGAATATTGACGCCAGGGTAGCGACCTTCGTTTGCAACAGCGATACTGCCGAGGCGAACTCGCGGATAAATTGGACGTGTTTGCTCTCGCCCCTCGAAACGGGTGCGGAGCCGTCTGCCGAAGGGCCGGCCGGGAACGGCTGGCGGAAGTGGATGTCGTAGGAATGGACAATTGATTCCCATCGCAGCGGAATTCCTTTGGCAATCAAGCTTTGAGCGTCGTTTTGATATCCGGAGAGGAGTAAGGAAACGTCGGTCATGCCGCTGATGACGCGGGATGTTTGCGAGTAGGTCCGAACCGATTCCATGAGAGAGACTGCGAATGGGTATACGCGCTTTGCCTCCTTCGAGATGTTCGCAATGGCGTGAGGAACCTGATAGTTCAGCCAGAGTAAATTGCGGACCTCCTTGAACAGCGTGATGATCTGAGGATCGAAGTTTACCGCGATTTCGTAAAGGTTTCCAGACGCTCTTGTCTTGTTGATTGCGAATAGTCTTCCCGAGATTGTAAGATTCCGTCTTGCAACCTCATGAAGCCATGCGTCGAACACGGGTCTCGTGTCGAGCTTCTTTCGGAACATGTTGCTTTCGCTCTGCAACTTCTGCCCCTCTGCATGGAGATCCCATTCTTTGCCAAGAATATCCTCGACGCGCTTCATGTACCCTTCCAACTGCCTCTCGATTTGCCGGGCCCAGATCACGGCGCCTGACACGGGGGGTAGGTCATGAAGCTGAGCCATCCCGTGGGCCTCGGAGTGGCCATACTGCTGCTTAAATCGTTCATGAAGCGCCGAGATGTCCGCTTTCACGTTGTCGATGAGCTGCGTTTGATATTCATGAATGGCGCTGCGAATTTTCGGTCGGACAAAGAGCGCATTGAACTTGGAGAAGACCCGAAACATTTCGTTCGCGTTCCGGGCAGTCGCAAGGCGATCCCGTAGTCGTGCGATGATGGAGTTCTCCACTCGTTGGGTCCGGTCATTGTAGGCAACTTCAGCGTGAGCCCACGTCTGCGTCCCCTCCATGGTAACATCGAGGACATCAATGTCTTTAACAGCAGCGTATGCTTGGGCAACCTCCTCGACAGCGTCAACATCGCCCATCTCCGCGACAAGAACAGCATGGGTGCCATTGATCGAATCGGACAGATCTTTGACGACACCAGAGCTCGCAGGACCAAGCACGTTGATGATGGTTCTCTGGAGCTGTTCGTGGTTGTGGCGGAATTGGCCGATATATTGGAGTCGCTCTTTCGTCTTCAGATGGTTTGCGTTGACCTTGACGGGGATGAAACCATCTTTTCGGCGTTTCAATGTCTCTCGAGCGACATTCGTGAATCCCCTCAGTTGGTCTTCCCAAGCAATCCAGATTCCGTTCGTGATTTCAATGACCTGCTGGAACTCGCGGTACTCCAGGTGCATAAGTCGCCGTCCATTGACCAGAGAATGGATCTTCGCGTCCAGGTCGCTAGAAATGGCCTCGACAAATGGAATCGCTCGTTTAATCGGATATGGTGACGCGCGGAGCTTCTTATTCAGGTGCGAGAATATGAGGATAATCGCCTCTTTCACCTTTGCCAGCGACTGGGAGGATAGCAGCTCTTCCAAGGGAAAATCGCGCATAAGCAAGTTGTACTTCTGCACCATTTCCATCGTCTCTTTCAGTCCTGTGTCTGCGCTGAAGCTAACCGTAGCTTGGAATCGTTTGGCATGCCGCAAGACTTCCAGAGTCAACCGCACCCCATCGCTCCGCAATTGCTCTTCGATATTCTCCAGCGCCGACTCGAAGCTGATCCAAAAATTAATCTCTTGCGAGGCACTTCCTGTTGCTGGATCCCGTGTCGTCTTGGTGATAGTTTGAATGTTCCGGATCCAACCGTTCACCGTGGCTTGCAACTGGTTCAACAAATGGGCATCGGTGAACAACTTCTGGGGAACCAAATCTATTTTAGGACGATCGTCTGAGCGTGTCTGGGCTGCATCCAGTCCCATCTGAATAAGCGGGTGCATCGGTAGCGATAAAGCCGGGATCTCAATGTTCTGCTGCAGATGTTGAAGGCTGAGTTCGAGCTCGGCCAGCTTCTTCTTCGCGCCAGGGATTCCGGTTCGAGAATCCGACTGGCCTTGAGATACCCATGGTCCTGATTCATCGAGTTGTCCCCGTTCGTATGCATCGAAGAATGGGCCGAGGGTGTGGTGAAGGAAGGAATGGAAGACCTGAAATGGATTCGCTGCTGGGACGACCGAAGAAGACTGCGCTCCGGCCGCACTCAAGCCAGGGAGGTTTATCAGGCGAATCTGGTCGGCTATCGGGGCGCTGGGATCGAGCATTTCCGCTTGTTTGAGAAACGCGACGGACGTGACGCAAGTCGTGGTGGGCTTGAACTCCCCGGAGAGAACATATCGAAATCGGTCGCTGCTAAGTCCTGTATTGCTGTGATTAGTTACGCAGATAGAACCATGGTGAGATAAATCGCACCTTGCTCCCCATTCACAGCATCCGTATCATCTTCTAAATATGCCTCTTTGAAGCAATATAGGGCAACAGCGCCCTCCTTGGAAAACCATGTACATTGCGAAAGGGTATTCTCAATTTGTGACGGGGTTAGGATGCTTCGATTCTGTTCCAAGTCCTCCTTCGTGGCGCCCAAAGTGACTTCCAGCACCCGAGTGATATGATCGAGGAGAATGTTCGGGTCGACAGCTGCGGGTGGTGAAGGGAGGCCGGGCGTGTCTGTTGGGGAGATGCCATTGGAGTTGACCCCTGGAATGACCGCCAGAGGGCCGTCCATCGTGATTTAGGATAACAGTCGTGTTTCGGAAGGCATCTGTTGGTTAGGAGCTTGGTAGAGTGGAGGAGAGGAGGAGGAGAGGAGTGATAGAAGAAAGGGCGGTATGACGAGGAGAAATCATTCACGATGGTTGTAGGAATGGAGATTGTAAACGTTTCGATCCATCGGTTGCAGTGAGAGTTTACAGTGAGAGTTTACGGCAGCCAGTAAGCAAGTCGCGTGTCGCGTTCAAGGGTCGCACCTGCCATGCGGCTTGACTAAACGTGGCGTACCAAGAAATAAACGGCAAAAGATTACAGAGTCGATCCAATCATAGAGCTCCAAAATTACATCTTGAAGCTTAGACCATCGACCTGACCTCGTGATGGAATTGGTGCCTCAGGCTTTTATCCTCGACTCTTGCTTTGGCGCGATGCATACAATATCACAGGCACCTCAAGAAGTCAAGATAAATAACAGTGTTGGTCTGAGGCAAAGTTCTCGCTAGTGGTGGAGTACCTGATACTCTATTGCATTGCCTCATGTTAGGCAAGCTTGGCTAATTAACAATCCGCTCTCCTCGCACAATCCAATTATCGATTTGTCGTCGTTGTCTGACAGCACAGGGCAGGCCAGGGCAGGCCAGCATTTCGTGAGACTGCATAGAATTTATCATATATATGTGTGTCAGTTGTCTATTTCTCTATCTCGCTATCATCAGCGATCGCGTCATCCAGATTCCCGCTCCCTTGATTATGATTGTGCTCCCTTCCCAACCGCTCCTCATCGTCGTCTACCAGCTCATACGCCGGTCGAAACTCGATCATCGACCGTCCGGACTCCGATCGCGATTCGCGTCGTAGAGCCGGGTTTCGATGCGTGTCGGTGGTGCCTCCGAGAGACGTGTAGCCCTGGTCATACAACGGACAGTACGGGATATTCAAGTGTCGTATAAACTATCCCAGGTCAGTGTGCGGTGCGAGGGTCAGCGTCGGGTGGGAACGTACCGTCCAGATTTGAACATAGTGCCAATCAATCACTGGGTGAATCCGCATGAAGCTGGGCCATCCATGATCCGTCGGATCGAAGTGCGTCAAAAGTGCTCCGTGTGGATCGGTCCGTCGAGTGCCGACGAAGATGGCTCGGATGTTTGTGTGCTGGTCCAGGTACTCGGTAAAGGCCGCCTTCATCGGGGACGAATATCGCACCAGGGAAAGGTGATAGGTTTTACATGACGAGGCAACAAAGTCTTCAACCTCGCGGAAGGGGTCTGAGGACTGGATATATACGGTTTGGAGGAGAGTGGGGTTCGCGTCGTTGGGGGGTTGGAGAGTCGAGAGGGCCTGTCGGCGGTGGATAGCGCAGAGGTAGAGGATCAGGAGGACAAGGCAGTCTTTCCCGCCATTATAAGAAAGCGACAGCGCATTTAAACTAAAAGTACGATCAGCCACATCTTCAAACAAACAGGAGGACGGCAAGAGACACGATTTACATACCCATATCTGTCCAGAGCGCTGTCAATGACCCCCAATGCCACCTTCGTCTGTTCCTGTACCCTCTTCAATCTCTCCGATCCCGGCTTCTGTGCCAAGAACGCTGTTATTCGGGCATCGATCCGTTCGCAAAGCTCTGGCAGAGGGATATTGGACGGCTCATCGACCAATGGCGGGAAAGGGTAGGAGTCGGAGCGGTTTGTCGGAGCCTGCATCGCGGGACTCGACGTATGGAAATGGAAGGCTACCAGGAGCTCATGGTACCATGATCATATTACGCCAGGTGCGATGGGAACGATAGAGGGATCACCAGCAAAATTCCGTTACGGGATTGGATTGAATTGATGCTTTGTCGGGTTGTAAGGCCTGGATAATAATAGGTAATCCGGAATATTGCGCGAGTTGTCACCAAGTATCAGGCCTGTATCAGACCCGAACCCATCCCCCTCCAGTCATCGTCGGTGACGTGCGGCATCGGACAGCCGAAGCAATGCCCCCCGTTTCGGCGTTTCCCCGTTTCCCCCCACCAATTCGGCTTTCGTCCCAGCTGACCATCCTCGTTTCATGTTGGCTCAAAACTGGGGATGAGGAATAGGTAATGTGAGAACAACAGGAAACATATTGTTGGGAATAATAACGGAAGCCAAGTCTTCTCGGGATTGCACTCTTATGACACAGTATGAGAGCATAAATAATAACCAAGGAATAGCAAGGCGACGTTCTTCTTTTCGGTTATTCTCATTGCATCACGCTTCAATCGTGCGAGAAGCCGAAAGTGCAGTGGAAACCTTCTGGAATCCCGAGATCCAGACCCTTACCCATCCGTAAGAATAATAACGAAATCTGAATAGCGTGGGAGCCGACGATGATGTGCTTTGCGCTTGGCCAATGAAAATCGACATGATCAAACAAAATTCCAAAATTCCATTGTCATTGATCAGCCACGCCGACAATATAACCGTACGTGCTAGTCAATTTTCCATCGCAGATTTAGTTTCCTCATCAACTCTCTGAACCCGGAATTCGTGTTGCATGTCCGCGTCGCAATTCCGTTTTGCACAAGTCATTGGAGAACAATGGCTTCCATCTCCTCTGCTGGAGAGGCTGGTATGTGGTTTGCGCCCCTCTATTGTTCTTCACAATGGCTCCCCCGCAATGCGAAGCCTTCGTAGACAGTAATTGTCGTGAGAAGAACCATCGCTAACAGATACAGTGTCGCGAGTCGCCTACTTATCCAGCGATGCAGTGGTGTCCGTTCAACCATCTCTAGCTCAGGATTCGGAATTCTCCTCGCATCTCCGAGAATACGCTACGAAACAGTTACTGAGCATTGTCTCACGAGACACGCCCGAGGCAAGTCCATTGATGATTGTTTTTGAAAGGATTTCTATATTGACGAATGACTCAGATCCTGTCGGTACGACATAATGCGGATCCTCTACTTTCCGTATTCGATCCAATTCGAAGCGGGAAGCTCGTCTCGGTGACCACCACGTCCTCGGTTCTCCTCCGTGCCATCCCCTACCTCTACAAACTCGCCCACTACCCGGTCGTCATCCACGTCTCGCTAGAGCCGGGCGAGTACCCCGACTACTCCTCCATCACGTCCATCCGTCAATGTGGATTCATCTTCCTTCAATCGGAGAGCCTCCAGGAAGTGCAGGATCTGGCCGTGTCGGCGCACGCTCTCGCGATCAAGTCCGGGAAAGGCGTCATCCACTTCTTCAATTCCAATGCCACTGACCAGGATAATGAAATCAAAGACGAGACTCGTGAGCTCGTCAAGCGTGTTGTTGATGTCGATGGAGCTCGACTTTGGCAAGCGGCGAAATCCGATGACTGGGGAATCTACGCCGACGAAGGAAGGCGAGCCACCACGACGGTTTTCGGCGAAGAGAAGCCCCTCATCACCGGCGTTCCTTCTCAACTGGATCCCGCTGTCTCAGAAAGACTAAAGCAGGACAACGCAAGCGCAAGAGAATCGTCGGCGACCTCCTCATCAAATGCAGACAGCAGCGGTGACAGCGCGCCAATCTCTTCCGCAGCCACTTCAATCGAGCCAGCGTCCACCCGCCCGATCAATACCGATGATATCTCTAAGCACATCGGCCAAATATGGGACACGATCCACGATTTGACCGGGCGGACGTACGAGCCCTTCTCATACTCGGGATCCAGCCGGGACCAGGCCGCTCTGTTTGTCTTCGGCGCAGATACGGCGCTTCTAGCCAAGGCTATCGATTCAGCGGGCTCGACCGATCAGTTCGCTAAGGTCGGCATTATCACCGCACGGTTATACCGGCCTTGGTTGACGCTCAGCCTGGCTGATTTACTTCCGAAATCGTTGAAGAAGATCGCCGTTCTGGAGCAGGTCCGACGGAAGACGACGAAGTGGGGTCCGTTGCTGCTTGATGTGCTCGCAACGATCAGGACTCCGGGCTCCGCGAACCCTAGCATTGTTGGCTATCAGCTTGGATATATCACCGAGGCCACCGCTCAGCAGGCTTTGAAAGGGATCTTCCAGAATCTCGCACTAGAGACTCCGATCCAAAATCTTACCGTTGGCCAGCCAGATGGCCCAAACGAGGAGCAGCTAACAGGACAGCTCCAGCAACCTGAATTGGAGAACGCCTACTTCAAGATCTTGGACCAGCTGTTCCCCGAACGGCTCTATGTTGCCAACCGGTTGGGAAAATCGACTGCTGGTTTAGAACCAACCACGTCCAACAGCCCGGAGTTTGGTCTCGGTTCCTTGATCTCGCGACAGGAAGCAGAAGCACGCTTCGTCGAGAAAGTCAAGCAACTCGTCAAGAACGCAAATCCCTTTATCACCTCGGCCCCCCAAGATTGGCTCTCAAAATGGCTCTTGGCTCGCCAGGAGCCTAAGAAGCTGCCTGCCGTCGCACAAGATACCCTCTCGCGCCTCAATGTCGACGGGTCTACCGCTGCCTCTGATCTTCTTTCACAAAAGTCTTTCTTCCTCAATGAAAGCCGCTGGCTGATCGGTTCGGATGCTTGGGCTTACGACCTTGCCAATAGTGGCGTGCATCACGTCCTCGCCTCCGGACTCAACATTAACATGTTGATCATTGACTCCACGCCCTACTCAGAGAAGGCTGCCGCCGATGCATCCCGAAGGAAGAAAGACATCGGCCTCTATGCGATGAACTTTGGGAATGCATATGTTGCGTCCGTCGCCGTTTACGGAAGCTATACTCAAGTCCTCAGCGCCATGTTGGAGGCCGACTCGTTCGATGGGCCGAGTATTGTGATGGCGTACTTGCCGTACTTCAGCGAAACCGAGAGCCCCTTGACCGTCATGCAGGAAACCAAGAAAGCGATCGACATCGGCTACTGGCCGTTGTATCGCTGGAACCCCAAGGCGGAAGAGAACAGCGAGCCTAACTTCCATTTGGATAGCGAACGGGTCAAGCAGGAATTGAAGGAGTTCTTGCGCCGAGATCAGCATATGAGCCAGGTCATGCGCAAGCACCCGGAATTCGCACCGGCCCTAAACAAGGATTATGGAAAGGAAGTGAGGGCGCTGCAGAAGCGGAAGGCGAAGGATGCATATGCTCAGCTGCTGGAGGGACTCGCCGGAGCTCCGATGACCGTGCTGTTCGCCAGTGATAACGGGAATGCCGAGAACTTGGCCAAGCGGCTCGCGAACCGAGGCAAGGCTCGCGGCTTGAAGACGATCGCCATGGCCATGGACGATTACCCCATTGAGGATATCTCGACTGAAGAAAACATTGTCTTGGTCACCAGCACTGCCGGACAGGGAGAGTTCCCGCAGAATGGACGGTCGTTCTGGGAAGCGGTCAAGAACTCCACCGATATCGACCTTGTCAATGTCCACTTTGCCGTCTTCAGCTTGGGAGACTCGCATTACTGGCCCCGAAAGCAAGATAAGATCTACTACAACAAGCCGGGTAAAGACCTTCACACGCGTTTTCTCGCTCTGGGTGGCCAGCCTTTGGTCGACTGCGGTCTTGGAGACGATCAAGACCCTGATGCCTACCAAACCGGCTATCAAGAGTGGGAGCCCCAGCTATGGCAAGCATTAGGAGTTTCGAACGTCGAGGGGCTGCCGGAGGAGCCTCCGCCAATCACCAATGAAGACATCAAGATTGCAAGCAATTTCTTGCGCGGCACAATCGTGGAAGGGCTGAACGATCCGACCACTGGAGCGATCAGTGCCTCCGATTCTCAGCTCACAAAATTCCACGGCACCTACATGCAGGATGACCGAGATCTGCGAGACGAGAGGAAAGCTCAGGGTCTTGAGCCCGCATATTCCTTCATGATCCGATGCAGACTACCGGGTGGTGTCGCTACTCCCGACCAGTGGATCAAAATGGATGATATCGCGACGACGCTCGGTAACGAGACGATGAAGTTGACCACGCGACAAACCTTCCAATTCCACGGAGTGGTGAAGGGCAAGCTCAAGCCGGCCATGCAAGCGATCAACCGAGCACTCATGACGACCATTGCGGCCTGCGGTGACGTGAACAGGAACGTCATGTGCAGCGTCATTCCTGATCAATCCGCATTCCATGCGGAAGTGCACGCAGTGTCGAAGCGTGTCAGCGATCACCTGCTACCGAATACGACTGCGTACCATGAAATCTGGCTGAAGGATGAAGACGACAAGAAGACGCTAGTTGCCGGAGACGCGGTCGTGGACAACGAGCCGCTATATGGGCCCACCTACCTTCCTCGAAAGTTCAAGATCACTATTGCTGTGCCACCCCACAACGATACCGACGTGTATGCCCACGACATCGGCCTGATCGCCATCAAAGGCAAAGACGGCAGCCTGGAAGGGTTCAACGTCACTGCTGGAGGAGGAATGGGCGCGACGCATAACAACAAGAAAACGTATCCGCAAATCGGCCGCATGATGGGCTACGTCGCGAAAAAAGACACCCACATAGCCTGCGAGAAGATCATGCTCGTGCAGCGCGACCACGGCGATCGCAAGAACCGCAAGCACGCCCGTCTGAAGTACACCATCGATGACCTGGGCGTCGACGTCTTCCGGTCCAAGGTTGAGGAGATCTGGGGCAAGGCGTTTGAACCCGAGCGATCATTCAAGTTCGAGAGCAACATCGACACGTTCGGCTGGCAAAAGGACGAGAACGGCCTCAACCATTTCATGCTCTTCATCGAGAACGGCCGCATCGAAGACACGCCCGAGTTCCCGATGAAGACCGGGCTGCGCGAGGTCGCGAAGGTGCATAAGGGCGAGTTCCGCCTCTCTCCCAACCAGCATCTCGTCCTGTCGAAGGTCGCAGACGAAGACGTCCCGGTGATGAAGGAGCTGCTGAAGAAATATAAGCTGGACAACACCGATTTTAGCGCCCTACGACTGAGCAGCTCGGCATGCGTTGCCTTCCCCACTTGCGGTCTTGCGATGGCGGAATCGGAGCGGTACCTCCCGGAGCTGATTACCAAGCTCGAGTCGACGATCGAGGAGGCGGGTCTCCGCCAAGATAGCATCGTCATGCGCATGACAGGTTGTCCCAACGGCTGCGCACGACCATGGCTCGCGGAGGTGGCGTTTGTGGGCAAGGCGTTCGGGGCGTACAACATGTACCTGGGCGGCGGGTACCATGGACAGCGGCTCAACAAGCTGTACCGCAGCAGCATCAAGGAGGACGAAATCCTGGAGATCCTGAGGCCGATGATGAAGCAGTACGCGAAGGAGCGGGAGGAGGGGGAGCGGTTTGGCGACTGGTGCGTCCGGGCCGGGTATATTAAGGCAACGAGAGAAGGGAGGGATTTCCATGAAGATGTAAGTGCTTCAATCTACTCACGATGATGGGATGCAGTGCTAACGATATTACAGACGGCTGAAGTGGAAGAAGACGACGAGGAATGAGCGGATTATGATTTCCGTCATGATTGCATTGGGAGGAAGCATGCGAGCATATCGCGTACATTTCTGCATTTGAATAACGGCGCTTGCATGGAGCATAATAACTAGTTGTTTCCAATGATACCATTCTCCTCATACGACCTAAGGATGTGCCGTCGTGAATTTCTAATACATTCAACCTGTGGCAACTCGTCGCGCTAGCCCCTGAGCTCCGGTTATTCCAATCCGACCACAGAGCCGAGGACATCAATATGCCTCCCAAATCCCAGCGTCCACGCCACCGAACATTAGTCATGCAAAGACAAACCCGTCTGTGCAGGCTATGCCGCATGAAGACTGAAAAGCCGACGACCAGTAACCGATAACGCCGTATTAACGCGAGAAGGCGAGGCCATCACAGTAGTCAGCACCTAGAGATCCTAATTGCTAAGCACGAACTTCAACCGAACTAAATCCACGAGTGACATCATCGAATCTGTTGAGACCTTATTGCCTGACGACAATCATTTCGTACTCCGCTCCCTGTTGTTGTCCACTGCAATCGGTCTGTAAGCATTCATATCCCCATTTAACCTGTTCAAATATTTAGGTACGTACCGAGTGCCGATCATTCGATACAACCATGAGCATTCGCGGATCCGTAATTATCCCCGAGTTCGTGAGTGGCTTGGGGTTCATTGGAAATCAAAGTGGTATAGAGACTAATGATATGCATCATGATGATCGGACCCATGACAGCCGGCCCCCATATCGTCAATACAATTGATCATGTCAGAATATAAAAGGGCTGCAGAACTTCAGCGGTCTTCGAAAAGCGCGAATTAACTCAGTTGACGTTTACAACACAAGCGTTCTATCCATCTCACAGATTCTCGTTCACAATGGCTCCAAAATCCATGAAGCAGTGGTCGTTGCCCGATTTCAACGGGTTCGACAGTCTGAAACTGGAAGAAGTCCCGGTGCCCGAATGTGGAGATGATCAAGTCCTCGTCAGACGTAAGTAGGCGTGTCAAATTGGCAGCTTCGTGGAATTGTGACTAATTCCTCATAGTGACTGCCGCTTCTCTGAATTACCGTGATCTTATCATCTCCAAGGTGGACTTTCTCGAGACACGGAGACTTCGTTTCTATAGATCGACTGACATCTCGTACCTAGGCAAAATATCCATTTCCGACGAATCCAGGCGTTGTCCCAGGAAGCGATGGTGCCGGCGTCGTCGAAGCCGTGGGCAAGCGTGTCCGGCTGTTCAAACCTGGCGATCGTGTTGTCACGCTATTCAACCAAAGACATCTGGCCGGACGGCTGACAGACGACATGATCTACAATGGTTCGCTCGGGGGTAATGCCGACGGTACCCTTCGAGAGTACGGCGTGTTCTCGGAACATGGGGTTCTAAAGACGCCCAGTAATTTGAGTGACGTGGAAGCTAGCACGCTGACTTGCGGTGAGCTCAATCTCGAATTCGCCTGGAGGTTTAAACACTAATGGAAATACAGCTGGTGTGACTGCTTGGAACGCGTTGTTCGGTATGAAAGACCGGGCGATCAAGCCGGGTGACACCGTTTTGACGCAGGGCACTGGCGGTGTCAGCCTCTTTGCCGTCCAGGTACGCATTCCATGGTCTCCCTCGGGTGGATTAATGCTTATATACGCTTGCAGTTCGCGAAAGCGGCCGGCGCCACCGTCATCGCAACGACCTCATCCGAAGAAAAAGCCCAGCGACTCAGGAAGCTCGGCGCGGACCACATCCTCAACTACAAGGAGAACCCCAACTGGGGCGAAGCAGCGAAGAATCTGACCCCGAACAAGGTCGGCGTTGACCATGTAAGTCACCATCCCGCATTTTCCGAGCCTGGACTAGGAAGTCAGGTGCTGACTCGATCTAGGTGATTGAAGTTGCCGGCCCAAAGTCCATGGAACAGTCCCTCGCCGCCGTGAGGATCGAGGGTGTTATCACTATAATTGGCTTCTTGGGGGGGGTCGTAGCGCAGAACGAGCCCGGATTTCTCAATGCGCTAACTCACCAGTGCACTATCCGAGGATTGCTGGTTGGATCACGCCTCCAATTTGAGGATATGAACGCGGCGGTCGAGTCTCAAAACATCAAACCAATCGTCGACGAGAGGATCTTCAAATTCGATCAACTGAAGGAGGCATATCAGCACATGTGGGATCAGAAGCATTTCGGCAAGGTTGTTGTCAAGTTCGATTGATCTGCAAATAGGAAGAGTTGTCTGGCTTCGTTGCAACTGATATTGTCCCCCAATTATTGGCTATATAGTGGTAAATATGCAGGAACGAGCTCCGGTCTATAGACATATTGTTCTTTCTAAGTTACCTCCTGTTCACTGCTCGCAATCCAATCGAATAAAAGGCATTTTCCTTGGCTCTAAATCCGTGACATAGGGCTAAGTGGCCGCACAGAATGACCAAACAATTGTACAGGTATTGAAACCTATTCCGCTGGTGCCAAGTCAATTTATCTAAAGGGTTTGGAGCGTATACTCTCCTCTTCACTTGCACATTAAAATGCGCAAACACCATTATTGGTCAGTCATTCGCTTTTCCTAAAGCGAACAATCCTCAAGGCCAATCTATGTATAGCGTGCCCCAATCAACTTTGTTGTATAATTAAGGTTTTATTAAGCTTAAACAAACCATCCCCCTTGTGGAACAATTAATTCCCTTGAATTGAGTTCCTAGATACCCTAGCTCTATTACGGTTGCTCGTTTTCGCTCGACATTGAACTCGGACCCAGTGAACGGTATATTCTTTCGACTCCTGTGACGGCAGACATCGAGATATGATTATATATATATAAGCATTGTGCGCCTCCTCCCAAATTGCCTGGCTTTTGAAGTTCAAATTGAGTGAGCCCTGCATTAGCCATGAAGCCCTTCGTAGTCCTATCAGTCGCGGCCATTGCTAGCTCTGCAGCCGTTCCGAATCTTGGTAAGCCACTTCCCCTCGCCTCTTGGATGGTTCGACTAAGTCACACACAGTCTCTCGCCAACTTGGAAACTTTCTATCCCTGTTCGGCGTCGGTGGTGCCGTCCAAGCCCCGATCCTAAACCAGGAGCTGAAGCCACAACACGACCCGGCAGCGAAGCGTGAACTCAAAGTATGGGGACCGTTCAAACTCCAGCCCGCCAACGTGAGTGCCAACCAACAGTGATCTGCACATCCCCAACAACTGACATTCCCTAGAGCACGCACGGAAAACCGAATGGGCTGAAGCTCGATCCAAGCAGTGATGTTGTCAGCGCGGCACTGAGCGGTATCTGCAATGGGTGTATGGTACTGGAAGCCCAGGGGCAAATGTCGTTTGCGAATGGCTCCCGCCAGGATATTCAATTCGGAGTGTATACGCATCACATCCTTTTTGCTGATATCGGGCGTCCGGCAGTCAGTCTACCCCTCGGAGCTGTCTGCCCCGACGGTATTAAGAATGCAGGTGGCTTCGCAGGCCAAGGTGCAGCCCTCGCAGGCAGTGGTCCACCGCCAGGAGTGACTGCAAGTGGCCCACCAGGGCAGAGCGAAGGTCACTCTCATGGACGCAAGCGCCAGGCGCCACCGGGTTCTAAAATCCCTCCAATATCCATCTTAGTCGGGAATGGAGAAGATGCATCTCCACTGGTGTTTGCGTCGAAGGACCCATCAGTCAAGAGCGGGTTCTACATCGGCGAGGAGGACAAGTTCGGCCTCATGGCAGAAGTGATAAATTATGACAACCACGATAAGGATGTCTGGTTCTCAGTCGATATCGAATACATCGAGGGGCCTCGTGAGCCGGACTATTTGGACGTCGGTGGTGGAGCTTTGAATATCGATGGCTGCAGTCGTGGACTGGCATTCCGTTCGTTCCAAGCTCTTGTGTATCGTTGGTCAACATGCTAACTGTGAATCCAGATCCACCAGCTGATAAAGCGGTCTCCTATACTTCGAATGACTTTATCGTCGGCGCAGACGGATACCTTCTAAATTTTAGTCAGTTCTTAATCTACTTCCTTGGCCAAGCATATCAAGCTGACATGTCAACCAGCCCCTCACCTCCACGATGGGGGTATAAATATCGAAGTGTTCCGTAATAAAACACTGGTATGCCACTCAGACGCCGTCTACGGTGACGGCGAAGGTACGACTGCGATCGGCGGGGAAGCATGGGAGACCATCACAGCATATACACCTTGTGAGAAGGCCGTAAAGGTGTCAAAGGGGGACATCCTCAGTATGTCTGCGGAATATGACCTAACGAAGCACCGACTGTGAGTTCAGAATCTCGATCTGCCAGTTGCCCAGTTCGTTCTGCTAACTCATCTCCAGGCGGCCCGATTCCAATAACCATGAAATGGGAGCCGAAGCGATGGCGCTTGCAACATACGTGTACGCACGAGAGCCTGTTGCACCGGCACCGGCACCGGCAGTGGAGGAATAGGAACCTCGCAGCTCAAAAACTGTGGTCTCTTGTTGTGGTTCGAGATATTATCGTGTATATTAGAAATGCTGCCACAAACATTGATGCGACAAAGATCTCATCGCATTGCCATGGCAAATACGGTACCAACCCGATTGAGATGTTTAGAGTGATGTCCGCGGATACTTGTATCCTCAACCCTTTCCAAATGCGGCACCAAGGGAACGCGTCCAGCGTCGACTGGAGTTCGATCCAGCTGTGGCCGTCCGAAACCATTGTTTAGCAGTGATACCTAGCTAGCAAACGCACTGCTCACCGTCATTGGCTTCTCTTTCATCATGGGGATATCTTCCAGCGTCACATGTAGGATGGGGACGCGACGAGGTGACTAGAGAGCAGAGCGGAGACTAATGACTTAATGAGTGTCATGGTCGACGTCCCAAAGCGGTTAGTGCATTCCGACCTTCACTCTTTGTTTTAGTAGCCCGGCATGCGATCATTCAATCTGGAGCCTTTGTGAATTCACTTACCTTAGTTCCATTGGTTTTTGCGATTTTACAGATGAAACTACTAGGATACTAGCCAACCAGTTGTCAATATCTTAGATGGTCAAGTGTATTATTGACATGTGAATCATGCTTACTATGTGAATTCAATCTGCACATGAGCTGCGTCTCCCACGCATCAACAGACAACAAGTGAACGTGGGCTATGTTCTATTGCCAGCGCGTTTCACTTCACTTTCGAATGATATAAGTATTATGATTAACTCCAATACCTACCACCCATCCATCTCTCTCCACACCTCCTTTATCACAGGGCCAGACACCGCATTCTCCCAGTCTGCTCGCCTCAAGAAACAGCACAATCACACGGACGACCATGGCGAGACTAAATGAGAATAACCTTCGTCGGGCCACCTTTAGCTCGCTTTTCCGATCGAATGGCGGGCAAGGGAAGGGGAAGGGAAAGGCTGTCCCTCGCCGACACCGGTAGGTGAGATCATGATAGCGCTGAACTCCACATTGGTATATCGTTGACCCTTTAATTATACCAATCCGTATAATCGCGGCTAACCAAACCACTCACTTCACAGTATCTTACGCGACGATATCCAAGGCATCACGAAGGGTTCCATTCGGTAAGGAGCAGCGTGCGATCTCATCATGATCCATATGAAATCCAGAAACTAATATCCATTTCTGCTTAGTCGACTGGCTCGTCGCGGTGGAGTGCGACGCATTTCGGCCACGATTTACGATGAGATTCGCAAGGTGATCAAGATCAGGGTCCACGAGGTATGCATTTTGTTACCCATCCATCCTAGTCTACTGTTGAGCGCGTTCGCTGAATAATGGTGTCCGACTAACTTGCTATGTAGACACTGAAAAACATCACGATCCTTCTTGGTACGTGCTGTTGAAACGAAGAACGGTTATGAGTGACAAATGAACTATCTGACTTAATAATAGACCACAAGAATCGCAAAACTGTCATGACCCGAGATGTGAGTTGCACCGGTCCTATTTTCGAGATTGACATGACTGACAATTGCTATTCTAGGTGGTTTACGCGCTGAGGAGAGTAAGCCGATTCTTCCAGGTTCATGTGATGCGGCAGATGATGGCTAATTCTCGATTGCGATATTTACAGATGGGCACGCCAATCTACGTAAGTCTTGGTGCTCTCTTACAATGGAACCCCCCGATTAGCTTCTTACAGTTGTGATAGGGGTTTGGTTCCAATGATTTCCTCGCTCGACACAAGGAGGTCCTTGTTCACGGCCACTGATTCGTCATCGAACGTTTCTTGGTGCAACACCTGTGCGGTCGCATATCTCTACGGTTTTCGCGACGTCTTTTAGCCTTGGGGGTCCATGGTTATTGGTTGATTGTAATCCTCCCTATGGTTGTCTATGGCTGGAGGGTTCCATGAGATGGGAGATTTCTATCTGTTAGGGGCTCAAGGCAAATCTATAGGATAGCATGATTATAATGCTAATGATGGACGAATAACATGACGGGATGTCTGGGCTGTCCTATCTGGGTCCGAAAGAGGATTCAACATGTTCAAAGATCAGGTGTGAAGGACACGCCGGTGTGAATTTGGCGTGTACGGCAAATAGGAAATTGAGTTGAGCACCGAGCTCCTCCAATATGCTCAATGAGCTAGCTCGTCACTTCATTATTCCAATCCTAACAATAACGCGTTTCGCCTCGCAAAAAAGATCAGACAGCGTAGGGATTATCGCCGTATTTTTCATGCTCCTTCCCATTGGACCTCGACATCCTACCTGCACTGCTTCTCAGCACCCCTCGGCTAGCATCTACCAGAGGATTAACCCAAATATCCCTGCCTTCCGGCTTTTCGGATGGGATCTTATATCGAGCAGCACCTTGGGTATGTCAGCAACCTTGCTCCTCTCGCATTTTTCTAGACCATAACACTTACCATGCGCAACAGGGTGCGAGTTGATGTAAACACTCTCCCAATTGCCCGATGGCACCGAATAGACCTCATGCCAGATCGAAAGGTAGTCGGCGGTCCCTTCTTTTACGATCTTGTTCCACCATTCCCAGCCACGACGGTGAATTGGGTCATGGGCGAACTTGTGAACACCCCTGGAACTGTCAGTTGTGGTATCATCGTGGTGGATAGAGAAATGCCTTACTCAACGTCCCGGAAGTAATACAGGTACATTATACCGTTGGAAGTCGATCGTTCTCCACCGCCCAGCCAGGCACCAGAGCCGAGCATGCCGTACTTGTCCATTTCCTCTATCCGCAAGTTTAGACTTGTCCACCTCATGTCCGCGGGTATCATGAACTTACTCTCCAGACTCTTTCCCATCTCGGCGAAATATTCGCCAATCTTTTTTCCGTTCGGCGAGAAAACGCCCATCGGGCTATCCACTACTCGTCAGCACAATGCGATGCCTACAGGTACCGATATAAAATGGGGCGAACGTACTGATTTATCCTTACCCCCAGCAGCAGCACCACGACACTTCCATCCGACGGCTTATCCCCAAACTGCCCTCCAGCGCTCGGCACCTGCGCGGATGTCTTCCTCCCCACCGCCACATTCTCCAAGTACTCGTTCTTCTTCCACCCCTTCGTCTGGGCGACGGTGTCGATCGTGGCCCAGGTCAGCCAGACGAGTCCGGGAAGCAGGGCAACGCGAAGAGGAAGAATGAGAGTAAGGATGCTCTGGAGAACAGCGCCGATGGCAATTATGGTGGGAAGAGCGAATTGATCGCGCAGAACGGCCAGGCCGAAGGAACCGCGGACTTGGCGGGTAGTTTCTGAGGGGATGGGATTTGGGGACGGGGAGAGGAGCGGTGAGAACGCCATCGTAGACAATCAGAAGCGATGACTTGGGTGAAGATGGAGTTTGCAGTATTTCAGATGATTCTCAAGGATTTATAAAGATACTATTAATGGTCTTTAGGACTTGCGACAGAGGACCGCCTAGTTCGAAGACGTAAATGGTGAATTCGTGACTGAGACACGCATGTCGGCGTACTCCTATGTACGATGATACGGCCGAAGCAAGGGTTGAAACCGCCACCATTTGTCCATTTGTCCCGATCCCGACTGCATCTGATGATCACTAATAATGTCTAAGTTCAACACCCAAACTTCATCATCGACTTGACGACTTCACGCTGTTTCTGTTTCAGTACAGAATACATCCTATGATGCATTCAAACTACGATATCGATACCAGAGATACTCTATACAATTACGATTGTTGGCAGTATTGTGGTCATATGTTTTGAAGACTTACTGTGTTACTACAAGTAGCAAGCCTGATTGCCTTGGTCACAGATCATATCGTTTGGGAGAAGACGACTTCGGAACAGAAGACGCGAGCTTTTGAAATTCGATGACTCTAAGCTAAAATGATGACCTTTCCCTAGTTCTTATATCGTGGTCGTGGCAGGTTGTCATAGTACGGCACAACAATCGTGTCCGGATCATCCGTCACACTCACCATTATCGCTGTGACGGGATGGATGGGTTTCTGATCCACAACCAAGTTGATGCACGACGGTCCTGGGGTTCCCTGCAGCTTCTTCACGGTGCTCTCGACGTCGGCAATCTTATCAACCTTCGCGGCAGCATTTCCGAGTCCCTTTGCGACCGTCTCGTATTCAGTGGTGGGACTCAAGTCGCTGACCGGACGAGCGGGATTCTTAGTTCCATAAATGAGCTCCTGGCCATTCGAGCTCATGCCCCAGCAGAAGTTGTTGACCACGATGGTCATGATGTTGAGGTTGAAGCGCTTGTACGTGTCTAGCTCCATGAAGTGGAATCCAGCGCTCCCGTCTCCTTGAATGTTAATGATCTTGCGATCGGGAGCGGCGATGGCACAGCCGAGCGAGTATCCGAAGCCGTTCCCTAGGAACCCGAGATACCCACATGCCGACATCACCGCGAACGGCTTGGACGTGGCAGCGAGTCCGTTGGACCAAGCTCCGCACTCACCACCGTCATTGATGATGATGCATCCAGGCTCGATAGATGAATAGACCTTCTTCAAGGCGTGGTATGGGTGAATTCTGCCAGGACTTTGTTCCTCCGGTGCAGTGTCGAACGGTGAAGGGAGCGATTTTACGGAGAGGGCAGCTTGGACCCAACTAGCATCCACTGATCCTTGGAAACCAGATTCGAGGCTGGCATTCAGCGCATTCGCCATCTGAGTCACATCCGAGGTGACGCCTAAATCAGTAGGCAGAGTTCGTCCGATCTCGCCGCTATCGACATCCACATGAACGATCTTGCATCCCTCATTGGGAATGATCCCTCCACTCTTCCCGCCCAGGAACATACCCGTCCTAACCCCAAGCAGCAGCGCCAGATCCGGCTGCTCCTTCTTTAGAAGAGGTAACACGCCCAAAAGTCCCGCATGCGTTCCGAGGAGCTCGAAGTCCGCCGGCACGGTCGCCAGGTATTTCTGGCTATGGAACAACGGAATCCCGCACGTCTTCGCCAACTTCATCAGTGCCTCTCCCGCCTCCTTCGATCGTCCTCCCGTCCCAGTAATGATCACCGGCCGCTTCGCCGCCTTCAATAACGCTAGCGTGTCCTCCACTGCCTTCGCATGCGGTCCCGGCGCATATGACAACGGCGACGTGATCGATCCCCAGGAGATTAACCGCTCCGTGACGGGGCTAAACAACACGTCGATCGGGAAATCCAGCAGCACTGGACCGGGAGCCCCGGCGAGCGCCGTGCGGATGGCATGTGACACAAGCCGTGGCGCGTCTTCTGCGTGGGTGACCCGGTGAGCAAATTTCGTGAGCGGACGTGCGACGACCACCTGGTCGATTTGGCCCTGCAAGCTGTTGTTCTCGGCATCACGCAGCGGCGGAGACGAGGTGATGCAGAGGATGGGACTGCGGTCCGCATACGCGGTTGCAAGGCCGGGGAGACCGTTCGAGTAACTGGGATGATTTAGTGTTTATGTATCTTGAAAGGAAAATCCATATATATGGAAGAGAAGCGCGTGGGAAAGTACCCACCCACTGTTCGCAGTGACGAAGCAGACGCCGATGGTATCCCTGATTTTGGAGTAGCCTTCCGCTGCTTGCACTGCCACTGTCTCATGTCGTGTGTCAATGAGTTTGATGCCGATGGACTCGCATCCCATGAGAAAGGCATCAAGATGTCCGCCATGGAGACCAAATGCCACCTCGACGCCCATATGCTTCAGACATTGAGCGAGGAGGTCGCCTCCGGTAAGCTCCCGGGTGCTGGGGTGTTCCAAGGTGAATCCAGCCATGGTCAGGGATAGTTCAGTCTGGCTTCCAAAGGTAAATGTTGAGATGGGTTAACGTTTGTTAATTGAGGAATCTCGGGAATTCACCGGGAATATTCGAATGGCCGTTATTTTATTTATTTATGCCTCAAGCGGATGTCGTGCATATATATCGCGACGCGGCACCATCTGCGGGGCTACAGGTAGAGATCCGAAGTACCGGTATGCGGGGAAGTGGCGGTACCGGAAGAGTGAAGACCGCCCAGAACATCCTCTCCACTCCGGATATCTTTGTCCTGGAATCGAGTCGAAAATATTGGTAGTCTATGGCCTGATCAATTTCTTTTAGTCTACAGATGTATTGGCATGGTCAGTTGTTGCCGTATAATCCGTGCAGGCCTATTAGGAGGGGTTCTGGGACCATGAGGTGAATCCCAGCAAGCACCGATGCGTCTATCCCAAATGTATCATATCCCATCAGTCACTTACCCAGCTACATCAAGGAGAAAAGGTGGCATATTTTGAATGAATGCGGTACCACTCGCTTTATCGTCTTACGTCAGAGCACCTGCTCAATATTTTCTACACGTCCCGCCTGCCCAATACCGAGCCAATACTACGGATGCCTCCAACACCAGACATGAGAAGTTGACCCCAACCCTTCACCCAGCGCTAAGAAAGCCGCCGGATCCGGAAATAACATTTATAGGTCCCGACGTCTTGATCTCGCGACATAGAGCCGCGCGTGAACATCGCGATGGCCACTGGACTCGACTGAAACGAATCGAGTGGTGACGCTCGTATCCTGGAGATGGACTCGGTGAGTGTGCAGGTCGCGGTGCACTGTGCGAGTAAATGGTGGCCATGCCTGCCGCCCGCAATCCTGAAACGGGCAGAGGATGGATTCTCTGCCGCGGCCGGTAGGTTTTGTATCTCTCGATCATGCCGCAGAGGACCGCTCATGAAACTGAAACCCTCCAAATGTTCGCACCCGGCCTTCTTACATCTGTACAGACAGCGATTGCCATGCGTTCTGCGAACCTCTCGCACATGTCGGAAAAGAGCGCCGGAGGAAGTGACGGTTTCGTGATGTTCGCACCCGGGATTATTGCACATGTATAGGCCGGACGGTTGGATCGTCCAATGATCTATAGACGGATCAGGTTTTGGTACTTGAGATTCTAAGAAGGGCTCTTTGGAAGCCATTGTAATGATCCGGATTCTTCAGTGTCGTCGAATCGGCTTGTCGAACCGGACGAATTGCGCGGCCGTCAGCACTTCATTACAATTTACAGGGCTCAAATATCATTGGCCACCTTCTCCACCCACGCAAAGTCGGGATCATACCCAACATGGATGCGTATGGGAAAGGTTCCTGAAATATCCCGGTACAAAACCTCACGCGTCCCATCCCCTCCACTCTTGATCTTTTCCGCCTTCTTCATCCCCTTCTTCTTCGTTCCCTTCTCCGGTTTTCCGAATTTGGACGCAACCTCCCATACTTTGTAGGTCACGGATACGCGCTGGAGTTTGAAGTGATCCTCCCATATGAACTTTCCACTCCCGCTGCCATCGGCACGAGACAGGAAACCATTGACAATGCCAAGTAGGATATTGCGACCAGGCTCATCTGGCTGAGGATGCCTTGCCCAACTGTCATGGGGGAAGCAGGTGATGGATGTCAGGTTGGTGCCACGGGAGAGCGCTTCTCCAATTTCATTCTATGTGTGTTAGTACGTTTGGTAGGATTTGACCCGTAGAATAATGGACAATCCCTACAATTTCTGCTTCTTCTGGTGCAAACTCGAGATCCTGCAATTGAGGCAAGTTATCAATGATAGCCGCCACAGTTGTTGCTGATAGGTATGGAATCTTGCAGCCGCTGACCATCCCCTGGTACGATATTTTCAGACTTCTCAGATTTTGATGCTTGAGAATAGCCTGCAACAGCGTGTCCGGCAGTCCAGGATTAGTGGTGATTGTATTCGGATATTGATTATAATCCTTGACTTCCAGGGTCGTCAAAGTGTCGAACGCAGAGATGAAGCGACATTTAGCCTCGAAGTTTGTCTGGATATGTTCAGGTGTCTCCCCGTAGCGGTCATCTGACATCTCCAAGCATAAGCTTCGCAAGCTAATGCCTGTAGCACTATTATGGGACGAGGTTGCTAAGTTCGTAAGATGTTGAAAGAAGAGGTGTTTGCCATCTGACAAATGTCCAAGTGTGAGCTCACACAACCCCATATAGTCAATGGCCCTTTGCAACGAAGTGATGAAAGTCGCATCAAATGAGACGCCACTAAGAGTGAAAGACTTTAAGACGGTAAGACTATACTCTCGTTTCGCAAGAGCATCGTCTGCAGAGACCTTCTTCTCCCAATCTTGCAAAAAACTGATCGCATAGCCGTTTCCCTTTACGACTAGGCTCCGAAGTGTTGACGTCGAGTTCAGAAGTATGGACTGAACGATGTTATTGTTGAAGCTGCTGTTCTCAACACTTAAATGCTTCAAGTTCTTGATTTTTGCTAACGGTGTCATGGCTTCAATTTCGGGCTCGTGTAGTCGCAAAGCTTGGATGTTCTTTAGTGATGCAATGCTCTGACCCATTGACCTGCGAATTTCGTGAGCAAGCTGCAACTATAACGAGGATGAATATGCAGGGTGTCGACGAAGTACTTACTTTGTAAGAAAATACACCTCCACAATCTCCAGATTGTTCACATTTTTAAACACCTCTTCCACGTATCTATGGACAATGTACTGATGCTTTCGTCCTGGATCTGCAACACCAACCACCATCTCGCGTACATGGGATGCAGAAGCTGGTTTGGCGTTCGCATCGAGGTGGCTTGGATATCGTTCTTGTTGACCTTTGTAATTGCCTTCTTTCTTCAACTGCCTCTTCTGTGCTATGGTGAGATGTGGTTCAAGGGCACGAATGAGCTTTGAAATGTGCGCGTGAAACATGACAGCGACAGCGACGCGCTTATGAAGCAGTGGCATCATGAGCGAATAGTATCTTTTGCAAGTTCGACCCAGTTTGCCTATGGTTGATGGGTCTTTGATCTAGGGTTTTTGAAATTAGTAGAGTAAGGATATGATGCCTTGAGTTCATCTACTCACGTTGTCTAGAATCAGGAACAGTATTTCTGCCGGCAGAGACGATAGAAGGTCATTGGATGAGCTGAACTGGGCTTGAGAAGGCGGCTTGATGCCCTTCCCAAGTGTATTCCCAATTGCCGGTTTTGTCGCTTTTTTCTTTGGCCCGGTACTCCCTTCTGCAGGAGGTGCTGGAGCTTTACGCTTCTTGTTGTTCCTGACCACTTCAACAGGCGGAGGTCTCTGGACCTCGACTGGTTCCGGGCCATCTTGGGTCACCTGATTTTGAAGTCTGGTGCTTCTTCTTAATGACATTTTAGTTCGCTTGAAGTTTTTAACCTGGATGTAATGTCAAGGTTAGTGCCGTGTCTAGTTAGGTGAAGTTGTCAACTCAACTCTGTCAAGGTGAGGCAGAGCAGCAACGAGGTTAGGCAACCACGCTATCACGTGCTCGCGTGCTGATGGCAAGCCTCCAATCGCCAAGTGCAAATATTATATGTATTGATTGAGAGATTCAAAAAGTATGGGAGAATTATGGAGGAGTAAAAGAGTTGAAATAGATATGGTTGGATGGCGATGATTACCAATAACCACCTCGGCTTGAGATCGAACGCGTCGAAACGCGACCGAACGCGTCACAGCGCGTCGCACTTGCCAAGCCACATCAGCAGGGGTTAAGGGGATGAGATGTCGAAATTGTCCAGCCAACTGAAAGCAATGAGGGACGATGCCATTTCATAGTGCACCAACTTATGAGCTACCGTCAAACGGAAGAGAAATCCGTAATTCGTTATCCCAAAGATCGGAAACTCGGATGAAATAAGATCACCGTTCACAGAGTCCCTTCCCTGACTTCAGGGTCATTGACATCCCCCACGCCGGACCGTAACCCCTCCAACTTTGCCAGCATCCACGCCTCGATTTCGAAACGATTCCCATCACACACACAAACAACAGCAACTGATTTGCAACCATGCCTTCTGTCGTTGCTGAAGCTCCGGGGAGGTCTTCCTCCATGCCTCGTGGCCCCCCTTCGGGGAGCGTTCCCCCTGGAAGCGATGCGCAGTTCTTCGGAGGAGATGACGAGATCGTCGGTGCGAGAGGGACCGTCAAGAAGCCAGTGGGACCTCGTGGTGAGGTTCAGCGAGTTGTAGATGTGACCGGAGAGACCCTCGCTGAGCGGTTCCAGGATTTCCTCGAGTCGTAAGTATATGCGCTGCGGAAAGTTGGATTCCAGATACTGATGATACGCTGCATCCAGATTCGCAGAAGAGTTGTCCTCATCAGGCGCTCCACCCTCGTCCAGCATGGGAACGGATAAGTTCTACATTGGTCAGATCCACGGAATGAAACTATACAATCTCTCGACGCTCTACGTGGACTTCAAGCATTTGGCGAGATATCAAGAAGGCGTCCTGGCAAACGCCATTGTTGCCGAATACTTTCGGTTTTTCCCTTTCATGACCCGGGCTCTGCACAATGTACTTGCGAAGTACGAGCCACAATACTTCCGACAGCATCGGCAGCCATTGTCAACGACAACGGGCACCGACACGTCACTTGCAGGGGATGCCTCGCAAAGCGATATGTCACGTAAGACGACGAACCAGCAAACCGATCGCCTCTTCACCATCGCATTCTACAACCTTCCACTCGTTTCACGCATTCGGCAGCTACGCACCAGCAACATTGGCCAGCTCTCATCTATCTCCGGCACCGTTACCCGAACCTCAGAGGTGCGACCCGAGCTCTCGCTTGCGACCTTTACCTGCGAAGCATGCAATACGGTGGTCCCGAATGTGGAGCAGATATTCAGATACACCGAGCCTCCACAATGCCCCAATATGACGTGCGGCAATCGGCAGGGGTGGCGGTTAGACATCCGACAGAGTACATTTGTGGATTGGCAGAAGGTGCGAATTCAAGAGAACAGTAGCGAGATCCCCACTGGAAGCATGCCACGGACTATGGATGTGATTCTACGCGGAGAAATCGTCGATCGGGCGAAGGCTGGCGAGAAGTGCATCTTTACCGGCAGCCTCATCGTCGTCCCCGACGTCAGCCAGTTTCGACTCCCTGGAGTTCGTCCTCAAGGGACAAGGGATAACGGATTCGCACCGAGAGGCACTGACGCCGGCGGAACTGGCGTTACTGGACTAAAGGACCTTGGAGTTCGTGATCTCACATACCGTATGGCATTCCTTGCTTGTATGGTGACCCCCGATGCGAGTACCCCGGGGCAATCAGCGAATCAAAATATGGTCGGCCAAGCGGGCAACATTCTGGCGTCCCTGAATCAGGTGCAGCTGTTCGACAGTCTGACAAGCGGAGAAGAGGCACAGCGGGAATTCCTCGCCACCCTTAGTCCACCGGAGATCGAGGATTTGAAATATATGGTCCACCGGCCGAATGGATTTATGAGGCTGGTCGACTCGATTGCACCTATGGTGTATGGCCATCAGGTCATCAAGAAGGGGCTCCTTCTACAGTTGATGGGTGGTGTCAGCAAACAGACCCCCGAAGGAATGGCTCTCCGAGGCGACATTAACATTTGCATTGTGGGGGACCCGAGTACCAGCAAGTCTCAGTTCCTCAAATACATCTGCTCCTTCCTTCCTCGCGCCGTCTATACTTCTGGAAAAGCCTCGTCCGCGGCTGGTCTCACCGCCGCCGTGATTAAAGACGAGGAAACTGGCGAGTTCACCATCGAAGCCGGAGCGCTCATGCTTGCCGACAATGGCATTTGCGCGATCGATGAATTCGACAAGATGGACATCAAAGACCAAGTCGCCATCCACGAAGCCATGGAACAGCAGACCATTTCCATCGCCAAAGCTGGCATCCAAGCGACCTTGAACGCTCGAACGAGCATTCTCGCCGCCGCCAACCCGGTCGGCGGCCGCTACAATCGCAAAACCACCCTCCGCGCCAACGTAAACATGTCCGCCCCCATCATGTCCCGATTCGATCTCTTCTTCGTCGTGCTCGATGAATGCGACGAGGCCGTCGACCGTCACCTAGCCGACCATATCGTCAACATCCACCGCCTCCGCGACGACGCCGTCGAGCCGGAGTACAGTACCGAACAACTACAGCGATACATCCGGTTCGCACGCACATTCCGCCCGGAGTTCAACGACGAGGCAAAACGGACGCTCGTGGAGCGGTATAAGGAGCTGCGACAGGACGATGCGCAGGGCGGGATCGGCCGAAACAGCTATCGCATCACGGTGCGGCAGCTGGAGAGCATGATTCGGCTGAGCGAGGGGATCGCGAAGGCGAATTGCGTCACGGAGGTCACGAGCGAGTTCGTCCGCGAGGCGTATAATTTGCTGCGGCAGAGCATCATCTCCGTCGAGAAGGACGACGTGGAGGTCGAAGAAGACACGCAAGAGCCGGAGGACCGGGCCATGGACGGAGCGGACGCTGAGGATGTGGGAGAGGAGGACGATGACTCACCGATGGCCGATGGAGGGGCGGTGGATGGGGCGCAGGAGCCGGCGAAGGAAAAGACGAAGATCACGTATGACAGGTACATGTCGATTCTGAACCTGTTGGTTCGACGGATTGTCGACGAGGCGGAGGATTTGGAGGACGGGGTGGAGGAAGAGGAGCTGCTGGTGTGGTATCTGGAGCAAAAGGAAGCGGAGATCGACACGGAGGAGGAACTGGAGTTTGAGAAGGCATTGGCAAAGAAGGTGTTGAAGCGGATGGTCAAGGTAAGAAGATTGTAGGCTTCTGTGCTCCGGACGATTACTGACGTTGAACTAGGATCAAATCCTCATGCAGATCGCAGGCGAAGGGTTGGCAGACCAGCAGGGCGATGGGTTGCAGCAGGAGGACAAGGTTGTCTACGTTCTGCATCCCAATTGCGCGGTCGACGAAGTGGGATGATTGGATCGTTCTTCGTTACTTGGAGTTTGGACAACGGCTTTGGCCTCAGGTAGGCTGTTTAGTGCGGTATTATAAGGTGTAATGAATGAAGAATGAATGAAGAACAGAATCGACGCCTAGAATAGGTATCATGCTTTTGAATGCTCCATACTCAACGGATGAACTCGATAGTACACCATAAACCTACTCCTCAAGACTATGTGTCCAAAGTTGTGTCGACCTGTCTAGCGGAAAGGGGATGAAACGGGAATCCGTTCACTACAGCGTGGTGTAGCCAGGCAAGCATGGCAACGATTTAGGAGATTCCTATGCTCGGAAGGTGTGCCTCACGGCCATTACTATCCTTTCCCCAAGAGGTATTCAGAATTCCAGACCAGTCGACACTAGGACGACTAGGTGAACCGAAATCCGAGGGACGTCTCACGGGTAGGGCTAGGGAGGAACTAGGAAGAGAATGATGACGTAAGCGGCTAGTTCTAAGTTGCACGTGACCCGAATTGTCATCAAAAGCAAGCTCTTCAATTCTTCACAGCTCGAAAATTTTATTCCTTCACAAACACCTATGAAGCCTTCCGCCTACCAATATTCAACGTAGCCCACAGGTTTGGAGTTGGCCAAAAAATGATGAACTAATGATACAATAAAGTCTTTGCAACTTGACAGCCCGCATCTGGGCACCATCCGCTCGCTTCTGTACGTATTTTTACCCTCAGCACCACACCCCCTCCGCATTTGAAATGATTAAGACTCAATATCTGTCAATCCTCTGAGCCTATGGCGAGAATGAAGATACCAAATGAGTTGGTCGACTAATGATCAAACCTTCCCTATTATCTTGGAATTATACCGACAGTTTGACAATGATCCCCGGCTAATGCAAAATTCAGATCCACTACCCGTGCTCTCTTAAACCAACAATGACTGATTCACCCGACCCCGTATCCCTCCCCATCCCCATCTCCCACCTCGCCCACCGCTACTTCCTCTACTCACCTCCCAATATCGCCTATCTCCGCCGCCACCACAATGTCTGCGGCGTCCTCATCGGCTCCCTCCCTCAAGTCCCTTCTCAAAACGTCTTCATGGGCCTCCCCCTCGAGCTGATGCCCGAAGAAGCGCGCGTGCTCGTCGAGCGCGGTGTGGCGTACATCGTCGACGATGTCGCGGCGCATCGAGAAGGGCTAGAGAAGCTGAAGACGGCGGACGGGGCGGAGCGGCGGCGGGAGTATATGCGGTTGCTGCGAGATGTGGGGCGAAAGGATGCGGAGGAGGTGATGCGGAAGAAGGAGGAGGTGAGGCGCGGGGCATTGGAGCGGGCGGCGAAGAAACGGGCTGAGCAGCAGAAGAAGAACGGCGAAGATGTAGGCGCGGAACAACGCGTAGAGGGAGGCGATGCGCAGGACGTGGATGACGGGACAGAACTATTCTCTCAGCGTTCAGGCAGCGTGGCGTCTAGACCCAGTATCCCAACCGAGTCATACAATTTCATCACCCCCACCTCCTCCTCTCCCCTCTTCGACGTCCCTCCGTCCTCCGAGTGCGCCAGTACCTCCCCCGCCGCCATCCCCGTCCCCGACTCGTATCCCCTCTTCGCGCACCTCCATGCCAACGGCTACTTCCTCTTCCCCGGCATGCGGTTTGGATGTAATTACGTCGCGTATCCCGGCGACCCGCTGCGGTTCCATTCGCATTTTTTGTCAAGGGGCGTCAAGTGGAATGAGCAGGTGGACCTACTAGATATCGTGGGAGGAGGACGATTGGGGACAGGTGTTAAGAAAGGGTACTTGCTTGGGGGGAAGGTAGAGGCTGAGCAGGCCGCGAGAACGCGGGATGGAGATGGGATATCCGAGGACGATGTACGGGTTTTCTCGTTCGAGTGGGCTGGCATGTGAGGTCCATCTCAATCAGCATCGCTTTTTATAATACCTACTGGTTTTCTCATGGAACCTGCGGGACTAAATCATGCGTGAAATTCAATGATTATGATGAATATGCGACCCAGAAATCCATCGAGGCTGTTGTGCATGATTGATCCATGATAACCAGACTACATGTGTTCCAAGATCGTGGTTCGTGGCCAACGAATAGCCCAACAGTTTTGGCTCGCGAGTCACAAAAGGCTACACAAAACCAGTTCTAGCCCGATGTCCGTTGATGCGCTTTGATTGATCGCCACTGTCCTTGCCTTGTATCACAGCTAACGGTACTGAAGTAAACACTAATAATGCATATTCAGCAACGGCCTCCCTGTCGAATGCTGCGAAGTGCAAAATATCGGAACCCCCCGTCCCGTCCCGTCCCTATCATCCCTCAACAGCGGCCCGTCCATTTGAATACCCTCGGCCGCAAACCCCAAGCTAAGCCACGTGCGCCATAATACAGGCCCCATCTCCGGTCGACCGTCGCAAGTGCGTTGGAGTGGACTACATGCCATATCCGGGCGGCATGCCTCGTCCCGGCCCAAATCCACCCGGTCCTTCAAAACCCCGACGGAGCATCTCAGGAGGCGGCGGTCCACCAGGCGGTATCCCCGACCCCATGAACCCAGGCGGCGCGCCCCCGGGACCAAAGGGAAAGCCAATGTGCGGCGGCATCCCAGGCAGGCCGTTCGGAGCGCCCGGGGGCGGGCCTTGGCCGGGCGAAAACAGCGGGGCCATGCCGGGCGGTCCGCCGCGAGGTCCGCCGGGCATGCCGGGATGCGGGCCGGGCATTGGCGGCGGCATCCCAGGGGGGAAGCCGGGGGGATGGTTGACGCCCATGCGGTTTCGGAAACCGGGTGGGGGGCCGACGTTGCGGTCGGGGGGGTTGCTGGGGGGTGGGTGTGCGCCCGCGGGAATTCCGGGCGGCGGGCCGTGGCCCAAGCCGTTTTGTTTGGGATTGGACCAGTACGGGTCTTGGGGGGGGAGTTGTTGCGGGATGCCGAGATTCATGGTCATCTGTGGTCCGCGGGGGTTGACGGTTTCGGCCGTATTTCGTCGTTGGAGGGCAGCCAGGACGTTGTCGTCGAAGAGACCCGGCGGAGGCTGGGGTGCGCCTCGCTGGGATGACTTACGGGAAAGTTCATTGCCGATCGGGTGATCGCCCTCGGAGAAGGCATTGGGTCGCTCTTCGAAGAAAGGAGGAAGATTCTGTAGATGGGGACGGTTCTTTGGTGGCATCTGCGGCAACATAGGGCCGGGAGCCGAGTGTTGGCGGTTAAGGGTGCTATTGCCATTGTTGACTTGACCATGTTGCTGGTCAATTTGCTGCTCAAGCTGCAGATGTGGCGCGTTCGGATGCTGTCGCATAAGATTCAAAAGAAACTGGCTGTCCTGGTTGAGCAAATGCTGTGGAATACCACCGGCACCATGCAACCCAGCCATGGGTGCAGAAGCGTTTCGGTGCACCGGTTCCTGCTCTGCTTCCCGCGATCGTCTCTCTCCATGGCCTCCGGGCGGACTTTCACCGTTTATGTTCGGCATGGTTCGAAGCATTTCAGCGGCATCGAATGGATTTCGACCACCTTGGTTGGGGGAGACAACGGTCTCGTGATCGGCCCCATTACGTCTCACATATTCGGGAGGCGAGTGTACCGTTTCTGATCGACCTGCTGCGTTCTCCATTGGCGGTGGTCCCCTAGGAGTGAACTGGGCATTCCCACCTGCAGTAGGCTGCGGCGATTTGGATTTGCTGTTGAGCATGGCTAGGATTTTCTGGAATCCCAGAACATCTTCGTTGGCCTCGGGGAGCGTAGCAACCTCCACAGGAATCTGAGGGGGTTCGGGTCTGAGAGGTGCAGGAGCAGGCTCGTCCTTTGCCGCGAAGAAACCGGCGAAGCGCGACTTTGACTTGGCTGCCGCATCGATTTTCGGCGTCGGTACAACCTCTGGGCTGTCCACATCCGCCTTCTTCTGGTCTCCCCAGGTAGAGAACTTATCAAATCCGAGATTCATGTCCTTGATAGAGAGTTTGTCGGCTTGATGGTGTTCCTGTGTCCCAGTAACCACATCTTTCCGAAGGTTCGACTTCTCATCAACGCTCGGCTTTTGAGCGCGCATTCTCTTCTTCCACTCTTCAAAGTCCTCTGCGGTCTTCGACGACTGTTGCCCGTGATTCTTCTCCTCTTTGATTGGTTCCTCTGCCATCCACTCCGGGTCTGCTTCGACCCTGACTTCTCGTCCTCGAGTCCATTCGCGATCGTCTCGATGCTCTCGATCACGCCAGCCGTCGGTTCGAGAGCGCATTTGGGAAGGCTTCCCTTCAGTGGGTATCTCTTCTCGCCACCTTCCCTGCCCGTTCCGTCGGTCAGAGGGCGCCTTGTCTCTCCAACCGTTAAGATCCTCAGGGCTCGTTAAATTATCCCATCTCCCCCCACCAGTTCGAGCTTCGCCTTCATTCCTTCCCATTCTACGGCCATTTGAAAGCCCGCTAGCATCGCGTGACCGTTCCGGGTCACGCCTTGGCTTTCCAAAGGTATGCCGATCAGATCCCAGCACAAAATCGTCGGACGTAGGAATGCCTCTATCGCCGGATTCGTGGCTGCGGGTATTGCCCCTTGCAGTGGATGCAAATGGTGTCCTTGGAGGGCCGAGAAGAAGAAAATCGTCGGCTAGATAAACAGTCAGCAAGCATTCAGCAAGAACTTCCGGAACACCAACCTGTTGCAGAGCCTCGTGACTTGTTCTGATGGGGGAAAGGGCGTGACGAGCTATTTTCGCCCTCATCACCTCGGTTGATGCCAGCTGTTCGTGTCTTGCGTTGGGTGGCGTCGTTTGAAGAACTGTGCAATATGTTAGCCGCTAGATCAAACGGAACGAAAGCGTATCCGCTCACTCTATCCATTGCTCGATGGATGGGAGAGCGTCCGGTTTGTGTACTAGCGGTGATTCGCGTAATGTGAGCAGCTGCTCTCGTGTGTATTGGATAAGTGCCATCACAGGATTGGGCTCTCGCCCGATGGCGACGAAGAATCGGAGGTTTGGGTCAAGTATTCGGTGGCGGGAAAATGTGTAGGGAAGGATATGGCGCGAATGAGGATGTTAATCCCCGAGAATGGGGAAATACACAGCCAGCACAGAGCAGTATGCAGACGAGAAAGGCTAGGCCCTCAAGGCTGAAATCGGAAGAGCAGATGGTGATCGCAGATGCAGAGTGAAGGGGCGAGACGGGAAGACCCTTTGCTTCCACTGAGAGAAGGGTATGGTTGTGACTTTGGTGAGCGCGCCTGGTGGAAAGAAAACTGGTAGATTTAAGTGGCTGCGGATGTCTGGTTTTGTAGCATGTGAGGTTCTGTGTCGAGAAATGAGTCTTGTTGTAGCAATTTGACTGGAAGGTTATCGTCTGCTTTGAAGGTTGATGTCTCTCTCTGTCTCTGCCGCTCCGCACCACCAAGGCACGAGTGGGCTTGGCACTGTCCTGATGCACGTGATTGATTTGTGGCGGAACATTAGTGGAACGGAGCGGAGCGGATATTGTGTTGTCTTGGCACGTCATAGCGGAGCCCTCACGTGACACTCTGCTCCAGAGCTCCAGCATGCAAGTGAAACTCAAACTTTTGGGAATGGGTTGCTGTCCAACGACAAAATTATCAACCGCTGCGAAACACCACAAAACCTCCCGGGCCGTTCATCGTACCTGTCATCGTAAGTGCGATGACCACACCATCTTGCGCGCGGAGGTGCCGCTCTAATATCCCTACCCTATTCTCCTCTCCTGTCGTTTCACATGTCCGTCGCTATACCGCTGGCAAATCCTATCTCCATACTCCTGGGACATCGCCGCATATGAATGGCCTTGTCGGCCGCAGTGGACGGTATCGGGGCCGGTCGTTTAGCTCATCTCCTCGAGCGCGATCAATTGCTCCTGAATCGCCGAGATTCATCGATATCCCTCAACCTCCCCAGCGGGATGTAGTGAAAAGGCCCATAGTGAAGGGTGTCCTGCCCGTGCCCCGTCAGGTGTTTCGAAGCAACACTGGAAACAACATGATCGATCCTAAGACGCTATCACTCAGCACAATGGAACCTTCGAATCCCGAGCAGGAGTTGGACACCGATACAACGACCCTATCCAGAAGATCGTACAAGGCAAGGGCAGCACAAACGAGAAGGCAAAATCTACGACAGGGTGTAATGGATCTATATACTCGGCAAGAGACGCAAAGAACGCGTTCGGAGCGAAAACAGGCTGCCATCTTCAAAGCACACAATGCAGCTCGAGTTGCCCCCGAGCGTGACGACGAGCGATTTACCCGGACCACGGTCCCCCAAGCCGTTTTGGACCTTCTAACGAAGCAGCCTACCTCCGGACGGAAATCGGATCCCGAAGCCATGGAACGGAGTCGAATGAATTATCAGCGTGACCTCCAGAAGAAATCCGAGCGTCGGCGGGAAGCCCTTCAGTCTCTCTACGTCCATGCCAGGAATTTCATCGTCAACGAAGCCCAGCTTGACGAAGCCATTGAGAAGACGTTCGGCACCGAAGAGAAACCTATCCGATGGTCTACAGGATCCTGGTCCAAGTTCGAGACTACAAGCATCTGGGCGATGGGCACGCCAGACACGACGAATGATATGCTTGCGAGGTTGAACCGAGAGGGAGACAGCAAAACCACACAGAGGATCAGGGACAGGCCAATGGGTACCTCATCGGAACGATTGAAGAAGATTGCCGAGGTTTTGACCGGAGGAAAGTCGACCTAAGGACCAGGATATATGGAGTCAACTTGTGCACGGAGCGTAGTGTATGTTTGCGCTATTTGCTTCTAAATCAAAGCATTGGAGCGGATCGGGCGTTTGGATCGATTTGTACGGTGCCAGTTTGGACTTTGAGGCTCAAGGGCACCTTGGACAGATCCCTGAGAAGCATCACGGTGTATGATTGTTGTGGACCACGACGCGCAAGCCTTTGATGCTGAGCCTCGCTGTAACTTGTACTATACTGTGGAAATATGCACGTCCCAAGTCTACACATTTCCCTTGCTCTATTTGCGTTTCCATTTATTCCAGGTCACCCAGTCTCCATAGCCACAACTTTTGAGGCTGATCATGAAGTCACCTTATCCATATATGTTTCACTGACCAGAGAAGGGTGGACCGATGATGAACCGATAACGATGACATTCATTGCAGTGGACAACGATGCGAACTGCCCGACCATTGTTCCTGAAACACTCTGTCTCGCCACCGCGCAGCGTTCAATTAAGGCAGGCACACACTGCTCCGCCCTATCCGAACCTTGGGAGTCAGTTTTCCATCGTTTCTCAAAACTGCGGAGTAGGTTTTCAGCAAGAGCGTTGTTGGGTTCCTCTTCAGTCTTCTTCGATAAACGTCTGGCTATTTTTATATTTTGAGCCGATTTCATGAAGGGTCCAGCAATGCATTGTGCGAATGCCCCCGGAGTTCTGCGGTAGTTTTGTCATACGCTGTATACCTGCTTTAGCGAGAGATATTCAAAGTTCCGACTTCCGAGAGACCTGTCAGACGTGGTTGCGCGACGATCCTTACTTTTCCAAAGCCCATGGGTTTTTATCGCGTACCATACGATCTTGTTCGATGGATTCAAAATGCAGGTATCGGCTGCAGAGATTTGGTCGAACAGCATCATAATGTGCAATGCGGTCATTTTGTGGGGTATTTACTCCGCCAAAACGTGTGTTGCTTTGACGATCGTGATCTGGTACCGGGAGTCCCACCAGAACCATGGAATGGTGCCTGTATCATCATGGAAACAAAGGTCTCCATTGATCGATCATTGTGATGCAAGACACACGTTAGCGACGGATAACTACTCCGTACCTTTTAGAGATTAAGAGGGTCTCCTATTCTACTTAAGCAGGTCAATTTCCCATCTCTTTTTCGTTTCAATCCACGCGATACTATCGACTTTGATATTCGATAGTTTGCCTACTCCCCTATTCCATCATGCAGTATCTCTTGGCCGCATCTTCTATCCTCGGCGGTGTATCCGCCTTGGTCGCCCGTGACGCCCCCTGGTATGCTCCACTCAAGGCGTCTCATATCATTCATATACTTACCAGAACGCAGTTGCTTCCACCTGTCCGCGGATGGAGGCCCCGGAGGTCCGGTTGGCCAGCTTGATGATGGTCAGAACCGCATTGGACAAGGTCTTCCAGAGGCGAATTATTGTCTCGACAACAACGGAGGTAAGCATACGGTCTCGGAAGCAGCCGGAAGAAACCTAAGATCATGCTAACACTCTACAGGTTTGACGGACCAGGACGGCAGAGGATGCATCCTAACTCCTCCAACCACCCAATGGCAATGTGATGAAGGAGCCACTCCGGATGGAGGGTTCAGCGTAGGCAATGATGGTGGGCTGAAACATGATGGCAGCACCACCTTCATCGCTTGCCCGACTGGAGACAATGGCGGATGGAATATCTACACAGAGCGCATCGATGGCGAACCACTGTGCACGGAGATCACCCTCACTGCGGATAGTTGCGGCTCTGGGGCTCCCCCGACTGAGGGCAAGCCCAGTGAACCGGCTGGCACTCAACCTGCACAAACGCAGCCCGCTGGAACTGAACCAACTGGCGATCACCCTTCACCGAGCCAGCCCGCTGGAACTGAACCAGCTGGCGATCACCCTTCACCGAGCCAGCCCGCTGGAACTGAACCAGTTGGCGATCACCCTTCACCGAGCCACCCTGCTGAAAGCCAGCCCACTGGAGGTCATCCTACGCTGAGCCCGCCGTATTTGAATCAAACAACTACTGGCAGCCCTGGTGGTGATGGTGCTGGCGGGAGTCAGCCAACCGGCGGTAACCCCTCTACGACCAGCAACCCAGCGAAGACGCAGCCAGCGGGAAGTAAGCCAGCGGAGACCCAACCGGTTGCGACCAATCCTGCCGAGACTCCATCAACCCCGCCTTCCGAGTCCTGCCCCGTGGACGAGGATCTGAGCGGCCCGTATGAGGTAAGCGCCTTCAATTCAATACCCCCAAGTCTTGAGACTAATTCATCGCGCAGGCTCCTCATCTGATCATTCCCGTCGACAGCTCCAAGCCGGACGAGGTGCCCGGAACCTCCTACTTCGGCCAGGTCACTCCTACCGTGAGCTCGATCTTCAACTTCGACATCCCTGAAAGCTACGCCGGCAGCAAGTGCTCGATCATTTTCCTCTTCCCGGAACGGTCCCGACTTGAAACGTCCAACTACACGATCTCAGGCACTGGAGAAGTCCAATTCGGGCTACTCGACAGCCCGGCTTCTGAGCAGACATCGTTCAATACTTCGCCGAAGATCAAGACCGACCTTGGCAAGGAGATGCTCGCCCCAGGAAATAGCTACCAGATCGAGACGCTAGAATGCCCCGCCGGAGAAACCATTGCGATCAGTATGGTGAGCTCTAAGGGGACGGATTTCGAGTGGTTTGAAGACTACAACCCTGCACCGTAAGTTCCGTATTCTATGTTTATTGTCGCATGTTGCTAACAGAAGCAGGATCGGGTTGTGGGTCACCAAGTGCTAAATACGTGTACAATGATATGGTAGGGATCAGCGTAGACGCCGTCGCTAGCTTTTCGCACTAAAGCGGAATTCCTGCTTATTCTTAGGCGTTTGCACCCTCTGGTGGTTTTCCTAAGATGTATGATAGATACTCCGCTGAGTTCCATCAGAGCTCGAGCGATGTTGTAACAACAGTAATGGAACGAATGTATTCGAGTAATCAACCGTTTCTGGTCCAGTGCTGTAGGAGTCAAACCTCTCGCTGCTGGACAAACATTGCGTATGTTTCTAACGGTTCTTGTTTCTATATACCTTCTGGCGTATTGGTCCTCTTCAGATCCACCGTCTTTTTTGGGCAAGCCAAACTGCCATCCCAAAGCCTTCCTATAAAGCACATTCATAACATATAACTGTATTAAAATTCAACTGTTTAGGGTTGCTACGCAGAGTTTTGGCTTTGCGAACTGATTGTTATTTGCGATGCCAGAAGTAATGATCAGTTTCAGAGAATTCTTTCAGTCTACCCAGTTACAATCTCCACGTCCAGCGACATAGTGTACGACAGGTACTCAAGCCTCACAGTGAGGACAGTGCTGAGACTAACGTTGCCCTTCTGTATAATAGGGAGCGTGAGTAGGATGCCGCGACTCGTCAGAGTAGGTGGGGAGGGATCCAGAGACCAAAACCTCGCAGCAGCAGGTTCAAGAGCTCCTAATTCGAATTGAAATTCCCGGGGCGGTCGTGCTAACGCGCCCCTAATAAATGGGCACTCGAGGCCTTGCGGTTCAGTTTTCCAACAGAAGATACTAATGTCGTCGGACTGTTTCAATGTCTCACATCTTGTAGTCGTCTGAAAGCGTTGTCATCCTCTCCGTAGAGAAGCGGCATATTAACATCAAATATTCCCATGAGAAAGTAAGCAAGTTCTGTCCAGGTGGTAACCATAGGAAGCCCATTGTATTCTTTGGCTGGATATCATCAAGGGTCCGTATAGTCCGCCGTCCAACATCTGAGGTCCGCTTTCTCCCTGTTCATGTTTTGGTAACATCACCAAAGCCTCGTCAATCGTCACCTCGACCTCGAAGGGTAGACCCGATGACACGAGCAGAGTTCGGGACGCTCCGGCAGCTTCCGCAATCACAACAGCCCCCCGATTACACTTCTGGTACGGTCGCGGACGGAGGACAGCGGAAGCGAGCGACCCAAGATCTCACCTGATCCTCAACCCCGGGTTTCATCCGTCATTTATTCATCATTTTTGAAGCTATCAACAAGCGAGACCCGCAGTCTCAATCTGCGCCGCTTGGGTTGGATGTCGAAATGATGCGGACCACATCGTGGAGTTGAAAGTGAGACCAGGACGGTATCGGCTGGAGGAGAAGGCAGGACTGCCTGCCTCGAGAAAGCTGCGATCAGACGGAAAATCCCCATCCGTTGCGGCACCGTGAGTCGCTCTTGACGGACTGGAGAAAGGAACAGGTTCAGCGTTACTTCTCTAGGTATCGGAAGGTTGTGTATCGTTACATCATAGAGAGCCTCACTACAGACTTTTCTCTAGACACGTCCAGTCCGAAGCACACTTCTCCCTCCAAGTCTTCATGTTCATAATCTAAGTCCAGGCACATATATTCAACAATGGCGTTATATTTCCTGATGGTCAATGTTCTTGCCACTCTTCTTCTCTATTACCCAACTTTGATTCAGGCTGCCACCTTTCAAACTTCCCCCTGGTTGAACACCAGACAGTCGGGAGAGGCAACCCCACAGCCACAGTCCCTAACCGCTCCATCGAACATATCTTTCGCATACCTGATCACCAAGACATCCGCCAATGAAAACAATACCGAGTTTTCCGACCACACCATCTGGGCCTATCATAACGGAGCGGGCATACACGCTGCGGTTGCAACTACGCTCGGTGACCGGACCAATGCAATGGCCTGGTTCAATGAGTCCGGACGTCATGCGCAGTTCGACTTTGGCGCTCCACTAAACGCCACGCACAACTTTCCCTTCGGAATGTACCTTAAGCAACAAGATATCTATGGCGAGTGGGGCACCGTCCAGATTGACCCGGGCTTGGGGAGCGATTGGGCCAACTTCACCTATGACGAGGCCACGATAGGCTTGAGCGTTGAAGATGAATATTTCGGCGGTTGGTTGAGTAAGTGATATATACGGCCTTGATGTTTAAGCCCCTACTTGTGTCGTGGTCGTGCGGATATGTTCGAGGCTACCTCTACAGGTGTTCGTATTGCCAGTAGTTAGCCGCTAACATCCAAATACAGTATGTCATTGGTACCTCGGGGTTCCACAGCTCTTCTGGATTCGGGGCGATCTGAATGCGACGCCCCCTACTACTTGCGGCCGAGTTAATCTCTTCTACCGGTGTCACGATGGACAGAGCAACACTGAAGTCGCGACTGAAGGATGCTATCTCCACCCTCCGCGTCCCGTCGCCGATTGATCGGAGGAAGATCTCCTCTGCAAGCTGCTGTTATGGTGGAGATCACGTCTCCAGCATTGGCACTGAAACATTCATCATGGTACAAATCGTGGGCATTGCTGTGGGGTTTAGGTCGTATGGATTAGCATATAACTTCGCCAACAATATCAATTGCTCATTATCAACCCGTTTCTCGCACCTACCTTCGTCCCGTGGATTATTTGCGATCGCCACCAGACACCTTGCAACATCGTTGATCGGCAGACACCTTGGTATCGGGTGTATAGCCTGCGTGACTTGTTCTCGCAACCACTGGCCTAAACCTGGTCAAGAGAAGGCCTGCGTAAGTTTACAACTGGCCAATGACATAATTGTTGAAGACTGAAACCCTTGGTTAGCGACATCAATCAGTAGTGACGGATGCTAGTATTTCAGTTGCTTGGGACTTGAATCAAACAGTGACGTTAGGACGATAAGCAAGACACTAAACAAACATGGAAGACGCACGGAGACAAGCATGAATCGATCGAACTTCAGCCATTCTCATTCTTGAGCAGTTCCGTGACTGTGACTATTCGATACCCTTGCTTCCGGATTTCAGGGATAACCTGCCTGAGCATCGGCGCGGTCCAACTCCTCCGGTCATGGCAGATAATAATTCCCCCCGGCCGCAGCATGCTCAGAATATGATTCGCATTCACACGCCAGATATTGACCTGCGGATCGTGGGGATAAATACTGCCCAAGACCAGCCGATATCCCAACGCTTTCACGATTCTCCGCATCCGCGTGTGGAAGAACCCAGATCCTGGCCGGAAATACTTGGGGGCGGGCTCCTTCTCCACCGCAGTATACGCGTCGCGTAGCATGTCTTCGACGGTATGAATCTGCTCTGCGAGCGTTCCATCGCTCAAATCTCGCGATGGCTCGTCTCTCATGGCATGGTTTCCCAGCTCGTTTCCCCCTCTAATCAAGTCTTGCAGGATCGGCTCCCGCCCCGCGACCTGTGATCCGATGACAAAGAACGTCGCCGTCGCGTCGTTTTCCTTGAGAATCTGCATGATCTCATTTGTATACTGCGAGGGGCCGTCATCGATCGTCAGGGCCACGACTTTCGACGCTGTGTCGACGCGCCAAAGGACATCGGGCCAGCGGCATTGGAAGTGGCGGATGAGGAATGATGGTGGCTTGTAGATCCAGTAGAGCGGAGTTAGGAAGATTAGAATTACGGCCGCAAGCGCAAGCATTGTTCGAAGGCGAGCACGTCGTGCTCTCGATGGGAGACGGAAGAGGCGAAAGGAGCGTAGCATGTCAGCGGTTGTATAGAGGTCATGATTGATATTGCCTTGAGGTTGATTCTCCTTATTTTGCAAACATGACGAAGAGTAAAGATTGCTGGTGCATGATACACACATCGTCTACCAAGTTCATTCATCCCTGAGGCCTGAGGTCCAATTTCCGCATCACGTTCGTGAGGATCGGCATTCGGCTCATATTCGGCTCGGTGATGTTTCGGCTCCAGCTGACGATAGAAACCAAATCCGCAACTCAAATTGCACTACCAATTATAGTACTCTTCGGCATCGCAGTTTTCGGTTTTCACATCACTCCTCCAAGTATCTGTGTCCCAATTGGGAATTTTTTATTTTTGGATGTGTGCACTATCCAGGTTACAACAGACGCAGCGCCATTATTATTCTCGAGTGAGAATTGCCACCCGCTGGAAAAGAAATACACGAGCTCAGAAGATTTCCAATGTGGCAATGTCGACAGCCCTGCCCCTGCATCGCGCTCGCCTCCACTCTTGCGGGAGCTAATCTGTCGAGCTTTGATGATCCCTCATCTATCAAATTCTCCTTTGGATCGACATTCGACAAGTCACGATACCGTATTAATAGACCAAACAAATCAGGAAACCTTCCTTGTCTCCAGAGTCGCTTCAACGACTTGGTCGCCTGGATGTCCAGGCATGCCCAGTCCCTGGTCCAGCTTCCTGGCCCCGAAGCTGGGAGTCCTGCGACTTGTGAGGTCAGCTAGTTCGAGTGGATGGTCCGCTAGTTGGCCCAACCATACGATTCTGCAAAACCACCATTACTGTTACACCACAACTCGTACAACTCACGATGGTGGCAGATGGCGTGCTTGTCCCCTATCCAAAATCTCAGCAAGAGCATACTACATCAGCCTGGTATCCTTCCATCAGCACGGTAGGCGCAAATCCTGGTTCTTGGTTCACATGAAACTGGATCAAATGAGGCTCCTTGGCATTGATTGCGTTATTCTAAGTGGGATCGCCTCTTCAAGAAGTATCGTAACATCCTTCGCTTACACATTTACCTTCCAAAAACGTTCAAATGCCACAAGGTTGGTATCATTCATTGGTCATAAATTATAAATTAAGCATTGTTAAGCCTTGGTGTGGTCTGAGGTTGCATGCTTCACTCTGGCCGCCTGCGTATTAAATGCTCCCATCCCCAGAAACGCAGATCTCTTTTCGTCAATTCATCCAGAACTAGAACTCAGAAAAACATTCAATAGAACCACGACGATGGTGACCAAAGTCCCGGATGGTAAGCCCTTGGTGGAGGTAGCACCTCCACCCTATGATAGGAGTGACGAGACTGGAGGCGCAATTGTGGAGGATGAGCAAAAGTTTCAGTTCCAAGAGAATAGGAAACTTGGAGTCACCAGTGCCGTGTTCCTGATCTTAAATAAGATGATCGGAACGGGAAGTGAGTACATATGGACTATATTGAGAGAAGTTCTAGAACTCTACTAACATTTTGACCTAGTCTTCTCAACCCCATCGTCTATCTTCGCTGCTACCGGCTCCGTAGGCATCTGTATCTTCCTTTGGATTATCGGCGGCCTCATCACCTTCTGCGGTCTGTCAGTGTATCTCGAATTCGGGTTGCAGATCCCCCTCTCCGGAGGAGAGAAGAACTATTTGGAACGTGTTTATCGGCGCCCGAAGTTTCTCACGACATGCATATTTCTGTCGCAAATGATCCTGCTCGGATTTTCTTCCGGAAACTCTCTAGCTTTCGGTCGGTACGTCCTCTATGCCTCCGGCAGCGACGCTCCGGACGGCTGGGCCGCAAGAGGAATCGCTATCGGGTGCATCACCTTTGCGGTAGTGTTGCACTCTACCCTCCCCAAATGGGGGATGCGACTGTTCGATGTCCTTGGCGTTTTCAAGGTCGTCATCCTAATCTTCATCGTCTTCTCCGGGTTTGCGGCCTTGGCTGGCCATCGCCGCGTTCCTAACCCGCACAATTTCGACAACGCGTTCCATCAAGAGACGGGTCCGGAGTACAGCGACCACGGAGCCTACGCATACGCCAATGCGTTGCTGAACATTGTTTACTCATATAAGGGCTGGGAGAATGCCAATTATGTCTTGGGCGAGCTCCGACACCCGAGGAAAACTCTCAAAATTGCCGCTCCACTTGCAGTCGGCGGCGTCACTATTCTCTACGTCCTTGCCAACGTTGCATACTTTGCGGCAATCCCTAAGACTGATCTTGCGACTTCGGAAGTCATTGTTGCCGGCCTGTTCTTCAAAAACGTCTTTGGAGACAGCGCAGGCGCCAGAAGTCTGCCGGCATTTGTGGCGCTGAGCAATATTGGAAATGTCTTGGCTGTCAGTTTTGCTCACTCTCGAGTCAATCAAGAATTTGCCAAAGAGGGATTGCTGCCATTGAGCAAATTATGGGCGTCGAACAAGCCGTTCAATGCACCTGCTGCTTCGGTAATCCTCCCCCTCGAGACGAAATTGTCAGGACTACTGATATACTGACTTTCTGGAACAGCTCTTCCTTCACTGGATCGTGACGGTTATCGTCCTAGTTGCACCGCCAGCTGGTCCTGCTTACAACTTCATTGTCAACCTGTGCGCAAATACCCCTCTCCTATCGACTATTCATGGACTAATTTCCTTTAGGTACACGTACCCTGGCGCCTGGATCAACACGTTTGTGGCTGGTGGCCTCATCTACCTCCATTATTCCAAGACGGAGAATTGGACATCTCCCTTCCACTCCTATCTCCCATTCATCCTAATCTTCCTTCTATCCAATGCGTTCCTGGCCATTGTCCCTTTCATTCCACCGAAGGGGGTTTCCGACCCCGATGGATATCCGTTCTTCGCCTTCCCGGTCGTTGGCGTAGGCGTCCTTCTCCTCGGAGTGGTATACTGGCTGCTGTGGGTGAAACTCATCCCGAGATGGCGAGGATACAAGATCGTCGGAGAGCGGATAGTGCTGGACGATGGGGGAGAGATGGTCCGGTACAAGCGGGAGTTCATCAAGTGAAGAGAGATATATGTACTGTTATAATACCCTGGATTTCTGATGGATGCAATTTACCGATCACCGTTTAAGGGTTCAAGTAATGTATTGACAAACCGAAATGTTATCCATTTGCTAATGACACCGATATCCTTCCATCCATTGTCGTACCGAGTCTTGCATCTATCCATCGAACGAAGCGGCTGGTTTGAAACGCTATTGAGACGCAATCCGAAAGCTCATTCATCGTTATAGTTACCCACATTCCGATCAGTTCTCCTGCGATGTTACCAGGTATGGTATTCAGCAGGCCGTCCCCAAGGCAACGTCGGGACCAGCAGCTAGCGCCCCGCCGTCGGCCTCCACAAGTCCCATATTATCTTCGAATTCGCTAGGGCAATCGCAAGCGTACTTTATCCGAAACTCCTGCGATGACACTCCTTGCAGGGCTTCCAGCGCGCGTTTGCTTGCCGCCACCTTCGCATACCGTCCGCTCGCCGCCGTCGCATGCGCAACAATCGTGTTGTGGACGACGAGAGCCGAGATGGTTTTTCGGTCCGTCAGTTCCACACCCGGCAGAGCGTGATGAAGTTCGGAGGCGAGGAGCCGGTATGAACGGCAGCCGAGGTCTTGGCTCAGCAAGGCGTGCAGGCGGATCGTAGGGTGGCTTTGCGCGAAGTTGTCGTATACCGCCATGTCTTCGAAATACGGAAGCATGTTGCAGTTGAAGAAGTTGTAGACATGGGAGTAGTCGAAGTCAGAGTCGATGAAGACGGCGCCGACGTACGCTTCAACGACATCGGGGAGATACTTGGGGGCTGCTTTTACATTGACCCAGTAGTCTTTCGCCCCATTCGCTTCCTTCTCGGCTGCCTCGATGTCTTCGACGTAGTTCTGGATGTCTCGTTGCATCATGGTGCTATGGTGACGAATATGGCGGTGGAATCCCAGCTTGACGCAAAGTGCGCCCAGGAACTGGTTGGATACCATCGCCATTTTATGCTCGGTCAGCCACTGCGGATCCTTCGTCGGGTACTTGTAGAACAGGTATTCTACACAAGCTAGGTCCAGAAGCGAATCCCCAAGAAACTCCAGGCGTTGATACGAAGGGATGCCTTCGAAGGTTCCGATGCTAGCATGCGTGAATGCGCAGCGGAGTAAACGAGCGTTTTGAAAGCGGTAAGGGTGCTCTTTGAAGACTTTCTCCAAAAGATCACGTTGAGACGCGTTAGCCTGCTTCTGCGCCCATTTGGGGTGGTGGTAAGACTTCCTGTAGTCGTCGAACTTCACCGCATCGTGCATGTGTTCGCCATTCAACTTCTTGAAGGAATCGGGATTGGTCGTTAGCTTGGTCACTGCCTGAACCGTATCATTCCAGCGATCTGGATCCCATGGCTCTCCATGTCTGTGATGTTGGATGAACGCGGCACCAATAAGCGCCTCGCAAACATCCGCAATAGACTTGTCACCAAGCTTATGCAAGATGGCTTCATTCCCCGTCCTCTTTCCCTCAAGCAGAGCGAGACCCTTGGGATACCACAGTCGTCTAAATAGCCGTCAGCACTCTTCCAGAGAGGTAGAAAGAAGAGATACGAACCTAGAAAAGGCCATCGTCCTGGCATACTCGTACAGCTTGAACATCTTAGCAGAGTGAAGCAGATTTGCATTGCAGATCAAAATCATTCGCTTAACGTGAAAGCTGAACTCATCGTCTTCCGGGCATACGCAGTAGAGGGAGATGGAAGTGGCCATTTTCAAGAAACAGTCACCCATGAACTCCAGACGCTCGTAGTTGTTCCCCATCCCGGATCGGAACTCAACTTTGTCGCGGTCATGTTCGTCGCTGTTATCCGAATCCTTAGTCACGGCTTCAAGGGCGAGCTGAGGACTGATGTTGATGTCAATCAATTCTGCGGCCTCAAGGGCTATGAGATAGTCTTCGATCCGATGGATCATTGCTGGGAAAAGCAGCAATGTCGTCACATACTCCGCCGGGATCTACCCAGGTTAGCAAGGCCCTTGATTCCTCTTCGACAATAACTTACTGCTGAGATTTTGAGCGGCTCAGGGCAGAGGTAAGCCCGGGTCTTGACAGACTTCTCCTTCTCGCTCGGTTCAGCCAAGGCGTTCAGACGATGTAAGACCCTCTCGCATCGTATGACGGGTTGGTTGGCGTTCCAAGTCGACTTCGCTCGGGCCTTCTTCCAGAGACTAACCGAGTAGTCCAGTATGCTGCTGTTATACTTTGCACGGGCTGCACACCCCTCGGGTACAGGGTCTGTGGGCTTTTTGGTCGAATCCACTTCAATACTGAAAAATCGTCGACTACCGTCCCATGGATCGATTAAGTACCTATTGGTAAGCTCTTCATTTGGCATCTTCGCATCCCAGGAGATCTCTTTCGTGCCCATGACGTGTTTGAGGAGCTTCCAATCGACTAAGTTTTCGAAAGTATCTTCCTGAATCCGAGCACTGGGATTTTCGAGAAGAGGAACTACGTGATAGGACATTTTTGCAAAGCAGTCCTCGAATTTCTTGTTGAAAAGATCCTTGAACATTCGTAGCGTGAACTCCTTTGCGCTCAAGAGCTGTTCCCAGGAGAAATCGACCTCGACCGGAAGTGATCGCGGCTGGAGCATCAGTAGAGTTCCGTCAAGAAGATAGAGCGGGAACGGTGGGAAGTCCGGCATTGGTCGACGAGTCACCAGGCCGATGGGACTGTACTTTCGTGTCGGCGTGCCTTTGACTTCGAGAATAGTCAGAAAATGGATTGTGATGGGTACCGCATATCCCCAAGACCATATCTCCGGTTTGATACGCATCTCGTACTGTTCCTTTTTCTTGGAGCTGACAGCAAGAAGTGCGTTCGCCATCTTGGGAATGACCTTGCTGTGATATATTGGGAGAAAATGCTCATCGAGAGCGCCGCGATTCCGAAGCTCGAGGCACGCTCGAAACGCGGCGGACCGTTTGGCTTCGATCTTCCGAGGTTTGTCTTTTCCAATCACTCGCCGGACCGGCGAACCTGACGGTAGGATTATCTCGCAGGCGAAAGCGCCACCTCTGGGCTGGATCAAATAGACCGGAAGGTCGGGCTCATCGCTCTCCTTTGGAAGGACGGCAGCGAAATGTTGAAGCTTTATCATCGCCATACTATGAGTGAGCTTAGCGCCGGAAGTTTTGTCAACATAGAACTTCTCCTGGTTATTGGGGTCAGTATCGAAGGCCAAACCTATCTTTCGATCCTCTGGCAGCGCATGGCAGAATGCCCTCATTTGATTCTGAAAGGAAGTATCAGTCACTGAAGTATACAAACTCCCCGAGCTAGATAGGCGCCTTACCTCATGTGCACGAAGGTCAGACACCAATAGCTCCTGATCAGTGCCACTCATAACCATGTACACCAACTTAGAGTCTCGACGACGTGCGCGTCCGCGGGATTGAATGTTCTGAATCATTGTTTTCGGAAGGTCGAAGCGAATGACAATGTTGCACTCAGGGATATCAAGGCCTTCCTCTGCGACGGATGTCGCGAAAAGACAATTGATTTCCCCTTTTCGGAACTTGGTAACAGACAGGAACTGCTTATTGACGGATTGCTTGTAGCTCCCTGGTTTGGAGCCACCTCCGACCAGCATGCCACACCTGAGATATTTCCCACCAAATTGGGGGAAAGAGAAAATCTCGTAGAGAAGTTGCGCGGTGATTCGTCTGTCGACAAACACAATGCATTTGGCATCAGTCTCCCACCAAAAGTTCTTCTCGAGCACCGTATGGAGTTTCGCTACCTTGTCACTCAAGTTTTCACTCAGCGCGGGCTGGGCGAACTTGTGGTTTGCCGCGATTTCGGATGCCTCGCGAATGGTTGCAAGCTCGGCATCGAGAGCCTCGACCGAGTAGATGCCACGCTTCTGATGAGATCGATCTGTGCGACGTTCCGCTTTAGATGTCTGTTCCTCGTCCAAAGCAAACTTCCAATACCATTCGCCAGTCCACGGGCCCAGTTCTTGGGAAATAGTTCGAGCTGCGTCGGATAGTCCTTGGAACGACTTCAAATCCCCAAGAATGCCCTTGAGTTGGGAGTGGAGCTCCGTGTACCGGGTGAAGAGGGGTTGGTCATATCTGATGATGATTTCTTCGGGCCTAGCGACGTTCGACTGCAGCACTGCTGGGTCAGATATGGTGGCAATCTCGGAGTGAAGAAGCGCTTCGAGTAGCTGTGCGGCCCCTAGTACGTCCTTCTTTGCATCTACAGGAGATGCCGTCATCCCAAAGATACGAGGCCTGGCATCCTCTGGAACTGTGACGTAGTAGTCCGAAATTATCCTAAGACCTATATTTAGTTATGGTTCTTCGATATGATGAGTCGACAATTACCTCGCATATGCATGCTCTTTTTTAGCGTGATGAGCTTCGTCGAAGATCATGATGTTAACCTGATCCATTTTGATGAAGGAATGCATAAGACATTGTAGGAGAATTTCCGCCGTGCAGACAATGATCATGTTCTTATCAAAGTATTCCTCCCATGTAGCTTTGGACCACAAGTCGGTCCCCATGCCCCCATAGAGGCTTGCAATGCTGTGATCCAGATTCACTTGGAGCACCTTGGTTTGCTGGAAGACAAGAGTGACAGAGTCGACCTAAAGATATCAGTAGATCGCAAGAAAACCCCGTGCTAGTAGCGTACAAGGAAGAAGGCAATTCGCTTCTTGCCATCGTTTTCTCTATGTGACAGTTCTTCATCAACGATGTGACGAAGGAGCATCACGGCGATCAGCGTTTTACCGGAGCCAGTGTCTAGAACTGCAATGACATTCTTCTCCTTTGCCCGGTTGAAGAGCTCCATCTGATACTCCCTAGGAGTCGATATGATCCTAGCAGCCCCGCCTTGCTGTTCAAGTAGTCTTTTGGTGGAAAGAACCTCATTATCGATCTCCCCGGCCGCTTTCTCGGTTTTCTCAAATGTCACAGCGCGGCTCTGCTCGTCTACAAATGCCTTGAAGATCTCCCGCTGTTTGGCACGGGTGAGTCGACATTGATCAAGGTCATTGGGCGACTCCGGTTCATCTTCGCTACTGCTCCCCGCAATCAAGTCATCTATGTCACTGTCGTTAGAATGGTCTTGAGAAGAAGAGACGGACATCCTCCCGTTTACCAGTGACTCGGTCCTTTGGATCAGACTGAAGAGTAATCAGATTTGTAGGAGACTGGGTTTTAGGAGGAGGTTTAGGTCCAAAGACCGGACGATAAAGAGTACGAGGCACCCCCGTAACATCATATGCACCACGCATTGTGACCAGTCAAAGAGGGAGGTCAAAGAGAGGCCACACGACCGATACTCTAACTTTCTGAAGGACTGAGAGAGATCAAATTCTCCAAACAAGTGACATTTGAAAGAAACGGAGAGACTTTAGGTAAGGATATTTGAGGCTGCAAGTAATTTTGTTTGATGAATTGAATACCTTGATCTGAGTCCGTTTCTAGAACATCCTGCTGTGAGTCTTTGAATTTCACCTTCGCAGGTTCTGTCAGTTCGGCAGTGGAGGGTTGGTGAGCCCGTGCGATAGCGCTGATGCCATGGTCGATAATCATTGGATAGAGGGTTCTACATGTTCAGGTGTTTACGAGATTTGCAGGCAAAAAGCGGTGTAGTTTTGCAGAGTGATATTGGCTAAAAGCCAGCCGTTGAATGGACACGTTTGATAATATTTCCGGTTATCAGAATCGCGTTTCACGTGTCGTGCGGCTGTTTGTGTTACCACTTAAAACTGTGGCGCTTTTCACTTCAGTACCGTAATCACAGCACTGCAGTTCCTGTTTCAGAAATTCCACCGCCACAACGTGACGCTTTTCATCAATCATCATAATCCATCTCCCACTTCCAAGTCACTCAAGTGATTATAATTCTAAAATCTCTTAAACATCCCGCTATATAGAACCATAGCCATGGCTGAAGAGCAGAGAAGTCTGAGAAGCGTCTATTTGAGCGCAGAAGCAAAGCGGCAAGAGTTGGAAGGCTTGGGCAACAGCAATACTGAGGATTATCAAGATACCCTCTCATCGGCCATCAAACTTTACGAAGACTGTTTACGAATAGCCGATGAAGTATCTCTATTCAGCCCGAATGAAACACTAGAAGATGTCTCCTCTGGCGACCTACAATATTTCCTTATCAATCACCAGCTTGCGGAGCTGGTCCAGCGGTTGACCGGCATCGAACGGCGGAAGGAAAACCTGTTGGCCGCAAGATCATGTTATGAAAGCTTTCTGAAACTCCTAGACGCATATGATCTGTTATCTAAATCAGATAGCAAGCTTTTGGAGCAGTATCATGATGGACCTGACCGGTTCTCAGTCGCATCCACGACTGATGCTTCAGCTCGAAGAGAGACGAAGATTGCGCGGTTTCGAGAAGAGAAAGATTTAAAGCAGCGGCTCCAAGTACAAATTTACCAGTTATTTTTCGATTTTGAACAGGATATGGTGCTAACAATATCCGCAGCAACTACGCCAAAATCCCACGGCGCAGACGGAAGATTCCACTATTCGCTCCCTTCATTTAGGTTCAATTAGTCTCGCTGTCCACCACACATTCGCCTCCCTTGAATCTATATCACAGGAGCTGCAAATCCTCGCTCTAATGCCCTCTGAACCTTCAAATGCTTCCAACCCTGCTGACGCCCGCTCTCAATCCCGCGATGGAGACGCCTACTCCGACCGTCTGGTTTCCGGCCTGGGCGGTGCTGGCCTTGGAAAATACACCGGCCCCATTCTCTCCGCTCAGGGGAAACCCCTCCGGCCCTTCACTCTCCTGGACAAGCGAACCCAGCTTCGCGACGGCGTGTTCCGCCCATCTCACACACTCCCGAGCATGAGCATCGACGAGTACCTGGAAGAGGAGAGAAAGCGGGGTGGGATCATCGAGGGCGGTGGAGAGGCTAGTGGGATACGGCCGGAAGTTGATGAAGACGACTTGGATAAGGCAGACGAAGAGACGATGAAGGCGAGGGCGTGGGATGAGTACACGGAGGCAAACCCGAAAGGAAGTGGAAACACTATAAACCGTGGGTGACCTTGGGGACAAGCACGCCTCCCAGTGGTGACCTGTATTTTGTGAACATAGGGCTTCAAATTGAAGGACACTGGAGAGACTGGGTGGTGCTTCCAATGATGTTATGAATGGTTCCATCATTGTCGAGATCGAGAAACGACATGGCTTCAGCAGAAAGCCGCGGTCTCTTCCAAACGCAGGGCTTGAGTCAGTCAAAGAATTCACTATGGACTCGGACATGATTTCAAATCAGTAGTTCGCTATTGCGTCACCTCTTCGCTTAGTGGATAGCGCTGTCTGTTCCCTAAATCCGACATGCCTACATTCCGACTGGCTTGGTCATCTTTAATCTGCCCGGAGATTCTGGCCCTAATTGTTAATATACTAGAGTCTATACTCACTGTATAGACTCTGAGGCCACAGACCAGGGGTTCATGGACTGCAGGGAAATATATTCCTGCCAGGGCCCAACAATAGCCAAGATCTGGGGTAATATCACTCCATTGCGCAAATTCTTGGTAAATAATAAAAATATCCCACGCCAATACGAATACGTGCGGAATTGGATAATATTCGGAATGGGACGCAAAATGGTGTGGACATGGGGTTTTCAAACCTATCACATCGTGAAGGACTACACCAACATCATGGCAACAGGTAACATTCTTCTACCTGTCGCAAGTAACCGTTTTTATTTACAATGAACCACACCACCATAAGATATTTGTTTAAATCATCACCGGTTCGGCCCGCTTAAACGAGAGTTCCATTCACATGCGTCCCTTTCATCCGAACAAATTGCACCTGCGGTCTACGCACCCGCACGAATCTTGTTGGCCAAGTAGCCAACGCCACGCGTAACACTGCCGTCAGTGGTGTACAGAAGATGGCCTAGAGTAACAGTGAGACCAGCACCACAGACACCATCGTCTGCACGGCAGATGATGAGGACATCATCGCGGGGGTAGTTCTATCATCGATTTCAGTCAGTGCTCAGTGCTCTTCGGGTAATGATACGGTGGTACGTACGGGAATCTGGCCATTGTCTTCGCCGTTGCGAGTGTCTCCGTAGAGAACACCCCCAACCAGACGAGCTTTGGAAGAAGCTGACAGGCGACGGACGGAAGCGTGCATGACGGCGGCTCCTTGGCTATTGATCGAAAGGTTAGTGACCAGATTGGCACCGAGTGTTCACGATAGGAGTCCAGTACCTGTAGCCGCCGAATACAACGAGAGATTGCGGGCACTTGCTCTGCGCCAGGTTGAACAGGGTGATGGCGTTGTTGTACCCTGCAGAGGAAGTTCCCTCAGATAAAAGGTTGTCGCCAATGGATGCCGTGTATTGCGGTCCAACGCCCTGGCAAGCAACTCTGGAGGAGCCGAAGCTGTTCTTCAGCCCAGAGCAAGTGGCTGGACCGACTGTGCCACCCTGAATAAGTGTCAGTCATGAGCATCTAGACATAGAGCCGTAAAAATTGCTCGCGTACCATGTTACCACTTTCGGTGGAGCCTCGAGCAAAGATGAAGATGTAGTCTCTGCAAGCTCCGCTGTTTAGTTCATTCGAGGTGCTGCCTTGACGCTTCACCAGCTCATGGGCATTCTCAAATTGCGCCTCCAGTTCGGCTGCCGCGGGGGAAGGAAGTGGATTGGCGATTGCCAGGGCAGCGAGCGCCGCCACAACGTTGAGATACTTCATCTTCAAAGTTGATCGAACAAACGTTTAGAAAGGGATAGCTGGGGCTCTGAGGACAGTCTTAAACCTTTGGGTTGATTGTGATTGTCTGGGAGGATGAGTTCTTCCACTATCATGGGAAAAGGAGACACTTTATACCTTGCTCAGCCGGCCTTTCTTCCCCTCAGAAGGATATCTTCTCCCCCCAGTGCTGCTACCATGCATGTCCTCCCGCCCAGTCGGAGTCCAGAGGGCATGGAGACAAAGGCGTACTCCTCTAGAGACCAGGCCAAGATACGTATCACGATGCGATGCGACTCGGACCACGGCACTCACTTGGTCGGTAAATTCGGCTGCCCTGTCGATTAATCTATTCAGATTATCGTGGCATCATATACCTTTGAGCTTGAAGAATGTGGAGCTCCAAAACAACGTAACCCTTGGTGGCGGTGACTGATGTGGTCTTGATCCTTGACTGGGGCGCTATTTTGAACCACCCTCTTGAAATGAAGAACCTAGAAAATGGAATTTGACCGAGGAGTTCAAACTTCAAAGGACAGGAAGCGGAGAGAAAGTTGAATAGGGTAGGAAAAGGGAACAGTCCGACTGACGACATGCCACCAGTCCGAGGCTGGGGAACCGCTTAGACTTGCATCGCGGGGACGATTTAATGTACATCAAAGATCGGATAGTTAGCCTACTTCCGAGTCTTACGGAAGATAGGGGTGTCCTCGTTCATGTTCAGAGAACAAGCTGGTCGTTAGACAAAGCACCTATAGTCTGACACCTGCCAAATGGATCGCACTCACGTTGTGCCGTGCATCTTTTGCAGGGGCCTTGAGCAAGGGAGCTAGAAACATCTACAATCCTTCTGGTTCGTCCCCACGTACTGGCACAGTGATCAACAAGATCTAATGCACCGGCAGTTGCATTTGGGTAACAGTTTGCCTAGGAACCCCGTATCGTGGAGGAATAATATTATCGCGATTGGCTGTACGATAGAGTCTGTTTGTCTTTGGAGCCTTTCTGGGAACTACAAGTTGCAACAGGACCCAAGGGTACTCGCGACGGATACCGTTTGCACATGAAGGCTGTCAGTATAGGTAATGGGCGAAACTCGACCTTCATCACTATCCCGGCTCTTTCAGACGAATTGGCTCTACTCACACCGATGCTTGATCCAATCGATGCACAACTCCATGCAAGTATCCACGACAACGTGATATTCTGGCATTTTCCTTGTTCCTGTCGATCGTGTAGTGGCATCTGCCGGATCAGAAGGAGAGAGAACCACTCTTACATGCGTGATGTTTAATCAAACATTCTCCGCATCACAGCCCGCTTGGCATCTAGGTTTCGCGTGGACGTTCTGCATGCCGTGGAATCGTGAACCTGTCAGTGGTCAGCTCCTCGGCGTTGTGGCGGAATCTGCAACGGGCTTGTCCACTCCAGGTTTGGGATGCACGACTTTTCTCTCCCCGCACAGTGACAGAGGGTTTGATTCGGGCCAGATGATGAAGCAACTGATGGCGGAGTAGGCCGCAAGGCGGATGTTGCCAGGCTCTGTCAGAATTAATATCGAGGCTCTTCGACGATTGGAGCAAATACCGGGCTCCTCTTTTTAGGGGTTCACCTAGTATGCAAGTCATGCTTGAATCGCCAATGCACAGACATGCAGTCGTAGCCTCGTGATATCAAAATGTACAAATATAGGCGTGGGTCGTGGGGTCATGAATGTCACTACGACATGGTGCGTATGGTCAAGTTCATCCGCCCGCACGCTCTGTAGGTACTCAGTTGTCCTAAGACCTCTATCGAGAAGGTTCTTTCCTGTTGAAATACAGCACCGAGGTATTTTACCAAAATGTTACGCCACCCCTGTGGAGTGTTGCCAGCGAGGGCGCCAGACGCGGAGTTGAACCGGAGCGGCACTACCAGCGATAACTGGCTTCACAAATCGTTCTTTAAAATTCTCTGGCCACCCACCTGCTTGTAATAGCTCGCCGTGGCTAGACGGGCTGGCTGGACTGGCGGAGATATCTGCCCCTAGGAGAATGAATGCGGGGAAAGCTTCACACGTCTTCATGTTGGGCCTTGGGGAGAGCAAGTGGGGTGATCGACACGTTTGGAGGCAATAGATGCTCAACACTGCCATGCGCCCTCAGATCGTATTGATAGCTGGTGATGAAGGCTTTAGTTGGTTGTTCAATCGAAGGAACAAGACGAAACTGGCATGTCGTCCCATGCGCTAACCGTATAAGATCTAGGGCACATTGACTTCAACCTTAGGTTATCGGGTATCCCATCCGGAGGCGGGATATTGGGTTGATCGACTGAACAAATATAAATTAATTCCGCACAGACCTCGGACATTTGAGTAGTAGTTCGCTACCATCCATTAGGGAAAGGAATCGGAACGCCTGCCAATACAAGGTTAGAGCTGTGGATATCCGGTCAATCCCATTCTAGTGTTCTCTCCGGCTTTCCCTATTCGTTCGGTATGACAAAATTACCTCTCTGGATGATGCCGGAGAAGTGCCGCTGTCCCGTCTGAGGGAATTATACAAGCCTGTGAAGAATGGGTGCTGCTATGCTTGCCGTACGGTCCTTGGTATTTGCCAAACGAATCACACCCCAATCATGGTAGACATGGTGCGAAGACTAGGAGTTCAGATACTCCCGATTGCCAGCGATTCTAATTGCCTCATATCTTACAACGCTAGACATGATACCCAAACGCCGATCCCCAGGATGCCATTCTCATCACCTTCCGTATCAGATGCCAGATACCACTCGCAAAAGAATCACAAGGCGTGATGAAAAATCTATTGTCGGATAACCAGGTGCCAGCGTGGTTTGAAGATCCAGCCCGTTCGGAGCGTGGATGCTCGTCCCGACCGCCGCTGCAGGCGATCAGCAGATTCAAAGTTGTTGACAAGGTGCTCATCCCCGTTGCATGTCTTCCTGTCAGGCTCAAAGATGATCGGCGTTTGCCTCGGAGCCACCACGATCGGGGCTATCTCCAGGATCGGGCTGGATTCGGCGCCAGGTGCTAACCAGGGTTTTCAAGATATGCCCGATGTAAACCAGGAAGAAAGATCAGGCGGGATCCAAGAGTCGTTCTTCGGGCATCGAATCAACTCATGATTCCATGCTCCGGTGCATGTGGGTTCTTGGAAGAATAGGGACGTCCAGACGGACAAGAAATGCGATTTGCGAAACCAGAAACGCCGAGATTAACCCTCAACCCCACTTTCCCGCCGTTGTCTTTCCATCCATCGCCTTTCCCGCCCCGAACCAGTGCCGAGTACTAGGGCCGTTTCGTGATTGGGAGTCCAGATTGAATCGAGACCGTCGACTCCGTCGGCGCAGCTGAAGAACAACGATGCAGCAGACCAGGAAACTGACGGCGCGAATGACAAAGTGGATGCGATCTTTTTTGGACCATGGGGCGCTTTAAACCGAGGAATCGAACCGTTAGTGACCAGACCAGGAAGTACGGGGGACCATCGAAAGAGGCGGGAAGGAAATAAAAATAACCGATCAGGGCTCGTACATGTGGGAAGGAAAAGGGAGCTTATTGCTCCTTTTCATACCCCTCAGGTTTCTTGATTCCATTGAGTTCGAAATACCGCGACGTGCCTGCGATCTTTCAGTATCGTCACTAGTTCCAGGGGGCGAACATGACCTACATGAATATCCGTTCCAATCAAAGTTCTCTTTGGGGTTACAGTGGCACTTCAGGTCCATACGTAACTGCTCTCCAGTCGGGCAATGGGTGAATGGGACGTGATAGTACGCAATATCGTTGAAAAAGTGGAGCTCGTCTTTCTTGAGCATGAGCGCTGCGGCAATAGAATGGACAGGCGCATCGCCCCATCGCTCGTAGAAGAATCCGCCATCTTTGTCCAGGGCATCGAAAAAGTCAAGATACGCCTGCGAGCGGAGCCAGTTGAGGTCGCCGATCTCGAAGTTCGACCACTTGAAACCGTCAGTTTGGATCGTCTTTGGGTTTTCTTCATACTTACGAAATGGCAGTGGTTATAGGTCTTGCCGTTGTCGTCGCTCAAGAACTGCATGCTGTTGTCTTCTGCGATGTGTTCCGGGTGCTTCTGCATGAATTTCTTCGCGCTGTCCCATAGAGTGGGGATAGTCTCAACATACTCGTAAAGACTAATGACGAAGGAGTACTTCTTGCCATGGTCGGCCATATACTTGAACGTATCGTACTGAATGTCGCAGTACAGTTCGATGGACGGCTCCACGCGCCAATACCACTCATAATCCAGCATGAGCGGATGCCGGAAGAAGAATCCCGACTCATATCGACACATGTGTCGGTATGAGATGGAGTCGCCGTAGATGATCTTCCTCTCACGCATATCCTCGCGCACGTTTGCCGCCTTGTCTTGATCGATCCATTCCGGGAATCCCCAGTGTTCCTTGGGAATAAGCCCGTACTTGGTCTTCCCGGAAACGAGGCTGGTAGTAACCTTCTTAAATGTGTCGTCAAACTCCGCGTCGTTTAGGAACACCCAGTCGTAGTTATAGTTCCGATTGAAGCGATCTTCGACGTTGCGGATGGATTTGGCAATCTCCCAGATGTCGGTGTTCCTGGCCAGGGTTACGAATGTCGCGTTCATTCGTGAACCATCGGCCGCCGCAGGTGGGAGTCCTTTCGGAGGATTTGGAGTTGTCCCCGGCTTCTCCGACGTTCCGCCCGCGGATGGCGCGGATGGTGTGTGGGATATCCCTTGTTCATGTATGATATCGCCAACATTTTGTATCCGAGTCCGCGCTCCGGATGAAGTGAAGTAGAATATCAACGCTAAGGTCTAAAGACATCGATTGTTAGTACCAAGGGTATTTCCTCGCGATACACAAACATCTTAACATGACCGCTGAACTTACCGCAATCGCAAACACAATGTAGCGGGCATATCGCTGAGTTCCCGCCATTCTGGATGGTGTGGTCTGGCGCTCCTCCGAGGATAGATCTCGGTTTTCCGTTTTGGGATCCAGGATTGCGGCGATGATTGCGGCAACTCCTTTCGATCAAAGGAGCAGCCACGAGTGAGGAGCCAAGTCGCAGGATGCAGCTTAGTCCTGTGTGAGTCTCAATCGCGCTGAGGAACGCCTCGACGAAATGGGGATTCGTGTCAACTAATCGACGTTGTGGCTCCTTTGCTTCCGGTGGGACCGTGCGTAACGTGGTCCGAGGCGTGGAGAAGAAGGGAGGGGCACGGAGGAATGTACAAAACAGACGGAGCCGATAGAGGGGTTTTAGGAGAGAAGGGTATTCCCTATGTACAGAGAGGAGAGGAAGGGATGGCGGATGGAAGATATTGAATTCAGCGTTGCAGCATCGAAGAAAATGAAGCAGACGAATTATGAAACGTCAGGAGAGAGCCGCCGAGCCGCGTCAACAGAAACAGTTGGCGTTCAGCCGTGCAAGCCGCTCCAGCGGTTAGGCGTTAGGACTTGGCCCTTAGGAAACCTTTGGGGTTGTGGCACAAGTCATAAGTGGCACCAAATTCCCTGTGAATATTAATGACATGGGTGTTCGGTCACTTGGTGATCAATCAGATATCTGTCTCATATTATCACAGTGATATCAGGCCAATTCCTTGATACCTACACACCCAGACTCGGCAACTCGATTGGGCTTCCGATGAATCAATCATGTTGAGACTGTTTGACTGTGTCACGGTGTGAGTACGAAGCCGTAATGCAGGTTATTAAGTCATTCACTCGTTCTCCAATCTCCATCCTCTCTATCGTTCTGGAATCTTGATATGCTGATTATTCGACGTTGAAGCTTTGGCCTGAGCCTTGAAGGGAGGCTGGTGGCGCATACCGAGATTTGAGACCGCCAGTCATGTTCTAATACTACCGACTAATGGAATATGAATGGACCGGACATGTAGGCAAGGCGATTTATGAAACGTCCATCCAGGCCGTCATCGATTCTCCCTGGCATTCGATAGTATAAGTACACCTGAGGTGAGGATGTGAGGTTCCTCAGTCCACACATCCACGACTCAATTCCAAGTTTCCGGCCCCTTTGCAGACTTTTGTTTCGCTGGATCGGCTCTATTGTAGCGGATTAACCCGTAATCTTGGCAGGGTCACTCGGGCACTTATTCGGTTGATCGAGACTTGACATGAGGACTGTGGACTGGGAACCCTCGTCTCACGTCTACGGTCTATCGTCTGGTCTTGACGCCTAACGGCCCGACCGGACCTCGTACTGAGGCTCATACTGTACTTAAATCTACTAACGGTGGACTTAGAGGTACTTGAGCACATGCCAACAGCCAAGTTACCAAGTTTCGACAAACATGTTTGATTTCAGGGTGGGGACTGGGGAGCTAGGCTAAACCTGGATTCAGTAGAGATCGTCGTCAAATAAAACGTTGTTGTCTTTCGATCAATTCTAGATTTCTGCATCGATTGACGCTTGTCTTGTATGCACATGGAACTGGGTTGAGTCGAGACATACAGCCATAAACATTTGGTGATTTGAATGTAAGGACACTGACTCTTACTATGGTATCAGATCATACATGATACTCCGTACATCATACTGCCTACTGATAAGTGGTATTGCTTTATAAAATTGTATGTGTACTGTTAGTGGATACCGCACGCGCTGGCTAACTACCAGGTAGATATTTCGGTAATTATTGACACGGTCTGGATGCGCAAGGTCTGCGATTACCAAGTTCCATTAATCTAAACTGAAGAGAGAGAGAGAGAAAGAAGAAATCTCCCGGCACCTTTGTGCGCGAGATAGTGACTCTCCTCTCTAATGCCCTAATGCTGTGTTACCATGTTTGTTTGCTTCTCTGATATAATCCACTAGCCACGTCTTTAGCCACAACCAAGGGAGCAGGCCTGCGGCCTGGAACCATAACAACCGGAGGCAATTATACTTCGGATGAATAGACGGCTTGACGCTCCCTTGTAAAACGTCTATGAGACACCCACTTAGTCTCGCTCTAAAGACCGAAGTTACATAATGCATCATCCATGATCCAGGCACTGGCATTTGGCGCTTTTCCCTACAAGTTCGGCTAACAAATTCCCAACTCACTTTTCTACCCCATACGAAAATCGCATGATGCCAAATCGCCGACAAAGAACCTCTCCATAGAATTCAGTAATAATCGCGGTTCGTCCACGAGTCATGAAGTCGACTAAATATCCCGCAGCAATCGGGCCATGCATGGGTTTTGTATTTCACTGGCTCTTCTCCTCGAACTTCCATTGAAGGACAACGTTAGATCATAGATGATAGACTGCTCACCGGAGTCACGATGCAGTTGACCAGGCTTGCATTGGTTTTGGCACTGTCTCTCCCTTTGGCTTCTGCGCAAACGAATCCGCTCTCCGGCATCTCAACATGCGCCGTAAGACTCACTTCACTGATTGCTGTTCCCGTAACTCTGCTGACATCGCTAGGTTGGTTGTATGGGGACCGTTGTCCCCAACTTCTGTAACCCGACTGATTTGTCTTGCATGTGTACAAATGAAGGACTCGCAGCTAGTATACAAGAATGCTTGACATCCAGTTGCACTCTCATCGAGGCTCTTGGTACGTTCCCCGACCCAAGAGGCCTTTGCCACGCTGACCAGCATAGAAACACGGAATGCGACGGCCGTACTATGCGAGGAACCGATTCGAACTCGGCCCGATGTGCTCCTCTATCTGCCTTTGAATATCGTTGCTTGGGTCCTGGTGATCTTGAGGTTCATTGCTCGGCATAAGTCGATATCTCCAAGAACCGTCGGGTTGGACGATGCCTGTATGGCGATCTCCGCTGTAAGTTGCAACTCAATTGCATCTAAAGGCTCGCATTCGCTCATGAACCCTACGTCTAGGTTATGCTCGTCCCATTTACTATATTTTGCACTATATGTTCGTGTTTCCTACTCCAAATGGAGTGTCATCCACTGATGAGTTAGCTCGATATCATGGTCTCGGAATGGACATCTGGAAAGTCACGCCAGATGACGTTACTTTACTACTTCGGGTAGGTTCTGGAAGCATTCAAGGGACATGAACCTACCAGCTGACAGATGCAGGACTTTTATGCCACCGAGGTCATTTATCCCATCATGTCTTCGTTCATAAAAGCATCATTTATCTTCTTCTACCTTCGGATCTTCCCCTCCCAGCGATTTCGTATAATATGTTACGGTGTCATGACACTTAGCTTTGCCTATGGAATTACGTTTAGCAGCGCCTATGCCTTCCAATGCACACCTGTACCCTTTGCATGGACTCGGTGGGATGGACTTCATGCTGGGACTTGCATTAATGTAAACAGCATGGTATATGCTCAAGCATCGATCAACATATTCCTTGATCTTCTGGTTCTTGGGCTTCCTTTGCCTGCGCTCTTCAAATTGGAGCTGTCTTGGGCCAGAAAGTCGCTTGTCTTGTCCATGTTTAGCTTGGGATTCTTGTAAGTCTTGGCCGGATTTCGCCTGCTCGCATTGCTAACGACCATGTAGTATTACGGGCGTCAGTTGTGTTCGATTATCTCAAGTTTTGATGTTTGGAGACACTACCAACCCATCGAGTAAGTCATGCAAGGCGCATTTGTTGCTCTTGACTAACCATTTGTAGGAGAATGGTATGGTCTTGGAATTTGGACGGTCATTGAAGTCGATGTGGGGATCATCTGCGCATGTCTACCGACGATGGGCATTCTTCTACGAAAGATATTCCCGGGCTTATCGAGGTCAACTCAGAAAAACAGTCAAATGACCCCTGCAAGCATGGGTAGTCGTAGTCATGATCTGGCTCCGAGCAAGGGTGCCAAAGGTTCAAAAGGGGGAACAGGAAAATGGGATACTCTGAACGACGGTGGTTTTATCGAATTGTCGGAGAGTATGCAGAGTTTACACCATGCAAATGGACGACCGTATCATTAGCGAGTGGAGCATTTTACGATTCAGTAAGGTTAAGGATATACTGCACTGCAAGGGACAGGGAAAGGTTGAGAGACTGTAAATTTAGAGAGTAATGTCAACTACAAGTATAAACCGCTAAACTGGATGAAAGCACTTTCAGTCCTCGGAGATAGCTTCAATAGCCCATTTCAGCATCCGTTCCGTAGCATCCCCCTTTTGCTTCAGGAGGCCTTCTAAAAGGATGAAGTCATGAGCCTCCTTCTCTCCAATTTCCAAGGTGACGTCAACGCTGCCAGTATTTCTCCCCCTGACCCGCTCCGCATATTCCTCACAACTTGTCGCAAAGATTTCATGTTTGCCTGCGGTGATGTAAATCTTCCCCGTCGCGGCTCCCATGGAGTCGACCCAAGTTTCCGGCACATCCATGGGGAACGACCATCCCAGGCCCTCCTTGATCTCCTCGTGGCCGTTCGTCCCGTGGAAGAAGCTGCGGGCGGTATCCCGAATAATAGGCGCCGACAGCATATCGATAGGTGCATTGGACCGATATGACGCTGTTTGGGTATTCAAGGACACAAACGGCGAAACGAGAAACGCCCCGGCGAGGGGATGTGCTAGTTCAATCTTTCGGACAGCAGGATGTGGGCGTACAACGTGAGCCAACAAAGCATGTGCCATCTGCCCACCGACCGAATCTCCTCCAATGATGATGTTCTTCGGTTCAAACCCACTGTCAAACAGGTGTTGCAGACCGTCGACCGCCTCTGCGAACTGCGATGGGTATCGTGCCGACGGAACGAGCGTGTACTGAAGAACAGCAACAGCAAACTCATTCTTCGTGTTCAGCGTCTCCTCGACATACCGCAGAGCCCATTCCAAATGTCCAGGAAGTAGTGGAAACACGTATCCTCCGCCATGAAAGAACAAGACCACCTTCTTGCACGTCCGACGATCTCCAACCCAGAATATTGAGGATTTTCCATTGGGTAGCGTTTCGATATCGACCGAGAGTTTTTCCTGCAGCCCCGGGAACTTCTTTACCTGCGGATCTTTAGACTTCTCTTCGAGCCACGCATGGTATGTGTCGCAAGCATTCGGATTATAGTATTGGATTTCTTCGGGCGACAGTTGTTCGAGAAGCGTTCGAAGGAAGCCAGCGGCGGCGAAGGAGGAGACGGTCAACCGACGGTTTGCGGCAACAGTCGTGGCGCGGATGATGTTGAACAGCAGCGGGATCGGGACTGCAAGTGTTAGCTACCTGGCTGCAAAAGGAACGTGGACGGGACGGAAGTACCAATCACAGCGCATTTAAGGTAATACTTGATTTTCCCAAGCAATGAGAGCTTCCCAGCCCGTCCAACTCGTTTATAGGGCGATGTCCGATCGGTCTGCTTTCTTTAGCTCAACGGCGCATAAATCATTGGTGCCGATTTGTTGTTACCTGTTCCGCCATGTCGCCAGCGATTTCTCGTTTGGTGTTTCATAAGGATCAGGAAGACGGCTACATTATTGTTGTAGCTGTGGAATATTGGATGCACAGATATGCATACCTATGCCCCTATTAGTTAGTGATTCCCCCCCCCCAGGTCGCAGCTCAGCGAAATCACCCATCGCTGCTTAGCGCGCCTTTTCCCTGTGTTGGCAAATCGAATGCCTCTGGTCCATGGTCCATGGAGTATGGACCGAAATTAGGCTCGACACTATCGTCGGCGCTCCATCACTGGTAGTATCGCCGCAGTGTGGATTTGGGAGAGCTCCCAAGCCAGACATCAACATTCAATCAGTTGGACTTTGGAGTAAACGGGTACGGATTTCAAACTCTGATTCAGGACTGTATCGGCAACAGCACATATCGAAAAGGAAATTCAATTAGTCAACACGAGTCACCAAGTGATATTAATATTCTCCTGCATCATACTGACTCGAATGGAATTCATAGAAGTGTTAAAGGCCCACAGTCGTAGCCAAGCAGTGGTCCACGGCAGTAACAAAAACTACTGCAGAGCAATTCGACTAAGCGGAACCACTGAAAACGGCGTTAAAACCATCATTTTTGAGGCAAGTTCGGTAGCGTCTCTAATATGAGTATATGACATGTTTCTTCGTAAAATTAAACGTGTTTGATGTTTTCTCCACGTATCTAACAACTACCTACTCCGTAATTACTGTATTCCGTATGGATGGCTGACTAAGGTAGTTGTGATTACGGATACTTGTGAACAATCGATCAATTGATTCCTGAGCCCGTTCGGGCCAACTTCGGGTCGGCCCATGTGGAGACTGGGGAGTACATAGTTGTGAACAGCACGTGATGCGTTCTGAACCGCAACAGAAACAAACAAATATGAATGCCTAATTCAGCTTCAGGCAATGATTCTCCATCCAGCTGACGAAGCGCACCACCTGTGTCACGACGTCCACATTCATCATCTTCATCTTTGGAAATGACGGAACTCTTGTATGTACCATGAATACAAATTGTCTGAGATACCAGTGCAACCAGTTTAGCATCTCCAATCGCCAAAGCTATCATCTAGCTGTCTGGTGACCATAGCACTACAGCCATTTACGCGCCTTTCCCAATCGCTTGAAAGCATATAGTCTACTATCCGATTTCCTCGCTTCACACTTCACCACCCACATATTCTTCTTCACCAACCTTCCTCAACCGTACCGTCTTGTTGCTCTTAACTAAGGCTCGTACCTAGTTTTAGTTGCAAGATATCGATAGCATCTATGCACTACAATTAGCTTCTCCGTCCTAGCAATCAGAAGCCATGTCGTTCTTTGGCTTTGACACCACTTTGCCCCGCGATCGCAAAGTCGTTCCGGGTTTCAGCAGCCAGCATGATGCGTTTGCAGGCCTCGAAGGCGGGGCAGCAGATGATAACGCGTAATAACTGCCTAGAAATCTTTGATAGCGCTTCGTTCTAACGTTCCTCCAGGCTCGAATTCGAGGACACTTATGACGGCCTCGGCGATCAGTTGAGCGACGCCGACGATGCCCTCAACGACGACACATTCGGAGAGCAGCCGGCGACTCAGGCTGGTGTGGGAAGAGATTTTGACTTCGCATCCCGGACGGCTAGAGTCGCAGATGCCATGCAGGAGGAGCAGATGATCTACCATGCCCGCCATGGCATCAATAAGCCGCAGGCACCACCGCCAGTACAGTACCAGCCAGCCAAGACAGGATACGAGAACTATGCGGATGCTTCATACATTCCGCGCCTTGAAGCTGATGCTGCTCTCTGGGGGATTCCGCCGAAAGCAGCCGAAGCGCCAAGGGAGCAACCTGGCCCTGCAGCCGCCAGGAAGATGATGAGCTTAGAGGAGGTGGAGGCAATGATGAGACAACAATCGGTTCACACAACTCAGCAGCCCGCCCCTCAGTCTATTGCACCCGAGCCGGTTCCTCACCATCAGCAACAGTTCCAGCCGCCTGGCCCGCCGCCGCCGCAGTTCTCTGGTCCTCCACAAGTCCTTCAACGGCCGCATCCACAGCAGCCAGGTTTCCTGCCCCCAATCCAGCAGGCCATTCCTCATGATGCTCGTAGTTTCCATGAGCGTCCTCCCATGCAGGCAGAACTGCCAGGGCAGGGTGTCCAGCATCCCCAGATCCTTCAGCGACCGAAACAGGCACCGGAACCCAGCAATCAGAGACAACAACCCCGTCAGCGTCCTCCGCCGCAGCAGGCCAGAGCGTCTCCACAACCGCGCCAGATCCTCCAGAACCCCAACCGACTTTCGGGTCAGGGCCAACCAGTCCAACAGCCACGCCCAAGCGACGCGGCTGGGCAGCGGGTCCCAACTGGACCGGCTCATCAACGAGGTCCTTCATACAGCGGGCCTATCATTACCAATCCTCAGCAGATACTCCAACTGTCCGACGAAGAGCGAAAGGCATACCTTATTGAGGAAGCCAAACGAGCGAAGCGAAATCACAAGATCCATATGTTGTCGAAAGATAACGGTCTCATGACGCCACAAGACAAGAACTTCATCACTAGGATCCAACTTCAGCAGTTGATGGCTTCTATTGGTAACCTCGACGAGGCTGGATCTCCGGAAGCTATCATCTCGGACGACTTTTACTACCAAGTATATGCTCAGATCCGCGGTGCCGCGCGTGCTCATCCGGGACAGCCTGCCTCGCAGTTTGCCCAAACCTACCTCTTCCAGACCGGCGGGCGGTACGGTTTCGGGCGAAGGGGTCGCCAGGGAAATGCCGATAATCATATCCAGCGAATGGAGCAGCAAGTGGCGAGGGCGGTGGAAGCCGCAAAAGCGAAGCCCAAAAACAAGCAACTTGTGATTGAAGGAAGTCTGGGAAAGATCAGCTTCTCCAATGCCAAGACCCCCAAACCTCTCCTCAACATCAAGCCAGCAGCTTTGCATCACGCTGAAGCACGTCCAGGCAGTGCACAGGGCGGGAAGGATCCGCACGGAAGTGTGAAGGACGAGGCTACTGAACGTCGTAAGGTCCTGAAGGATCTTGAAACCGTCTATGAAACCCTGATGGCGATGGAGGATCACGATCGCCGGATGCCACCACCATTAACCGAGGAGAGCTCTGCGGATCTGATCCAAGCGATGATGGAATGGCGGCATAGGTTGGGACAGTTGAACAAAAAGTTGTGGAATGGCCTGAGAGTCATGGAACCTATTGTTCCTGGGTACGTCTGACACCAATTGATGCAAATATGGCCATATTGACCCGTCTCTAGCTCACCCATTCCCCACCCATTTATCCTGCTTGTTAACCACGGCAAGGGCATGAAAGCATTGGGCCGCGTCTTCCGTCACATCGACGACAACCAACGCCTCACCATCACGACCCTCACCCTCATCAACCTCGATCACCTCCGCGTCATCCAACACGGCGTCCCTCCCCCCAACAGCACCACCCTCCCCCAACCCATCAAAGATGAAATCGACCTTTTCACCGCCACCATTAACCCCCTCCTCTTCGCCGTCTTCCACGACTCCCCCCTTAATGTTGTCGTCGGACTCCTCGGCCTCATCGTCGAGCGCACCACCATCCCCTGGCTCGCCCGCACCAAGATCGGCACCTCCATCCTTACCCTCCTCGTCTCCCGCGCCGAAGTCCTCCGCGAAGCCCTCGTCGCCCAGCAGGCCGCGCAGATGCTCCCCGCCGAGTCCCTCGAACAGCAGCTCCCCGACCTCGCCGCGTACCGGGACACGTACACGAAGCTGTTCGCCGCGCTGGAGCCGGCGCTGCCGTTCCTTTTCGGCGGGTTCGGTCACCCGGCGAAGACCGAGACAGGCGACGACGTCCATGTGTGGCAGTTCCTGGCGTGCATCGGGGCGGCGGCGGATCCGGGGCAGCAGCAGCGGTTAGTACTGGGGGTGAAGGATCGGGTGATGGAAACGGTGGGGGTAGCGAGAAGCTTGCCTGGGGAAGAAGGGGAGAAGCGGTTGCACAAGGTCAATCTGTTCATGAGGGGATTGGGGTTGGATGTGGAGTTGTTGTCGTAGTATTTTCTTTCTGTTATTTGCATTGGCGTAGCATGATTGTTATCGTCAATGCCTGGGAAAAAGCTGTGTGGAAGGATAGGGATGATCACCAAATTCATTCAGATATGGTTTCGAATTTCACGCAGGCTGCGCATCAAGGAGTAGGTACGCAGTTTGTGAGCCGCCCTAGGATAGATTCTACAAGAAAGGGACAATCCATCAATGACAAACATCGATACTATACCTTATGCCTCTGAAGCAGGTTCGAGCACTTTGACACCTGAAAGGGCTCGTTGAGAGGAGTATTCCCATGAACTCGCTAGTCTAGATTTAACCATTTATCCTTATGATATTAAGCCCTAGAAATCTAGCCACCCTCGGTTGCACATCCGAGCCACCATATCTGTCATCTCTAGTCTTCGTTAAGGCTCAGGACGATTCACTTGTACCACTCGACTGCGCGGACGGCCGACGCATTATATACCGCGCCTTATATATCTATATTAGGAGTCGCACCCCCGGATTTCATCTTCCAATTGGCATCAAGATTAAGTCCACACCATGCCATATTATTATTACTGTACGGATATTGTCACTTTGCGATGGCAAATCCTGGGGTAGAATCTGTGCGCTGAGAGCCTGAGACAGCCCTTTGGCCGCCATGCCCACCGTGCCGCGTAATCCTCACGCGCGACCCGTCGGAGTCCTGACATCGGTCAGGGTGCTACATCGTCAAATCTGGCCAGAGGGGTCTCCAAAGCAAGATGCGAGGCCAGGATATCGACCGCATATCCCCGCCCAGTGCCTCGATTTCACACTCCTTCCATCCCCACAGCAAGGTATCTCCAGACTCCAAGACCACAGGCATGAGGCAAAGAAACACCCAGCAGCAATTTCAGCGGTAGCCGGTAGCGAGAGCCGAGATGCTCCGATACACCGATACAGGATACCCGATCACCCGATACACTCGATACTGAATACTCAATACAGCAGTGCAGCAGCGCACGAGCCACGAGCAGTCCCCGGGAGGCATCCGCATTGCCCGTCGCGCAACGCCTCCGAGTCTCAAACGGTCCAGCCATCCACTATCATGCGCGGCGCCGAGCCTCATGCTGGCTGAGGCGGACGGCGCTGGACCGGAATGGGGGATAGTGGGCCGACGATCAAGCCACAGTGGATGAACTAGATGCGAGACACGACCGGGGGGAGTGGGAAGAATTGGGGGGGAGGGGATCAAAGGAGGCCGAATTCGGGTTAATGCATTCGTGTTCGTGTGGAGTATGACCATTGCTTGCCCCTTTCTTAGTTCATGGCGCTTTGGCAGCTCATGAGCAGCTCAGAAGCCGCTGCACATGGCACTTGGCAGCGTGCCTTGGAGTGCTGTTGGCGGGCGCAGTGTTCGCAGTAGTCGTAGCCAAGATGTCCGGTGTGGCCAATGCAGCCTTTTTCCATCGAGCTTCTTGGACCTTGACATCTTAACCTTGACATCCTTCAAACTTCGTGACTTCGTATTGCTAACACCTACAACCTTTCTTCCTTTGCTTTCGTTCACTTTGCCTTTCGCTTACTTGGGGATTTCCGCTTGTTGGAGGGAGAACTATCCTTTATAATAATACGGGGAACGTTTACGCGTTCCTGTTTGGCTTCTTGGTCGTCGGTCGAAAAGGAGTCCTTAGATGCAACAAGACGTCGTTGCACTAGACGCATCCTTTTCCTGTCTTCGTTGCATTGCGGCATTGTTATCAAAGAAAGGAGGCTGAGAGAGCAATCCTTCTTAACTCCACGCTAACTGTTGTGGCCCTCAAGAGCCGTCCCTTGGACCGCGGAAGTTTTTCGGTGGTTCAACAGCTTCATTCGGTCCCGCCTCCAATATGCGATTCTCGACCACCCTCTCACCATATCTTCTTGCCTTCATTTCCCTCCTACACACTTCATCCGCGGCCGATCAATCACCTAAAGCCGTATCCTTCCCTTTCTCCAAGCGAATCGCCCCCGCCGCGCCCCTCTCTCGCCTACGTCGTCGACTGAAGGCCGTCGACGTCGACATCTACGATGCGCAGAACCACCTTCTCTTCCTCGTTAACGTCACCGTCGGCTCCCCCCCTCAAGAATTCTCCCTACAGCTGGACACCGGGTCGTCAGATATTTGGCTACCGTGGGAGCGAAGCACTCAATGCCTGAAGAATAACGCCTGCACGAACGGTGCCTATGACCCCGGTTCAAGCACATCTTATAAGAATATCGCCCGAGGGGATTTCGAGATCGCATATGTGGATGGCACCGAAATTGCGGGTGACTACATCACTGATGTGTTCGCGATCGGAGATGCCACGGTCAAGAATATGACAATGGGAGTGGCGACACAGGCTACCGTCAACTGTGCTAGCTGTCCGTTCCAGGGCATCGTTGGTGTCGGGTATCCGGCAGGAGAGAGTATCGCTCATACGGACGGTCCGGAATCAATTTATCCGAACTTAATCAATCAACTAAAGAACCAGGGGTATATCAGTTCTCTGGCATACAGTCTTTGGTTGAATGATCTTGGTACGTTCTATGCCTGTATATCACAACAGCATAGCAGGTTCGCTAACATATTTGTACAGAATCTGAGATGGGGGAGATCCTCTTCGGTGCAGTCGACACGAATAAATACAGTGGCAAGCTTGTCTCCTTACCGGTACAGCCCGAGTCCGAATTTAGTGCCGGGTCCCGTATGAGCCATTCCCTCACCTCCTTCAACGTGGTCCTGGACAACCTCAACGTCGCCAATGGCAACGACGTCATTCAATACTCCCAAAAAGACATGGCAATCCCGGTCATCCTCGACAGCGGCACCACCCTCACCTACCTTCCCGATCCGATCGCCCGTGACATCGCCAAAGGCGTCGGCGCCACCACCGACCCCGACTACGGCCTCGTCGTCCCCTGCTCCCTCCGCGACTCCAACGCCACCCTCAACTTTGGCTTCGGCAACCCCGGCGGCCCCGTCATCCGCGCCGAGATCTCGCAGTTCGTCCTCCCCTTCCCAGACGGCTACCCCGCCCCGCGCTTCCGCTCCGGCGTTGCCGCCTGCAACTGGGGCCTCCTCGGATCCGGCAGCGACCCGAACCTCTTCGGCGATACCTTCCTGCGCAGCGCCTACGTCGTCTACGACCTCGAGCACAACCAGGTCGCCATCGCGCAGACGGTGTTCAACGTGACCGACTCCAACGTCGTCGAGATCGTGAGCGGCATCCCCGATGTCACCTCCACCGCCAGCGGCGTCCAGGTCACCCAAACCGCGACCGGCAACAGCCCCTTCCAGTCGAATTTCCGCTCGAATTCCGGTGGTGGTTCCGGCACGGGCTTGCCGAGTGCGAGTCCCGCGACGTTCGATTTAGGTGCGACGGCGAGTGCCTCGACCCCCGGAGTACCAGCTGGTACCGGTTCGGGCATGGCGGGCGCACCGACGGGTGCGTCAGCAGCAGGACCTAGCTTGCTGCGTGTGGAGAGGGGAACGGTCGCGCTGTCGGCCATCACGACAATCTTGTCGGTGGTCGCGGGCCTAGGGGCCAGCGGCAGTCTTTTTGTATTGTTCTAAAGGCAAAAGAGCTGGAAAGGGCGCGTATACCCTATGGGGACCTTGTCCGCCTGCTTTTAACATGTACAGAGAAAGCAGCGTCAAGGATTAATAGCGCAGCTTGTACCTTGGCCTTTGGTTGGGCTGCGGGACTGGGTTGTCGCTGGGATAGTACCCCATTGCATGGAATCGGAGTTTGGGATCAGTGCGGGATGCACTTACAACTCGGCCAAAAGGGATGGCATAGAGATACCACGATCGTTAAATTTTGCGAATTCGACACCCCATCTAAGTAAATAATATAATGAATGTTACATCACCCTAGCCTTGGCTCATTGAACAAGTGCCGTCGTCTCCCAAACCCCATCCGTATAAAGCAACCCTATTTTACTCCACCCCAGCTCCGAAACGCGATAAATCATCACCTCATACTTGTCGACAGCTGTCAGTCCCACGGCAAGCTTCGATCCGGCATCTCTCATCAGGCATCCCTTCCCCCGTCAAGGTCAGTCAGTCATACGGCTCCATCAATTTATTCCCCTCCACAGTCTCCGCGAAGTTCTCAATGACCGTACTATGCGACCACGGCTTCTTCGATATCTCCTTCCGAACCGTCTCCGCGAAGCACCCACTCCACTTATTCCGCGGATACGCCGTCGTCACCGCCTTGATCGTGTCCGGATGGACGAGGTCCGCGTTTTCTCCGACGTTATCTACAACTCCGTTAGCCAGGTTCCACGAAATGAGGGTGCTTTATCCAGGGGGCGATTACCGAAGATCGTGGTGGTCAGGGTGAGCCCCAGCAGCAATGGGACGCTGCCCGTGTCGCCGAGGTCTTGGTGGCGGTTCACAATCTCGGCGACCAGCTCGGCTTGGTCGTCGGGGGCGCCGAATTTGCGGAGAAGGTCGAGGGCGAGGACGGCACCTTGGAGCTCGAAGGAGAGGCGGGTATGGTCCATGTTGTTGGAGGTGGTACCGATATCGTGGAGGAGACAGGCGAGGAAATACGTCTCGATGAGGGAGTTGGGGGCAGGATAATTGGACAGGTGTTGAGCGAGGACACCAATTCCTGGTTGGACGTTAGTGTACCTGGTCACTTCGGGAGCGGCTTTTCTCTGAAGGCGTACCGTAGAGAAATACTCGCATCGAGTGATTGAACGTCTTCTCGGGGAGATTTGCTTTGGCGTACTCATGCGTCTGTACGGCCACGGGGGACGACGGCAATTTGACCTCATGCGGACTAAATGGTTTCGAGTTCGCCTTGCTCGTCGACTTGTATAAAGCCGGCTGTGACCTGGGCACAGCCGTCCATCCAAATGTGCTTTCAGAAAGAGGAAATGCCATGATTTATATTTCAGAACCGAGTTGTAAGCTTTCGAATAGACTGGGGATGATAGGATCTGATCTGAAGGATTTCAAGATGTCAATGGCTACCTTTGATGTTTTATAGACTTAGTATCAGTCTGTCCTTCCGTAGAAGTCTGCAGGCCGTCTCGCATGAATGGGATGATCTCATAACTTCATAAGCAGCATCGCCAGTGATCAGTTGCAACCCACGGAACAAGAGCTCCATTACGGGACCGATAGATCTGGAACCATGGAGTTACGATATTCCCGACTGCTTGGAACAGAAGCCGCATCAGCCTTAACCGCATTGCGGCAATCTCACGATGCCGCGAATTACGATGCAGGATGCAGGTGAGATGGTTAATGCTCAGTGGAAATAAACGGAAGACGTCAACGACGGCGCAAGGGTGGAGGAGCGGCTCTGTTGTGATTGAGCCGCTGCGGCATCTTAGCAAAATTCGGTCTTATGAAGCAATCTAGACCCTCCAGTGCTTGACCATGGCATTTGATCCTCGACGCCTTTCTGTAATTATTATGAACATGCAGATTACATTGCCATCGCACAAACGTGAAGCAACACGTCGCAGTCAGTAATTGATTAACTCCATGTCATATCCCAATGGCCATGACGAAGTCCTTTCTTTTTATTAATATATGAGGCCTAGGTCCAAACCCCACCCTCACTACCGTTTTCCAATCATGACTTGCCGAAGTCTAAAACGAGTAACTTAGTTTATTGTGTCTAGACTAGTTCATCAAGCAGTCATGTCTACGTCCCTGAAACCCAGATATCAAAAACACAATGGTAGATCCCAGGGGCAAATGACTTGACCCTTTCAATGTGCTCCAGCTGCACATCCGATCGCTCTCGCTCACTAGAGATTGAACCCCTTTGGGCCTTGATGGCATCGAACAGCTTCCGTATTTCGACAACCACATCCCGCGCTTTAGCCTCGATGTCGGACTGCTTCACATTCTCGTGGAGATGAAGCCATCCTCCTAATTTTGGATCCAGTGCTTTGACCGCAGCCGACCATGACGGCCCGGAGGATGGCAGGTAGCCACAGTTGACATGCCGTATCGGTGGCCACATGTGTCGAGTTCTTTCCAGTTCGTCGGCGGCATATTCATTCGATTGGTGGAACATGACGAGCCTTGGTGCCGAGCTTTGCTTCTCATCTTCATGATCTTGAACACGCCACTCCTCAAGCACGGGGTCGTCGTCGGATAGCGAGATAATCTTGCATTCCCATTTGTTTTGGACCGCACCACGTCTAAACGCTTCCACTGACCAGCCGTTCACTTCCCAGGCGAGGATCGTATCCACACCAGCTTTGGCATAGCAGAATGAGAAGTAGCCGATTCCAGCGTAAAGATCGACAGCTGCGCATCCGGTTCCAGCAGCTTGACCTTCGTGGACAGCGGATTGAATGGCCGGGAGATTGAGGAGTCTTTCCTTCTCTCGTGTGTTCCCCCGCGAGAACATGCAGTGGATTGGAGGGAAGACGTAAGATATCCCAAACTGCTGCACTGTGGCGAAGAAGGTCTGCGGGAGGGCCTTATGATTTGGCCACGTGCGGATCCTGTCAGTGTTTGCGGTTGTATTGTCCTCTAGTGGTCCGAAGTAGCCATATAAAGGCTGGATTTTCGCAGGTATGCGAAGAAGGGTTGCTTGCGATTGATCGAGTCCGGAACCAAAGTCATTCGAAGCCTCTTCTTCACCATACTTCGATTGAGTCGCTGGAATGGTGCCGTTATAGGCAATGTGAGTAACCCTGAGCTCCTCCGCTAATATGCGATAAAAGGATGAGGCAGTCACCGACTGATGCGCGTTGAAGAGCTCCCCCCAGGCACCTGTTTCGAATAGACCTGGCCGAACCGACAGCAACGAGCCATATACGGTATATCTTGATAAAGCGTTGACCAAGGGGAGGGGATCAATGCGGTCGATTTCAATGCTCCCCGGAATGCTGGATTGGACTTGAAGAATCCATCGCTGGACAGCTTTCGACACCGGGCCAGGAATACTCCGTTTGTGGGATCCTACATTCTTTGATTTCGCAACAGCGCTGTGATTATCAGAACAAATCGTCGCCTTCGAGCGGCAGAGATTTGCATCCTCCGTCATAGAGCAAGCATCCAACAAATGCTCCCCCCTCCACTAAGTGCCACCTGAGAAATTTTGACGAAGAGCGAGTGGTGGCGGTAGTATTGAAGGAAGGAGGGCAACTTGGTGTTCCAAGGAAGCTTCCACTCGACTTGCAGACCACCAATTTCCGTTTCTTCCAAGCGACTGTTGGAATCTCAAGACGGCAAAAAAGGAAAACTGGTCATCCGAATAGCATTTACTAAAGTCAAAAGAAAAAAAAAAGCAAAAGAAATGCCGACACTCAGATTTGAACTGAGGACCCCGTCATATCGAATTGATGAGAATACGAGTGACGAATCATAACCGCTAGACTATATCGGCAGCTTATATTTAAGATTTGCGCTCTGTGATATATGATCCACACTACTTTTTTGGACCCTCTGTTCCATAAATTTATTTCCCCACCCTGGGACCAAAATCGATGCAATTCATTGAATGTGTACGAAACCTAGAGTAGATGCTTAAAGCCGGTAAATTTATCAGGAACGGATTCAGATCATGGAGATATGATAGGTGCGGATCCCATACACAGATGGGACAGATATATCACGCCGTGTTTCCTCCAGGGCTGTCCACCATTCTTCCCCTCTGTCTATGAATTCACCTGACTTCACCGGATTCTCAATCACCTCATCAAATATCGAAAGATAGCCTGGACAAGTTTGTAAATTACCATTGAAGTGATAAAGCGTCCTGCAGTGGATACAGCTTTGACTAAACATTTATGATTCCATTAAATCCAGAGCTACGTACGAGAAACATTGGAGGATATATATGCACGAAAGATCCGAATCCCACTCAGTGACGCCACTATCCAGGACATAAGAGAAGAAGGATAGATAACGCTACAAGAAGATTTTGTACCGCTCGAATGGCCAAATGGCGGACATGTTCGAGAGCGGCAATCAAAGTTCAACGGAATACGCCCATCAAACGAGCATCAGAATCGAAGGAACAGGAATCTTCATGTCGAGCATCATGTCACTCGGAAAGTGCGTCTAAACTACCGCTCGCTTCACCTTCTCCTGCCCAAGCCCCATCACGCCTTTCGGGAACTTCGTCAACGGGGTCTCGACCTGCATGTCGACTCCCTCCGAACCCTGTTCAGTCTCCGCCTCATCCTCATGGATTCGAGTCGGCACATTCGCCTTGTTCTCATACGCCTGCAGGCTATGTCTCTCCGGCGTCGCCGCCGAGCTCGCGCTCATCATCGACATACTCGTGCTGCTCCTATTGTGCACTAAATCCGGCGTCGGCGGAATGGAGCTGACGCGTCGATCGCGGTCTACGTGCAAGTGATCGTCCTCGTGGCCATCATCCGACACCGCGGTCGCCGACCCCGCGGACGACATCGAGCCCTTGGACGGCTTGGTGCGGGCGCGCTTCCCGTTGCTGCCATTGCTGACGCGGCGCTCCTGGGCATCGGCTTCGCTCCCATCGTCCTCGGCGCGCTGCGCGAGCTCGAGTCCCTCGACGGCGGCGGCGCACTGTTCGGAGATGTTCCGGATGATGTAGGCGATGGCATCGGTCTTGTCGCGGAGGTGGCGGTCGGCGACATCGGCCATGCTGCCGGTGGAGAGGCGGTTTCGGGAGAGGGAGGAGTCGAGGAGGCGGCTCTCCATGTCAGGGGTGACGTCCTCGCCGTCGAGGTGCTTGCCATCGACGGTAGAGGCGCGGGAGATGGAGCGAGAGGAGGGGGTGATGGACGGAGCGCGACGGGTGGAGCGGATGCTTCCGTTTTCCACCGTGCGCTTGGCGCCAGAGTCGGATCCTTCTGCTTCTTCTTCCTCGGGCAGGTCTTCGAAGCCTTCTTCGATGTACTCGGTGAGTTCTGGCGCGGTGGAGAGCGTCTTGACGATGTGCTCCATATGGTGGGCTTGCCCGTCGATGAGGGCACGAAGGTGCAAGACCACGCGCTGGGCCTCGTCGCGTTGACGGACAATGGTTTGGTTGGTGTGTTCGAGGGCACCAAGAGATTTCTTGTTGCGCTTGCGTTCTCGCTCGAGCTCCTCGGCAATTTCTTGCTGTAGGACGAGAGCCTCGAGAGCATCGTCTCTCTGCTTCTCTGTGCCGGACAGGCGGACAGTGAGGCGGGCAGCGTCGTCCTTCTGCTGGTCGATGAGTGTGCTGAGGCGGCGGTTCTCCCGCTTGTGGTTCTCAATCTTGATCTTGAGCTCTTGGGTCTCCTTTGTAAGCTGCTCGGCAAAAGCCTGGAACTTGAGGAATTGCTGTTTCCAGCTCTCCAACTCTTCGACAAGGAAATTGTTCCGCTTGGTGACCTTGTTGAGCTCGGTGTCCATGCGTCCCTTGAGGTTGATAAAGTCTTGCCAGGCTTCCATGGCATCGCGGGAGTATTGGTTGCGCTCGCGAACAATCTCGTTGAGATGACGCATGGAGACCTTGGTCATCAGCGGCTTCTTGACGGTTCCACCAAAGACAGCCTTTATGCCAGTGTTGCGACCCTGCCAATGAGTTAGTTTATTATAAATAATAGCCGGTGATCCACATACCAATTTCTCGCAGACGTGGTCCATGACATGCATAACACCATCTTGGTTCCACCAATCCGGATCTTGAATGCTCTCGACTTCGCCTTTCATGACGATAATTTGACCGGCCGGAATCAACTTTCCACCTCCGTAGGCGGATCGGAGATGCTGCGGCACGCCAGACGGGGTGACTTCACGGTTCAGTGCCTGGGTCAGGCGGTTGATCATCTTCGTTCGCTGCTTAGGGCTCAAAGCAGTCGGGGGGCTAGAAGTGAGGACGAAATTCCTGTCCAAGTCGACGACAAGAGCGTCAGTAGGAGCCGTGAAAAGAGACTTGCATTCAGCAGTAATGCCCAGGATGTATGGGCCAGGCTCCTGAACCAGCTCCTTGACATGGCGAGCGTGGACGACCGGAACATAAAGTCCGCTCCATTCGTAGACCCGGACGGAGAATCGGATGGTCTCCGCAGCGACCGTCAACACTGCCGGATAGTGGGAGATGAAGATGATTCGGCGGGTTGGAGAGACAGCAGCCTCAATGACACCAACAATGTTCGGGATCGACAAGCAGGCGAACAGCGGCCACATGGCGAAGTTCTGGAAGCCAGTCGGAGACGAAGGGAACTGGTAGCAAAGGGCGTAGTCCTTCATGTCGATGCGAACGAGATCGTTCAAACGGGGAGCCGGGAAGCTGAGAATGCGAGAGACCTCTTCGGCATGGAAAAGATTGGTGGCCTTGTTCCAGTGGATCCACATGCCTCGAAGGTAGTCACCAAGGAGGTTGTAGAGCGGATATCGCGAAAGGAAGCTCAGGCAGTATGGAATCCAATAAGTCTCGTCGCCGTTATCATAGAAGTCTGGCTCAGTCCTGCGCCGAAGGTCACGGATAGTCTCTGCTCGCTTCTCGTCGGCACGCGACCATACGCGAAGAGCAATTCCATAAAGTGTATGGGACGAATCCTGCTGCAAAACGAACGAATGGTGGACGCAATGCGGCTGGACTCGGCCGGTGCAAATCTCCACATCATGAGGGAAGCACGCCTGCACAAAAGGATATCAGCATCTTCAGAAGCAACAATTGATGTCTTATCTTCATCTCGGAGTTCGGGAGAAGTGTAGATTATCAAAAGCGGAACATACCCTCATCGATGCGTGCAATGATCGTGCAATCTCGTTATCTTGCTCGAGTCTTGGGCTGCTTCCCAAGATCTCTGGTAGCCAGAACTGTCCAACCGCACCCTTCATGTGCCCGATCTTCCCCTGACTTGGCGGCGGCGCTCGCACCCATTGTGATGGTTCCCGGCAGAGACCGCAGACCATGTACGCATGAGTGAGCGTCTTTGGGGTCCGTTGACCTGGTTTGATATTGAGGGTTGAGGGCAAAGGCTGGGTGATGCGGGAATGAAGGGATGAGGTGCGAGAGGGAATCATGAGGTTAGGGTCGTTGTGATCTCGAGTTGAAGGCCGCTCGCCGGTGCGAGGGCGAAGACTAAGTGAAGGTGCCATATTCAACAAATCCTATGATTGTTCGACGGTAGTTTCGTAGTTGTGAACGTATGGTTTTCCAGTGACCAGCTTAAACTGGGACGGAATGTTCTCTCAATTAGGTCCGAGGTTCAAAATCAATTGACCTTAGTTCTCGACGTTTAAGGCTTAGATATACTGAATATCAGCTCTGTGGTCTCTCCAGCGGAACCAACGGAAGCAAAAAGACGCGTTCAAAGTATCGTTTCTCCAGACGGTCAAAGAGAGTAAGACGGACAGAGCCGCATGAATTATCTGGAGCAAATGGAGAGAGAATTCGAAGCTCGAAAGAAAGAGAAGAGATGCTCGATACCGAGGGAGATAGATGATGGAGAAAAGGGAGATACTCACCACCACCAGACCCGGAGCAAGGAAACGACACGGGCAGACCACCGAGGACAAGGACCAGGATAGGGTGAGACGGACACAAAGCGTCCGTCTCGGCCGCGAAGTGCCATCAATCATCAGGGATAATAGGTGATGGGATCGTGGCGCTGATACACTTTGCTTCTTCGGGCAAGGGGTCGAGGGGCTTGCCGGCTCGGTTGCAGGCATTTGGGGACATTTGGGGACCTTTGGGGTGGGTAGAGATGCCCTCGTCCCTGACAATCCCACCTGGACGGAGTTAGCTGCATGCGCCGGTCCCAGGGGCAAATTGACTATCCACTCCCCCCAAGTCTCAATTCTCAAAAGTCGCAAAGATAAAAGGCTCTAGCTTGTGGGCTATCACTCATCAGGATCGCCCAAGTCCCAAACTGCCGAAGACCCCACGATGTCACCACAGTTGACAGGTGCGGCTACTGGGGATTAGTGACGTTGCATATCTGATGGCGATTGAGAAATTACTCAAGGAGAAACAGTCCATTTTCCCTCTCGTTCTCAATCATGTAGCGGAACATTTTTAATCCCATCGTGCATGCCGGTAGCTGTGTTTACCCGTCATACAGCCCGTTGCATGAAACTGGTCGTTCGATGAACTCCACGTCCCCAATAATGCCCTGTGTCCCGTCGAGAATGCATTCCAGATCGACATGTGCAGTGACCATAACAGAGAGAGCTAGGCCCCGAACGCCGAAGTGATGCGAGAATTGGATGCATGATTGACACGGGTACTATCAATTGGCAATTCTCAAATCCTGAGACGTCCACAAAATCGATGTTCTGAGCTAGACAATATGGCATGCGTGCGATAGGCGATAGCCCATAACTCGTAAGGAAGGCAATACATGGTCTATCGGATAACTGTTCCTGAAAAATCTAGCAAGGAATGGCGGCATCGCGGGAGGGAGATGTGAAAGGGTTCTCAAATCAATTCCAACTTTCTAAGGGGTGGTGATTCGGAATACCGCGGCCAATGGGGAGGTGTTCCCTGCGCCAGTAACCACCACCAGCCCTCACCATTTCCACCGACCCCCAAACCCTGCTGATGTCTGGGTTCTGTGGGAAATTCGTTGATGGATCCTTGAGACATTGGGGGGCAGGGCCAAATGGCTTGGTCGTGAATGGAGAATCGGATGGTTTCAGGCTTGCTTGAGAGGCCAACTGACCAGCCGAATTGACTTTGAATTCATCTTCTGGTCCATCGACTTGCTGTTCAATTATTGAGTTCGAATGCTGAATGGGTCCCGGAAGTTTCAGAGTCTTGAAGCCGCAAGCACCAGGGATATGACCAGTCCAGCAAGTAATCATCTCTCGTTCAGTCGTTCCCGAGTCGTGGTCGGAGGAATTGATATCCACTTTGCTGGGTTTTTTGCTGGTATCAACGAACTCTAATTTATCACAGGGGCGGGCCGACACCCCATCGTTTCAGAACCGAGATGGTTATAGTTACTTATTTTATCGACTCTGGTGCGGCGAGTTCCAACCAGGAACATGGAATTTCGCGATTCATCACATCCAATGCATATTCTCAGTTGTGACTTAATTATGCCTGTTACGCATCGAATCCTAGGTTTGTCCATGAACCTACTTCTTGGCTATTGGGCCATCAACCGTCCAAGACTGAGTTGTTAAGATATTGTCGATTGATAATAGCAGAATGGAAGTCTCCGGATTCAGCAGGTTGTACGGAGGTATTACTACCACCTATCATCCGCAAATGAAGTACACCTGGCATACTCATGACCGAATGCATCTATCAGATGGCTGTCGTGTAACTTTGTTCCCGCACCTCGACTATTATGGCATTAATATGGCAGCATTATGCCGTTCACATCCTCTCTAACGGTATACGAAGGAAGAAACGCCTTCACGAGCTTCCCACGTGGGTTACCTTGTTCCAAATACATATCAATGAGTCCCTGCCTCAGTCATGATGTTCTAAACTCCCAAACCTACTATACCCCGCTCCTGGTATGACTGAAATTCTCATTGCATTTTCCAAGTCTATCCAGTACACCGATGGGATCACTCTTTTCCTCCGGGAGAGAGCCTGCGGTGATAGCTCAAGTCCATACCATACCCCAAACCCCTGCTCTGGTTTCTGGAAGTAGCATGATGAGACTTAGTCTAGAACTAGGATGCAACAGAAACCCTTTCAATCCTTCCTGGATGGACAAATCCACCCAATACCGGCGCTGCCACAACCGAACTGATACTTCTTCTACGATACTGTCATGGACCCCAAGCTCTTAGCAGAAGTTGTTGGACTGGAACAAGAGCCGGAGATGATGGAAGCCAAAATCCAACAGAAATGCATCAAGTACATTGGCCACTAGGCCGTCTTATGACCTGCCGACGGTATCATCTGCGGAGTCGTGTGGTGGGTATGTTCCGAGCGTGGATATTACGCAACGAATTTAAGTCCATGAAAGCGATGCTTATCGTGTGGGCCTTGTATGGCCAGATCCCAGAGGTCGAGAACAGTGAGAGACTAGAAGCGTTCTCTTTTGTATAGAATGGAGCCGGTGATCTGTTCAACATGATGTGGCGCAAGGAAGCGGCCTTACAATGGATCGTTTACCTTTTGAAAGGATATATTAACGAGATCGAAAGGTCCAGCACTCCAAATTGGAAATTAGGTAATATGCATCATACATCTGTGATTCCCTATCACTTGATGTGGTGTCGTTGGACTGAGAACCACCTGTTATCAATCTGATTTTTGACATTCGCCTAACCCCCAAATCTAGACTCTGAAGGTTCTTGCGGTTCTAGATCCCTTCAGATATTATTAGGTTCGGACACTTCATCGAGAAATTTTTCAAAGCTGAATCGGATACTTCCTGCGTACTAAAATCTCACTTGAGGCTGAGACCGGATACATAATCTCACTTATTAACTAATAGGGCTGAAGCAAAGCACATAAAATCTCACACGTGGACGAAGTCGGAAACATATAACACCTAGCCAGCCACGCAAAGTTATTCGACATACGGCATACCCGATACTTGCACTTTAGGTTAACTAATCTCTAACGATTAATCGGAAAGTTTAATCTTGGGGGTCGGTGAAGCTGTACTGATGCGGTTCCCGGATACAAATGGCATTGCTACTTCGGCGACATTGGGTAGGTATGCACTTGAGGTATCGTCTAAGACACCAGTATAAGTAGTTGAGTTTCATCATACTTTACGTGTCGATGATTTTAAATATGCACTTCGTCTAATATCCTTACTCACTTTAAGTCACTATTTCATTTGGTTATATTTCAAAGTTCCGTACATAGCCTGAATGTCCAGCAAACCAGCAATGGTCGTGTCAGACATTGACTCCGATGGAACACAGCGTGATCTAGAACTGGGCCACGCCAAAGGCGTCCATCTCGTGAACGATGTGGTTCGCTCCTTTGCTTGGAACAGCCTTGATGTCCAGATCAAGGACCGTAAAACGAAGGACCCCCTTTCCATCCTTTCCGATGCGAGCGGCATTGTTCACCAGGGAGAGATGCTTGCCATCATGGGACCGAGCGGATCAGGGAAGACCACGCTGCTCAACGCCCTCGCTCATAGAAAGGCCGCGGCTGGTGCAACGACGACGGGCGAGATCTTAGCAAATGGCCAACGGATCGACCAAGATATACTTCGGCAGCACTCCAGTTACGTGGAGCAGGAGGATGCCCTGATCGGAAGTTTGACAGTGATAGAGACGATGAATTTTGCAGCTGGTCTCGCATTATCCAGGTAAGCTGGATTTGTGTATGGCTCGATACAGATAACTAATATTGCCTAGTTCGACTACAAAGAAGGAGAGGAAGCAACGCGTCCGGGACCTGATAGCAAGCTTTGGCCTACAAGGCCAGGCGGATACAATTGTTGGAACCCCCATCCAGAAGGGTCTCAGCGGTGGCCAAAAGAAACGACTTGGGGTTGCAAGCCAGCTTGTCACAGACCCAAGGATCCTTTTCCTGGATGAACCGACAAGTGGTCTTGATTCTGCTCTCAGCTATGAAGTGATGAATTATATCAAAGAAATTGGGCGGAAGAACAAGGTGAGCCATATCGCCTCCATCCCTACAAGTCGAGGTGCTAACTTCGTCCAGCTTATTATCATTGCGTCCATCCATCAGCCGTCGACGTCGACGTTTAAACTATTCGATAGGCTCTGTCTCCTTTCCACCGGCAAGACATGTTACTTCGGTTCCCTCCCAGAAGCACATCCGTATTTCTCCAGTATTGATTTCCAAATGCCTACGGAGATTAACCCAGCTGAATACTATCTGGACCTAATCAACACTGACCTGGCCCAGCCAGGGGATGAAGTGTATCAGCGAGCCCAATGTATCGCTCGAGAGTGGAATGAAAGCGACCGTGGAGTTGCGCTCAAGAACGAAATCCAAGCCACTATCGACCTCGCCAAATCCGAGAAGAGCATTCCGATTCTTGCGGATATTAGGCTTCATGAACCAAGCCTATGGACGATCACCCCTGTCCTGCTCCATCGATCGTGGACTAAAGCGTACCGGGACTTCGTCGTATACGGAATCCGTATCGCCATGTACCTCGGACTGGCCATTCTCATGGGCACCGTCTTCCTCCGATTGAGCAATACCCAAGCGAATATCCAACCATTCATCAACGCGATCTTTTTCGGTGGAGCATTCATGTCGTTCATGGCTATCGCCTACGTCCCTGCCTTCTTGGAGGATCTGGCGACATTCAAAAAGGAACGAGCAAACGGGCTCGTTGGGCCATTGGCATTCAACATGGCCAATTTCATAATCGGCCTCCCATTTATCTTCCTCATCGCCGCTCTCTTCTCCATCGTCGAATACTTCCTCACGGGCTTTAGACAAGAGGCACAGGCATTCTTTATGAGCACACTATGGCTGTTCCTCGACCTCTTGGCTGCCGAAGCGCTCGTGGTCCTCGTCTCGTCCATCTTCCCCATCTTCGTTCTCGCTCTCGCCGTCACCGCGTTCGCAAACGGGCTGTGGATGTGCGTCGACGGGTTTTTAGTGCCGATGAACATCCTCAATCCGTTTTGGAAATACGTCTTCCACTACATTGACTACCAAGCATACGTCTTCCAGGGGATGATGGTCAATGAGTTTAAAGATCGGGATTACAGGTGCACCTCGATAGACGCGGACACTTACCATTGCATGTACCCAAGCGATCTCAACTCCAAAGGCAAGATACGCGGCACTTCAGTGCTAGAGGCCTTCGGTATCAGCGTTGGTAAGGAAGCGCAGTGGGTTGGAATCAGCATTGCCATCATTGCTGGCTATCGGATTCTAGCCTATATGGTGTTACGATTGCGGAAGTAGTGGGGTGACAATATTGGATATCATTTTCGTCCACAAACTGGTTATCAGCAAGCATCTAGGGCGAAGATGCATTGCATAACATAAATGATGAAACGCCATGTCGTTGGCGACCTACCGGTACTTATGCCCATGGATATCAGCCAGAGAGAATTCGACTAGAGCTTTGCTTGCATTGGTATACATTGAGATACTGTATGCAGCTCGGTTCGAGGATTAGTGTGACTGCATCGTTAGAGCTATTGTTCGATTAACCAAATTCCACTGCATTAATTGCGCCTAGCAACCGTTTTATCCGTTGGTCTTGTTCCGATCCTGGATCATTGGCTTCGATTCAATCCGAGCGGTGAGGATGGCACCATTTCCGGTGCCCCCCGCCACTATGTCTGTACATTTGTCGAGAAGAACAGTCGTGCATAATACCGGCATGGCATATATACTAACTAAAGTCTCTTAGGATATCACTATTTTCTCTCCGGTTTCATGGGCAGTGGTCGGTTTCTAGGCCACTCTGAAAAGCACAATGATGTTCAAACATTCTCTCCTGCTCTCTCTTCTACCTCGTGTATTCTCCGCTATACCACCTCTTATCACCCTTGAGGACCACTACCTCTCCGATGTCATCCCTGTCTCTGAATACCATGCCGACTTCTTTGCCTACCAGCCAGCCGCCGTGCCTGCCTTGCGAGAATGGGACGCCGTCCGCCTTGCCTCCATGGATCGCGGGAACGTGTCAATTCAAGTGATCTCGCATGCTCCTGATATTGGTCTTTATCCACCGAAGTATGCCGTCGCCGCGAACGACCAGCTCGCCGCCATCGTTGCCACTCATCCAACCCGATACCGCGGCTTTGCCGCCCTTCCACTGGCGCCCCACTACGCACGAGCCGCCGCCGAGGAACTCCGCCGCTGTGTCAACGAGCACGGCTTCCTTGGAGCCCTCATCGACAATCACTACAATGGCTCGCACTTCGATTCTCCCGCGTATGATCATATTTGGGCGGCGGCGCAGGAATTGAACGTGCCGATCTACATTCACCCGACGTGGCCATCTCCAGAGATGCTGGAGCGCTACGGCGGACCACTCCTATCGGAGCTCGCGCGTTTGGAGCTCAGCACGGCACTCTGGGGGTGGCACAGCGATGTCGGACTGCATGCGCTGAAGCTGTTCGCAGCGGGTGTGTTCGAGCGATTCCCGCGCCTGCAGATCATCATCGGACATTTCGGGGAAATGATTCCGTACATGCTGGAGCGCGACGAGAACATCTCCTCGCGTCCGACTTACCGATTCGGCAACGGTACCAGGAGCTGGCGGGAGGTGTGGAACGAGAACTTCTGGGTGACGACAAGTGGGATCTGGAGCCAAAGCCCTATGGCGACGCTTCTACGCACGACGAAAATAGACAGGATTCTGTTTAGTGTTGACTATCCGTTTGCGAGTAACGAGGCGGGGCTAATGTTCATGGAAGACTTGGAGGCGAGCGGGCAGGTTGACGAAGAGGATCTGTGGAAGATTGGAAGAGCGAACGCAGAGGGCCTTTTGGGCATCAAACCCATAAGTCCTACGATTTTACGAATGCAATGATAAGTGGCGGTATTAGCAGAGAGGTGCTGTAGCAAACGATCTCAATTCTCGAATCGTCACATAACAAACATAGCAGCCAATGAGAGACTAGAGTTTGCCATCATAAGGAACTTTTCTACATTCTGTGAACTTCGATATCTCCCAATGGCATCCACCGCATGGTCCAAATTCATTCTCATTGTTGCTTCTAATCTCTAATCCTATTACATCTATATATTTTAGCCTCATCACGGAACTCCTGGATCACTGATTAGGAAGGGATCCTGCCCAAGCCTCGACGAGACACAGATGAGCACCCCTTGAGAGTTCCGCGCCCCGACAAAAACTTGAATCCGAGCATCACTTGTTGCTGAAGCACATTCCCTTCATTCATAAAATGTCCGAACCCTCCCTTTTAAGTGAGATGTGTAGCATCTGGTAAGTCCAATATTCTCGGTCTTAAGAGTCTATTTCCTGCAAGGCTGTGCATCCATGTCGAATTCTTTGGTCCTCAAGTTTGTTGAACCATATCTCCTCTAAGAGCTTTGTTTTCGAAGATTATTCTTCTTATTTATGGAGAGACTTTTTGATCAATTATCTCTAACAGACCCAGCACAACTCAAAAACCCAAATACCGTTGCCCCGGCTGCTCAATCCGCACATGCTCGCTGCCATGCTTCCAGCGGCACAAAGCATGGGCGTCCTGCTCAGGCAAGCGGGATCCGGCCAAATACATGAAAAAGAGCGAGCTCTCGACGGAGCCTGCATTTGATCATGACTATAACTTCTTAGCCGGGATCGAGCGAGTGATCGATAAGGCCGAGAGAGACGTGGAGAGCAGAGGAATGGAGAAGGCGGAACGCATGGATAGGGGTGGAAGGGGGTTTGGTCGGAGAGGTGGAGGACAAGGCACGACGGGTGAAGCAAGGGTAGCTTTGAGGGAGGAAACGAGGTTGAAGGATGCAGTGGGAAGAGCGCAGGTCATCTGGGAGAGGGCACCGAAGGGGATGGCAAGGAGGAAGATGAACCAGAGCCATTACTTGAACCGGTGAGACGCTTTTCTTCGTTTATGATGCTGTTCAACCCAGAGATACTAACAACCCTAGATCCAAGCGGATAAGGTGGATGGTGGAATGGATTCACGATGACGGGTCGAAACGACTAGGCCATATGATCGAGAATGAGTCCCTCGCGGATGGTTACAGAGCGATGATTGAACCGAAAGAGTCACGATCTTCCAAGAAGAGAAAGCGGCCATCGGAGGGCGAAGGGCCAGTCCATAATGAATCGCAGGACGGAAATCTACCGCCCGATCAATCGCTCCAGCCTGAGCCCAACGAGGTGGAGGTTGCTAAACAACCTGATCAACCCACTTCGGAGCCTACTCCGAGCCAGGGGCCAGATGCGAACCTCGACACAGCTGGATCGAGGCTAAACGCACACTCTACAGATCCTGAGGACCTTATAGATGAAGGGCCTCCCTCTCACTTCCCGGACCGCCATTTCTATCTTCTCATGCCCCAAACACCAGGGAAGCATACGGTGCTTGTCCCGCTATCTGCGCAGACCATTCTCTCCGAAGCTCTTCGCGGTCGCGTTATAATGGAATTCCCCACCATCTACGTGCTACCCCAACTGCCCGAGGAGTTGCCAGAGCCGTTTGCGCTCGAGTCCAAGTATCTGAGAATCACGAGGGAGCAGGAGGAGGAAGTCCGAGGGTTTTTCGGCGACCTGGACCCTCTTCCGAACGCGGCTACCGGTAACTCTGAGTTTTCTGGCGTATCAACGGATGTGGATAACAGTCGGCAAAATTTGGATGGGACGCTTGCTGAGACCCTCGCCAAAGACGTTGGGGGTTTGGGCCGTAAATAGAACATTGCTTAATGGTCGAATCTCGATCTAGCGCTCCCACGAGAATCAACGTCATATATGAGTTTGGTACTCGAAAAGGCCCTAAGCAGATAAGCTCGGAGTCAATAGAAACGTTATCCATAATTAAGGCTTGGGATTTATTTGATCAACGGAAGGCAAGACCCCATGATTTGCGGTAGTGACCTATGACACATTCGAAAACGGCTCGGAAATAATAAATTCGGAATGCATGGATAGCAGATCGTCAAGTTGATTCACCATGTAGGGTGCCAAGTGTAAATCGTCAACAGTTAAAACTGGCCCGGTTTCCAAGGACCGGGGGTCTACTAGACTACGACTACACGGGACACTTCCAGCAATGCCACACAACTCCTGGGCGTGTTTGGATTCCATTCCTTCGGGTTCCTAGTCCACCAATGTAGTCAACATATGGCAGTTTCCCCCTGTACTGATTTTCATGCCAATACGAGGCTGTGGTCGCCGATGACGATGGTACAACTCCAAACATTGCACCAGCCTTTAATTATAAGTATAGGCAGCCCAAGTCATAAGTTGTTTAACCGTCCGACGTTTGATAACCCAGAGCAGCACCTGAAGTCTTCCCTTGCTGTATCGAAGAGTCACTCCGAAATATCATCTTTCTTTTTAAGTACTAGATACCGAATCTCCCAGACAGTTACTTTGAGTCTTGCAAACATGGACAAACTCCTACCTCCCAACCCATATTGGCCAGGCCGGGTTCGAAATGGCATGCGCGTCCTACTGGTCATTTCAGTCCTGGTGTTCATCTTCGCAGTCCTAACCATTACTGCGTTGGGATACGCAGGGACACGTCCCTATGATTCACATCCGCCGGTGAGGAATTACAGGAATACCAAGTCGTCGAGATCTATAGAGTACAGCTCCGGAATTTCATGGAACGAAGGTGCCAACAATATAGCGTACGTTGATTTTTTACTATTTTATATCGCCTAGCCGTAGAGTCGAACGCCATCCTTTCCAATCCAACGTACTAAAAAAGAAAGACATAAACTAACGATTCACAAAACAGCGCCGAAATCTTCGTCCGCATGAGCACCATTTTCGTAGAGCTGTTCCACCTTCCCATCTCCTTCATCCTGTACCGTCGCGGCGGTCACCACCCCGTCGCAGCGCTCGTCATGGCCATCCTACTCTTCGGCGGCTGGGTCAACATTACGTGGCTACGGACTCTCGACTTTCTGGCGTTAGAGGTGTCCGTCACGGACACCTGGTTGGGACTGAGCTACTCAAGCGTTGCGGTTGGATCGTTCATCAGCCTGACGTACACGGTGTACCTGGGGTATGCTGCTGCAGCTGTGCACAAGTGGAGACGGGTGCAGAAGGAAGCGAAGTACGTCACCAAGGGCGGCGAGTTTGAAAGTTGAAAGCGGTGGTGTCGATGCGATCAAGATGGGGAAGAAGGCTTAATGCGAGCCAGCGCATGCATGACATGACCTAGCGAAGAAGAATAGGTGGCCAGAGCATCATAATGTCTAATACATGTTGTCACGGATGTGAAGATCCACGGTCAGGGTTATACGATGGAAACTGGCGTCATAGGGATCCTCTGATGACACGAGTTACGGCGTAATGGATTGTGAGTGGCGAGGTTATAGTACCTACAGTATATAATAGCAAAGGGCAGGTTATCCCTCGTTTAGGCGTCAAACTTTGAACCACCCCGTGGTTCACGATTTGGCAGTTCCCACCCTAAACCTGCTAGGGAGCGGTGCATACCTTTGCTTATCAGCGACTCGAGAAAGCAATCGCGGAAATCAACATCTTCGGTCGATTGAATAAGGGACATCCAAGATGCCACTTGTGATGAGTGAGACCTCAACGAGGCAACATAAACCGTTCGATCTTCTTGAAGGATTTGACTTGGGGTTAGGGCAAGATCGGGAAGTTGAAGAAAGCGAGGCAAGCGACCGGCTAGTTGGACTGGGGCCTTTCCAGCAAAGCCCCAATCGATGATCCTTTCGTCGTTAACAATCTAAGCATGCTCAGTCTTAGCAACTACTTACCCAGTAACGTTGTGTTCCGAGTCAACAAGTATGTTCAGTGGAGATAGGTCTCCATGATCTATGGCAAATGGTGCGTTCTCCAGTTCTGGGAGCAGCACCTGAGGGAGCAGCTTCCTCTGATCAAAGCAGTCCTGCTCAGTCAACTCGGGAAGTTTGCCATTGCGAATTCGGTGGACTTTGCTATCTATCAATTTCAAGAAGAACGGTGTGGCGGTGCCCCCTAACATTTTAGGTAAGTGGATGCACCTGGAAAAGGCTCCCTTAACACACCATTTTCCCCGGTGCACTCGATGAGGGACAATTGTATCTCAGCGACTTGACGGAGTACCTTATCCCGAACAGGCCTTGGTGGGTAAGTGGTAGACCAGGAAAGGGGTGAGCCTTCGATCCATACCAACGCGAGAAACGGGAATCCAACCAAATTTTCGAATGTCAAGATGGATCCACGGGGTTTCGGTGCCCAGGGAAAGCCCTTCTCGCCAAGCTCTTGAAATATGTTTCGTTCACTTCGAAGGAGACTTATAATAGTGTCTTGGGAATCACTCCGTACATGGATTGGAAGGCATATAGCCCAGCTTTCTCCGTTCAAGAAGTCTACCTTGTAGACGCGACGCTGGCCGCCGTCGAAATGGCGTTCATTCAGAACTGGGACTTCGTTGTCGGGTCGAAATGCAGAGACAGCGGCAGGTATATTTTCCGGACGGAAGTTGTACGCCAGGTTCGACTGCATCGTGTAATAGCTGCCCTAATGGCTTGTTCACGACTCAAGGAGACTTGCGAAGAGCGGAGCGGGAGACCTCTGTGAACATGAAAGTGGAACACTACCCGAATTTATGTCCCCAGCGGTGTGGTAAACATAACTGATGCGTCCAGGAGAACCTCTGGTGGTGTGAGACCGGTGACCTGGATGGTGGGATGCATTATTATTGGCTAACTACCAGCAGTTTTCGTCATCAGTTAACAGAACCCGAAATGTATGGGTGAAGAAATAGATTAATACTCAACCTGAATCATACACTCAGAGCGTCTAAAACTCTCATTCTCACCTCTTTAAATATAGAATTCGCCTTTTATACTCTTTTATGTCGGTGTGATTCTCCGTTTTAATAAGCCGGAGGTGGACTCTACAGCTAGGTAAAGGACCATCAATTTCTTGTACTACGTTGCAGTAGGTTGTTTCATAGACAACTCAACCCAACCCAAATATGATGGCCCCTAACTTTTATGAAGTCTCTGTCTACCACCGTGTTTCTCTGGGAAAATTGTATGAGTTGAGCAAATAATTTATTCTCGATTGTTATCGTCGTATCTTAAACAACCCTGCAACCCGCAACCATGAGCTGGTCGCCCGGATCCATCAGTCATTTCAGTCGTAGTTCATCCCCTCAAAGTGCTCCTATACTCTCGTGCTTCCAGTAAACCCCAAGATGAGTGGGATGGCACTCCAGGAAGCTTGAAATTCAAATCGCATCGTCCTCGTGCTTCTTATTCATGACCTCTGACTATGTCGCATTGCCACCTCCTTCATGACCCCCTTATTTCTTGTCTCTTTCATGCCCCTCAATCCATCCCTATTCCCTCCTTCCGCCTCAACCGCACGAGAAGCAGCCGTTGGTCCCTCTGTATATGCATGGGACTAGCCCCCATGACGGGTTTGATGACCGGTACAGTACGGGTGTTTCGTATGTGGCCGGCAGTTCCTTTTGCTCTTGTCACGGCAATGGTGACTATTGGTTCGGGGAACCTTATCCATCCTCTCGTTTACCCTCTGCTCTCCACCGTTCTCTCCCACGTTCCCTTATCCTTAATTTCCTCCCTAGTTTTCGCTACAAGATATACAGCCCTGTGACTTGCGAAAGACACAATTTCGGGTATAACACTGGTCTTCGTGGGTGGTACAGTATCCTGGATTTACTCTCCACGCATAAGCCAGATATCTTTGCAGACATTGGTGAGGGTCTTGCTCCTCTTATTTCTTGGTTTTGCAATTATCGTATTTACGTCCGTCTAGGACGTCGGGGAAGAATTGTTCGCATATGGTGCGTGGCCATCAATCCCCTCCACACTCGGCGATGACCTTCTCTACCCTCCTATTCCTCTCTTTCATCCGTATATCCCTCCCCTGTCCTCAGTCTGTGACTTTCGACTTACGGGTACTCTGGGCATTTTTGTGACAGAAGATAGACGAGATGGTGTTCGTAACATTGCACTTGGTGCGTGGTGCAATATTTGGCCAAGCCTTTCTTTCCAACGGCAGTTCGAAGACCTCTCTGGGCACTTCAGGTATTTTGCAGCCTCTTCTTACTTGCATTCATCACATCATCGTCGCTCACTTTGCTCCGGCAACTATTTCATTTGCACCTCCTGCGTGGTTATGGGTGAAGGGATATGGAGAATCTGAGCTTGTCTCAACGACACTCGGGTAAAGAGTTGGATTTATGCAGAGCTTGCGGACATGTACAAAGCATGGAAAGAACCGGTGGATACAGCTGGGAAGTTGTCAGAACTTGCGGACGAAACAAAGCTGACAACCGTTAGCGAAGGCTAAACTCTCCATGTATGCAGATTGTAGATGTCAATGATCTTGTCCCTCGATCTAACATCACAGGGCCTCGATTCAGCCGGTGGTGTCGCTCATACGAAAGAAGTTAGTGGAAACATGTCTATTCAAAAAGCGAAAATGGATGGATCGATTCAAATACCCGAAAGAAATAGATGAAGTCAAAAAAACCACATCAACCGATCGTAGCCATTGTGAAGTGTTTGGTATCAACAACATCTAATGGCGTTGAAGTAGAGAGCGAGATTGACGCCTTGACGCCTTGACGCCTTAAAACATTCCGCTGCCGACATCCCTGCATTCGACATTTCTGATTCACTTCAAACTGGTCCATCTTCCAAGTTCATCTTCCTGTACCTTGACTTTCTTCAAACCCTCGTTTCCCTCATTCATTTTCTTGTAAGGACATACTGGGGTCGGAGGGTCCATAAAGCCACCGATCTAACCCGAGGTCGTACACATTGCTGCTTGAACAATCCCCAACGCCGCGTCTTTGCGACGCGCTCATGCGACGACCCCCATCGCGCATCCACAATCTCCATCCGGACCACCGAAGCGTAAATAGGTTCGAAAGCGCGAAGTCACGCGCTTTTCGAGATCATGACCGCCACCATGCAGTCCAAGATGCACCCGCCGCAGTCGTTCATGTCCAGCTATGCCCCGCGGCTCCGGAAGTATGCGAACCCGCTCATCACGCCCGTCATTCCGCAAGCGCAGCTCTCGACGCCGCGTACCACGAAGCGGGGGACGATGGCGGTCAATTATGCGGAGGATGGATTTGACGACACCGACTTTGACGACGGCGAAGGGCCGCGAAGACCGACGGGGCTGCGAAGTTTGAGGCGGGATGATTCGTTGGCGGATCGAGAGAAGTTTACCCAGCTGGGGAAGGAACTGAGTGCGCCGGTGGAAGTGCAAGGGATTTGGAGGGATTGGATGGGGAAGCCAAAAAGACAGTTGTAAGTGGAGATCGTGGCATCGAAGTGATGGGAGACAGATGCTAATGTTTGGTTGCGCGAAGAACGGAGAGACAACTGGAAATCCAATCAGTCCTTCCACTCAACCTTATCCCCATCCGAATTGACCTCGACATCACTCCCTTTCGGCCGGAACCTGCTCTGCCGATGCCTGTCAATGCTAAAGACTTCGGGATTGACGACGCCCACCCTGCTTACAAGCAACAAGAACCGACACCAACCTTCAGACTCAAGGACACCTTTTTATGGAATCTGCACGAGGCATTGATGACCCCCGACTACTTCGCGAAGATCTTCGTCGACGAGTTGGACCTCCCCAATGAGCGAAAACCAGCTCTCATCATGCAAATTGCGAATCAGATCCGCCAGCAACTCGAGGAATATGCTGGCGTTGCGATGCATCCTCTTTTCCACTCCACCGCCCCTTCAGCGCCTTCTGAGGCGCCTGAATCGGCAAAGCCTAGCATACTTGGACCTGCATCAGCACCTCGTTCTCGCGATCAATCCTCAACCCCTGCCCGTGTTTCCACCCCACTCACTTTCTCTACCCCCCTCCCCTTCTCCAACGGCTTTCATGCCTCCTCACCTGCCAGGACTCCTTCCACTCTATCTGCTCTTCCTCCCGCTCCGGTCCCTGTAACATCAACCACCAGCGGAACCATCGCCGCCACGGCCACACCGCTTCCCGACGAAGATGTTCACAATCCTGATGACACCTACCGGTGCATCATCAATCTCAACATCAACCTGATGAACCGGTTGTACCAAGACAAATTCGAGTGGTCACTACTCCACCCCCCTGGGTTTGCGGAACATTTTGCCAAGCAGACCTGCGCGGACGTAGGCCTTTCCGGCGAATGGGTACCGGCCATGACACACGCTCTCTACGAAGCGGTTCTCCGGCTGAAAAAGGAGGCGTGTGAGAACGGCGGACTAGTAGGCTACGGGGAGATCGAAAACGATGCTGCGGAAGGCGCAGAGTCCGGCTGGCGATACGAGCCGGAGCACCTATGCGATGAGTGGGAGCCGAAAGTGGAGATTCTGTCAAAAGAGGAGATCGAGAAGCGCGAAGGCGATCGAGAGCGACAGATTCGCCGGATCAGAAGAGAGACAGCACGGTTCTCGAGCACGTCGAACATGAATGTGGTTGGTGGGATGGCGGTACCGCAGGGAGACTACTTTGCGAACCCGGAGGCGACCGAGCAGCCTATGGGTCGGGGCGAGCGCAGTAAGAAGAAAAGAAGGTTTAGAAGCATAAGTCCGACCGGTAGGGAGACGCCGGAGGTGGCAGGGTCGGGGTATGGTGGAGGAGCAGGAGGTTTGGCCGAATGGTGAGTACTGCCTAGTCATCTAACTTTGACCGGAAACTAACAAGGTCTAATAGGGAGCGACAAAACTGGCGATGCTCGCATTGCTTGGTTTGGGGCTCCGCTGTCTGGGCCGTGCGAGATGGACCGAATGGACCAAGGGTGAGGATTATTCCAACGAATTCTACATGAGGACTAGCTAACCGTTCACTCAAGAGTCTCTGCAACAATTGCGGATTCCTATACGAGCGCGACAAGAAGCTTCCGACGTGGTCACACCACTTATTCATCAACGACCGAGCATTCGGCACGCGATGAGTGGTTGTTTCACGTCGTGGCATCTCCCTTTTATCTTTTTCGGGTGTTCATCTGCTGGCTCTGTGAGGTTGCCGGCTGGCAACATAGCATTGAGGGGGCGTATGGGGATTTGTATTGGAGTTTCAGGCCATGTAAGACCGAGAAGGGTTCCTCTGTTCGGTTGAGAGGGCAATGCCGTAGCGCGGTGGTCAAGAGGGCTACAGGGTCTAAGTCGGAATGACCAACACCGTCTATATAATAGTAGCCTAGGTGGCATTGTCCTCCCGGTGTCTGGACAAACAGGATCGCTCGAGGTAGTACGGTAATCTAATAGCATTTACCGAATTATTGTACAAGAACTTCGAAGCCCAAAATCCACAGCATTAAGCCCTCGCCACGTGCAACATTCCAAAAGAAAAGCCCATCAACACTCTAGACTGGGTATTTAGACAACTACTAGATTTTACTTGATCTGACTTTATCAACAAGATCGAAAGCGTTCCTCGATGGACTCTTTACAACGCGGCAAACGCCAACACGGCAGCGGCAAACGCCGCAACCCCCCCCACGGCATTCTTCACCGCCTCACCGGTGAACGCCGGCGGCTTCTGGCCAGTCGGCACCGGAGGACTCGCGGTCGGTTTGCTGGTCTTATTGCCGCCTACGCCCGAGGACGGCGACGACGGGGCCGCGGACGAGCTGGTTGGGGGCTTCGAGCCCGATGGGGTTGGCTTGGGAGGTCCACCGTGTCCAGCCGGGTGTTCGGGATTCGGCTTGGGAGGTCCCTCATGCCCGGCCGGGTGCTCGGGATTCGGCTTGGGAGCTTCACCATGGCCGGCCGGGTGTTCGGGTTCGGGATTCGGCTTGGGGGCTCCGCCATGTCCGGCGTGCTCGGGCTCTGGGGATGCAGGCGCCGGGGAGGAAGGCGCTGCGGCTGCGGGCGCTGCGGATGCGGGAGCCGGGTTGGCAGCGGCGGGGGGTGCAGCGGCAGCCGGGCCGCTGGCGGGATCAAAAGTCACGGACCCCGTGGCGCCCCCCAGTTCGCCGTGATCCATTCCCTCGTGTGAGGCGTCAGTAGAACCGGTCGAGCCGGTCGAACCGACGGTGAGAGGGACGCCGAGGCTCGAACATAAGTCTTCCAGGGCCGTCTGGACAACTAGAAGACGTTAGCATGGCGATGCGTGTACCTTGGAGAGGTGAAGAGGGGCGCGGGAAGAGCGGAGGATTGGGGAGCGGGAGAGCAGAAAAAAACGTACGCGATTGCTCGGGAACAGAGCACTCAAGCTGGATACACGGTTCGAGGGATTCGAGTATAGCGTCCTGCGACCTGCAATGGCATGCGAAATCTTCCGCACAGGCACTATTGGCCGAGAGGGCTGTTCCGATACAACTTGCCTTGATCGCGTCAGTCGTGGAAGCTTGAAGGCAGAGAACTGTCACCTACAGCGCAATCCGGAACCTCCGGAGCCTGGGCATAGACGATAGATGCCAAGACGGCAACGGCTACGACGGTCTTCATGATGAATGATGGACGTCGAGAACAATAGCTAAGCGAGTGACAGATAGAAGCGTGAAGATTAGTTGAAGATGGAATGGATAATGCAAAGAAACTCGCTTGCTCGTGACCGCTTGAGACTCAGCTGCTGACAGAAAAGAAGTGGGAAAGGGAGGGAAAGCCTATATAGCGAGGGCAGCAAGAATAATATTAATGTCATACGGGAGTCATTGCAATCTACAACGTAAAATCAAATTGGAGGCGAAGTAGCACACTCTCGCCGGAAATTACACCCATCAGCATAGATGAGTTGTCTCCTTTGGCGTCCAAATAAACGGGCAGGACGATCAACCGCGACAGGGTACGCTGGACAATGATGGGGAGAAGATATTGATTGTTCAAGGGGCGCGAGGCCAGCTCACGGCACAGGTCATGGTCATCGATGTCAGCCAAGCGGTCTCCTGGGATTTTCCGCTGCCATTGGGAGGATGGAGCCTTCCACACTTCCCGCTACGGTTCAGAAGCGACAACATTGTTGGAACGAAGGGCTCGATCGCTCCCACGGACTAGGAGACACGGGTTCAGAGATTGGATTGTAATATATGGTGCCAAGATTTCATATGAACAAGACACGAGATGGGGGGGAGTTTATTGATTCTCCTAGGATCCCATGTGCTCAACTTATTTAATGAGCGATGGCTGTATGCCAATGAGATTTGTTGTGAAGACAGTCCTGACGCCGTCAACTGTGTGCTGCAAATATGAGATGGGAGTGTAGGTTATGTTCCTGTCTAGAAGATTGTAGAGATGAGAGATGAGGTGTCGTTGATCTGCCGGGTTCCCCGAAGGTCATGATAGGAAAAAGGTCACGTGCCAGAATCTCAACGACTAATTTCCGACTACTTCATGTTGACCTTCATGAATTTACTGAATGCGTCAACTTGGAAGTTGAACACTAACAAAAGTTGATTGTACCGCCTTGACAACATTCTCTCAATTCACTTAACATGATCATCCGTACCGCATGCTTCTTGCGATTTGACGATGCTTATGTGTACATCAAGCGTGTCAAGGGAGTCGTGGCTTCGATTTCGTCCGGGTCGGAATCACATCTACATCACAGAATGCGGATTCATATGAAATCTAATGTTCGAAGATAGTAGTACAAGTGTTCCAATAGTCAACTACATGCTGGGGATTCAAACCGTGTCTAGCAAGCCGTGCCTTCCTGCGCTAGGTAGGCGATACGGCAGCCGGAGAGAACTCACCCTCTTATCCAACTCCAAGCCCAATGAAACACGCTCTAAGCAATATACATTATCCAGTAAAGATTAGGAATATGCGTCATGGTAAGGCATTAGCATCCTCGATGATCGATCGAACGCGGGGAGGATCGCGCCATGGTGTGGATGTGGTGTCTCAACTCATCAACGCCTGCACTTTCTCCCTCTCAGCCACGATCTGGCTCTGCAGCCTTCGGGTCTGCCGCATTGCTTCGTCCCTATGGTAACTGTCAGTTGGTTCACGCACGTCAAGGAGCCACAGGAACAATGACTGGAATGAACTCACCTCTCCGACTGCAACTCCGCCACCTCAATCTGCGCCATGTTCATCCTCCCCACCACATCCCCCATCTCCCGTTCCGCCTCCCTCAACGCCCGCTCCAGATCCTCCACCCGCCTCTCCAACGCCTCCGTCTTCCCCGCCTCCGCCATGCTGATCCCCGGCCCACTGCTCGTCTTGTCCAGCCGCGGGCTCCGCAGCGCGAACAGCGGGTTCGGCGACTGGCTGCCACTGCCCTGCGCGCTCGCGCGGCTCATCATCGATGTCCGCCGCGACCCCGCCGCGATGCTCGACTTCACCCGCAACAACTGCGCGCTCTGCGACTCCCGCAGCCATCGCACCTCATCCTCGTGCTCTGCGACGATCGTCTCGCTGTGCGACTGCGCCGCCATGACGTGGTCTTCCAGCTGGCGCAGCTTCCCCTGCATCTCGACGATCTTCGCCGCGCTGGCGCGCTGCTCGCGCTCGCCGCGGTTGATCGCTTCGGCAAGCCGGTGTCGCAGCTCCGAGTTGCTCTGAATCTGGGACTGCACTTGCGACGCGAGCTCGTCCATGCGCTGCGCGGACGCGTACAGGTCGGCGGCCATGGTCTGCTCTTTCGCGAGGTGAGAGATCTCGGAGGCTTGGAGGGCTCGTGCCGCCTTGCGGTATTCTTCGGCCTCGCGCATCGCGGTGTCGCGTTCGGTTTCGGCGGAGGAGATGCTGGCTTTCAGGAGGGCCATGGTGCGTTCGGCTTCGGCGGTGGTAGCTTGGTGGCCGGTAGTGGCGTCGGATTCCATTTCTTTGACGCGGGCGATCGAGAGGGCGTGGGTGGTGCGGAGTTCATTGTAGGCCTTGTGTAGGGACGCGGATTCAGCGGCGCCGAAGGATTCAGGGATGGAAATGTCGTTTTCTTGAAGGAGAGCACGGAGGGAGGCGGTTTCTAGTTGTGCGCGGTCGAGATCCATTTTCAGCCCGCTCAAGCCTTTCTCGCAATTCAACTTCTGGTCCAGCGCGTCATATGCTCGACGACGGAGGTGCGTTACCTCGCCTTTAAGATCCGTCACTTCTCGATGGAATGCAGTTCTTCGAGGCGTCAGGTTAATAGCAGCATTCAAGGCCTCATCCCTCTCTTGCTCCAAAGCCCGAATCCGTTTCGTATGCTCCTTGGCCTGGAAAGCTTGACGATCCAACAAACTCTTCAAAGCTTGATGAAGTGCATCACGCTGCTCTTCGATATCTTTGACTCGATCCGAGTAAGTCTGCTGATCGCGTTCCTTGACCGAGTTCGACCGTGATAGCGTGCCGCGTCTGCCCGAAATGGTTGAATTTCGAGCCAGGGAATTTGAGTGTGCTAGCCCCATAATCGAGGTCCTGACTCCAGGCGCGCTCCTTTCTTCGGCGATCATATTGAATCGGCTCGCCTGCTGTTGCATTTCCATCTGGAGCTTTCGAGCCGTGATAAGCGTCTGGTTCTCTTTTCGGAGCTGGTCCACCTCCTGCTGCATCCTGCTGTTCTCATACGATAGCGTCTGAGCTTCCGCCGCCGCTGCCTCTAAACCCTCGACCCTTGCCCTCAAGTGAGGTACAACCTCATCCCTAAGATTGTCCCGCTCGCTTCGGAGTTGTTCTAGATCCTGTCGGAGCGCGGTATAAAGGTCCTCAAAGTTCTCTCTCTGCTGCCGCTCCACCGCGAGTCGCCGTCGAGTGTCTTCAAGGGTCCCTTCGAGCTCCCGCAAACGTTGATTATCTGCGGCACCGACAGCTTGTATTTGCAACTGTTCTTCGACTTCGCGACGCAATTGAGTTTCTTCTTGCAATCGTTGATTCATGTCGACCTTTAATCGAGCCTTTTCTTGTTCCGCTTGTCTCCGCAAGCGCTCCAACTGCTCTATTTTGACATCGGAGTCGCCCGTCGGGTATCGCACAGAGCTTGCCCCTGAATCTGAATAGTAATCGCTTGTCCTTCGGTTGTCCGTGGAAAACGCGTCTCTCTCAGATTTCCACCTCTCGACTTCATCTTCCAGTTCCATCTCACGTTTGATGGACCCGGCTAGTTCCTCGGTGACTTCCTTCAGTTCGCGCTCAAGCGCGTCGATTTTGGCAGCCATTTCGGGGTCATGTGGTGCCACTGGTCCGCCTTGGCTTGCAATGGACCCATTTCGAGTAGCGCCATTGGACGTGGGTCCGTCAAGGACCGCATAGCCCAGACGCGATTGGGTGTAATGGTGCATCGGAGGTCTCGAAAAGTGAGGAGATGCAGGCGATGCAGGCGAACTGCCGGAGAAGGTGGTGGTCGGGGAATCCTGGCCAACCGTTTGAGATGTTGGCTTCCAGCTAAAGAACTCGGATATCTTCTGTCCAGGCGACTTGAGTGGTTGCCCAACATTAGGAGAAATGGGGGACGGTAGAGTCTCTTCGGTATAGGTTCGGGTTGGATGATCGAGTCTCAAGCTCAGGCCATGACCCTTTTGACCATATGATCCCATCGTGGAGGATCGGCCTGACTCTGGGGGTTGGCTGGCTCCAGTAGTAGAGCTGGCTTCATCTGGTATTGAGGGTTGCGATTGGGAGTGGCCGTGATTATTAGCGCTCTCTGAAGAAGATGCCTGTCGCGATATTATTTGAATATTTGGGATCGATTTAGGAGGGTCGGGGAGTCTTGAGCTAGGAGGAGGCCCTGTAGGTAGAAAACCATGAGGAAACCTTTGAATACCATTTAGCAAAGCAATACATCAGCGGAGAGATAAACTCACTGGTCCAGGTCTCGAGGTGCGAAAGAAGTCTCCGTCCCGCTAGGAAGAGGAGGGAGAACGGTTATAGGTGGTGGAAGAGCATCTGCCGACGGACTATCAACCGAGAGCGACCGTTGACTAGTTTTCCTGATGACAACTTTCGACGATGATATGTATTCTCCGGACGAGTACCGAGCCGCAATGATAGGTGAAGCGTTCGGAGGGAGAGGTTTACGGCGTATCGGAGATTGGTTGCCAGTGGTGATGGGTAGGTTCGCAGTCTGCGCTCTGAAGGAAGAAAAGGAAGGAATCTGGACGCTTGGAAGCGAACTCTTTCGGGGTGGAAGGGCATTCGTTGCATTCGGAGGAGGTTGAGTATTCGAACGAATAGGAAAGGGAGCAACCGGCCGGGCGCTCGCACCAGGCGGAGGAGGGCGGTGGGAGTACATTGGATATCCAGACTATCGGGACTATCGCAACGAAAGGATCCGCGCAGACATAAACATTACGGGCATCGCTTCTGAAGCCATTCGAGAGGACGTGAGGAAGTTGGGGAAGATTACGGTGGTGAAGGCCCCGAACAAAGTTTGAAGGTGTTGAAGGCGTCTAGGGGGCTGGCAGGCGCCGGACAATCACGGACAAGCGCGAACCCCCGGTTCAGGGACAGGACGGCCGTGCTGACAGCATCAAATCATCATGGAGAATGAAGGATAGGTTGAATTGAACGCATCGACACTAAGAGCGAAGGAAGTTAAAACACTACCTTAGCGACAAGCAGTTATCCACCTGAGCCGGCATGCAGAGTGTTTTCGGCAATGGAAGAACATGAAGAAGGCCAGAATTGACGACGGAACCATAACATCCTGGTTCATGAGTGGACTAATGCGAATGTCTCTTAGCATGAAGTCAGGGGTGAACTTGATACTATTGGATCCGATGCGGCGCTTTGGTCGCTAAGGGGTAGCCATGGATTTTCGTGAATGGCTGCCCCTCGAACAATTGGGCAATTTGAGGGTTCGGATCGCGTACGAGGGTGGATGAGGCCCGATGACTGGTCGGTCCGAATGCAGGAACCGCCGAATGCGCAGCAGTGCAACACACATCAAATCGCTCTCTGGGGTAAGGTGAAAAGGGGGCTGTCTTGGTATGACTGCCAATGCAAGCCACGCCGTGTCATCGATTGGGATCATTGGATAATTAATAGAATACTCACATCGACCTTCTTCTAAGCGGCCAACACTTTTTGGTGTTTGTTGGGATTTCGAGGCCTAGGATTTGTATGAAGCCCATGTCGCTCGGCTCATGACTTTGGACGGATGAATATTAATGACATGATAGCAGATAGAGACAGGTCATGGCGGCTCCGATAACTGGGATATGGTGGTCGTGCCTATCCTGTATTATCGTCGTCCCTTGCATAACTGCATGGATATCGTCTTTGGCTTACTCCGTAGAGGACCGACAATAAGGAATATATGGCCTTGAAGATGCTGTAGGACAAACCGCCACCAGGACGTATTATCGCTATTGAGAAAATGAGAGTAGATGAATTAGTCTACCCCGCTCATATCAGGATGCCATTTCAACTATAATTTCCTGGCAGCTGAAGGTCCCAAGGTAGACATCATGGCTGGACATAACGAAGGACCTTTCTCAACGCGCTGGAGCCTCGGAGAAGGGGATTACCCAAGGCTACGAATCACAGATAGGTAAATCGTCCAACAAATAGGAATATGGCATGTTGGTATCAGAAAACTCAAGGAACAGAACTTCTTTTTTATTTGGAAGAGAACCCAAGAACACATCATCTCATTTCCAAGCAGATTCACTTAACTGTCACAACAGTTCAGTGATCACCCTGCATTTGTGGTGCCTAAAGTTCACCGGGCACATCGATAGCTTTCGTAGCTTCATGTTCTCAGATGTCGAACCTGGCCTTCTCTACACGGCCGCATTCATGACATGGTAATAACACAACCTACAGCTGATTTTCGACTTTGATACCCTCAGTTCCCGAGCTTGGGGTTCCTAATACTTCGCCATGTCTACACCACGAAGTCCCCTCCAATCCACCTTCCAGTCGACCACCTACAACCCCTCCACTCCACCTCCACCACCACCAAAGCCCTCAACGCAGTCCAACACCCCCCTCTCCGGACCACCTCGTCCTCCTCCGCCGGCCAGCAGCCAGGAAGAATGGCTCTGGGACAACAGCCGCCAACAGTACCACCGCAATGACCCCCAAACCGGCGCCCCTCTCTACACCTCCAACCCACCTACCCGTCCCCCGCCGTCCTCCCACCACCAACAACCGATCGACCCCCCCTCACCCGGCTGGCTCCCCCCCAATGTCCGTGACAAAACCACCCCCGACCTCCACGTCCTCCTCTCCAACCCCCCGCTCCTCTCCTCCCTCGCGCACACCCACCCCTCCATCCCTGCCTCCACCGCCCCTCTCACCTCCCTCCTCTCCACCAACACCACCCTCGCCCACCGTCTCCTCGCCCTTGAAACCTCCCTCGCCACCCACCGCGCCGCCACCCAATCGCGGCTCCTCGCCCTGCGCGCCCTCGAGCAGCAGTGGCGCGGGAAGCAGAGCGCCCAGGACGCGGGGTTGCAGGAGTTCGCGCCGTCGGGGCTGTATCGGAGGTTGAATCAGGCGGTGGCGGAGCAGGAGATGGTGTGTCGCGGGGTGGAGGAGAGCTTTTTGGAGGGGGAGGGGAGGGCGGAGGAGAGGGAGGTGGGGGAATGGATGAAGCGGGTGAGGGAGGGGAGGAGGGTGGCGTTTATGCGGAGGGAAGGGAGGGAGAGGTGGGATGAGGGGAGGGTTGGGGGGTGGAGATGAGGGAGAGAATTAGATAGACTTGGAGTACGATGTTATGAAGCGTGTTGGATCTACTTAAGAGCATACGATATCCAGTTTGGTCCGAATTGCTATCAGGACTCAGAGCATAGTATGGCGCACTGGGTTGGTCACGTTAAGGCACACAATTTGAACAAGGGCAGTAAGGGATGCAATTATATTCATTGCATTCATGATAAGCTATCTAAATTCACGAAATTGTGTTTGATGGCACTGTACTTTGCAATACTAAAGATCCTGTTACTGAGCAGCTGTCAGCATGACATGCTCTGATACACATCCAATAAAATAAATAAAGAAGGTTGCCAAAATCAGTTCTCCAAGGTGATGGTATTTGTTTCTTCAAAGTAAAACTCGGTAAGAACACAGCGAATAGTTTTTTCATCATATAATGCACAACATCGGGCGAAATGATAATCGAGCGTACCTTGCGAATGTTTCTCAACATCAATGATAAGAGTTCGATCCTGTAGGACATTCGACACAGTCAGCAATGGTCTTGAAGCTGAACATTGAAAGTAGTGTAAAGCAAGTCTATCAGTCTACGATCCGAATTAGCGATTTTGCATGGCGATGTGTGAAGCCAAAACATACCTCATTAAATCAGAATTTTCAGTGATACGATCATCACATCGATGCAAGATCGATCAAATAGTGTGAATAGTAGTGATCATCATATTAAAGTATGGTTGTGGAGAAAAATGTGCGAAAAATGTTTCATACCTGCAACAGTCAGTCAGGTCAGCGAGGCTCGATTTCAGTTGCATGATATGGTTGAAAGGGTAGGAGGATAATCAGGTGACGAATTCTCAACAAATATCCCCTCCACCAACATCCACAAGTTTTGTACGACTTGCTGATCGGATGAGGTAGGAGAGGTATGTTCTGTCCGCCCGTTCGTTCAAAGATTCTTCATGTGGGTGGATTGGGATGGGAGTGAAAAATGATCAAGTCATACCTGGACAATCGATGTTAGCGAGTGTCGTGAGTGGATGTAGCAAAGCAGAATAAAGGTGATTTCCAGATCAGACAAGGCTGAAACTAAAAGCGACAGAATCGACATAAAAATTCAGATTGAGGAATGCCTTTCCATGAGTCTTGATGTCATCATTGGAAGAGAAGGGAAGCTGATGAGTGAAAAGGTCGTGCTTACCTTACTACTGGAAAGAACTAAGTCTTTTAGCATAACCGAGAGCATGCTTTAAATGCAATGCTCGTCAAAGTTTTAGCCTTCCGAACTATATTCATTGAAGACCAGAACAGAGATCATCCGAGGACGACGATATTTGGAAACTAGAAGTAGGCACAGTTAGCATAAATGCCACAAAGCACCGTCTCGACCGCAAGGCATGAAATAGCAAATCTCAGAGATGTATAAAGGATCCTTCATGGTTGGTAGGATTTGGATTGTTCATAATAAGAGAAATCATCATAGAAACCGAACAGAAAGATCTGATAGCTGGTACATACCTTGATATTGAACATATCGACCATCAAGCCTACAGCTGGGTCATATCGAAGCGCAAAACATCATACTTCGAGCGATGGAGCTCACTGTTCAGGAGATGAAGTTGGAGGAAAAGGTGATGAAGTTTTGGAGTTTTGTAGAAAGTTTCAGTGGAGGTGGAGCTCTAGCTTCGAATATGATGACATAAGCGAATCTCGGCGGACGACATAACCTCATAATGCTTCCTTTGTGCCTTATAGCCTTATCTCCATGCCTGTGCCAACAGAATGAGAGTACAACAGAAAGTGTACATACAAATCTAGCTGACGCTTGAGCAATTTCACCGATGGTGGGTGAATTACAGATGGAATTTATATACTCAGTTTAAACAGACTAATTAGCGGAAATAATCTAGCTACGTGGCGTTGTGGTTATAGTCACTCATTTCACAGTCTACCAGTTGAAAGAAAGTATTACGTCGGAAAAACCCTAGGGGTGTTACCATACCTAGGGCCTCGAGGCTTACTATAGTTTTGCTCTTTTGATAGACATCACCATGCCTACCTCGTTCTCTTTTTGCACTTCGGTACTCTTTGACGCCTTTCAAGCGACGATAGGCCCTGGAAGGAAGTCACAAAGGCATTCAGTTCTTATTGTGGTGCAAGTTCGACTCCCAGCAACTCCAATGCAAAAATCTACAGGATCGATGATTGCTAAGGAAATGTAAAGTTTGGCTATTGGTCCTTAAAGTATCTATATGATATATCAGACCATGGGACGAAATTTGCTACCACTGCTGAAATTCGTAGAGTAAGTATCCCCTTACCTTGACATCATACTACTGTGTCTCCAGCGATGGTCAGGAATCCTTAGGCTCGGATGAGCTTAACTCATAAACAGATCAAGACCAACCCTTAGTACTACTCCAAAATCACTCCAACTATGATCTCGGCGTCCTCCACAAGGCTAATTCAAAGTCTACGAGTTCCCAATGGCCAATGATACCTCGTCTCAGCATCTGCGCATTCAATCACTCTCTATCCCAACAATGGCGCCTCAATACGAATCTTAGGATACGGCGCATGGTAAGTCCCAGATGCCCAAGAGCTAGAGGTAACCGTCGCCCGAAAGCTGGATACCGACATGTCGATGCAGGCCAAGTGTATGCCAGTCCTTTCGCTTTAGACTCCATAATTTTGTGGCTAGGACTGACATTTTTCCCAGCTACTGCACGGAAAGGGCCATTGCGAATGCCATAATACCTCCGAGCTCCCCGTTCTCCCATCCACGCCCCACACCACAGTCCCTTGGGCAACGAGACCCGTTATTACGGCACGGGGAGTCCATGAGACTGAGAGAAGACTTATACATGTTGATATCGGCGAGATGTGTAAAAAATGGAGTGCAGGTCATTCTATCGTATCCAGGCACCTGATAAAATGATACAGTCGATGATCGAGTCAATGGCCGAGTCGAAGTTGGAAGGAGATTTTCAGTGGGAGCGGGCCGATATGGCCGTATGGGGGAGATCTGGAGAAGATCGAGGAGTCGGGCAAGATATTCAGGTTTAATGATCCACACAGGGTTGAGGTTTGGTGATCCACCAGAGCGTGGGTTTGACTGGGACATCATTTATGGGCCCCCGAATGGTAAAAGTTGTACTCATGCAGTTTACGATGAGAATTACCAAAGTTCTTCGGCTGTATAGGGCTGGTTTTATATTTACTTGAGGTATATGTTGATGTCGAAGCAATTTGTCTGAGTATGTCAAGAGCCGCTTGGCGGGGAACGCGTACGGTGGTCCGCGGAGTTTCGATTTCAGAGAAATAGAATTGGCCAAACTCCAGGAACTATGTCCAATGGCAGTGTACGCGCCGTCAAGGGGTCTGTCATCCCTCCACGCGTTCCAATGCTGAAATTATATGGCGAAGCGCCAATGCCCCAAACCAACTTTTGCCAAATTATCGGCGTATGAAGGCCCTTCCCAAGTCATCATTACGTGTCAAATATTATTCCCCAGATGAATCGCGAAATTTGCGGGTGGTCCGTCAACACGGCGTTTATAGTGCCAAAACACCAAGCAGGCCGAGGGCGGCGGCAGCACCGACACCAACGACACCGGTCGGGATAGCAGCACCGCCAGTCGACTCAGGGGCGGTAGTAGGAACAGGGGTGGAGCGAGACGAAGGGCGCGAAGTGCGAGAGGTGGTGCCGTTAGAGGCGCCGCTGCCATCGCCCGTCGTTGGCGGAACCTTGGTGGTCTGGATGCTCAGGACGCCGTCGCCGGAGATCGATGGGATAGGGCCGGTGGCGATGGAAGAAGAGGCTTCGGCATCGGGACCAAGGAGGTAGGTCTGGACGTCGGTGGGAAGGGCGGCGAACCAGCTGGGTGTGCTGCCGGCGGCGAACTCGGAGGCGATGATCGAGGAGACGGCAGCGGTGTCGGTCGCGGCGACGGCGAGGAGGGATGCTGGGAGGGCGGTGACGAGGACGCTGAGGATTGATCTGGAAGTGGATGGTTAGATTGAAGCTCAGCATGCGATCAGGCTGACTTTTAACGTACGAGTCGAGCGAAGAAGTGGCATCTTGACGCTTCTTAACTTCCGGATTGGCCATGGCACCAGCGGCCAGCGACAGGAGAGCGATGTTCTTAAACTGCATTTTGACGATGAGGATGAGAAATAGCTAGATGAGGAATCCGTAGACTAGGAAGGTTGATGATGACTTGGCTCAAGATAATCGAATTGTTCAAGAAAGAATGCGCAGAAAGTTAGGATCCGATACTTTTGAAAAGAGAGGAGCTTGCATGGTAAACGGGAACAAGGAGCTAAATAACGACCGTGTGTTCGACAAAAGGAAGTGAGGACCACGCGATTCCGCTTAAGGTGGCCAGGTCTCTATTTCCACATCAGCGCGACCTGCTGTCCGGGCCACTAGCCGAAATGGGCATGAGTTGGACAGGCCGCTGTGCAATTATGCAATAATATCCCAGGATTGGAGAGATGAGAAATTGGCTGAAACACCGCATTCAATTCGACGATGACCCAGTTAGCGTCAGGCCACTCTCCGTCGGCCGCTTCTCCACACGGAAGGCCACGACGATCACAGCAGAATGCGTTGATGCGAGTGAAGACAAGGCTGCTGCTGACGTTGCGACGCAGGACCAACAACACGCCTCAGCTCATCTATTCAGGCATGCCAGGTTGACTTAAAAGATTCTTCTGGACAGGTTCTAGTGGAAAACTTTGTGATTGACACTCAGGATACCTGGTTCGTTTGCTGCAGAGGCTGGCCATTTCATGCTGTGTTGCGCGGCCAGACCAGAAATTTCGCGTTGGACTGGGTTGCTTTGAAGTGGGCCCGTTCGATAGCACCCGCATCCAGAACAATTGAAGCGAAGGATTTAGTAGTTTGGTGGAATACCGGCAAGTTAAGGTACTATGTATAGTGGACGCCTCGACGGCGGATGATTAGTGGACGGGCTGTGAGATTCTCTGGTGCTGTTTTGGAATACGATTCGCATCTATTCAGATTTCGGGGTTATGGGGTATGACACTTTTTAGTGTTTACACAGCAGTAGTAAAACTTGCCTTTCGAATATCGATAGCAAGCGAGCGAGACGATCATAATTGGGCCAGCCTTCGAATCTGGAGAAGTGGTATTGTGGACAGGAAGTGGAAATTACCATGATACAGCAGTGTCCCAACTCTCAAGCCATTTCACAGAATCTCGGGTCCTGGTCACGTGGAACCCTTAGCGGCTCGCGCCGTTTCGCCATCTGCCTTGCTGCCTCATCCACTCGAGCTGGAGGGGAGGAGGCATCATACCCTCTAACATCCCAGCTTCATGTTGATTCCCGCTCTTCAATTCGTAGCATTTTTGCATCCGACGTGTGACTTATGGCGAATGGATCGTCATGTGCTCACTGAAGTATTGTGAATCGATCTCGATTTAGTATTCTTCGCGTTCATGCTCCTTTCGGTCTAAGAGCTGTGGCGAAGCAGCCAACGTCACCTGCAGCCATGATGAAATTGCTGACAACTTCCTCGCGTTGCACCTATCCGATATCAACCTATGGTATACCGTACAGACGCTCATAATCCTTGGAACTATGCCGAATGATAAGACGGGTTCCGGTGAGTGGTGCAGGTCAACAATGAGGGGATGAAGATGTTCTTTGTTTGCTGCGTCTGGACTTTCTGGTGGACCAATTGCATTACTTACCATTTCGAGCAGGTATCATAAAAATCTCCCTCCGGGCGGTGGGGTTGTAACGATGACGGACTTCTATGTGTAGCCCAGCTCGCTGCAAGTGTAAGGATCTGAAACAGTTCAGGCCTCCTTTGAGAAGGTAGCATACGTCAAGTGGTTCCGATGATGTAAGTATACTGTGAATATCGCGATCATGGGGTCCCCTAATACTTGTTTCCTTACCTTTTGTTGGACTGGTATCGCTATAAATGCGGCCGATCGCCGTTGTTCATGGATGTCGTACTGAGTTGATCTCTTCCATTACCTGTTTCTCCGAGGTAATGGATAAGAGAAGACGACGAAACCTATCTCTTCTTTGGCCTGATTCAGTCGGGAACTCGAATGCTATGATTGTCATGTGCATTTCGCATCGCTCTGGCTTTGGAGTCTGAACCCTCAACAAGCCAGCGATTGGGTCACGAAACGGACAGTCGCGTATCAGAAACTGGTTGAATACATTGTCGGTGTATATCGCCCCGAAGACGCGATCAGCACTGCGATCTCAGGGACCATAATCGCCCTCGCGAGGAAACAACGTCTTTGTCAATGTGCTGTTTTCGAACCTAAAATGGCCAGTGTGATGTATCGCCGGCTGTTTGCCCCAACACTGAACCCGGAGCGGGAATTAGCCTATCAAACGCTAAAGGACGACTGACCTGACGGCCCCTAATCATGTTGCAATTGCTACAGATCATGGTATGAGTGGTTAGTAACATAACTCTCCAAGGTATTCCGCTATCACTGGACAACAACGGCAACTATCCATTTTGCAGATTCGTCTCAACTCTACAGTTCGGTAAACACCGGCCGCCAGGACTTCTGACGACTGCCAGATTCCTTGAAGACAATGATAATATACCATGATGCAAATATAAGTCGGTGGAGAGTATTTATATATTAGAAAATCATTAAGAAAAGTCGAGTTTAGCTTGGGATTAAGAAACGCCAGTACGGAGTAGTTACTTACCTTACTCCTTGACTGATCATCAGCTGGAATGAAGTTTTCCTCGTCATGCTGGGTGAATGCGGCACAGCCAGTGTGTACACAATTTCCACAACAACCTGTCCTTAGAAATCCAAAGTGAATTTGATCTCTACGATACTCTAATAATACATAAATCCACGGCTGGAACGGCAAATCGCACAGAGGCAGAAATTTCCACCCAATATGGGAAGTCAAAGATGCATAGCGCTGATTGGTTGAAATCGAATGTCGTGGCGATTTCACGAGTTTCCAACACTGCCAACCCTGAGGCGCGTGTAACTGAACTGAACCTACACACTTCAATCTCATTGCTTAATATCCCTGATCTTCGAATCAAACACTACTGTCGTTGACTAACAAGGCCATGCTTTTGTTCCTCGAATAGAAAAACAACATGGCAGACTCGATCACAGGCACTGTCAGCCTGGAGCACCGAGATCCGAACTTGGCCCGTCCCAATATGTCCAGTCTAAGGGTCGCCACAGGGGTTGAGGTATCGGAGTCTGACAAACCCATTGGCAGTGGCACCTCTTCAGTGAAGTATAAAGAATCCACCGTCGCGACGACTGATGGAGCCAACGATGGGGACGATGACGATGACGATAGTCAATCCGATATTTCCTATCTCGAGGATGTCCTCGAAGGAACAATCGCCTACAAACACGATGAACGTGGTATGCCGAAACATTTGATTCTGTCTTGCGAAACCGTCCTCACACCATCCTAGATCCCGATGTATGCACTGCCGAAGAAGCTCGCTACTATCGTGAGCGCATTCGCGAGGTCGAAGTCAGTGAATTCGTGCGCGAGTCCATTGAATCCAATGTGATCAGTGCCAAAAAGCTTCTCACGGCTTTCCGGGTCAAGATTGACTTTGGCCCGACTGAACCGGACACGGCCTACTACAAGGCTTTGGGCGTCGCCATCGCTCATGAGTTGGGCAAACGCCAGAGACTCTCTCAGTATTCTACGATTGGCGACGCAGCTTCCCTTCTCCAAAAAGCTTCCAACGTCATGGTCATTACTGGCGCAGGAGTAAGTTTGTCCCATTCACATTTATATGACTCTGTCACATTTGTCTAGAGCAACGCACTGTTATTGGGTTTTTCGTCATTTCGTAATTTCAGTCAGACATCTTCAAACATATTCCGGCCTATAAGGTGGTCATACTTTCCAGTGTTTAGCTCAACTGATAGAACGTTAATCATCTTCTGCGAAAGCCGACTCTAACTGGTTTTCTAGATCTCGACCAGCCTCGGAATCCCGGACTTTCGTTCCAAGACGTCAGGATTCTACTCCAAACTCCGCGCACGAGGATTTGACCAACCTGAACAGGTTTTCGATCTGTCGGAGTTTGATTATGACCCTTCGTGAGTTGACACATTTCTGTTGGCTCCACAGGCATTACTCACATTCGGTAGCATCTTCTATTCTCTTGCGGGCGAGCTTCTACCGGACCTAACGCGCTATTCGCCAACTCATCAATTCATCCGTCTCCTCCAAGACAAAGGCAAGCTTCGGCGCAACTACACGCAGAACATTGACAATATCGAAGCAAATGCTGGAATCGTGTCGGACAAGCTCATCCAATGCCATGGCTCCTGGGCAACTGCTACGTGCCGAAAGTGCGGCAATCGAGTCCCAGGCCGTGACATTTTCCCTTACATTATGGCCAAGAAAGTTGCGCAATGCCAGAAGTGCAGGGCGGCGCTCGATGTTCAGCCTCAGATGAAGCGGAAGAGAAGCGGAAACCTTGCCTTCAAGAAGTCGAAGAGGCGATGGGGGAGTGGAGAAGATGATGACAGCGATGATGAAGGGCAATACGATATCCCCGAGCCTGGAGTCATGAAGGTATATAGTGTCCACGATGCTACGCTGGCTTCTAGCTGACATGATATTAGCCGGACATTACATTCTTCGGCGAACAATTGCCGAAGCAGTTCTTCGATGTCATCAAGTATCAGGACTACAACGTCGTGGATCTTGTCATCGTCATAGGGACGAGCATGAAGGTCAAGCCCGTGTCGGAGATTCCAAATTTCCTTCCGAAGGGTGTGCCGCATATCTACATTTCTCGTGATGTATGTGACCTTGCTTTATGTTGCTAGTCCCCATGCTAACATTCAACAGCCCTGCCACCACATAAACTTCGACATTTCTCTCCTAGGAGACTGCGACCTCGTTGTCGCCGAACTCTGTCGCCGTGCTGGGTGGGAACTGAAACATGACATGGTCCCCAAGGGTCAGACCGTGTCCGCTACGCCCTATCGAGAATGGGAGCCCGAATGTACGTGGTCTATCACGCCACAGAAAGACGAGACTGCCTGAGCATCGAGTATCGTTGAGCATTTGTTAGAGGAGCATCGTTAGGGCGTTTTGTGAAGTAGCATATCAAGTTTTCCGGATTTGTTCAGATAGATTTCCTGTTCAGCATCACTATTTGGTGGTGGGAGTCCTACAGCGGTGTTTTATGTTCTGTGGGAGTCCGACTGATTTCGAGTTGCACCAGACGTTGATACTATTGTTCATAGCGTATGGTACCGATGGAATAGAAGCCACTGGTTTATCCCCTGGCACCTTTATTTAGTCTCTATCTTACCAAATTCTTGCTACCAGAGTCTAAGTCTAATATGATGCGGGGTAGACACTGAGCCTGCCTCCATCAATAACTTCTACCGCGCCGTTCTTATATCCGCCGCTCTGTCCCACCAAATGGAGTATGAGGCCGGCCATTTCCTCAAACACGCCCTGACGATTAGCCGGAATTTCATTGAACGACCACCTCAACTTCGCGCCTTCTGTCATTTCTGACGGGAACACTAAGCAGTCATTAGTCGGCACTCCCATTTCAACTCGGTATGATAACTCACCCCCCGGCGCAATCACATTACTCCTAATTCCCCACGGCGCCAACATGCTCGCCAATATCTTCCCCAGATGAATCGCCCCCGCCTTACTCGCGCAATACGCCAGTCCATGCGCCACGTTCCTCATCAACCCCGCGATGCTCGCCACCGTGAGGATCTGACTGAGTCTCAAATCCCCCTCCTCAAACCCATTCCGTCTCGCCACCTCCACATCCCGCTCCCTCCCTTTCCCACCCGCCTCCAACTTCCCACTCTTCCATCCCCGCCGCTCGTTCCCCTTCTCCAACAGCGGCAGAAACGCCGCGCTCACCCCCACCACGCTCGCCGTATTCGTCGCGAACGTCCCCTCCCACTTCTCCCAGCTGCCGCTGAGGATCTCGGATACCTGCTTGATGTCCGTCGCGGCGTACGCTGACCGATGCTCGGGCCCCGAGATGCCCGCGTTGTTGATGAGCACGTCGACGAAGCCGACCTCCCGCTCGATCTGAGCGGCCGCGGCGGCGACGGAGGCTTGGTCAGTCACGGAGCATTGGATGGCGGTGACGACGGCAGCGCTGGGGTCGATGAAGGCGGCAGACGCTTGGAGCACGCTGAGGCGGCGGCCGAGGATGTAGACTTTCTTGGCTTGGGCGTTGAGGAGGGATTTGGCGAAAGCTAGACCGATGCCTGGAAACGGTGAGGAGGGGTACGGGTGTGCTCGTCCATAAAGATCGGAACAGCGGTACGAAAGACTACGAGTATGGATAGATGTTGACAAAAACTCTAGATTGGGAACATGCAATGCACCTCACTGCGAGTTTAGGAGGATTGATCAATTGACAGTAAACGTACCAGTACCCCCTCCTGTGATGACGATCACAAGTCCCTTCGCTGAAAAGAGAGCGTCCGAACCCGTTGACCTAGCGAGATCCATCTCTTCTAATTTAAAATAATGATACTGGGTTTACTTCCAAATCTCAATGTTCCCAAGCTCTTTCTATTCGACTCTGGTGCTGAATGGCGAGAGTTGTCCTGAATCTAACCGATATCGGAACCGATCTAAGAAACAATGAGGGGTTTACGGAAACAGCAAATACTATGGTTACCACACCACTTCCTTCGAAGAACTTAACAGGATATTAGTGACTTAGATCGGCATCAAATCGCGTGACGATCTTTCGAACTGACGTCAAGCATTGAGCCGAGTTTAGCCCCGAACTCCTCAGTTTTTATCCGATATCCCGCACTACGATTCCTGGTGCCGCGGTGCGTGGGATGCATGGGGAACTGGAAATCAGCTCCATCTGAACGAGATACGTCAATGGAGAAGATTCCAAGCATACCATCAGACGGCGGAACGGGAAAGGTGTATTATCATACACTATCGCCCAGTCGTTACCTGATTGCCCATTTGCAATCCGGTGTTAGTTCTAAGTGAACTCCTGCGTATGCTCTTGAAGCTTATCACGATTGCACATTGACCCCAGTGGCGAATATCCCGAATTTCCACACGGCGAGACTGACTAAGTTATATAATTTGGTGTAACGACACTATAATAATGGTTTAACGGTATGGATATCAACTCACACCTCGGAACTGAGTGTTGCCTCTGATACCGTTTCAGACGTAACACATCATGTAGAGAGAAAAAGAAAATGAACAAAACGAGCGCGGTGCCGAGTTGGGCGGTGGTATGGGCCTCTGTACAGTGAAGAGGACGCCAATGTACGGGAAGGAGTACATGTATGTAGACGAAGCGAAACGGAAAGAGAAAATACAGGGAATCGAATGAGAACGGTCTCGGTAGGTGGTGGATACAGCGGATACAGGTACATAGGGGAAAGGGTAAGGAAAGGGGGTATGAAGCGAAATCATCGAAACGAAAAAAAGATCTTGTAGACGGAAGTGAAAAGGACGAACGAAATCGAAGTCCCAACAACTCAAAACACACGTCGTTCCCTCAAACCCGACTCCAGGACGCCATCAATCCCAAAAATTCTCCCCGAGATCCATACTACAGTCTCATGAAGTCATGCCCGATTCCAATTTTCCACCCCCTCCTCTCCTTTAGAAGCAATTCAACCCGCTCTTCTTCTTCCCCTTCTTATTCATCGCTGCCAACTGCGCCATCCGCGCCTCCAGGTTAGCCTTCTCCGCCTCGATCCGCATGCGCGCGCTCCGCTGCTCCTCCTCCAGCTGCTGCACGCTCAGCCGGCTGGCGTTGCGCTCCTTGCGCATCGCCGTGAGCTCCTCTTCCAGGCTAATGCACTTGCGGCGCCAGCCGTCCATCTCGGACTTCAGCTTCGTGGAGGACGTCTCCAGGTCCGTCAGCGCTTCCTCCAGCGTCGCGGTGAGTTGCTTCTCCGCGAACAGGTGCTTCTCGATCGTGCGGATCCGCGCTTCTTGGTCTTCGGCCAGTTGCGCCGCGGCGATGTCTTTGGATTGGTGGCGGGAGGTGGGCGGCGATGGGGCGGAATTGGCGGGGGGGTTGCCAGGGAGGGGGGGCAGAGGGATTGCGGGCGGTGGGGAGGGGAGAGAGGTGTGCGAGGTGGATTTGCGAAGGTTGGTGCTGGTGGATGTATTGGAATTGGATCGTTGGAGGTCGTTGGCTTCGCCCGGTTGAAGGGAAGCGCGCTGTGAGTGACGGCGACCGTCGAGTTGAGACTAGATATATTGTTAGCGATTGTCGTGACGTAGAAAAAGGCAGTGTATTACCTCCAGACCAGTAATCCTTGAACGTGCTTCTTCGAGCTCCCTCTCCAAGTCAGCCTTCGCGGTCATTGTCTGCGTTAGCTGCATCTGCCTTTCAGTCTGCATCGCAGACAGTCGGTTATTCGCAGCCTGATGCGAGTCAAAGTTCGAGTTCAATTGCTCCTCAAGCTCCTCCACGAGCCTGGAGCTCTTCCTCTCCTTTTCGCTGACGAGCTCGAGCTCCTTGAGCGTCTCGTCGTTGATCATCTTCAGTTCACTGACATTGGACTCCAGCCCGCCGATCTTCTGCTTGACGGATTCCAGCTCGTCGGTCGCCTCTTTATGCTGCGACGCGGCTTTCTCGTGCTTCTCCAGCAGGGCTTTCCGCTCGTCGGCGAGAGCGCGGACGTGCTCGTGGACGTTGTCGACCGTGGCGTCCTTGTTCAACGAGTCTGAGATGCTGGCGACGACCATCAACAGCTGCGTTTGAGAGTTGCTCAACTCCGACTTGAGGACCTCCGTTGCCGAACGATGCTCCTCTTGAGTCGTTGCTAGCTGCTCCTGCAAAACAGCCTGGGCTTGCTTCAGCTCTTCCAACTGACCTAGCAACTTCTGGCTCGCTTCAGTCTGAGCTGCCAATGCACTGGCATTGAGCTCCTCGACTTCCTTCGAATGTGACTCCCGAAGTGATTCCAACCCTTCTTGATGCAGCTTGATGGTCGACATATGCTCCTCGATCTGCCCTTCTAAGTTCCGGACGAGACCGCGGTGCGTCTGAAGTTCTTTCTCAGTGAGCTCCCGAGCCTGGGTATCCTCTTCGACGCTGCTCAGGATCTTGGCGTGGGAGTCCTCCAGTTGGGCGAGTCTGGCAGCATTGGCTGCCGCGACGCTCCTGTGCTCGTCGATCTCCTTGCGTAAAGCGGAGATCAGGTCAGTCTGGTCAGCGTGGTTGGGTAGTGATCCGTTGGAGCCCGCTGAGGTTTCCCGCGAATGTGTCGCCTCGGCTTTCTGGAGCGACGCCTCGAGTTCGTTGATTGTAGCAAGCAACTTCGCCTCGGTCTGCTTCATCGACTCCACGCTGGCGTCATGTTTCGACTTCCACTCCACGACCTCAGTTTGCAGCGCTACGACTTTCACCTGCGTTGCGTTGTCATCGTCTCCACGCACGCCATCCCCGTCTGACTCCCCAGACACACCGTTCGACTGGGCACCCCCGACCTCCGCTCGCAACTTCGCAATCTCCCCCATTAGCTCCTTCTCCCGCCTCCCCTGGCCTTCCTGCAGCGCTCGCATCTGCCGCTCACTCTCAATCAGCTGATCGCGCAACTGCGCGACGACCGAGATATCCAGCGGCGACGACTTGAGCGAGCTGCGCTCGCGCGTGAGCCCAGAGATGATGGCCATCTTTGCCTCCATCTCCTTGCGCACGGCGGCCAGCTCGGTCTCTAGCGCGCTCACCCGCTCCGAGCGCATGTGCAGCTCCGTCATCACGGCGTTGATGTTCAGCTCGAAGTTCTGCAGGGCGTCCGGGTCGGTTTCGAGGTTCTCGAGCGCGATGTTGCGGAGCGAAGCGAACGAGCGGGTGGCGCGGTCGGTGGATAGAACGGTTTGGCTGGATTTGCGGCGGATGACGGGCGATGGGGAAGAGGGGCGCACGAGCTGCGCTTTTTGGACTTCCGCCTTGAGTTCCTCGACGTAATCGAGCATATCTTGGTGTTGCTCTTGGAGCTCCGCGTGGCTTTCTCTGAGTTCCGCGACGGTCTTTTCCTTCTCCTCGGCGAGTTTGCGGAGGTTGTCCATTTCCTGGGCGAGAAGGCCGCCTTCCTTCTCCGGCACCTTTTCTTTTTCGGCGACCTCCTCGCCGGCATCGGTGACCGTTGCAGCGGCCGATGTTTGCGCCGTCTCGGCTTCGGAGGGATCGATGGAGTCCTGGGATTCACCAACCGACCATAACTCGGAGGAAAGCGTGCGCGATGTGGATGGCTGTCCGTCTTCGGCGATGCCGTTCGCCTCGCTCCCTTGTACGACGGAGGTTGGGCGCGTCGAGTTCGCGGACAGCGGGTCACGACCGTTGCGTGCTTCGTCGACCGCATCCTGCAGCTCGGCGAGGGTACGGAGCGCCAGCTTATATTTGCGAGTCAACTCGTCGTAGTCGTTAAGAGTCACCTCATGCTCCATGCGCAGATCAATAAGCTCGTGAGTGACCGTATCGAGCTTGTCGGCGACAAACCGAGACTGTGAAGGACCTTCGGACGACTTGGGTTCCTTGACAGGTTCAGCCTCCCCAGCCTCTGAATAGACGCTGGATTGGTCGTCGTCGCTTTGTGTCGTATCCATCTTCAAGGTCTCGGGTTTGTCCTGAGAGTTTACCTCAGGGTCCAACTCCGGAGCTTCAAGGTTTCCGTCGTCACTGTGCTCGGCGTCGCCATTGAGTTGCTCGTCATCCTCGTGCTCGGCGATCGAGTGGATTCCCTCGCTCTGCTTGCGATCGTGCCCATTCACGCCAACTTGTTCCGCCTTCGAGTCGCCTTGACGGATAGTATCTAGCTCGTAAAGGAGAGTGTCAAGCTTCCCAATGCTGCGTTGACGTTCCACCACGTGTTCCAGTCGTTCGATCTCGCGCTGCATCATCTCGTGGTCCTGCTCCGATTCCGCGAGCCTCTCTTCTAGAGTCGAGATGTACTCCTCACAACTCGCTTCATTGTCCCGAGCACGCGTGAGTTCCTTCTTAAGGCTCTGGACAATGGCAGAACTCTTCTCTTCGCCGCTCGTGGCGCCGGAGAGGCGGGATTCGATGTCGCGGAGGTAGGTCTCGTCGTTGGCCTCGCGGTCCATGGCTTTCTGGATGCGTGCTTGGAGTTGCTGGGTGACGGTGTCCATGTATGCGATCTTGGTTTCCTTTTCCAACAGGGTGCTTTCGCTGCTCGCCAAGGATGCTCGCGTGGTGGCCAGAGATGATTCCAGGCTCTGGATGGTCTTTTCGTACTCGAGAACAACTTGCTCCACGGCTTCGCCGAAGGACGTCGATCGCTTCAACCTGTCCACCGCGCTTTCGCCAATCGTATCCTTCAACAATGGAGTGTCTTCCATATCTCCCGAATCCCGAGCTTTGGTGATCTCGGAAATCAGCCTCGCGTGTCGCTGACTCAACGTGCCGTAGTTCTCCTGGATATCAAGCAATTGGTTCTGCAGCTCCACCTCCCGGGTATTGGACCGCTCTGCCCGCTCTTGCGGAGCCGATGAGCGTCCACCCGTTCGCTCCGACAGACGGATTTGGTCCCGCAGAAACGAGATCTCTGCACGAAGCCGTTCGATGACGGCATGTCTGTCGCTGTCGTCCGCGACCTGCTGGATCTGAGGCTTGCTCTGGATCGCCCGGGCACGCTGCGCATATTGCACGGTGTTCAGCGTTTCGCTAAGATGGAACTCGGCGGGATTTATACATGCAACCATGTAGGTAATTGCATTTCCACCAAGAGAGTCCTGTAGCAGGCGGGTCAATCTGGAGTCTCGATAAGAGACATGCGATCCTGGTTGTCGAGAGGATAGCTGAGAAATGACTTTGCCCAAGCTTGCGAGACCGGCATTGATCGAGATACCCTCCTTGGCACGATCACCATGGGCGCCGGTATTTTTCAAACGTTCGCTACCGGCCAAATCGACGAAATGAAGCTTGCTGTCCACGGTCACCCAGTTTTCCGAGGCCGACATGGATTCGATAGGCATCGAACGGCGCTTCTCTGCCTTTGGAGTGTTACTTCGCTTTTGAATGAGATTCAAGCTGAAGACCGCGTGAGATCGGGATGACTTCGCGTTGACCGCAGTGGCGTCCGTTTGACGGATGGAAGACCCGAAATTCAGCGCATCGAGAAGATCGCTGATGGAATTGATACTGACTTGCTTCAAGCCGTTCAGGAAAATGCGGCCTTTCGGGTCCTCACGGACCAGGACTTGTGGTCGTTCATTCATCGGGACCGTCTCGTCGAGTAAGAGATCGCGCAATTGCTCGTTATATATCTAATATGTTTTAGCATGAATTTGGGGTGGATGTTCGCATTGCATACTTCGACGTAGGTGGCCTTCATTTGCCAATTCTTATCTGCTGATTTCGACACGGCATTCTGAAGAGCCTGAAGTCCGTGTGTGGAGTATCGTTGCGGCTTCTTGATGCCCGATGTGGTGTTTCGATCCCCGGAGGAGCCTGTCAACCTCTCGAACAGCGCCGCAGCTGCTCGTGGAACAACGCCTACAGGGCCATTAGCGATGTAACAACACATTCTTCACTATACATACCCATCAGGGTTGCATCATTCTGCTCCTGCGGGCCCGTCGTCCCCATGGTATACGACTTCCCCGCGCCTGACTGTCCATAGGCCAATATCGAGACATTGTAGCCTTGCACAAAGTGATTGACGCTCTCGCTGAGGTACTCCCAAACTCCTTCTTGATTGATATCCTCACCAAACACGCGATCAAAGACGAACAACTTCTTCCCCTGCGCGGATTCGACCGTCAGGCTGGTTTGGCTGGTTACTTGGGCGGTTGAACCACGGAACCGCTGTGGGATCAATTCAAATCCAGGGTCTCCGGGGCGGATCGGTGGGCGGACACGAACGGCTGCGGGAGAAAGTATGGGTTAGCCCTAGGAAGTCCATGATATCCTTCTCCATATCGGGGAATGCCTTTCTCTCTGCCAAAAAGATGCAGCAAATTCGGAGCGGGTTCTTTGTTCACCTACCAACTTTCACGGACGTCTTCGAATCTTCATCCGATGCTCGACTCCCGCCTTGCCGACTGCTCGTGCTCATTCGGCTCGCACTGCGATTCGGCCTCACCATGACGCTCATCGGCCGCGGCGCCTTCTCCGGTGGAGATCCAGGTGGTGATGCTGCGATACCTGCCATCGTCTACGGGAAAGAGCGAACCGGGACGACGCGTGCGTGGCAAGCGCAGCTCTTCAACCTCCGATGTTGGATAGATCCCTCCTCCCACCAGGTTTCGGTTCAACTGGTCGGTTCAAATGGTCTGAAATGCTCTAGCAGGGTCGCGTTCGAATGTTCGAGGGGAGGCGGATGGAAAACGCGTTTCGAAGTATGGGGTGACGGAGTGGAAAATTCTATTGAGTCGAGAAAGCTTCTGGTGCAGGCGTCGTCTGGTCGTGCTGGGACGATATGGCCTTCATGAGGCTCATGCGCGTAGTTTCTAACAGCGACCGCAACGACGGCGGAGGAGTTCTCGCTTGGCTAGGACGTGGTCGGTAGGCGGATAAGCACCAAGACACGTCGCTTCACTTGTCGGGACGATAAGCAGCCAAATTCGACGTCGATCGACTTGCGATTCCACAGCGCCAAAAGGATATCTGCCAGTCTGGGGTCTAAAGAGGGAAAACGGCGAATGGCCAAGGGGACACGAAAATGCGAATAAAGTTGGGACAGGGAGTAGGTGGGAGCGTTGGTTGCCGCGGCGGATCAGTGGAGACTTTGATGACAAGTTCAAGGGGGGAGAGAGACACGAAAAGTCGAAAGCGGCTTAGGTAAGGTAAGGATGGTAAGTATCAACGGTTTTTACAATAGAGATGATAGATAATTGTAGGCAAGTATTGAAATCTCCTTCGTCTGCGCTGGTACTGGTCTTGGAGAGCTGTGTATGACATATACGTTGTTGCGTGTCGTGGGCACAGTGCAGGCGACGAGGTGAATTTGCGCATTCACTGAGCGCTCTCCAAGACGCTCACAATCTGTCACAGACTCCAAATAAACAGTAATCCAGCCAGATACCGGGGGAATTGCACCGGCGCATACGCTATGGTAAGGTGGTTTAAACTCGCCGTAACCGGGTGTGGCCCAGTCGATGGGAACGCGGTGGTGATTGGATCGGCCCATTGGCGGAAATGCCCCCTTTCGGGAGTTCTCTCCCAAAACTGCACTGGCCCTGACGCTCCCAACGTGAATGCAAGGGGGACAGCCCGGGCAGGGGCTTTCCCGGTTGACTTGCGCCGCACGGGAAAGGGGGATTTCTGGTTTCTAGTTAGCGCCTTAGCGGGAGAGGTGTGCCCATTCAGTGAACTGCACGTGTGACGAGACTGATGTACAAGACAGCAAGTCTGCAACGCATTTCTCTCACGCTGGCTGGTTGCTGCGATATGGATTTTATCATTTTACACCGTACTGGATACATGGACCATAATTAGCCGATATGCATAACGGCCATTTCTTCATTCGCGAGATCACATATTGGTGGGAACTGGGAAGAGTTTGACGGGGGAGAGCATGAAGTCATTTCCCCCCTACCCAAGCATAAGTGTCTCATCTCCCCCAATATCAAAAGAGTGAAAAAGCATTAAGAGCCTGTAATATTAAGCTATCAAACCTTCCCGGCCACCTACAGTCTGCACTTCTGCAAGATGCTGGCGACCTGGAAGACACCCAACCCATGTTCTCGTCGATCAACCGCTCCTACTACGTATGACGCCGTGCCCTCCCTTTCCGTCCAAGGCTCCAAGCCCTCCCAGTTTTTGATATTAGACAAACCACCTCCTCGACCAGGGACGCCCGCCAAATCCAAATCTTTTCCCGCCGGGCTTCCTCGTAAGTGTTCGCGCTTCGGACGCAGTCACCTCACCTAGCCACATACGCAACGGATGCACCCAATGCAGTCGTCGCATCATGGTGACACCCTGAAAATGTCACCCGCAGGCCGCGAGACCACCAAGCGCTTTGTCCCTCCAGACTCCAGAGTCTGGCTACGTACCTAGGTCTACGAGATGACCACCCAGTCATGCAGGTTTTGGCTTCGGAACGATGACAGACTCACTCCCAATGGAGTTTGGCATGTGAAGTGTAAGCCGAAGAAGCTTTCAAATGATATCCACAGCCCAATCAAAATATGACGCAAGGTCGACCTTCGAGAACATTGAGGGAAGGATTTTATCAAGCGGACGTTTCAAGTTTTAGCCATCCCAGCCACCCCGCACCGCTTCCTGTAATCCTGTCAGATCTGTAAAGAAGACCACCCCCACTTCCACGGTCGTATATTCACTATCATGATCACTTGCATATTGCATATTGCATATTGCATATTACCAAGTACCAACGCATCAGGTACAAGAGAAACCTGCTTCTGGTTTGCTTAGAAGGATTCCCTGTATGTACTGTACATGCGTGCAACTACGGCTCTCCCAAAAGATCCAACTCGAGAAATAGGTAGTCGGTTTCCCGGAACCGATAAGTTCCAGTACTGAGGGTAGAAACCAACTTAACGGTCTCCCATGTGGCAAAGAGAGATCGATTCTATTCTTATCTGTTTGATCTGAAGGGCGGAAGTCGAGTTTGGTACGGGATGGGTCTTGGTCTCAGTCTCCCAGACTTGGACGACGTCCTCAGTCGATGATCATCAGATCTACGGATATCCAGAGAATGACGGCGTATGAACTGGATCGTACAGATATGAAGTGGGTAAACTAAGCAAATACCACGGCTGAACACCCGAAGATCTGCACAACCTACGAATCCGCCAAGGTCCCACTATCTGTCATCGGTCATGTGTGTGCACGATCATTGATCAACGACCTAACTGATCACTGAACCGACTGACCCTCATCGCCCACGAAGGATAAATCTCCGATCTTGGGAACCCCACAACCATCTCTCATGCATGTCTTATTCCATCTAGATAACTTCAATACTACGTCCGGTGCCACTAGAACGGCAACTAAACTTGTGGCGATCTCGTACCACGACACATCGCCATTCCCCATTCCCCTTCAATGGCAATCCTACACCGACGATAGCCGCTGGTCTTCCGCACTCGAACCGGAGATTTATATCGCCCTAGGTAGTAGGAAGATCGCAAAGCTGTTCCCGAGTCACTGGGCCGATCGGCGTCTATGAAGAAGGCGTAGTTAACTATATATTAAGTGGATGGCCGATGCCTCGGTATGGGAGATCTCGAACTTGGATGGATTGGCTCGAATTGCCGTATCGACGGACGGCATGAGATCATTGTCTATGGGTATGGTATCTCGAGATTACTGGTGTATTGAGCATGCTTCTACGGGTAGGTAGAGCGTGTGTCGTTGTCAGCACTTCTGATCGCGGATTGTGGGATGGTTGTCCAATAATGTACGTCATGCATGGAATGCTTTGGAGTTTCACAACCTCCGCCTCCCGTCCTCCACAAGGGACGATGTTTCAAAGACTGCAGTGCGTGCATCCATCATGCTTCTATGCATCCATCGGGAATCTATGCAAATTCTCTGGTCGTCACTACTGACCTATCGCTTCCCGCTGCTCTTGTCTCTGCAACTTTGCTCAACGCCTCAGCCACTTACCTGCGTAATACCATTCTCGGAATTCTCACCGCCCTCCACGCAGCTCCCCATCACGATGAACCTCTCTGCACTTGATCGCCACAGATCTAAGATATTGCGGTCGGCTGTCTGGTGCCCGGCCTGGCCGGCGCGCAATGCCGATACGAGGCTGATCGCTGCGCTGCCGAAAGATGATCCGGATACAAATTCCAATCATGGATTGGCTGGGTGACAGCTGTTTCTGAAGCCGGCTCTGCACTACTGTAGCTACCCGTCCGCTTCCTGGTGGGTGGTATCATCCGATGTGCTTGAAATCACTCAAATCCAGTGCGCTCGCGGCACCGCATGGCGGCTCGGCTGGAAACGTCGCGCAAAAGCACTCCCTGGACCTGTGTAAGCATCGTCGGCTGACTGCAGTGCGTGACATTCGGTTTTCCCCTCATCTAGATTTCCATCCTCTGGATCGAATTCAAGAAACCGGGATTCCCCTCCATCTGCACAATAGGTATTTCTCTCATCATCCTCGTTGTCGTACCCCAACGCGTCGCGTCCGCAATGCATGCAGGTCGCGTAAATTTACCCCCGGACGCGTCCAACATCGGTCATCCTGGCCGTCCTGAAAAAACCAGGTACTTATCCCGGGATAACTTGGGAAGTTGTGTCAGTTGTAAAGTGTAATATCGGAAAATTAGTTTATGACGGGAGTTATGAATTGGGATTTGCGACGCGGGGAGAGTTCTTCCGGGTTGCTGTGGGCTGTGGGATTTCACGATTGGTTTCTTGATGTGAGACGACATGGACTATGTCTTTGATATGTGAGCGGTGAGAAATCTGGGCGCATCTCTGTTGGATTGTAGTGTTGATGCAAGAAACGGGGTATCATTGCTGGTCCTTAGACGTTCAGACTACAAGTGTGCGGCTATGTCCATGTTTGTCGATAAAGGTGACATGATATCCCTGACTGATCAGATCGTTTCCTTGCACAATCCGCCACTCGTCAGCTCGCGAGCGAATCCTCGTTCTCAATGCTCGCTGTAACCCATCCAAGTCCTCGTTCCTCAAACATCATATCCGCTCAACGCCTCTATTCCTGCAAAACCCCTCCAAAGTCGGTGGCCCATGGTACCTATATGCCTCCAATAATTCGCTCACCACCCGCCGCCAATGGTGCTGGCCAGCCCGGCAACCCGCTGGGTATCGGTGATGTCTTTTCCTACATCGCTCTCCACCTTCCGGTAGGTCGTGAATGCCAGTTTCTCGATCGGCACGCCGGTTAGGGACGTCCAGTGGTCCAGAACGCTCAGGATGTACGTCCTCGAGATGCCGTCGACGACGTCCGCATCGACATCGCTCGCATCGACTGGTGCCTGGCCGTTCAGCGCATGCCCATTGCTGGTCATCCGCTCCGTCGGTGGATCGATCTCCATCGCATCACCGTTGGCCGTCGTTCCTCGCTGCTCTTCGGAATCTGACTCGGCCGAAAAGTATGCCTCATCCACCTTCGCTAACCACTCCCTCTGCTCCTTCGGTCCCGCCACGGTCCGCCCCTCCGCATCCCCCTCCCTCAACCCCAGCTCCTGCAACTCGGTCACGCGGATCTGCCCCCCGCCATTCGTGCAACCCCCAGGACACGCCATCACCTCCACATACGCATACTCGCTCCCAGGTGCCGCATCCCCCTCGCGCTTCCGCACCGGCGCCTTCCGCGCACCCAGCAACCGGTTCGTCTTCGGCTTCATCTTCCGTACGAGGTTTTGAATGTTGCGGAACCCGTAGCACCGCATACCTTTCCACGCGGTGCGGCCGTCGCGGTCCTCGACGACGATATCGAGCACGTCGGCGTTGCGGCCGCGGTCGACGCGGATGCGGCTGCCGGGGGTGGAGGCGGCGACGCGTTTAGCGATGTGGGAGAGGAAGCCGCCAGAGGTGCCGGTGGGGTCGGCGGGGGCGCCGCGGTTGGAGTGGGAGGGTGGGAAGAGGAAGGCGGAGAGGGTGGGGTCGGGGAAGCGGGGACGAGTGACGGGTTGGGGAGGGAGGGTGGCGAAGTTGAGGTTGCGGAGGGAGGCGACCTGGAGGAGTTCGCGGGGGGTGATGACACAGTCGACGTCGCGGACGGGATCGGATGGGGGAGCGGAGTCGGGTGCCCAGGCGTCGGAGGTGAGCTCGCCGCGGGAGGCCTCGAGTTTCTTGTCGAAGCATGGCATTACTGCGAGATGCCAGATTTGGGACGGCGGGATGCCGTATGCCCTGGAGAGCACGGATTTCAGCAACGCGCCAGAGAGAGACTGCGGGGATTTGACGGCTGAGAGATTCGGAAGGAGTTGCGGATGGGTCTTCTCGGCGTAGCAGATCCAGCCTGGACAGGCCGAGGCGAGGACGGGTCGTTTCGGGGAGGAAGTGGAAGTAGCGGAATTGGCTTCCTCGTAGGCCAATACAAGGGATGCGGAGCGGAGCGCGTTGGTGTCAATCACCCAGGCGAAACTGCTGTGGTGCTTCCCTCCCGTCTTCACGCCATTGGGCCCGGAGAGAAGTTGTTCGATTAGGTGTCCGGCATCGGAGAAGGAGATGCCATGGGCAGCGGCGATGCTGGCTTTGGCCTGCGGGCTGACGCTCGCGACGAACAGCTTTCCTTCAGATACACCATTGGAAACTCCATTTGCCCCATTTTGTGTGTGGTCATGATATTCGGCTGTCCTGGAGCCAGAAACGAGATCGGAGGGGTCGAGGGAGGGGTTAGCATCCAGTGTGTCCAGCACTTCTTGGTGTGACTGCAGTGATACGAGAATGGCCTCCGCAGATGTGACACAGCCAGAGCATGCGAGGCAATCGGTCAAGGATATCTGTGCCGGAGTGGGGTTTGCGGCCGCGACTTTGTCTTCCGTCGTGACTTCATACGGATTCTATATTGCTCGTCAGTCTGAATCGCAAGTGTCATAGGGACTGGCATACCGGCTCGCCATTCTGCTTCTCAGCAGGAATGGATTCTATGGGTTTAATACATGCAACGCCCGGTGAAATGAAGTCATTCAAGTCATCCGCGGAGAGAATGGCGCTCATCGCCTAAACAATAACCGGAAAAGCGCTCTGCGGGGGGCAAAGAGAGGAAGTTGTTGCCAGTTGATTTGTATTCTGGAGTATTGGAGGAGGCAGAACTGGGTCTCACAGACAAAGAACTAGGTAAGTGCGAGTTTAGACGAGAATTTGAGTAGTGTATGGCAGACAATGGTGAAATGACAATAGGAGGACTCATGGTCTGCTTGATAATGCAATTCATCGGAGGCGACTCGGAGACACCGGCCCCCACTTTAATTTTCATCCCACGCTTTCGAATCCATCCATCATCACTACACTCATAATTAACTCATTCCACCATCGCACTTCCAATCAGACAGTATCAGACCATCTCCGAGGAACCCTCCAAAGCCCCTGCACACGCCCTACCACCTCCTGATACCACTATCATCGCCTTTCAACATGTCCTCCCAACAACAAACCGGCGGCACCGCCCTCCAAACACCGGCCGCCGACCGCGGTTTATACTACCTCTGCGAGCGCTGCGACAACCGCGTCGAGCTCCGGAAAGGAGAGCTGATCCGTTGCAAGGCCTGTGGCAGCCGCGTCTTGTATAAGGAGAGGACGAAGAGGTAAGCAGCTCGCTTGGAGAGGCGATGATGGACGCCGTCGTTAACATGGAGTAGGATGGTGCAGTTCGAGGCTCGATGAGCGAACCGGGACGCGGTCGATTCTTTCCACCGTACGGGGAGAGAACCTCTTTATGTTCAAGCACGGCGTCTGGCTTTTGCGATTTCGGGGATGGGACTCCGGCTGGTTATGGGCTATATCGCCTCGGGTTTTTATAAAGCATTCGCATCGACAGTTAACCGCGCCTTAGCTGCACAATAGGGATATGGAAAAGAGTATGAATGACAATTTCCTTGGCATTGGAGGCCTTTCTATATGGACGACTAGTCTTTCTATGGTGTCTTGTGGTATTATGTGCGAGATTTCCGTCAGACCTTGGTCCAGGTAAATATTAACCCTAAGAAGCTGTCGCGGCGCTTCGTCTTGCGTTCCCGCACCGATTCCCTTTTTGAATCCGCTCGACCGTCTCCCATATTTCCATCCACTCCAATCTCCTTGTCAAGCCCCGTGGTATATCCTTCCTTGCTCTTGGAGTCCATGTCGACCACACTGATCTGGTCCACGGGAACATCCTTTTCCCTGGCCAGTCTCCTTACCTCCTTGATTTTCCAAGCCCGTAAGAACACCATACATAGCGCAGCGCCTAGATACATGAAACCCGAGAATAGCTGTGCTCCCCGGTATCTCCCCCCGTTAGATTTGACCAACTCCAAACCGATCACTTCACTCGCAATGCATGGGGGTCCGATGACCAGCCACAAGATACTAAGTGCAGCAGGCAACTCCTGGAGGCCGACGACCTCCGCCGTAACCGGCGCGATCGTCGCCCAAAAAGTCCCCGCGACCGACCCTCCGAAGAGGGCGAAGGCAACCAATGCCCCAAAAGAGGTGGCCGGAATCCACCAGACCAGCACGAACACCCCGCACGTCGCCGTCATGGCGGCGCACATATTGATCCTCCCGACGGTATCGCTGAAGTACCCTACCGGCGGCCTCCCGAGCATCTGCCCCAAGTTCATAATCGCCGCGAGGATGCTCCCCTGCGCCGAAGTGTACCCCAATGACGCCGCATGAGATGGCAAGCTGAACAGCAACACCACGTACCCCAGCATGCTAAACACGCCGAACGTCGTCAACAGCAGGTACTCGTACCGCGCGAAGAACCGCCACTCGAACGGCGTCATCACGCTCTTCACCGCCGCGTGGCGATCGCGTACCAACAGGCTGCAGACCAAGTTGACTACCGTCGTGAGGATCCCGAGGATGCGGAAACACCACGCCAGCCCTACCTGGCGGATCAACGCCTGCGACGCAAACGAATACACCAATCCCCCCAGCCCGCTCCCTGCGGTGGCGATGCCGTTCGCGAGGCTCCGCCGGCGCTGGAACCACTGCGGGACGATGCCGACGGAGCCGACGAACAGCATGCCGAGGCCGCAGCCGAAGCAGAGGCCCTGGGAGAGGAAGAGGGGCCATAGCTGGCCCGGGCGGACGAAGGAGGAGGCGAGGAAGGAGAGGAGGAGGAAGGACGTGCCGAGGAGGAGGGTTGGGCGGGTGCCGAAGGTGTGGAGGAGGTAGGTGGAGAGGGGGGAGATGAGGAGGGAGACACCGATGGAGAGGCCGCCGATGAGGGCGAAGTCGAGGGGGGAGGCGGAGGGGAAGGTGTTGGTGTTGAGGTAGTGGGCGAGGAAGACAGCGTACGACTGCGTTTGTTAGCTGGTTTTCGGGGACAATGGCGGTTGGCAGGTTACACACGCTATTCATACCCCATGTGTGGGCATTGATTCCTGCAACGCAGAGCACACACACCCATCCGTAGCCTCCCTCAGGAGGACCATCTCTTGCCAATGCCACTGTATCTGCTCCCGTCTCAACATCCACCGCCACCTGCCCCGCGGAACTATTTCCGTCTTCGCTGGTTGCATCGGGGCTCGTGCTCCGTTCGATCGCATCTTCGTCTTTTGCTCTCGAGACCTCCGACGTGCGATTGCTCGAGATGCGTGACACGGGGGGTTCCAACGCCGTGGCGGATTGCTCAATTGTTAGGTTCGTTGGGTTGTCGGGCCGATCCTGATTTGCATGGTTGTTGGTATTCAAGGAAGCCGACGCCTCCCGCTTCGCAAACGTCATCGGTACATGTACAGGTGCATCAATCCGATCGAATAATGGCAAGATAACGGGAGAAATACAGCGACGCGGCAAAATATATATATCTAAATTCCCCTCGGGCGAAACGATGACTGGAATTTCCACTCGATCAATTGTGGGTACAGAGCAGAAAATCCGTTCCTGATAGCGGCCGCTATTCCTTAGTTTGCTGTGTGGACCCGACTGGAATCCGTTCAGTCAGACTCCGCACATCTCGTACGTAACAACACCAAGCTCGTCACGAGCGGATACGGATCGCGGTAGGAAGTCGGCCATTTTCCCCTCATCGCGCCCTTCTACCTGCTGCGGCTTACACAGGATGAGTTGCTCTGACTTCCAACATCAAGGTACTTTCTGTACGGGAGGTTATTGGACCCTGAAGGCACCTGGTTTTCGGGTAAAACGGCAGCGAGTTGGATGGATGCGATAGGTACTCTAGAGTGTAATATCCCTGGGGGTAAAATATGCGTGTTTGGGTACATACTTGCCGCAGCAACACTACGGTAGGATGATACATTGCGGTACTTAGATACCGGAGTCTAATTCTCTTGTTCCGGATGACAGAATTTCGACATATTCGTGTAGACAAAGTCCGATGCCGGACGGAAAACTCCGGTGCCTCGTAAGCTGTTGATTACTGGTTCTATCAGACCATTTGTAAAGAAGCCGGAATATATATACCCGTGGTACGGGTTTGTTCTATCCGTGTGGCATGTCTGGGCTGGAGGTTGAATGATGTATCAGGGCAAACGACCAGGTACATCTACTCTTACGAAGATAGATCCATCAAATCCACCCAACCCGATGCCCAAGATAGCTAAACCCTCCAAAGAAGGCCGTCACTCCAGTAAATGCAATCAACCCTCCATACCCATTGTCATACGCGAACTTCGATCTCCCTCCCCACCCCGTTCCAGCCTTCAACAACACCTCACTAAGGGGACCCGAGACCACATTCCCTAAACCCTTCCCGACCGCCAGCAGCGCAAAAATCAACCCCGTATCCGCAGCGTTGTTCACCTTCTGCACATCACGCACGATGCCCGACCACGTCGTCGAATAACTCCCGGCGAAAAGCCCGTAGATCATGCTGAACAGGTACAGCAGCGTAAGGTTCGACGCCAGCCCCCAGAAGAGAAACACCGCGACGCACGTTCCCACCGTCGACAACATGATACACGTCGTGATATGGAACCGATCCACCGCGATTCCCATGAACACGCACCCTACTACGCTCATCAAGTTCAGCAGCGTCAACGTCAGCGACGACTTGAACCCCGACGCTCCCAGCGCTGTCGCGTGCATCGGCAGGTAGATCGACGGCAGAAAGAACCCCAGCGACTCGACCACGCTGCCGATCTGCAGCATGCCGAAGACCCGGGTCGTGGCGAACCGGAAATCGAGGCGCCGCGCGTGCATCGCCGGAGAGACCGGTAGCCGTGGTTTGAGGTAGTAGAGCAGCGGGGCGGTCAGGATGCACACGGCCAGCGCCCAGATGCGCAGGGTGGTACGGAAGCCGTAGGAGTCGAGGAGCCATTGCATGAGGAAGGGGAGGACGACACCGGCAAGCCCAGTGCCAGCCCACATGATGCCGAAGGCGAGGCCTTTGCGGCGGATGAACCACTCGTTTAAGAAGAGAATGGTGGGGGAATAGGCGATGGAGCCGCCGATGCCGTAGAGGAGGCCTTGGGTGGCGATGAGGTGGGTGACGGTCTGGGAAAAAGAACTGAGGCCGAGGGCGAGGCAGAGGATGACCAGGCCGATGACGGCGAAGGGGCGGCGGAGTTTGGGGAAGGCTTTCATGGCACCGAAGACGATAAGGGAGTCGAGGTACATGATTCCGGAGGATACGGTGCCGATTAGGGCGATGTTGCTGGATCCGGCGAACGGTTCATGAGTGCTGTAATATTGCTGGAAGACACCATATGAAAATGGAAACCCTATATCTTGCTCAGTGTCTCATCGATATAGGTATTAGAACGAAGGAATTACCCCAAACTAAGGACTCGACCATAAACGCCGCGGCCAGGAATAGCCATGCGTCTTTCCCTCCATCTGCTGGCGGGAGAGAAAACTCCTGAACCCCATCCTGCAATGAAGGCTCTCGATGGTTTCCCTGTGAATCCAGCTCTTGAGGATTTCCGACACCGGAGTCATCTCCTCTCAACCGAGCAGTCGCAATTGGGCGAAGTTCTACATCCAGGGACTCCATTTAGACCTAGAGAAGCGAGGTCAAACCCTATATACTCGAATTCTCGGAACCAAATCAATTGTCAAGGGAAGGAAAACAGTCAGCTTGGACACAGGATTCATTTTCAACCGTTCACACAGTCGGACTCATCGAAGGTATCTTGGGCTGTCATCACCGATCGGCCATGACTGCATCTTCGGATTTCGGAGTAATAGAGCCATGTAGTGGGGGCAGTACGTAGTAGTATATGGTAGCGTGCAGATACCAGTGGGTCACTGGGTCGACACTTTACACTATGGAAGGTTGTCAATATTGATGATCATATTGTTGAGGTATTTTTGAATCAATTCACAATATCTGGCAGTCCGAAGATCTGGTACCTTTCCTATGGACGTATAATATATGAAGAGTTAAGAAGTGTGGAGTGCATCCCCCTGATCCTTTGATCCTCCAACCCCAAATGCGCATCATATCAAATTGCTTGAGGCACAGCAATCAACATGTGGCGTTCAGCCCCTGGAATTTTCATCAGGCGGTGATCCCTGCCACTTGTTGCCATCATCGTTCGTTTCGAGTTTCGACATTCAACTCCCGGTTCCATTCTTTGCTCCATCCGAACTTTGTGAATGGCTCAAATCTTATGAATGGGTCAAAAAGGGTGTTTGCCCTTCCAGTTTTCAGCCGTCGACATTCATCAGAAATCATGACCATCTTGTCTCTGTGAACCAGCTATTCTTCTCCCTTGTCTCGTTCGGTCTCCTTTCGGGGTTTGAGTCAACTCTATAGTCGACTTTATAAGAGTCAAAACTTTATACATCATGTTGCTTCCGCAACGATACGCTAAAAGCGTGGCCGCCATCGTGGTCGTCGCCCTCTTTCTCCTGTTTTTAGTCGCTTTCCGCCTACAGTATTCCTGGTCCGATCCCAAGCTCACGCCGCTTCGACCTCCAGTCAATTATTACGACACCTCCCGGATCCCGCAGACCATCGACAAGGCCTACGCCGCTCCGATCCCCGCCAACGAATGCTGGCCGGAGCTCGAATACCTTCGACAGAAGGATTTGGATTTGGGCACCAACGTGACATGGTCGAGACGATGCATTCAGCCGATGTTTGGAAAATCGGACCGAGACGAGGTCAAGAAGCTGCCCGGATCGTTGATCACGCAGCAGTCGGTCCTCGACCTCGGGTCGTGTGCACATGAAGATATCCCTCCGTGCGAAGTGCTCCCGCTGAACGTCCCACATACCTATCCCGAGAAGCAATATGCACATATCATCTTCGGCGTGGCGTCCAAGTACGAACGGATCCGGGATTCCTTGCCCGCGACAGCGCATTGGTTGGCTCTTTCCGGGGCGGAGTTGATCGGCGTTGTTGTCGACGTCGACGCGAGCGAGACGGGCAAGTTGCGGGCGCTGGAAAAAGAATACGCGGACTGGGACATCAAGGCGAAGTTCACGGCGCCGACTCTGACCGAGTACATTCCCAACAACAACGATGAAGACCGGAGCACCGACCGCGACATCCCCATCGAGCACCATCACTTCATGATGATCCGCGATATGATGAAATACACGACCTCTCGAACCCAGTGGCTGGGCATTCTCGACGACGACACCTTCTTCCCCTCTCTCTACCCTATCGGCGAAGAACTCTCCAAGTACGACCACACCAAACCCTTCTGGCTCGGCGGCCTCTCCGAAGACTTCTTCCACGTGAAGGTCTGGGGTCTCATGGCCTTCGGCGGCGCCGGCGTCTTCATCTCCATGCCGCTCGCCCGCAAGCTCGACCCCGTCCTCGAAACCTGCATCGCCGACGCCTCCGTCGACACCGGCGACGGCATCCTCCGCGACTGCATCTACACCAAGACTAGCACCAAGCTGACCATCATCACCCGCCTCTACCAGCACGACATGCTAGGCGACCTCTCCGGCTTCTTCGAAAGCGGCATCCAACCCCTCAGCATCCACCACTGGAAATCCTGGTATGACGAACCCGTCATGGCCCAGGCCGCTGTGGCCGGCGTCTGCGGCGACTGCTATCTGCAGCGCTGGCAGTTTGGCGAGAACACGCTCTTCGCCAACGGGTACAGCATCACCCTCTACCCCGAGGGATTGGAGAACATCGACCTGACCCATTGCGAGGGCACCTGGGCGTACCCCGCGCACGGGATCAGCGGGCATGAGTACGATTTCAGCTTCGGGCCGCTGCGGCCGAAGTTAGAGGCGGACCAGAAGAAGAGCTATCGGCTGAAGGACGCGGTGCGCATGGCGAACGGGGTGTTGCGGCAGATTTACGTGTATAAGGGCGATGTGGAGCGGGGGGAGATGGATGAGGTGGTGGAGCTGTTGTGGGAGCCGGGGAGGGAGGGGACGGCGTCGGGTTGAGTACCATTACACGATGATGACCGAAGTGCTCCGGCGTCGTTGGAGGTGCCGGTACCGCCGAGCGAGGCAACGGGCAGTGGATTACGAGTCATGAGGTGCTATGGTACCTCATGATATGTGTGCTGCAGAAAGCAGACCGCGAGAATGACATGAGACCAAACGAAAGGAATGCGGTCCTCATCGCACAGCGCCACAAGGAAGTCCCTCATGCGGTGCTCGAACGTGTACTTCGGATGATTCAAAGCGACCCAATATGATCCGTTGTGGGTGATGTGCCCTGGAAAATATGAGCGGTGTTTGGGATGAATGTTGGCTCATGGACGGATCATATACACTTACGGGTAGCAAATACACTAGTGGTCGGGTCAGGAGTTAGGGGTCACGAGGTGGTGTTCCAATGTCGGTGGTTCGGCTGGGATACCACTAAAATGAATAGGTATAATGTCCTCTGGTTTGATGCATCGTGTATTACTAGTTGTATCCTAGAATATCAAACCAAAAGTGGCCGAATGAAGCAAAGTTAGTCTATCAAAATGTAAGCCCAAAGGCTTGACTTTTACCTAGGGACAAGAATCAAATAGGTATATACATCAAATCCTCGAAGCCAACTTCCCCTTCATCCTCTCATATTTCTGAATATCCACCACACTCGTCCGCACCGTCTCGCATGCATGCTCGAAATCCTGCAACTCCACCACCTCCGCCCCCCTCCGCAGCGCACTCTGCCCAGCACGTCTTAACAAGCTCCCCAGATCCGCGCCGCTGAAATTCCCGCACCGCCGTCCAATCTCTGCGAACTCCTCGTGGATCGGCGTCTTCTGAATCAGCGCCTTCAGAATATCCACCCGCTCTTGCTCGCCCGGCAGCCCGACGAACAGCAACGTCTCCAGCCGGCCCGGACGCAGCATCGCCGGATCGATGATATCCGGACGGTTAGTGGCGGCGATGACGTAGATGCCCTGGCGGGCGCTGAGGCCGTCGAGCTCGGTGAGGAGGGTGTTGACAACGCGGGCGGAGGAGTCGGAGAGGGCGTCCTCGCGCTTGGGGGAGAGGGCGTCGAGCTCGTCGAAGAAGATGACGCAGGGGATGGAGGAGCGGGCGCGCTGGAACACCTGGCGCACGGCGCGCTCGGACTCGCCAACGTACTTGTTGAGGAGCTCGGGGCCCTTGACGCTGATGAAGTTGGCTTTGGACTCGTTGGCGACAGCTTTGGCGAGGAGGGTCTTGCCGCACCCAGGGGGGCCCCAGAGGAGGATGCCAGTGGGGGCGAGGATGCCGACTTTGCGGAAGCGTTCGGGGTTTTTGATGGGCTCGACGATGGCGGTTTGGAGCTCGGCGCGGACTTCTTCCAGGGCGCCGATGTCTTGCCAGGTCGTGTCGGGGATGGTTGCAAATCCTTCTCGTTTCGATGAGGGCTGGATGCCAGGGAGGACCTCCAAGAACGCCCTCATAGAGATAGCCGTATCTTCGAATCCAATCGGGCGGGGTTGGTCTTTGTTCTTGACCCGTTCAATCAGTCGCGTGATCGACTTGTCCATGCCAGAGTAGTCTTTCGCCTGATCAATGTCCATATCCACTTCCGTTTCGGTAGCTTGCCGCTCCAACGCTTCCCGATATTGATCCATCGACCATGTCCCCGCCTTGCCAACCAGGTCTCGAAGATCCGCGCCAACGAACCCAGGAGTCTTCTTCGCTAAGATAGCAAAATCGACATCCACAGCGACATGGATGTCTCTCGTCTGCGCACGGAGGATGGACTCCCGCATAGGCTCGTTCGGAACGCCCATGTTGATCTCCGTATCGAACCTACCCCCACGACGCAGCGCCGGATCCAAACTGTCCGGACGATTCGTTGCCGCCAGCACGATCACCGGCTTCCCGTCATTCGCCTCCATCGCGAGACTGTCCATGCAAATGAGAATCTGAGCGACGATCCGCTTCTCCATCTGACTCTGCGCGGTATCGCGCTTGGGAGCGATGACGTCGATCTCATCGATGAATATCAGGCAGGGCGCAAGCCGTCGTGCTTCCTCGAAGTGCTCCCTGATCTGCTTTTCCGATTCACCGGACATGCCAGAGACCACCGAAGGACCCAGGATTTCGATGAACGGCACGCCGAGTTTTGCAGCAAATGCTCTCGAGATGACGGTCTTTCCGCACCCCGGTGGACCGTGAAGGAGGATGCCTCTCGGGATCGGAATTTTTCGTTTGGCGTATTCTTCAGGGCAAAGTAGAGGCAGTACCAGGTGGTCTTTTAACTCTTTCTTGATCGCGTCTACGCCACCGACATCTTCGAGACGTATATGTGTCGGAGGACTGCGATCCACGGGTTCGGGTGCGGGCTTCCGTCGCTTCTTTACTGGTTGTTCGCCGTCCGCCAATTTGCCTTCCCTCTTCTTGGTGGGTTTCTCTCCGCTGACGCCTGGGGCGGGAGATCCAGTGGTAGGAGGGGTCCATGATTGCACGATGGTCTTGTTCATAAGGTTCGACGCCGGCGGGGGCGCTGGGTCTTCTAGATCGCCGTCGAACGAGTCGATATCGTCGTCGCCATTCTCTTCCGCGAGCACCGCGAGGACTCGCTCGATGCTATCCTCCAAGATGGGTTTGGGCCTCCGTCGTAGGCTCGAGTTGGAGTGTTTGATCCAGTCGTAGACTGAATAGGATGTGAGTAGCTCGCCTTCGCGTTCATCTTGTAATTTGCGGACTACTTGATAGACCTCGCGGTCGAGTCCTTGCCGGAGGGACGGTCTCGACTTTGTGTGCTTGCTCGGCATTTTCACACGATCCGAACTACAGGTATCGGGGATGCAAAAGAGAGATTAAAGAGAGTTAGGACTCATGTCCTACAGTACCACTGGTACTTCAACACGATGCGGTGGTCTTCGACTTTGGCGGGAAGTCCTTCACTGTTGAATGTTGAATGTCCAAATCTAAAATTTATCGTCCCCTGCCAGTTTGGATCGACGCCGGAAACGGAGGGTGGAGGTGCTGGCTTATCGATAAGGGACGTCACAGCACGACACCAGGCCCTCTAGTCAACAGCCGCAAATGCAGGCTATTAATACATCCCACTTCATTCGAAAATGCAAATACAGTATTGAAAGCTTCGGCTTACTCTGCGGTGAAGTTGCAATTGTTCCCGTACCCGTTGAGCATTTACGCCACACAATTCTCGGAGTCCGGCAGTCAACTGGAGTTGAAGCTCATGGAAGGCATCCGCAATCGATCAATATGGGCAACTCCAGTAGCTCTAATAAGATATCGGCCCAGGATAAGTGAGCATGTCTGAACCGAGCTCGCCGCAACTCTCTAACGGCGGTGCAGGGCTATTCTTGATATGAAAATCCAGCGCGACAAGCTACAACAGTACCAAAAGCGGATCGCCGTCATCACCGAGCGCGAACGAGAAATCGCGAAGGAGTGTCTACAGAAGGGTGAGAAAAAACGAGCGCTACTAGCGCTACGGCGGAAGAAATACCAAGAGTCCTTGTTAGCCAAGACGGACGATCAATTGGCGCAGTTGGAGATCCTCACGAACGACATCGAGTTTGCGCGGGTTCAGAAAGATGTCTTGTTCGGACTCCAACAGGGCACGGTGGTTTTGAAGGAGATACATAGGGAGATGGGAGGCATACAGCGGGTGGAGAAGCTGTTAGAAGACACGACGGAGGCTCAGGCAGCTCAAAGAGTTTGTCTCCTTGCAACCTTTTCGCTATTGCCCCGTACGCTAACCCCTTCAATAGGAGATAAGCGAAATGCTAGGTGGCAGAATGTCGAACCAGGACGAAGATGAGGTGGAAGATGAGCTAGAAGCCCTCCAGGCGGAAGTGAATGCTCACCAGTTCCCGGATGCGCCGCGGAAGAATGTGGAGGGGGAGCCAACTCGGAAGGTGCGCGAGACTCCACGAGAAAGAGCACAACGGAGGCGACAGGAGGCAGAAGCAGAGGAGGAGGAGAGAGAAGCAGTTCCAGCATAAGACCGTCTGCATTGTTCTTGATTTCAAGCTAAGGAGTAACGTCGGGGGAGTGAGTGTTTTGCATTTCCGAGCGTTTTGGATATCTGGTTTTGCGCCTCTTCTATTCCTCACCGACCGGCGGAACCAGTGGCATATGATTATTTGATAATCCGACTATCTAGCTGTATGAGTTATTGGTATTAAATCAATGCTTCCTAGGAATAAGTGCCTATCGATGCTCGTAGCAAATGATCCTCCTAACGCACGTGCTTTATATCTCCCCCACCCACGTCATTGGTTTGCCCCCCTTAGAACTTCGCCAATTCCATCCCCCCAATATAATAGACACAAAGCACGTAACCTCAATCCATGCCTGGATTTCAAAATAGCAGGTCACGATTCAAGCCCTCAGCTGTCCCGTCGCATTCAAGAACCTTGAATATCCACTACAATGTCGCATTGCCACGATGAGCACGATCATCACCACCATGACCACGACGGCCATGATCATTCGGACGACATCACACCAGCACTACAGAACTTACTTCATGGGCAGATAGACTTCAGCGCCGTAAGCACTCTCAACGAGACCGATCCGCGGTCTGGCGCCGCCATCTTGCAGAAAACATGGGCACAGCGGCTAGAAGACCAGCCGGAGCTTAGAAGCGACGCTGACGAGCAGATTCTAATGCTGGTCCCGTAGGTTTGGGCGCCGCTTATGCTATAAGATAGTATTAATAGGATCACAGGTTCACCGGGCAAGTCCGATTACATAGCATCATCCTCCGCACCTCCGCATCCGACTCTGCCCCTCGCACCCTCAAAGTCTTCATCAACCGCGACGACCTCGACTTCTCTACCGCCACTGACCTCCAGCCCACGCAGACCTTCGAGCTCGCGCAGACCTCGGACATCCAAGAGCATCCCGTGAAGCGGGTGCTCTTTAACTCCACGCGGCAGCTCGGGTTATTTTTCGAAGATAACTTCTCCGGCGGCGACGAGGATGAGACGGTGATCACCTACCTGGCGTTTAAGGGGGATTTCATGAAGCTGAATAAGGAGCCGGTGAGCTTCCTATACGAGGCGGCGGCGAATCCGTCGGATCATACGCCGATTGTAGGGACGAAGCAAGGGATGGGGAGTGACATTGGTCGTGGAGGCGCGTAGATGGTGGTCAGCGGGCGGGTTTACGCGTTGGAGAAGCAAAGCGAGCAAATGATACCCACGCGAAAGCAGATGACGTCTGTCGAGAAGAGCGTTGCATATGACCGGTGTCTGTCTATTTGGATTGGTTGTGTAAAATAAAGGCTAAGGCTCGGGATAGTGCAGTTCAACGTACCTTACTCCTGAAGAAGCATTTCGCTCTTGTATCGCTCTAGGGCTTAGGAGGCTTCGTCATGTAAGCTACAATTGCAAGAGTCATAAACTCAAATAGTCACACTAGCCAAGCTGTGCCCGGAGTGATAATCCAAGCATATGAATTAAATTAAATACCCCGCGTCGAGCTTGACTTTCGGCTTCGATTATCGGGGACGTATTCAACGCATCTAATGATCTAATGTCTATGCTAAAACATTCGGTCCACTTCAAGACTTAGAGACATATATCAACCCGATCCCCTCAACTTCGAATTCTTAAGCAGACAGCCGTATCCCCTACGACAATAGAAGATGTTTTACGAACCAGGGAAGACCAGCCATGGGCTGAAGCGCGATCCATTCAAGGTTCTCTTGTGATTTGATAAAGATAGAATTGTACTAACTTCCGTAAAAGGCATGCGTTGTCCCTCGCCCGATCGGATGGATATCCACGATAAACAACGCCGGACAAGCCAACCTGGCGCCGTACAGCCAGTTCAACAACCTGACCTTCGACCCTCCATATGTCATGTTCTCCGCCAACCAGAACCCCGACGGGGTACGCAAGGACTCCGTCGTGAACGTCGAGCAGTCGGGGAGGTTTTGCTGGAACCTGGCGACCTGGGATCTGCGAGAGCAAGTCAACATCACCGCGGAGCAAGTCCCCTATGGCGTCGACGAGTTCGAGCGCGCGAACCTGACGAAAGAGTGGAGTCGGGTGATCGAGAAGGTGCCAATGGTCAAAGAAAGCCCGGTCCGGTTCGAATGCACGTATTATTCGACGTTGAAGCTTCCGGGGAACGCGCCGGTGGGGTCGGTGGACGTGGTCATTGGCAAGGTTGTCGCCATTCATATTGACGATAGCGTGCTCACGGATGGGATTTTGGACATTCGGAAAACGCAGCCGATCGCTCGATGTGGTAAGTGGAGTGGATCGTTCGGCTTCAAATGTCCATGCTCACTATCGAAGGGTATTATCAATACGCCGTGATCCGGGAGACGTTCGACATGATTATCCCGGGAGACAATTCTCAACTCCTTAACGGGTTGGAAGGAAAGTCGTCAAACCAGACTTAGGTTCGATGATCTGCGTCGAAGTGTATGGAGTGTGGATTGTTTGCCGTCACTCGAGCTTGCCAGCGTGCGAGCAATAGCAATCGAATTTCGTGCTGCGTATGCTTGACTATCTTGATCTCGTCAGAGAGACATGTTCATAGATATCGATTTCGTAGAGGATTTACCAGGATGGGTAGAATGGCGCCAATCTTATACAGGTCGTTGCGATGCAATCGGATCTTGAACCAATCTCTCTCGCCTATCACTTGGCGCTCATTCTCCATCAGGTTGGGATTGTGACTGGGTCGAGGAGGTCACTTTGTCTAACACCGACATCGACTTCTTCATCCGCTCCACAATATCGCTCATGCTCGCCATCATGTCTCCATTACACCGTGACTTCGCCTCGTCCCAAATGGTCTCGGTCGGGTCTCTTGTCCCCGCCTCGACTGTTGACTCGCCCAGCCCCGTTCCTTGTATCCGCAGCATCAGGGCAGTTCCTTGACCCAACGACGATTCCTCTTCCTCAAACGTGGGTGCGTTGGTGATGGATGTCGCTGTCACGGCCCAGTCCGGGCTGAGGCTTTGTACTTCGTCGATGGTCTGTCCGTCGGGCCCTACATCGACCAAAACATACCGCTCTTTGACACCCGGACGAGGGCGCGGTAATGCTGGTACCCGCGATCGTACCCGCGCCTTGCCTTTCGAATCGGCTTCCGTATCTGAGGGCGGATAGGGCGGTGGTTCGGTGCCTAGCGATCGCATGGCGGCCGCCACAAGGACATCGTGGTCGTCGTCCGCGAAGATGTAATGAACGGACGGGTGATGGTACTCGCCGCTAGATTCATCTTCGATGAGAGAAAAGAAAGGGTTGAAGTTGGGGGGAGGAAGCAGTTGGTCGTCGCTTGGTTCGATGTAGTCGTGCGGCGCGGTGGCGTCCTCGACTTCTGGTTCTTCTGGTTCTTCTGGTTCAGCGTGTGGTTCATCATGAGTCTCCTCATTCTCTTCCGCAGGTCGCCCTTCTTGCATCTTGGCTGATCGAGCTTTCGGTGATGAGGCCACCGCGTCGGCGGTGTTCTGCCGTGAGGCCATAGTTCTACATATAGGAATTCGAGGACAGCTCCAGGTCTATGATGGGTTCATATTCTATCGAAGATCTGCCTGCGGCCCACAGGTCAAATGACGCCGAGGTATTCCACACTACCGTAATGAAATGAAATGAAACAACGAACATGCGATGGAGGATCGAGTTTAAATGGGAGTTATAGAGCTGGAAGGCAACGGAAAATGTCACCGGTCATCAAGCTCCATGAAGCTCACTTGAACCCATGACTCGCGCAGGACCCTTGTGATTCAAATGTGGTGTGATGTTCGATGGAGTACCAGGAATTATTTCATACATTTGGCACCAACTTCAGGTTGAACCAAATGTCCAGCACAATGAGTGTATGGATTCTATCTTGTATTGTCAGGGACATGGAATTAACAGCGATCATTGAGGTCGAAGCCACAATAGCTGCTTTTCTGTGGGCTCTGATCATCCTAATCAACAGACAAAACCGCAACTCAGGCGTCTGTATTAATATTGCCGGGACCAGCCACAAGATTCAGTGTCTGGATATCGCTCTCAAATTGTACCCTAACTGTCTCGCCATTCCTCGTGGAAATCAGGGGAAACCCCTGGTTCGTAGTCGAGATAACAAGCAATAGACCCCAGAACCCCCCATGGTTGTATGCCAACTGCCCAACCTGTCATGACTTTGTCTCTTGTAGGCGATATGCCAATTCATGACCAGGATATCCTGCGAAGCAAGGCTGTCATGATGTGCGGCCAGGTTGACGCGTAGGAAGGCCCGTTAAACAGCCTCGCTGGACACGAGGATCGCGGAACGGTCCCCTTAGTGACACGTCTCGAGTCCGGCAAGCTGATGAAGCCCCAAATTATGATATACTCTTGTGGTCCATTGATAGCACGCTTCTTTCACCCTTCTTTCGCTTTCCAGACTATAATATTTGTGGTCAGACCCGCACGGCGTAAAGCTGATATGATAGATCACATACCTTGACGACACATAGGACAACGCTCTTGGGAGGCTTCTTGTTGAACCCAGGCATATATGCAGTGCTTTATAGATAATCAGTCTCAGAGTCTCCTTAAAACAAGGAATCTGATAATGGCCTCACCATATGGAAAGAGTGATTACAGTCGCCCATCACTAGATTGACGGTCAGCAGGCACCAAGCATAAAGGTACCGTAGACTCACAAAGAGGACACTGATCTCCGGGATATTTACACTTAGAGCAGGTGCTATCATAAGGATTCCTGCATATCCCACAGACATCATCTTCAGGCATATCCCATCTCCATGCCGCCACGGCGTTCCACCGCTTGATGGTGACCTTCATAATGAAACAAACGCGTTGATACAAATGTTTTTAATCTTTCGTACGCTTGGAAAACCGGGAATAGGATGGGAAATTGGAGGAGAAAAAAAGGTTGGCTGTTGATGTTGATGTTGATACCCAAACTTTATCACCACCATCAAAGACATGAGACGACTTGAACGTCAATAAAAACCACCCCTGTCACATTGTTAGTAAACATCGAATTCCCTCACACTTCATGAAGTTCTTTCTTTCCTTCCATGATAGTATCATGAATTGCAAAATTATTGTTCATTTAATCGAATCCTATCCTATCACGCGTAACTAGGAACCTCAACGTTCTTCACAACCACCTTATTATCCTTATTGTTTGCATAATTCGCATCAATACTCCCAAACCGTATCCTCACCCACTCCCCTGCAGTCACCCCCACCGGCGGCAGCGCTCGATTATTATCCCCTTCAATCTGCCCCCTCTCCAAAAGGGGACTCTTCACTGCCTGCAAGAGCGTGCTATCGTCCGGCCCAGCGAAGTAGATAACCCCGTACCTTGGAATGTCCCTCTGATCCTCCGGCGGCAGGACCACCCGATGGATGGAGCTCTCGAGATAGCCTCCGGTGAGGAATGACAAGGTGTCGGCGACGTTGACGGTGATGCTTTCTTTGAGCGGCTTTACCCACTTCCACTTCTTCTCCCCGTATGGCCGAACCTGCAGCGCTGCGACCGGCTGTCGCATCAGGAGTGTGAAGGTGCCGAAGTCCGTGTGTCCATATACGTTTTGCTCGATGTTATGCTGCTTCATGATCTCCAGCTCGTCCGGGGTTCGGGGATGATACAGCATGTATCTGAGATGACACTGGGATTGCGACTCGTAATCATGCAGCTTCCACAGCGCTTCTTCATCGTCGAGTTCCATGATGATCGCGGACAAGATCAGCAGTCGTCGAAGGACGTATGACGCCAAATGTCTCTGGAACTTCTCCGTCTTTTCCGCGTCATCGACAAGCGGCTGTGGTCTCAGCCTCTCTTTGTAGAAGTCGTTCCATTTCGGATCATCGTACAGCTCTAGGCTATCGACTAGACCATGCTGCTGCTTGCGGCTTCCGCGTGGCTTCCACCCAAAGAACCCCTGCTTTGTGGGGTCGACCCGGTATTTCTGTTTCGCCTCACCAGGTAGATCAAAGATATCTTTGGCGCGAGCGAATTGGTCGTCGACCTCTTCCTCGGATAGGCCGAAGTTGATCACGTAGAAGAAGCCGACGGTGGAGATGGCATGCTTTAGTTGGGATGCGAGCTTCTTCTTTCCGCCGGGTTCGTCGAATTGAGAAAGGTCAATGGTCACTAGGTCGGCCCACTCGAGATCCGCAGTAGTCTCTGGTATATCTTGATATCGAGTGTACTCAGTGGCAGTCATCGTCATGTTGACTGATTTTTAGTTTGATACCCTCCTGTCCTTGTATGGCCGGATGAGGATCACAGAAACCAATGAACTTGGATATATGAACATTGCCTATCTTGTAGCAGTACTAATAAATTTTGACTCCAGAACCATTCCCATTATTCCCTTATATAAACTTGACCTAAGTTTGTCATTGCGCTTTGTGGTTAGCAAAACGCGGGGATTTATAGAACCCCACCACGGCCATTAGCCGGTTAGCCCCTATTGCTGAAGGAAGCCTCAAGTCCTCGCAACATCTACTTCTTACTTCTAGAGGTTAAGATATATCTATCTAGCTGATGCCTTCTGGTACACGGAATATGCTCTGGTATTACGAAGTGCTTCATCAACGTCATAGCCACACACGGCGTCACTTGAAAGTCACGCCCTTCTCCTCTTCCTTTCTTGGCGCAGTTTCTGCCAGTGCCCAAGGGACTGGCTGTGGGGGAAAGGCTGGGGTTGTGGGAATGCGATGTGTCGGGCGGGTTTTGGTTTGTAGAGCCGTTTGGATGTTGAGTTTGGATCCTGGGAGACCGAGATGGGTTTGCTACTATTACTGTGCTAGGATAGTAGTGACCAGACCTTGGCGTGAACCCCTGGTAGCGGAACCGCGAGACACTGTAACTGGTGGGTACCCGGATATTAAGAATCCGTTATTCGAGGGAATCAAGAAAGCACTGGTATGGTCGGAAGTGTAAGGTAGACCGGGGGTCAGTCCCCCTCAGTCCGCATAACACAGAAAAGGGGTGTCGCGGTGCATGTAACCAATGAATGAGGTCATGAATTGTATCGCTAAAATTGTACAATACCAATCTGAACCCTACAGCGGACATGCCGAAATAGTCCGGCTCAGAGACAACTCCTTCCCATCATGACAGACATCCAAGTCTGTGCTGAGGATCATGATAAATCCGCAATGAAATCCCAACGCCCCACAATCCGACCGTCCGGTCGAACATCCGTCAAACTATAACCTTGAGACATTGGCGTCCTCGGCGTTGGGGTTCACCACCGGGGCAAGCGTGACGTTGTACTCCAATTCTAGCGTCGCCTTCTCGTCGCCCTCTAGGGGCACGAAGTCGACGACCAGATCGTCCTTGACGGCGAACACGGAGTCGTCCTCGAGATGGGGGTCTTCTTTGGGGAAGATCTGGGTGGTGACAGGCTTGTATCCAGCGTGTGTGACCTATTCCAACGTTAATTCTGGCGTGGAGCACTCATTCGGATCGCAACATACCATGAGATGGATATGCGCCGGCCGCCACGGCGACCTATCCATAGCTGACAGCAGCTTAAACGCCGGCCCCTCCGTCGGCAGCGAATACGCCGTCGGCTTCAACGCGTAGAAATGATACTCCCCGTTCTCGTTCGTGCGGAACTTCCCCCTTAGGTTGTTCGGCGACTGATTTTCGGGGTCCTGGAAATCGTACTTCCCGTTCGACGACGCCTGCCAGATGTCGAACACGGCGCCGGCAATCGGCTTCTTGGTCTCCAGGTCCAGCACCCGCCCGTGCATCAGCGTCACCTGCCCGTCGTGCGGGTCCTGCATGATGCTGTCGCCGGGGTTGCGGAAGGGGGCGTGCGGGCTCCAGAAGGGGCCGAGGATGGAGGAGGAGGTGGGGATTTCACCGGATTCGGAGACGTGTCTATGGGCGATTTCGTCGACGAGGCTGGGGAGGGTTAATTTTCGGATTTGGGCGCATTGAGGCTGTGTGGTGCTTACGATTCAAGTCCGATGACGTCTGATATCCGGTGGGCTTCATTTCGCTGTGCGGTGCTGATTTGGCCGATTGTGTTCATGAAATTCACGCCGATCATCCACTCGTCGATCGTGAGCTCCACCTCCCGAGCGAAGTCGTGGATGTGTGACATGAGCGATCCGAGGACTTCTCTGGTTCGCGGGTCGGTTTTCGGGCCCATGGCCTCCACCACCATCTTGGTGAAGTTCGGATCGAAACGTTCAGCCATTGTGAAATAGGGTATCAGTAGATCGGATTTACCGAAAAACGCTTAAGTGGAATGGGGATAGGGTTTGGCACTGGGATGTTATGTGCAAAAGACTTTTGATTGCTCGGAGAGTGGATGGAGGAGAGATATCTTGATATCCGACAGAAACTCGGTCTGGCTTCCGGTATTAATATATAAATAAAAGCTCCATTACGATACGGTCCCGACAACCAGAGCCTGGAGAAATAGGAGCTAATACCTAGCCTCATCCCCACAATGGGCCAGGGCGTCCGACTACAATTGACGGCAGATCAATCGGCTGTTCTCTTATCCGTCCCAATCCGTCCACTAAAACCGTCGATGGTGCTTGGAGGGAGATCCGATTTTGCATGCCGATGAAATAGATCGCATCATGGTCAGGCGTTTCCTAGAGCTTTTCTAGATCTGATCCTCCGGAGAAATTTATCGTCGTGCAGTTTCAGGGCGTCGAAGGATACTGGTTGAGAGCTCTCGATGCGATCCGATTGGGAATGGGGAGTCGCAAGACGCAAACTCGCAATGGTCGGGAAACGTGGAGAAGGAAATTCGCCACCTTGTGCTCGGAGTGCATCATCCAAGATTACCGACTACGGGTGCCGCTGTGGTGGGGCATTTCTGCCCCGCGCCGTTCTGGTGATATAGGTACTGACTAGAATGACAGCACGCGACGCGATTGTGGGGGGGCAATTTCGGTGATGAGCAATGTGCGGAAGTTTGCCGTTTTTAACATCCATGATCCATCCAGGATTTCAGGCGCATCGTGAACACGGCGAAATCTCGGGATTGTGGGGTTCTCGGGACCGTGGGGTTGGTAATTGAGCAATTCATTCGGCTGGCGGATCGTAGCAAAGCTTCCATTCTTCCAGAAACTCCGTGGAAGCGTGCCAATTGCAGGATATTGAGTCCCGTATATCCGCATTCCGTCTCCTAGGACATAGACATCATGCTGCACCATCTGATGATAGGGACTTGGACCCCTCCAGGGGCCATATTCACAGTCGAATTCGATGATGAGAAATTGACTTTGAAGCTGGTCAAGCGGACTGCTATACCGCAAGATGAGCCCATCTCATGGATGACCTTTGACGTGAGTTACACCTCCCTGGAGGATGACGCGCAAGACTAACTAACACAGAAGTATAGCACTCGAAGAAAAATATATACGGCGCATCAATGAAGAAATGGTCGAGCTACACCGTGAAGAGTCCGACTGAAATCGAACATTATGCCTCGCATGAGATTGGAGGCCACCGTATGAACCCTTAAATCGCTTGATAAGTAGCCCGGATTGACTCCGAAATAGCATCAGCAACGAGCGCAGAGTCCAACACACGAGCGATCTTCCTTCTAGCAGCGCAAAAGCCCCCCTATAATGTCTACTGCAATCCATTCTACAAGTTCGCTGGCTACGGCAACATCTTTTCCGTCCACAAGTCTGGGGCACTGAAGGAGAACATCCAAGATTACGAGTATTGCCCCGAGTCCGCGATCCACGGCATGGTTTTCGACAGCTCTGAGAAATACCTATACTCTGCAGATATGTGGGCGAACAAGATTTGGACGCATAAGAAGGACCTGGAGACTGGAACCTTGACGACTGTTGGGAGCGTCGATGCCCCTGATCCGGGAGATCACCCGCGGTGGGTGGAGTTACATCCAGACGGGCACTACCTTTATGCCTTGATGGAGGGAGGCAATAGGCTGGGAGTGTATCTGATAGACGAGAAGACACACTTGCCCGTGTTCACTCAGATCACATATCCCCTCATTCCACCAGGTAAACGACCAGACACCATAATCACTCTTCCACCAACCCACTAATGTCCACAGGAATGGGCACCTCCTTCCCCAAAATGTACCGCTCCGACGTCGTTTTCCTCTCCCACTCCAAAACCTACCTCTTCGCGACCGCCCGCTCCAACTCGCCCTCTCTAACCGGATACATCTCCGTCTTCAAGATCGGACCGACCGGCAATATTGAGCGGCAAATCTGCATGAATCCGACGCCGACCAGCGGCGGTCATTCAAATGCCGTGAGCCCCTGCGACTGGAGCGACGAGTGGCTGGCGCTCACGGATGATGAGAAAGGGTTTGTGGAGATATATCGGTGGAGAGATGAGTTCTTGGGACGGGTGGCGCATTTGGATATTCCGGAGCCGGGGTTCGGGATGAATGCGATTTGGTACGATTAACAGAGCGATAATTGATATCCACTGGCATGTGTCAATCAAGCTGTACTATAACTATAATCATAGACCTGTGTGAATTCTTTGGAATATTTATTCCTCGATACATGAATTCCGCCCAAGACGTTTCCCCGATAAATGCCTTCGTTGCTCAAATGGAGCTAGTCCTAACACAGGATAGGGTGTCTCACCTTAGCGGCTTAGCTCCAGTCGACATCATCGGTTCAGATTCAGTTGCCGATTTACAACTCCGCCGTGTTTTCCCACGTTTCTTGCCCTCCGACAGATCCACCTCGATGAGGGCTTGGACCGCTAGAGCTCAAGAGATGCATTTGAATTATCCTTCGGGAGTAATATCGGACATTGCTCCAGCCACGTCACACGTGTTAATATTTCCATAATCCACCACTAATTGCAATATGTTGACCTTGCGCTGACAAAGTCTCTATTCGCTTGAACTCAGCCTAGGCGAATATTCCATAATTCTATTCTACAATATACCTCTATCCATTGCGTTTAATGTTCTCTAGATACTCATCGGGTGGTTTTATTCGCATCAGACACAATCGGTATTCATCATGTCTTCCAAACCAGGGCTCCTCTATGTAACCATGCAACCTAGCCCCTCTCTTCCCATCGAGCGCTTCCACGACTGGTACAACAACGAACACGGTCCGCTCCGTCTGCGCCTCCCATTTTTCCGCAACGGATTGCGGTACCGCGCGTCGGATCTGAGTTCCGACCAGCTGGCATCGGCAAAGCGCCCGGAATGGCTGGCGATCTACGATGTGACAGATACGGAGGAGCTGGGGAAGCCGGTGTATACACGGCTGCGAGACGCGGACGTGAAGACGTCGAGGGAGAAGGAGACGATGAAGCAGATCAAAGTCGACAGGGAGATCTTAGACTTAGCCGGCGAATGGAAGAGTGAGAGCTTCGAAGAGGTGGAGACGCTCCGTGGCGATGTAGAGACGGAGGGCAACGTTCTCATGGTCGTGAGCGTGAAACTCCAGCTTAGCAAAGCGGCCGAGGAACAGGTATTGAACTGGTTCCCCTCAGAACATATTCCGCTCGTCTCCAAGTCTCCCGGCTGGCGCCGCACCCGTCACTTCGTCACTTCGAGTCTCGACGATCAGCACGTACGAACATTCCTTACACTCCATGAATGGGCGCCATCTAATAGCATTGGCGGGTCGGAGTTTCGGCAAGCCTCGACCATTGAATGGGTGCAACGGCTCAACAAGGAGACGGCCGCAGATATCAGTATCCGGACGTATAACCTGCATCTCATCTTCGGATCCGCACCGAGACACCTTGGTGACATCGCCGAATGGTCCTACAGCAACGACATGACCCGCACATTCCCCCCCACCGACCCAACTAGCCCCTTCGGCAGCGCCATCGAATCCTACATCACCACCCCCGACGGCGCCGCCCTTCCCTTCCGCCTCGAAGGCTCCCCCTCCCCATCCGCCCCCCTCATCGTCTGCATCAACTCCATCCTCACCACCTATCCCATCTGGGACTCCTTCGTCTCCTCCTTCTTCGCCCACCCGCCCAACCGCCGCTACCGCATCCTCCGTTACAACCCCCGCGGCCGCTCCCAACACACCGGCACCGCTCCCGTTTCCATCGACCTCCTCGCCGCCGATGCCATCACCCTCCTCGACGCCCTGCGCGTGCCCAAGGCCGCGTGCGTCATCGGCGTGTCGCTGGGCGGGATCACGGCGCTGAACACGGCGCTGAAGCACGCGGGGCGGGTGGAGGCGTTCGTGTCGTGCGATACGAATGCGCGGGCGCCGCCGAGCAATGCGGCGGCGTGGGACGAGCGGATCGCGGTCGCGGAGAAGGAGGGGTTGACGGCGGATGGGAAGGCGGTGGTGGGAGAGCGGCTGGCGGAGATGACGGTGCGGCGGTGGTTTGTGGGGGAGAGTTACGATGGGGGGGCGATGGAGCGGGAGGCGGAGCGGGTGAAGGAGATGGTACGGACGAATAGTTTGGAGGGGTTCCGGAGGGGGGTGAGGGCGTTGTATGCGTATGATGTTGGGGGTGAGATGGCAGAGGGGAAGGTGAGGGGGTTGTTTGTGGTGGGGAAGGGGGATGGGGTGTTACCGGATACGATGAAGAAGATGGCGGACGCGTATCGGTGGAGAGGGGCGGATGGGAAAGAGGGAGGGGTGGAGTTGAAGGTGGTGGATGGGGCGGGACATTTGCCGATGGTGGAACAGGGCGGTGCGGTGGCCAAACTGGTACAGGAGTTCTTGGCTGAAGTACCGGTATAGATAATAGCACCTGGAATAAAATAGGCCAGTGGTGCATAAAGGCAACCTTTCTGCCCCAAATCATAACGAACGTAGCTAGCACGTGATCTCTGCCTTCCTAGAATATAGAATCACACCCTGTAGGATATTTAATCAAGTATTCTTAATCATCATGGGAGGAATAGTTAATCGCTCAAAAACAGCATCTTCGCGATCAGTGCATACTTCCTAATTAGGAATTCAAACGATACCCTTTTCTCATCTGATCGTCTGATCGTATAGTGATGTTTTGATCCTGATCTCGCGCCACATAACCACCTTGTTTATAGCACTCACTCTCCGTCTTCCGGAAGTCCTCCGCATCCACGCCACTAAGCTATGAACTCCGTCCCTACTGTGCCGCCTGTGAAGGAAGCGGAATCGAGGATGACTATCCGACAGCCCGTCGGATATCCTATACTATGTTAACACCGCGCGATTGATTTAAACGATACGATGTAAACAAACCTCTGCCGTGATATACTGGTTCTCCCTCCTGAGCGTATCCTGCTTCCGGGACTTCATCGTCTCGCTCTCCGTACGAGGGTTCAAATCCTGCAAATTGAATGTGTTATGGGCATGGCCCATGGTTGGCATAGGCTGAGAGCCTAAGCCTAATCAAGCCTAGTAGCGTCGAGATGGAACCTCATCAAGATTCCTCTGTCACAGATACCTTTACTCTTTATCTCAATCTAGAATATCTTTGGCTATGTGTATGTTGTGTGCATCCAGCTACCGTGCCGTAACAGACGCGGAGAGACTATAGGCTACGACGCCCATAGGCGCGGCACGATGAACCGGGTTCGGTAATCCATGCCGTGACGCCGTCTCCTGGAGATGCGAGGAGATCAGCTAAATAACAAAAGACTTCCCTGTACCCGCCTCGCCATCAACGCTAAGTTGGTAGCGGCTGGACATGACCGTGTAGACGAGTAGCGGCGCGATAAGCCCGTGACATAGCGCTATAATCTCTGCGAGCAGCGGCTCTATCCTCATCGTGCTGACTATATATCCCGGCACGGTGGAATAGGGAAGCCTCCCGCCTCCAAGACATATCGTCCTCAGTGTCGGTTGGTTACGAGGACGAGGTGTCTCTTGTAGACGTAGCGGTGGGTCGAAGATGGGGGATCTAATGATGTCAGCCTTAACGTATTCGAATCATTCACTCTACCTATAGCGTCACCACGATCGTGACCGTAACGACATCGCTAGCACTTCTTGACCAGTAGTCGGCGACGCTTTAAAGTAAACTCACTATCAACCCTCCAGGACCTGCAGTTCGAGCATACTCTACCACCGGGGTCTCCAGAAGATGACATGGAGGAGGTAATAGTGGTAGGTCAGGAATGATTCGACCACTTAAGTAACTCGCTACGCTCGTGTAACCCCTGTCTAGCCAATTAGAGGGCAAAGAAGAATTGATTCGACCATTTATGATTTAAGTAACTCGCTACGCTCGTGATAAATCAGATCGGCACTGGACCACATCATCGAAAGGTGGCTCTAGGGCATCTGATGATCCAGCTTGGGATAGGCGGATAGGTACACTGGATTACTGAGGCCCAAGACACGGACCCAACCACGGTGGGGCTGTTTTAGATGCAAACCTAAATTTCCACATGGAGAAGATGAATCCAATGAGCAGACTTATTTACAAACCGCTATGTTGGGGACATCTCATGCAAGTAAACATTCAACATGGGGGCGGAATCTGATCTTATAGTGTGGAGCCCATCACCATTCTAATTTCTACATGCACTCATGCAGTCAGCAATTCGGTATGAACCGAATTCAGGCTCCTGACTTACTGATAGATAGCCATATTTCCTGGTGTATACAGAGTACATGATTCATGTTGCGTTGTTTTGCTGTTTTATTGTATAACGCAACCAGCTTCCACCAGTCCACAACTCCCAGCGATCGAAGGCAAACCCACCAAAGGAACCAAATGGTGTCCCTGCGAAATGAGGCTCTGCATCCCGGTGTGCGTAATCCTTCCTCCATATGGAAAATGTTCTGCCCCCAAGTGCGGTGATCTCGCCGCTAGTCACGTCAAACAAATGGCGGAGTGGAGGACACAGCCACGCTTCAACAGCGCGGCTTCAAAGACATCCGTTCCAACACGCACGCCTGGGCACGCTAGTCACCCATCGGCCATCAGGCTGTGATTCCCTGCAGGATCGCAATCTCGCACGCACCTTGGAGCGGGCTTGGGACGAGGACTGTTCCGCCTAACAAGCCACTCGTCAGCGCTTCAGGTGGCCACCCTTGCGAGTTTGCGTCAGGGCGTCTTTTGCGAGTGGTTTCGGGGGATAGCGCAGCTCTTCGGCTCAGCCTTCTGCTTCCAAAATTAACCGGCCGCATGCTGCTTTGCTTGGGGCCTCATTGACCTTGTTATGCTTATTTTCTGAAGACTTCACTGCTTCAAATACTGAGAATCACCTCTTTCTAGCTGGTTCATTGTTTTGCAGAGTATTATCGTTGACAGGAGTGGTTTGTGTTGACTCCCTTTCACGTCTCTTCGCCATAAGACGATATTCCAGCCTACGTCACCCCTGATTCCCCTCCAGAACATAATATTGAAGACCTTCAACCACTGTCAATAGAATTTCACTAAGCAGAGATAATCTGAGAAATTGTCAAGATGGGGAAAGGCGGTCGCTTTGCGTGTATCTTCCTGCCCATGGTAGCGACCATTGCGGCGCTCATATGCATCATCCTGATCTTCTTGGGACAACAAAACAAGAACGACAGCAACCTCTCCAACATATACTACTTCAAAGTTAGTATCTAATGTCGTACCTAGTTTGTTCTCGCGACTAACCCATTCGCAGGCGGACACAAGAAACTTCACCGGAAATCCATTGAATCTCGATGACCCCAACCTACCCTCTATCCCTGGTGTCGACATCGACGACAAGTTCCTCAAACTCCTCAACGCCGCCGCCACCACCAACAAGCTCGAAGACATCTACACCGTCGGCATCTGGTCCTACTGCAGCGGCCCTGCCCCAGCTGACGGCAAAGCCTACAAGCCCACCTTCTGCTCCAAGCGCTCCAGCAATTTTGCCTTCGACCCCATCGAAGTCTGGGGCCTCAACGGCACCAACATCCAAAACGCCTTCCCCGATAAACTCGAAGACGGCCTGAAGATCTACCGATCCATCTCCCGCTGGCTGTTCATCGCCCACGCCGTCGCTTTCTTCGTCACCCTCGCCGAGCTCATCGTCGGCCTCTTCGCCATCTTCTCCCGCTGGGGTAGCTGCGCCACCTCCATCGTCGCCTCCGCCGCCTCCCTCTTCACCGTCGCCGGCGCCATCACCGCCTCCGCCCTGTATGGCACCCTCGCCGGCACCTTCAACACCGTCCTCCGGCCCTATGGCTTCGACGCCTCCCTCGGCAAGAACGGCCTCGTCGTTGAGTGGCTCGCCGCCGCCTTCTCCCTCGCCGCCGGCATCCTGTGGGTCATCAGCATGTGCTGCTGCAGCGGCCAGAGCAATCGCCGCGAGAAAGACTATAATCAGACCCGCAACAAGGGGCGCACCGGCACGGGGCTGGGCGGGTTCTTGAACCGCGGTGTCTCTCGCGGAACGACTGCCGAGAAGACCCCCTATACATATGAGCCAGTGTCGTATCAGCCCGCTGGACAGGGGTCGAATTGGCAGCCGGGACAGCCGGTGCCGTTGCAGGATATGGAGACGGGGAGGGTGGGTGGACAGGCGAGCGGGGCGTATGAGCCGTATCGGCATTCGTGAGGGATGAAAACGGGTGGGATTTGGTGAGAATGGCGTTTCATCGAGTTATGAGGGATGCTAGATTACGGTCTCGATCGGCTGCGAGACTGACGATTCTGCTGCATGTCATGGCGTTTGGGATATGGGATTCGGGTTTTATTTGGCGGGCTTCACTGTAGATATAGATCTAACTTCTAGCGGAGGATTCCAATACTATTCAACGGCCGATTTCAAGACCCTCTACCTACTTAACGTGATACCATTATAGGGCCTCTCTACAGTAGCCTACCTCGTTGCACCTTGGATATTGTTATCTACTATTGTTTGAACGAAGGTTCAGGCAGCAAGTTCTGGGATATCTAGTTTGAATGCGCGGGGCCATTTTACAGATTTCAAGGCCCTTTTCCTCCCCTCCAGTTTTTGTATCGAGAGCCACAGCATGAAAGTTGAGCCATGTTTAGATCACTGAATCCTGTAGGTTTATTATCTGACTCGTAACTCAATAGGTACCAACATCAAACTTCAAAGGTTAGGACTTCATGTCACTCCAGGCTAATACATTGTTCATTTGGTGGAATCTTGAACTTTGTACAATATCCTAATGACGACAGGTCTGATTTTGAGAGGGGGAGAATTGACTGTAAATTGAAAGCGCTTCTCCAGAATCTGTACAGTCCCTTTAGCGCCTTTGAAACGCTCATCTGGTTTGCTGCGATTTACAGCGTTATTATCGTCAAGGACATTGAATCGTCCAGAATCAAGATCCTTTTTGGTAATCCCATATGTCCATCCATCTCCGAGGTACGTTTGACAATCGGCATCAGGGACTGGGAAACTGATACGAAGCGTCGTTCCATCCTTGAGAGGTAAGTTAAATGATGCGTCCTCGCGTCCTACAGGTAACGTCGCTTCGTCTTTGTAAAAAGATACGTTAAGCCATGCGTTTTGTTTAGGTGTGGTGACTGGCGGTATGGGGACTAATCCATACGTGTATTTGTATTCCCAGACGTCAGGGGCTCCTCCTTGTTTTCCAGGCAGGAGTGTATCATGTGATATATCGCCACACAGAATGGGTAGGATGGCGTCGGTGTAGGGGATACCATCTAGCTCGAAGCGCTCTCGGGCATCAGGCGCAGGAGGTTTCCAAGGCTTCCGTCGAACGTCGAACGTCGAACCTTGGATGCATATATCTTCTGCCGACCCTCCGACCTCGGATGGAAGGAGTACGGCTGCTGGAGGGAAAGAAATTCGACGATAAAAAGACTTCCCCAGGCGCGATCGATTGGAGTTAAGAGGTATGCATGCTCGGCCGTGCTCTTGTCCAGACCGCGAGGATGCCTCCAACATGGCATAACAGCCGCTCAGTGTTGTCACCAACGGTAGGGTTATTCTCAAGCCCACGCTTGTAATGTGAAAGGTGGAGGTGGGAGCGTGGTGAGTTGTTACTAGATTAGTTGCCACAAATTGCCCGCAGTTTTTGAATACGGCTGGGGAAGGGGCCAGGAAACTTCTCCAGAAAATAGGAACGGCGGGGGTCCAACTCCAGCAAAACATCGTGTGGTCATTGGAGACTTTGATTATCTCTTCTTGGAGCCTCAAGAAAGCCTTGCTTCCTTCACCGTATAGAAGCGGCATGTTGATGTTAAACAGACCAAGCATACAGTAAGCCATGTCCTCTGGCCGGGTCGTCGATCGTGATGCTAGCCAGGACATCCTCTCCGCCACGCTGCACCAAAAGAAATCTGGATCCTCTTGGAGATATTGCCCACGGATCCCGGTGATTTGGGATATAAGAGAACCCATGGACAACTTCGTTCCGAACTCGGCCCATCGCTTGTCGAAAAAGACGAGGTTCCCAGGAGCAATTAGCTCTTGGAGGGTCCAGCCTCTAGTAAACCATCGGGAAGAAGATAGACTCACCAACGGGTCTTGTCCGTCTTCCGGGGCCCATTCGAAGTCCTCTAGAAAGGTGAAGCACACGTGTGAGTCTCGATACCACATATACATCGAGTTGATGGCCTCCGAGAGCTCCGCGGAGCTTGACTTGTCGATACAGTTGGTGTCGACCCATATGTACTCTAGGTCCCAAGTGAGTGTTTGCTTGCAAGCATTTCTGATCTTCTCGGCCCCTTTCGTGGATGCCGTGCGTTTCTCGGGGTCCTGCCAGTCCTGAAGACTGACTTCTTCGTCGCACCAGGTATGAGAGAGAATGGCATAGGGAGGAAACTCTGGGCCGAAAAAGTCCTCCAAGTGGAGGGTTCGGGCATTGATTAAACGCATCCGTGGAATAAATTCAATGATCGCCGGCTCTTCAATGTCTGCTGGACAAACTGGAAACACGGAAGGAATAGTTTGAAAGGTGAGCACGCAAGTTGACAACCCGACTTTGATGAAGACTAGGCTGAAGTTTATAGGCCATTTTTCGAGGATCGGCACTGCTCCAAATGCACCAGGCTTTCTGAATTTCCCAGCCTGACATCTGGCAATTCGAATAGACTTGGGATTAGGGTGTGTTACATACAACTAAAACCTTGAAGTTGATGGGCTAGGATGCGGACACAGGGCGTGGCAGTGCTCGCCAATCCGTCCAAACCAACTATCACCATCAAGCTTTCCTCTATCAAAGTCATCTACTCTCGAATCAGAGAACCACAAGTAGTTTGATATCCCTTGGCTAGAGCTTAACGGCCTTAGGTTGGTAAACTCAATCCACTATAGAAGAGCAATGTGATGCATGACTATGGAATCATCGTGTGTTTAAAGGAAAGAGGTTCGCATTACGTGGTGGTTTTGAGGGTTTACTGGGCTTCTGTGATGTGCGACGCCGCAAATATAACAGGTATATCTCGATGTAATTGTGCGTTGCGGTTCCAAGGCATAGGAAGTCTCGCCAGGGATACACTGGGTTCCCTTACAGCCGGTTGCCTCTTTTCATTAATACAGTCACTAGCTAGCGAAATTGGCTTCCGCCTTTTGCAGGTCTAAGGATTCTCAGCGCACAGCCACCTGCAGATCTTGGCGTAAACAACGCAATACGATTCTTAGTGACCAATAGCTAGTCCACAGTATTGTTTCGGCGCTAAAATGTTTGTGAAGTTGAGGCCTCACAAGGAGCGGGAGGCGTTAATTAGGAAGGCACAGCGGGACTGGCAGCGGGAAAATCAACAGGAAAAACAGCAGAAACCATCTCCTATACTCGATCAACCTACTAGTACGGAGGATCTCGGTTTTTATATCGATTTACATCCCGAGTTCTGATATATAGATGATGGTAGTCAAATTGAGGTTTTGGCCTTTTGGGGCGGTCATGGGGCACGGATATTGAAAACGTTTCGCGGCTAAAATATATTTATGCCAAGAGTTACAGAGAATAAAGTTTAGGGCCGCCGTTTAGGCGGAAGCCAATTTCGCTAGTCACTGTATGATCATCTGTGTGGTTTAGAAACTAGAGGCTATGATCCACAAGAGGACGATCACTGACCACAAGTGCCACAAGCAGTGAGTGACGAGCTGTGTTGGCTCCAATCTTTGGCATGGCTGGAGGCGCACGACATGATCCCAGCCCTCATGACTGATTGGCCGGGCCAATCTCATGCTGAGATTCGATGCAAGAGATTCTGCTACTTGAATCCAGAAGGACAACAAGTGAGCAAGACCAGATCAGATGTGTTCTGACGATGAGCCATATCGAAGGTGGGACGGGAGGAGGTAGTCCGCGTGGCGTCCCATTTAACCTTTTAGCCCGCTTGTTGAGCTCAAAGGATGCAGTAACTGGTATAAGGCTTGGAAGCACCTATCCTCATCCCACCACCCTAAATCCTAGGGGGCTCTCGCACGAGTATGCCAACACGTAGCTCCTAGGATGCCAGGCGACGCACTGATTGCCACCTTGCGTGTCGAAGCTATGCACATACTCGCCAGTCTCAGTGTGAGCAATGTCGATGGTGTTGCCTTCGTCACTTCCACCCACGATGTATGATCCATCGAAGGAGAAAGACACACTTTTCACAGGGCCCACGCAGCTGGGCAACGTCCGCTTGCAGATCATATCGGTGGTGTCCCACAGAGAAATAAGAGCATCGGAGCCGCCAATCGCGAGGTATGTGCCTGGAGGAGATAGCTCGATCGAGAAGATCGAGGAAGTGTGGGCGTTTATAGTATGAAGAGGGTCCTGATATGCATCAGAATTCCGAATAGCACCCGCTTATGACAGATTGGATGCTTACAAGGGATGGATAATCCAGTATCTTCACTTGACCTTCTCCAGTCGTGACAAATACCTCGTTTCCAGACCATGAGAATATATTCTGATTCGTCTGGGAATGCTGTTTCTGGGAAGACAATATACTCAAAGTCGACCGGGATATTCGATGCAGTTCATCGTCCTGTACCATTTGTTTAGCGGCTACAGCATTGATATTTGCGAAGCCCATCCATACCTTAGTCCCAACCAGCAGCTCCTCTCCATCCGGACTCCAGACCAGCGTCAACCCATCCGACCCAATCTTCACCTCCCCAACCATCGGATCCTTGCTCCTAACATCCCATAACCTGACAACCCCTTCAGAACCTATACTCGCCAGCTCCGCTTCCTTCAACGGATGCCACGCAACCTTCTCCACCGCACCCGTGTGGCCTCTCAACTCTGTACTATACCGCACGCTCGGTTTCTCCGGGTTCCACACCCGCAACGTCCGGTCCCCGGCCCCCGTTGCGACGAAGTTGCCGAGCGGGCTCCAGGCGAGCGTTCTGATGGCATGTGAGGTGTTGTGCGCGCTTCGGGTGGTGACGTCGCAGTAGAGGGTTGTTTTGAGGCGCTGGAAGTGATACGGGAAGGTCGATTTCGGGAGTGAGCGAGCGAGGACGGGACGGGATGGGGCGACCATGCTGGCGCCTTGACTGGGACTTTCAATTCATTCGGTATTAAGGGAGTAGGCGGAGGGGACGAGACAAGACGATGGTCGGACATGGGTTGGTGAAACCACGACAATTGATGTGAAGTCGAGATGTGGGCACTAACCCCTGCCTACCCAAGTGGATGATGGCTGATGGGGGCAATTCCAACACCATCATGTAGGTAGGTACATACTCATAAGTATTAAAACTTGACAGGTTACGTTCTGTTTAATCTCTAGCCATTGTATATAGTAGATATTAAGGGAGAGATTTCATGCGTAATGATATAGAGGATTGTTGCTCCACACTGGGCTGGCACACAATGCATGATTGCCGGGACACTTCACAAACCACAGCATTAAGTGTTTGCCAATTGGAAACTGACTACAGGAGAGAAAACAGTATATCGCCTTAGCATCAATGGGATAGTAGCTCCTAGCAGCTAGAAAGGTTTACTTTGAGGCGAAGAATCGTTCGTATTGTTTCTAAGTTATTGAGGCCGATTTAGTGTTGGATGAGGCGGACAATAGCACATAATCACAGGAGCAAACTGAGTCGGCCATGAAATATGCCTAGAAGATATTCATTTTGATGTCACTGAAACTCCATTGTGCCATGATACATGCAGAATGGTCGCTCCAATAGAACGACGGGGAATCATCACAGGAATAAATCCCTTACTCCTCAGGAACTAAACGACAATTAGCACGGGATCCTCGATAACAAGTGTAGGGCGCACTCACTCTCAATCTCGCCAGACTCAATGTCATCTGAGACAGCCTTTGGGCTCCGTCCATCAACCTGGCAACCAGTGCTGAAAGCGGTACCGAGGATCTCCTTGACGGTTCCCTTCAAGTCCTTCGCCATGGACTTGAACCTCATCTTCCTGGCAATCTCAATGATCTCATCGAGAGGGATCGACTTGGTGTGCTTGATGTTCTTCTCCTTCTTGCGGTCGCGCGGCGGCTCCTTGAGGGCCTTGATGACCAGGGAGGAAGCGGAGGGGACGACGGAGACAGCGGCTTGACGATTTTGGATCGTGAGCCTGACGGTGACGCGCTGCAAGTAGGGTTAGTCTCGGCATCGAAGCCAAATGCGCAACATGCGCGGGGGATCTCAGCATACAAGTCCTTTCTGTGGTGATTGTCAGTAAACCGAGTCGATTAACGGCGCGCAGAATCCAGCACTTACCCAGTCACCAGTCGCCTTCGCGATATCTTCACCGACCTTCTTCGGCGACAGACCGAGAGGACCAATCTTGGGCGCAAGAGCGGATGAAGCACCGACTTCACCACCGGTGGCCCTCAGGTGGATGACCTTGACCTCACTGGGATCGAACTTGGGAGGCATGATGTCGGGGCGTTATGGGTGAGTTGTCGGCTAGACGGAGTGCGGAGTTAGTAATGGCCTCGAAGCTGGCTTGGCGATGATACTCACGTTCGGCCTGGACGTGAGGTAGTCTATCACACAAGCGATGTCGAATTGGATGCTCGAAGTCTAAGAATATCGGGAGACGGAAATTTCGCGTGCAAATTGAATGTGGAACGGGAAGGGGGGGGGCGGATGACTAAGATGCTAAATGAGGCATTAAGGCTACAAGGCATCAACACCACCCCCCCGCCAGGCTTCCGTTGTGGTTCCGTAACACCGTTGACCTCATCAGGATCTGATCGGTCATCCGTGATCACTGATCTGTATCCCCTCCCGAGCTCTCATCAATGTCACCACTGAGGTGATTACTGATGCCATCTTCACCATACCTATCCCGCAGTTTCTAAACACGCAGTTTGAGGCCGGTTCGAGCCTATTTGTAATCCAATCCAAGTATCTGGGCTCGAGTTAAGCCGAGTCCACCAATCCACCTCCAAGTCAGCCAGGTATATAAGCATCAATGTAGAACAGCGACCGTAAATGCGAAGCCGAACAATATCGTACATCGTATCTTGCAAACGTACCCTTTCATTTATCTCATCTAGTCAACAACCTTTATACCTCTGCACCGGTCATAGTCTCATACATCCATTTGAACATGTCCAAGCTCATCGCCATCGTCGCCGGTGTCGGCCCAGGCACTGGAGCTGCCGTCGCACGGAGGTTTGCAACCGCGTATCCAGTGGTTCTGCTCTCCAGGAACGCCTCCAGCTTCAACTTCCTCGTGGATGAGATCAATGGCAACGGAGGCAAGGCGATTGGGATACCGACGGATGTGTCAGACGCTGCAAGTGTCAAAAACGCTATCGACTCCATCCATAAGGAGTTCGGCGCGGATGTTGCCGCTGCTGTAAGTCGAGTGGAGTGGTGTTACGAATATCATAGCTGTCGATATATCTAATAGCATTTCTAGGCGGCTGTCTTCAACGCAGCCGGTGGATTTATTCGCAAACCATTCTTGGAGTTGACTGAAGAGGAGTTCTCGAGGGGGATCACAGTCTCTGGGTAAGGTCGCATGCTTCCCGAAACACGAATTATGGATGCTTACCCTATGTTCCAGCAAGGGCTCCTTTGTGTTCTCCCAAGCGACGTTGCCATTGCTACTGAAGGGCGTGGACGCCGGCTCAAAGTACCCACCAACCCTGATCTTCACCGGGGCGACCGCCTCACTCAGGGGCTCCGCCCAGCTATCCGCCTTCGCGACGGGAGAATTCGCGAAACGCGCCCTGGCGCAATCTCTCGGAAGAGAGTTTGGACCGAAGGGTGTGCATGTCGCGAATGCGATCATCGACGGGGTGATCGATATTGAGAAAACCAAGGAGTGGTTGAAAGACGCTGGTCCGGATGCAAAGATCAAAGCCGACGCGGTAAGTCCGGTTACTGGTCTTCTTTTCAGGATATGACGACTAACAAGATATCAGATTGCCGAGGCGTACTGGAGCCTTCACACGCAGCATCGCTCGGCCCTGACGCATGAGATCGATATTCGTCCATTCGTCGAGAAATGGTAGAGAGTGGATGGAAACGGCGCATTCTAACAGGACTGTAGCTGGAAATAATGAACTTTGTAACGAAAGAAATTCAAATGGGTATCTATGTCAGAGCTTGGTGTCCTTCGTTATATCTAAAACATGAAAGTCGGCATCTCATCCCCACGTCCAGTCTTCGGTACCATTTTCTCCTTCTCCTTCCTCGCCATTCCCGCCCTTCGCTTCGCGAATCGCTCTGGTGCCGTAAGTGAGCCTTCCTCCTGCTTGATGTGAGGTTCAATGCCGGACCCAGCATACTTGGGGTGCGAAGACTCTGCCCTCGATGAGTATTTGGCCTCGGAGCGTTCCGGTATGGTGTAATTGTGGCCGCCTGTGCTCACTGGTGGCGGTCTTCGTAGATCTCTGTATTCCCGCCGTGATAAATCTTCTCGACGGAGCTCTTTCGTTGCTGTCGATGACTCCGGCTGGACAGTTGGATGCGAGCTTCGTAGTTGTACGATATCATCTTTGTCGTCTCTCCGTCTCTTGGTCGATAATCCCATTGAGAAGTCAAGAGGCACTCTAGCAGAGGCCCGGCTTCTCGACCTGAATCCCGCCAGCGCCGCGAGCTCCTGTGAAGACTCTTTTGGCCCGGACATCAGCCCTGCCAAGTTCGAGTCCCGTAGCCACAGCTCCTCGCTCTCACTGTCGCCCTCGTCATCCATGCGGCCGAACGCCTCTTGCTGCCGGTCTTTCGGAGCAAACGCGTCGTTTCGTTTTCTCGATTCGCCTCCTAATGTTGAGCCTGGTACTATATGACGTGTAATGGATTGTATAACCGAGGAACTCTGGCTGCTGACGCGTGTTTTGAGTCGTTTGTACTCTGCGTGGTGGAGGTGCCGCGTGAATAGTTGCGCGGTGCTCAGAAACTCGTCCTCGACCATTATCCAAGCATCGTCACCATCAAGGCCTTCAATCATGAACCTGGCACAATCAGAACGTGCTAGTACATCGTTAATCTATATGCTATTCCCTTACTCTTCCTCTGGCGGTGCTGGTATCGGCGAGGACGACATTTGCCGACGTGCATCTGCTCGATCTCATCAACATTCATTTGGACTTCAAATAATTACGGAAGAGGAAATATAATTACCTTTTGAACGGTGATACTCATCAGTATATTCGGCGGAAGCGCTGGGAGAAGCGCCATCGCTTCGCGACTTGGATGCATTAAACGACGTCCTGGCTGAGGCGGTCTTCCGTCGTGATACCTCCGAACCACCCGACCAAGGCAGCTTTCGAACCATTTTCAAGTAAATGTCACAGAATAACCATTTTGGGGCGAGGATCCGCCATGGTTCCTCATGTGATCGACTGATCGTGAGGAAGCAAACTTTTGGGAAGCTATGGAAAGTCGGGCGTTATCTTAAGGAATTCTCAAGGAAAGACGATCTCGTTATTGAACCCTGTTGAAAGGTTCAACAATGAACACATTTATGGGGAGTAGTCCGCCCTGCCCTGCTATCTGAATCTTAAACCAGAATCGCGATTGGATCAATATCGGAGCCTACTGAAATAGAAGGTTACAGGTAATTAATTATTCCACCGCGACTTCTACATGGCACCGTGCCAGGAGGCTACCTCAATGTGAAGGTAAAACAAGAGTACATAGTATGATTCGTATTTGAACCACCAGTATAAAGAGATTAAGTCAGCACTGCGAAGTCCATTGGGAGACTGAGGGTGATTTATTAGCTATATCCTCTGGAGTCAGATCCGCATCCCCTAGGTCCTAGACGCGCTGGCTGTTATACATACGTGCAGACGAGATGCCACCGTAGCGTATTCCTTTTGCCGCCGTCGTCTATAGAATATCCTCATCATCATCCTCCACAAACCCAAACTGCCCATGCTCAATCGCCGATATCCGATCCAACTCCGCCTGATACTCCCTCCGCACGTCATCCAGCGTGACCAGCGTCTGCCCCCCCTTCCGCCTCTCCGTCAAGATCCACGCGTTATCCGGATCTACCAAGCTGAGCGAATTGATCACGACGAGGTAGCTCTGCGCGAGTGTTTCGTCGGCCGGGTTGTTGACGGTCTCGGACGCGTCGCGGAGCCGCTGGATCCGCGAGTACATGATGCCGGCGGCGCCGCGGTGGTCGTTGCGGGAGATGCGCCAGGTGTAGATCATCTGTTGGAGGACGCCCGCGGTCTTTGTGTCCAGTGTGTTGCGGCACATCGAAACGAGGATGTCGTCTACCTCGTTATAGAAGGATGCGAATGGGAGGCCATGGAATAGTTGCTTGATGGTCGAATGCTGGAGCATGGCTTTGATCAGGGCCTCTAGACCTTGCTTTTGTCTGGGATACGTTAGCTCCGTTCGGTGAAGTGGGCTAGAGATAGCATACTGAGACTTGTCGCCCGACTGACACAAGGCAAGATACGCCTCTTCATAGTCATGGATTTGGAGGCATGCATGAAGGTAACAGCTATTCAACTCAGCGAGGCTCGCTTCGTCCGCTTCTTGCGGAGCAATCTCCAGGGCGTCTTGGGCCAATCTGGCAAACTCAATCACACCAGGGGAATACTTTTCGGCTTCGTACAGCTGGCCGACGTGCAGATAATACTGGCCGACTCCACCCCCGAAGGCTTCCTTTTCCTGGGCTTTCAAAATGCCCGCATCGACTTGCTCAATGTCGGTTTGGCCCTCACCTATTGCTCGTTAGTGTAACGCTTCCATAGGATAGACATCTACTCACCAAGCATGAAAGAGCTCTTCTTGAAGAGGATAGAAGCCTCAGCGAAGTCTCCAAGCGTTAACTTGACCCTAGCCCGTAAGTAGTTGGTCCATGGAGTGACAGGGAGGAACCGTAGGAAGTCGCTGGTATTCTGAACCTCGCCATGTTGGAGTAGATAACTGGCTATCCGTCCTGTAATGTTGTCGAATTCTTGTGACAAGGAGAGACCCGACACCCACGCCCGACACCAATACGTGAGCAGAGTAGAAAGATCCCCATTTGGTGACGGGATGTGATGCCAATCCCCCATGAACATGCTCTGCATGACGGTTTCTCGTGGGTCTAGCGCAAGTTCTTTAGAGTAAGGCGACTTCTCACCGGTGCAGTACGTTTCGTTCAGCCAACGGAGGATGCACTGCTCCTTCAGCTGCGAGCTTAGCTCATTGTAAATTTCGGAAGGGTCGAATTCCGAGGAGAGGACGGATGAGTCGATATCAATGGCGACGAAAATGACGAAAACGAGTAAGTCGAGAAGAACCTGGAACGTCCTTGACAAAGTCTCTCTGGTCCCCTGAAGCAGCCCCTCGGCACCATATCGAGTCAGGTCGAGCTTGTGTTGATGGCCGTGATGGTCCTCTTTCAATTCCTCAATAATGTCATAGAAGAGTTGGTTTTTCAGCGTCTTGAATCCCCCGAGCTCGTCCATGGATTCGGCCAGTTTAGACAACAAATCATCACTGACGAGTTCGCATAAGCCGCATTGTGCTTCGAACATGCTGAGCCGCTCCAGCAGGACCACCGATGGCTCTTCCATTGCTTCAAGGGACACGGCACGCTCCAATACCTCTTGGAACGATGCAGGAAGGCCTGCCCGAAACTCACGCATAACAAGCATATACGGTGCCCTTGATACCGACTCCTTGTTATGAAATGCGTGGGTTAATGTCATTGGTGCGGACTTTGGTCGATGTAGGAGGGTGTCGTGGTTGAGGATCGAGAGATCGATAGTGCTGCACTTTCGAACCACCGACACAAAGTCGGCTTCGACAAGCCAAGGTGTGTTGGTATGATCGTCGAGGCAGAGGGCGAGTGTTTCAGTTCTGCTTTTATGCAAGTCTCGAACAAGTCCGAAGAAGATCTGCCATTGAGCTCCGATCGCTAGTTCGTGAGCGTCCGGATTTTGGTAGTCTTCATCCATGACAGTTTCCATCGCGTGATGCTCAATGGCAAAGCTAACACGCTCTTTTAATGGGATATTCTTTGCGCTCTGCCTCTGAACCTGAATACCTGTTCCGCGGAAATAAACGGTTAAAGCGCTTTCAAGACACGGCACCGAGAATGTCCCGGACTTAAACAAATACCGAAGCCATCGTTCAGTCATGGTGGGATTATGAAGGTCGAGGGTCGATTGCGAGAAGTCGATAGGACACTGTGATTTGAGGGCGTCGGCGGACGACAGTCCCGAATCGACGTATACCCAGCCCCTCTTCCATGCCCCTTCTAGGGTCTTCTGAGGACCAAACAAACTGAACTTGAGCCCGAACACCCGTGATGTTGGGCCGGATCTCGCGCGGATCCAGAGTTCAGTCTGCCTCCACCCAGTCGAGGGTTTGATATGGAAGTTTTCCAGCGTCCAAACCGAGGTGTTCATCAGCTCATCCACTGGGGGGATGAAACGGACGCTAGATTGAATGTCTCGGAATCCTTTCTCGGTCTCATCGGCATCCCAAATCCCCCAAAATTTGAATTGGTGTGTGTGGGGAGAATACGTGACCACATAGTACGCATCTCCATCTTGGCCCGAGACATCTAGGATCTGCAGCATGTCTTGTTTTGACGGATCTAGGAGGAAGGTCGTTTTTCTTTCCGGATCGTCGAGCTCTGCGCCGGCAAGATCGGCCTCCATTCCAACCTTTCCTGTGTGCAGGTTCCACGCCCTTAGGGTGTGATCCAGGCAAACTGTGAATATGTGGCGCTTGTCTGGAGATTGTGCTAGGCTAGCCGCTGCATTTCCATACAGCTCCAGGCCTTCGAATCGTACGGAGTGAGAAGATTTCCATGTGAGCAAGCTCTTGAGCGATTTACTCCAATCGTTCAACGAGTAGTAGGTTTCTCTCCAACCCGACACTAGGACGGTTAGTCTGTGTACTCCAGCGAGAGTTTTAGATATCTCACCATTGTTGCTATGTCCACGCTCTAGCCGGATGATGGTTCCTTCATGGGTCGATACAAGCAGCTCCGACGCACTGGAGGCGAGCAAGCGGTACGGATATTTGAAAGCAAATGCCTGAGGCTTGCTAAGATTGCACCAGTCCACGATGGGTGTAACTCCGATATAGGGCGGCTCCTGCTCAAACACAGAAGCATCGCTTGGTGCCGCAATCGGTTTGTTTGCAGTGGTCGGAACGAAGAACCGCCATGGAAGTCGAAGGGAGTAGAGTTCGTTTGCGGTCGTTAGGACGAAGAAATCGAAGGGGTCGGCCACAGTCTGCTTTCCATCGCCTGAGTGTCCCGAGTGCGGAAATGCCACGCATGATGTCCGGACAGGACTGGAGAATTTGAATTGGAGTGTGAGAGTGGGATCGGCTTTCGTAGATCGGTGTTGGGTCAGGTCAATCGTTTGAAGCTCCAAGGTCGTACGCTCATCAAGCAAACGCCATAGCAGCGATCGTGGACCATTCGTATGTGGAAAGAAGTGGATGGAGCCTTCGGTCGAGATATGGCGTCGGCCAAAGTCATTCTCGTCCTCCCCAATTCCGATTTCCGGGAGTATCTCGACAGGCGCTCGTTGTGTGGTGGATATCGATGCTCCAGCAGACGGGAGAGTGATTGCGATTGTCGATGTCTCGTCGGCCTGCTCTAGACTCAGGCGAGTTCCGATGTAAAGGCAGGGCGCCACTGCCGGCGCCATGACACCTTTACATGCAATGAGAGATAGTGGGAAGTTAAGAGTGGTATCGTTGCGCGTATATCTAAACTTTCCAACTTGACGCGAGAAGTGCAGCTGGTTTGGCGAAGTGAATTGGTGGAAGACGCGTTGAGGCCACAAGGCCATAAAGCAAACAGCCGCTACGGACCTCCCTGTCGCAAAAATCCTCCGCCTATAAAAGCGCGAAAATTCCACGAACCTTCTGCTGACTTTTTCTTTTCGACATCATCAGTAGATCGAGGCTCCGCTTCGGCGGCTCGCTGAGGGTTTTCTAGTCTACGGGCTTCTAGATCTCCCTCCGTTCCCGGCCTCGTTGAACGACTCCATTCGTCTTTTCCTATTCAGCTGCAAGCGTCACGCAATCATGTTGCTCTGCTTGGAACTGTGGGATGAATGGCACATGAAATATTGTAGAACGCTTGGTGGTTGACGAGCATACGGCAGCTTAATGCACCGGCTTACACTGTCGGGTAATAATGGCCGAGCGGCGCGCTCTTATGTTGATGTCGCTGTCGCGTTAAGCGATCCGAAGATTCAGATTTTGAGCGTAAGACGAAGTACGGAGATCGTGATGCGAGTTGGATAAGGTGGAATTCATGTCATTTGTGAAACACTCGTCTAAACCAACACGACTACAGAGATCAGGATGAGTTGGATCAGGCGGAATTCAATCATTTGATTCCTCGTCCACTAAACTGAGCATGGGACAAAATACGGAGATGAGAGATTAGCACGTGTCGGATCAGGCGGAATTCAATCCATTGTGATTCCTGGTCCAAAGTAACTCGGCTACGGAGATAAGATGAGGGTTGGGTCAGACGGAATTCAATCCTTTGTGATTCCACGTCTACTAAACTATCTCGACTACATCCCACAGAGTGTCATTTCGAACTCCCTGTAAAGAGTGTAAACCGTCTAGTACAGTCGCTTGGGCGGGCTCATGGTGGCCTTGATGGTCAATGAGCCCACGTTCTGCCATCCCTTCTTCAGCAGCGACACCAAGTAGTTGATGGCCAACATGATGTTGCCGATCAGGTCGTCCTCGGTCATGCCGACGTTGCCGACCGCCACACCCATGCATAGCACCTTCTTCAGCTGGAACTTGATGGTCGACTTGACCTCGTTGAGCTTGCCAGCCAGGTCATCGTTGTGGGAAACGGGGACCGGGAACTTGCCGGCCTTGGAGAGACCGGGGCCGAGAAGACGAGGGATTTGACGGAGGAGAGTGTCGGACGAGACGAAGGCATCGTACTTGCGAGCAAGCTCTGAGGTAAACGGTTAGCGTGGCAAGAAATATTCAAGAACAATGCCGCATACTCTTGATCAGCTTCTTGTTCTTGTTCAGCTTCTTCAAGTCATCCGCGGACATGGCGTCGACGCCGAGATGCTTCGCACGATCGATGTCATGCTGGTCACCCAGGATACTGTTCACCCACTGTTAGCCCCATCTTCCGATCATCTCATGTCTGTGATCCCACATACCAAACAGCCATGCCCGGGCGGGGAACGCGAGGCAGCTGGACGGTGCCGCTGAAACGCTTGTCACGCTGCGGGTCGTAGTTCTTCAAGCCGATCTGAAGCTCGACGGTCTCGAGGAAGTTGCGCTTCTTCTCATTGTTGGAGTACTCAAGGAGCTCCTTGACGTTGGCGCGGACTCCGGCGACTGAAGTGCGGAAAAATGGTCAGCTCACACTCAATGTACAAATATCATCCGCTGTGGCGGGCAATCGGAGGGTTTGGAGATGCTGGGTGAGGGGCGTCTTACCTGTGATTTTAGACATTTTGTCAGACAGTCTTCCAATAGGTATCTGATAACCTTTTGGTGAGGATTTTCGCGCTTCAGAAAAGAGAATCAGTGGGAGAAAGTGGGAGGATGTGGTTTTACAGGGTTCAAATTCCTGTGGTCGAAAATGTGCGGTGACTAAGCATTGTGATATGAATATTGGTGCCTCAGGAATAATTGCCTCCTTGTATTATCATAAGGCATCAACATCCGATCGAACGGAAACAGAACTGAATGCTAAGAACAATCTTGAACTCCCTACCTTGTAGGAATCGTCCTCAGATACTCGAATTCAATGAAATGGCTTTGTTGTACATTAATCTACCGAAGTCCGTAAAGATGACTATTCTGTCCTGTTCCCAAAAGCACCGATGAATCGAATGGCGTAAACAGTTCCTCCATCTATGTGCTATTAGACAAGTGTATCTAATCTCCTAGACATTCAAATTCCATTGAGGAAGCCCCAGTCAATCGAGCTAGGATCAGCCTGGCCTGTGGTACTTGGCCAACCTTCAGAGACCCTTTCTATATGGATCTCGTTCGTCGTAGCCTCTGTGAACCGGGTTTGCGGAGCGGACGTATTCCCCAGGCTGCCATTCCCGTCATGTAAGCTCTTTTCCAAAATCTCTGGTTCCTGGGAGGCACGCCATCCTTCCACCACTGCCGAATCACACCGTTCAGACATCCTCGTTACGTCCGCCAGCGCTACCAACGTCTTCTCCATCGTGCCTTGGTACTCGAATCCCAGCTGCACCCCGCAACGGACTGCGACGGCAGCCATCCAGCTCCTGTCTTTGACGTTGTAGCTGTCAGTGCCTAGATCGGTCGCCGATGTCGGGACCGGCAGGTTTTCTCGAGCCGCAGTGCCGCCGATTAGTGCCACGAAGAGCAGCACTCCCGAGAGCGGACCCCAGAGGCCCGAGGTGTCGGATCTTGCAAGGAGCTGCTTGAGATACGAAGTGATAGTGACTGGGCGATTTCGATAAATCGATGGGAGAGAATCGGATCGAGTGTTTCGGCCATTCTGGCGCGGAGCCGGATCCTTCTTCACGCTAGATGCGAAGGCTGGGGTGATCTGACTTGCGGCGTAGGAAAAGGAGCATCCGTTGAGGATGGCGTTCGAGTAGATCAGTGCCGCAATCCGGCAAGATTCGAATCGATACCTTACAATTCTGGCTCGGCGACTGAGATCTTTCGAATCGCCGGAAAATGCGGAGGGGAGGCAAGCGATTCGGGCACAGATGGACTGGCGCTCCGCTTCCATGTCGTCCAGAGATTGGAAGTTCTTGAGCTCGGCAATCGGGCTCCGCATGATGGAAATGAGGTTGGTGAGGCTGTATATATCGCACAGCAGCTCGTACGTATTATGAGAGCAATAAGGATCATGGCGGAGTTCCATGAGTTCGACTTGGTTGCTGTAAAGGGGTGAATACCGGATGGGTTGGCCAGGCTGGGATCTTTCTCGGCGTTGGCGTAAGAACTCCAGATATTCAGGGACAATCGGAGATTCGGAGAGGATGGAGCTCTCGACAGAGTGTCTATTATCATATTAGATGTTTGGGCGAAATACGGCATACCTGACCCCGCTATTACTTGAGGCCAACGAATGAGCGAGATAACTTACATGGAAATCATCATCGCGATGACAGGGTCTAGCTGAAGCAGCCCTCCCCTAAGCGTCACCAATTGCGCCAGTCCTTGCCAGTGGATATTGCTGGACACCTCCTGGCAAGCAATCATCGTCCCTAGTAGGACTTGGAGTACGGAGATGATGGCTTGATCGCTCGTGTTTAGGGTCCGGTCTGCAGTCATTATCCTGAGCAGGGGAATCATCTGACCCATGAGTGGAGCCCATATGCTTCTCTCTCCTCTCATCGCATCAAGATGCGCCGCAGAAATGCAAAGGGTACTCAGGAAAGAGAGTTTACTGGAGGTTGCTTTCGGGATCCAGGTTCGGCCCAGGTTTGGGCAGGAAAAAGTCGCGCTGCCTAGCAGTAATGTCAACAAGGCACAAGCGGAGTTCGATAAAGGAAGGCTGCTTACAGTGACACTTTAACTCTTCCATCGAGCTCTTGAAATCTCCCTTGAATTTCGGAAGTACCTCAAAAGTGTCATGGGGGGAACCAACGACTCGTAGAGGGAACGTCGACATAAACCCCTCATAGGCTGCTTCGAACAATAGCTGGCCATCCGTCAGTTTTCCTCGCGATGCAAGGACTCCTTGTGCTGCTTCAGTCTGCAATAATGCGTAGAACGAGCACATGTCGGTAGCGTTCGGCGTAGCGAACGGGAGGTCCTCCGCCTTCAACGACAATATCTGATTTAATACTCGTTGATTTGGCTGTGGCCGATCCACCAGCCGTTTCCGAGCCCTTCGATCACCCCGGAAAAGCCCAAGAGCATCATCACTGGACATGCCAGGGGGGCAAGGGGTTTCAGTGACGGCGCCCGCAGGGATAGAAGCAGTGCGTGGCTGCGGCCTACTGGCATCGCACCGTTTAGATGCCTTCTCGACCCTCTGCGGTTGAGGTTTCAGGGGGTCGATCCCATCGCACGGCTTCTTCGCCTGCTGGAACATCACGAACGACCGGTTCGCGCTGACGATCTTTTTATCTTTGAAAAAGTCCGGGTCGTTCCCGGTTACAAAGCGGAAGTTCTTCGTCGGCTTGGCTGGAGTGGTCATGGTTGAGTTTCGCATCTGCAATTTGGAAGCGGAAAGTTAGCCGTTGGCGAGCCGCAAACATTACGGGCTGCGTATGTGACAATGTAATATGTAGGAGGGGTTGATAGAAGCCTAAACATACAATCATGATGTTTCGTCACCGTTGTCTCGATCCGGCGACACAACGTAAACTAATCCGTTCAGCTGGTGTGGAGGTAGCTGCGAGACCAGGTGTTGCGGTAAGCGGTCAAATTGTTGCTGAGGGCTCGAAATGGGCGATATCAGAGCCATCAGGCAGCAAAAACTAGCGACTCCAAAGATATTTTACCATAGCGGACTCTTGAACATCAATTGAAGTCCACGTTGAGACACACGGTGCTAGAAGACAAGAGATATGAATGGATTATGAATCATAACGTATCAAAACAGGACGGTTCCGTAACAGAAGACCCCTCCTTTCGCAAGGCAGTTCATGGCATTAGTATTGGGCCAGCCTAGCGTTGCGAAGAACCATTCATGGGACAGAAGCACAGAGAGCTTCTACCGTCATGTACCACCAGGGACAGGGCGATGCAACAATATAGCCCGGACTGATCCTCTCTGGCGGTGGCTTATCTAGACCCTGTGGACTGTCGCAAGCAACCATCAACGCAGAGTATCCGACGAATGAGGATCCATGAGCCGGGCCGGGTGTCCATCTTTTGGTAGTATCCAGTTAGCCGGTCCTAGTGGGACATGTAGCCTTACGGTAGGGCAAACTCGCTCCTCGCTATGGGGAAATAAGCCCCAAAAGGTAGCGAGAAATAATGTCGATCAGAGAGGTGACATCTGTGAAGTGTGAAGGGAATGAATTTTTTTTAGGGCTATGCAGGGGGGTGACCGCAAAAGGTATCGCTCTTCGCCGGGAAATGAGGGGTCCGCAAGCGAGGTGATGCAGTTGATCAGCACCTACGCGTTGCCAGTGAGAGGATTCCTGGTGCAAGCATTGGTGTAAACAATAGACCATAACGATGGTTGAAAGCGGTGGGAAAAGGTGGGCAATGGTGCAATGGCGGGGATGTCGTGATCAAGCTCTCAAGACTCGAAGGCAGTGAAACAGTTCCTTCAGCACGTGAGTGCTTACTCGGTACAATATGGAGGTGTGAATTGTGAATGAATTGAAAGACTCAAGAAGTTGTCAAGCATTTTCGTCTGGGTACGGCCCGCTATTGGCTTCTCCAATTCCCGCTTCTGCATGCGCCGCTGGGATTTTATTCGGCCTTAGTATCCCAGCATTCGTCACCCCGGAACAATGGCCGCAGGCCGACCGCCATATTGCAACGGACACACATAGTATGCGACTGCAGAGTGCAGCCGACCAGGGCGGTCAATTCGAGACGGGAGCAAATTCATAACGGCATCGTTGCATGACCAGAAGTGTTGATGACGCGCCGCCAACCCTTTGAAACTCGTATATGGTTTCGATTTCTGATGATATGTAGACTCTTTTATGATTGGAAATGCAACGAAACAGAGTCTAGGCCTTGTCCAATCTCCTGGGCGTCGTCTTAGCTAGATATGTCGAACTATTCCTCTCGGCCCCTCCACATTTCTCGTCGGATGCCGGTTGATGCCGTCATGATTGGGATTCCTGGGTGCTGGTTCTTTGGGATTGCAATGGGTCTCCTATAATGCTGTGGATGGCGATGCGTTACTTCCGATAGAGAACCCCACACTGTTCTCTCGGGATGATGTTAGGGCGCGAAAGCCTCCGCTCTTTTTGTCCGGTGGTGGTCTCAGCTCGACGTCACTCAACGCGCTTCTTAGCGTGTCGCCAGACTCATCTAGTGCCATCAAGAAGCGGGCTAATTCTTTGCACAACTCCCAGTCACGCTCAACTTTGGCTCGCCGCAGTAACCGAACAATCTGACTTGACCCGGGGTTCAGCTCATCGATGGTATGTAGCACAAGCAAGTATCCGCCTGCTGTCTTCAAGGACCCTTTCGCAAGGGACTCTTCAAACAACTCTTGCGGCGGGGGAAGATGAGCGAACAGGGTCTTCCATGACCTGACTTCGGTCTTCCGGGTGCATTGAACAACGATGTCGAGGTACTGCGGGAAAGTAGAAAGGAAAGATAGCAGGCCAGGCAACAGCGTGGCTTCTGGCGTATGCGAGGCGTCCACTTCGTCATCAAGGACATCATGCAGTAGCACCTCAAGCGCATGAGCAAAGTACTCAAAATGCTGGTAGAAATGGGATAGATGCAAGGCGGCCGGTGAATCGAACCTTGCCAGATGGGATCGGAGAATCGTTGGGAGGAATAGATGTGTCTGTCAGGCCGTATTAGTCACAGATTTCAGATAAAAAACAAAACTGGCAAGACGAGGGAGTCATTGCCAGTTATATATGGCTGATGAGAGACACGTATCGCGCGCCACAACAGGACGCATACAGCATCGACGACGCGCTCCCTAACGAGGAAGGAAACAGATGAGCAGAGGCTTACCCTAGTAGCGAATCTCGCCGATGCAAAACTGAGATCCCGACGCTGCACCATTTCCGACTCAATTCCCAAGATCAGACCCTGCCGGAGGAGGACCGATAAGGGGTAAAAATCGCAGGACATGTCGAGGGGAACTTGGATATCTCTTCCTGCTTCCACTGGCGCCGAGAGAGTCTCTTGCACGTCTGTCCAGACGCGCATCTTGGTACCATCGAAGTACCATAATGAGTCCTGCAGGACGTGATCTTCGTCTTCCTCCACCTGGTTCAGGGAAGCGGTGGTTGGCGGGCGGGTGAGTGCGATCCGGTGATCACGCATCAGCGCATAGTGCTCAACGTTCTGAGCGATGATTCGCATCTCGTACTTCAGTTCACTGTTCTCGGTCGTCGTCGGTTGGAGAAGCACCAGTTTCCCGTCGACCAGGAACATTACGCTGGCCTTAGACACGTCCTGAGAAGGATCGCCACTTTCTAGCTGGTCCTCCGGTAGGACCCAGCTCAATGCCCTCACTCGTGGAGGGGCCCTGATGATGCCGTGAAGTGCGATTTGACCGACTTGGACTAACTTGATCGACTTCTCCGCCAAGGTCACCACGTAGTGGCAGAGAATATTCTCATATGTGTAGACGAGCAGAGAATCTTCCCCGGACGGCGCAATGAGGACGATCGGCGACGACAAGGCCTCCGAATACATCACCCTGTCCGAATGCAGCGGCAGCTCTCGCGAATATATCCGCAGCTCGAACGACTCATTCGACTCGACCGCTGCCACCAGTACATGCTGAAACCAGCACATTCCGCCTCGCACGGTGAACTCGTTCTCCATCCACTCCGACTCAAACGTCTTCCATCGTCCGCTCTGCACGCTATAGTGCGCCAGCCCTCTTTTCCCGGCAACAGCAACGTACCTTCCATCCGGCGACACCACCGCGCTACGAATCGGCCACTGCGTCATGAGATACGCAGGAGGCACTTGCACGTGCTGCCAAACTGCGCTCTGGCTCGAAGCATTCATCGGATTCGGCAGCTCATGGCCTCGATACAGCACGAAACCAGCGTTCGTCTGCAGCAGGCTCCGCGCAATATTTGCGGGGGAGAAGCAGCCTGTCACCGCGCTCCGTGCCATTTCCACCACCCAGACGGCCTTGTCGTTCCCATCTACCATCGCGATCTGCGACCCGCCGCCCAGCCAAATCGCGGACCGCACGCCTAGCAGCCATCGCTCCGAGTGTGCCGAGCTCAGCGCCCGATCCGCGAGCATCGACGAGCTACACAGCTTACCGTAGACGCTCCAGGTGCTCCACGCGTGATTCATGCCCGCGAATAAGCAATATCCGTCGGGAGAGTACGACAAGAACGTGAGTTCTCCAGCGGACGAGGAGAGCTGAGATGCGGAAAAGCGGTGCGAGAGTGGGATGTTGCCGGAGTAGTCTTTCACGGAATATATGTATATGTCACCGTTTGCGCAGCCCACGGCGAGGAGAGAGAAGCGAGCATTTATGGCGGTCATCGTGGCTGCAGAGGAGGCATCGGTGGGCATGTGGAAGCAGAAGCCACGGAAAGGGGGGTCGGTCTCTTCCGCATTGGAGTTATCCACGGGGGAGGTAGGAGCTTGAGAGGCCTGGGGCGGTCGTTTGCGCGTTTGGACGGCGTAGACGCGCCCGTCAGACGTTACCCAGGAGCTGAGATTCATCGGTCGGTCGTACACCATGTCAACCATGTGAACATCCTGTCCGGAAATCCAGGGTAATTGACTGAGCAAATGCTTTGTCTCTTGCGATCGTGACGTTTCCGAGCCCTTTCGGACATTGGATGCCTTCCTAGCCTCTCCACCCCATCGTATAACTTGGACTGCCCCCGGACCTTTCGTAGCCACTACTAGCCCATCATCGAGTGCCAGCACCCTTCCAATCTTCGAATCGATGCGTATGGTTGCTCGAAACCGAAGCATCGCCTCCGCGATTACCGCGTCCTCTCCTTCCCCGAGTGGCTCTTGACCAAAGTACGATCGCTGCCCAGCGCTGTACCTTCGCCCATGGTGGCTGTGCCGGGCATTGTCGACGAAGACGGCGCGGTAGACACGGTTTCCCGGGACCACGGTGAAGGAGTATATAATGAGGTAGTTATTCGAGGTCTGGACGACGAAGAGGGAGGAGTCGGGTCGGATAGATAGGCCGATGTTCGTGCCGTGGTCGCGGAGCGAGCTTTGAGAACGGATGGCGGTGGTGAGGACGGTAACGGGCTGGGTATATGTATTAGCACAGGCTATGATAGCGAATAAACTGTCGGACACGAAACGGACTCACCCTGCTCTGCCATACTGTCAATGTAGATGGCGTTACTGTCGCGAAGACCTGTCCATTTCTCGACCCTCTGATATCCACAATCCCTTCCGCTAGCTTCTCTCCCACCTCTCCCTCTTGATTCAAATGTGTTGCTCTCCCTTCTCCCTGGATATTCCGATTCCTCGCGTGGTCCCTTTGAGAATGCGGCGCAGTAGTCAGGCCGGCCCGCTCATTCTCGCTCTGGTCAGCCACGGAGTCATTCCGCGAGTCTGAAGCTTCCCCGTCGTCGTCTTCGATTGCAAAGGTGTCATTCTCGTCATATAGGATAGCGTTTCGGTTGTGTAGGGCTTGCTTCTCGAGGGAGTAGATCTGCGGTGCGCCAATGGGCCAGTACATTGCGCTGGTTACGGTGAGGTGCGGTTGAGTATGCGGGACATCGTCCTACAAGATTGGCTCTCTCATTATTTGCGATTGCCGCATGGATGGATGGCACGAAAGAAATTGGAGTGGGAGAGAGCTTCGAAGTATTGTATAGGTAATATAAAAAGGTGTAGATACAGTTGAGCCTCCATGCACCAAATGAGCTACGGTATCTCGGAGGTTCGAAGGTCGTAATGGAGAGCGGTTGAGGCGGGGGGATTGGTGCCGCTGAACATCTCGTCTCGTATCATTACAGCTCGATCGAGATTTATAAATCATATATATCAACATCTAACCAGGCAATCACTTATGTTCTACAAATTGAGTAGTATGACGTGTATTCGCCATGCTATTGACCTCTGCTCAGCAGACTACCTCTACATACAGGTACATTTCTTTTCCCCTACGCAGTCACTATCATCCACAACGAGCGACCTCTCTCCTCCATGTCGGAATGCATATGAGCAATGACATTATGTCCATCTCCTCGCATTCCCCCTGGCGACAGCCTTTCTGCATCGCGTGAAGCCCCACACACCGCATACAAACAGAGACTCGGATGACAAGAACTGAGCCGAGTCGTGTTTGTATCCACCCGCTCTCTGCCCATCTAACAACAGCGGCAACATGCTTCGTTATACGGCATATAGCCCCGTGGAGTCTGCCTGCCAGAGCAGGAATGATAAAAACGATGAAAGGAAAATTTGCAGCAAAGGCAAAATGCAACACTCAGTGTGAAACACCGCAAGCAACGCACGCATTACCGGGTATTATGAATGGAACGAACAGAACGAACGACATCTCAACTCCCCGCCTTCTCCTTCTCCATGTCCGATCTTCTTTGTCTTCTCGTTGGCCATCTCCCACGACCCACTCACATCGCTTTCCCCGCCCCATTCAAATCAATCCAACTCATATCCTCGTTCTTCCCGTTCTTCCCGTTCTTCCCGCCCTTCCCCTCTCCCCCTCCCGACGACCACTGGCCCTGCGCCGTGCTCATCCCACTCGGCACACCCCGCGGGAACACCGTCAGCTGGCTCGCATTACTCGTCCGATTCTCATCCGCCCCCGCGCCCTGGAACCGCCGCATCGGATCGAACCCTGGCGCCCCCGCACCGAAGCTGGCGCCAGCGCCGTACTGGCTCGGGACTCCGGTAGTCGGCGCGTAGTGGCTGATGATCCCCGTGCTGGAGCCGTAGAAGGAGGAGACGGCGCGCGGGGGATCCTCCAGCGGGTCGGGGTTGAACGACGGCATCTGGGGGATCGGCCCGGTGTACGGTGCGTTGGTGACGGGCGTCCATGCGGCATCGGGGCGCGCCACGGCGCCGTTGTACATCGCGTCTTCGTCGCGGTCCATGGCGCGGTCGCGCGTGCTGGCCGTCGTCCAGCTGCGTGCGTCGTCTTCGTCTTGGTGGCCGCGTGGGAGGATGGTGACGCCGCTGGAGGTTGTGGGTAGGAGAGCAGGTCGAGGGGGCTGGGCGCCGGAGTTCTTGGTGTTCGGTTTCTGGTCGGAGACCATGGACACTTCGGAGACGTTGCGCTCGAACGACTCGCCGAGGTTGAGCTCGAGAGGGGGGACGGTCTGGGAGGGGTGAGAGACGCCGCTGTAATGGGCGGAGTTATAGCGGCTTCCGGAGCCGGCGGAGTCGTAGCCGCTCCCATCATACATGGGGTATGGGTTTGCGTTGTTTCGCACGGCACCATTGTTTGTCGAAGATGGGTTGTTGTGGTTGTTGGGGTTAGATGGTGCACCATAGGCACCATAGTTGCCGGATGGGAAGAACCGGCTATCCGTGTATTGCGATACTGACGCCTGAGAACTCCGTGCATCATCGCTGAAGTCAGCAGAGGTGCGACCATATTGCCCGTTCCCCTGGATCTGTGCTAGGTCCGTCGCGTCATTGTTGGTGAAGTACCGCGACCACCCAGATGACCGTGAACGCATGCCGCCTGCTGGCGGAGCATTCGCCGATCGTGCAGCCGCAGGTGAGGAAACGTTTGGCATCGGAGGAGGTCCACCAGGTCGGGGGGCCGAGCTTGATGGGGCAGCTTTTTGTGAAGGAACTGCGGCGGCAGCGGTTACCGCTGTTGCGATAGCCGGGCCAGCGCGCGTGTGTAGGGAGTCGTTGAAGGCGTTGGTGCCTGGAAGCGGGTTCGGAGGCTTATTTCGACTCACTGAGCCAGCCGGGGGGATCAGAGGGTCGTTTGACCCTTTGCCCTTGACAAGAGTGCCGCCCATCATCGGTGCTGGCTGATTACTCCCACTTAATTGGTTCATCTCGAGCGCCTCGTCAAAGCCAAGTGGACTTCGTGATGAGTTCGGGATCAATCTAGCGGTACTGGCATCGCTCGCTTGGGCTTTGTGTCCGCGACGCTGGCCAATGTTGGCAGCCCTTGGGGCGCGGGTTGCGTTCATCGCTCCTACAGGAAGATCGCCTCCCCGTCCTTCCATGATGGCGAGGCTCGTGGTCGAATGGTTCAAGCTCGCTGCGTAGGTCTTGCCCACCGTCCCTCCAGCTTCATGCATGAACTCTGCTCCCCTATCGGCAAATGACAAACGGCCCTCCTTTTCACTAATATAGGGCGTCTTTTCCTGGGGTTTCTTGGCTTTTCTCCACCGCAGCAACAAAAGAAGGAGAATGAGTAGGGCAGCGATGCCGAAAATCGCTCCAAGCGTTGCTCCAAGAACAGTCAGTCTCTTGCTCTTCATGCTCGAGCCGGCCGCTGCCTCGGCGGCACTGGTTGTTGAAGATGGTGAGGGGACTGATTGAGTGGCGGTAGCAGAGGATAATAGCGAGACACTAGATGAAGTGAACTGGCTGGTTAGAATGTCCTGGTCCTTCACGCCCAATACTGCAGAAGCATTCATCCAGCTGTTCTCCCTTTGACTAAAGATACAAAGAGGGTCTTCTTCCGAGCCTCCGACGACCACTGCCATTCCATCGGGGTCGGTTGCTAATGAGAAATCGGCTCGGGTGGCATTTGGGGCCAATGTCGGATCGTAAGGCGGCCATTGATCCAACGTTAGGTCTCGTTTCCGTTTTTTCGAAGGGATCGAATTTGGGGGTGCACCGATGTAGGTGCCTGGCGCTGCGGGAGAGCCATCGGGGTTTCGTAAAACGAGGAGTGTGACAGCATTCGGAGAAACACTCATGTCGAACATTTCCAGGACCTTGCTTCCATCGTCGCCAGTCATGATGGTACACTGGATCTTGCTGTGGTCTGGAAGTCCAAACGGGAGTGTTGTCCCCAGATCCGCCCACATTTCATCGGGACCGAAAGTAAATATTTGTCGGTTGTCCACACCACCACCAATCATAACAGCGTGAGAGTCGTTCCAGGGCATGACAAAAGGATTGTTAAGTGGGGGAGCCGCAGAGTTGAAAGAGCGGACGCCAAATGGTGGTTGGGTAGAAATCAGAAAGGTTTGGGATGACAGGCCATCAATGCCATCTTGCGATCCACCGTAGGTAATGATCGATTGTGAGGCATTCAGAAAGGCAGCACCGTGATGCTGGCGGTTTTGTGTCACCGATGCAATAGGAGAGATGATTTCCCAGGATTTATTCTTGAATGAATACCGCTGAAGGCCTGGGAAGTCCTGAATGGTTGAATTGGGCGATCCACCCACGATGTACAGACCGGATGCTGCTGGATCGTCGGATGGTGCGTGAGCACATCGGGCTCCGGTAACGGCTATGCCCATGGATAACTGTGTCCATTCACCTCCCTCTTTCAACGGTAAGGCCTGGAAGGCATCGGGAGAGTAGACGTAGAGAATGCCATCGTTGATGACCGAGCAGTGGCCGTTGAGAGGGACCAACGGCTCGGGAGGCGGCATGGTCGAAGGGAAACCTGAACGCTAGCACAGGGAGACGACTGGCGTGAGATCCCCAGCTCTTCGATTTCGACAGATTGCGGGTCACGAAGAAATCGATCGGTCCATGGTCATTCGAAGAATATGCTTTACAGGGCGGCGGGGATGCTTGGGTGTTCGTCGATTGATCGTCTAGGAAGGTTGGAGGTGAATAAAAGTCCAGGTGAATACAATCGCTAATGATTTGGTTCTCAACACGCAATGTGTGGCCGGTGAGTCCGAATCCGGTCCGGTGAATTCGTACGCAAACAGCGACAGAATATATGAAGTTCCAAAACAATCCTCCTCTTCAAATCGATCAAGGAGAATCGGTGTCAAAGGGTGATTCCTGCTGATGGGTATCGCTCAACGTGGGTATTCAAGTCCCTTATGGCGTAACTCAAACCTGTCTGAGTTCTTAAGGACGATACTAAGATCGGTCTGATCCAGTCGTGAAAGAGAGTGGTTCGCACAGGGACGCTTGTCGTTCGCAGAATCGACTGGGTAACGTGGTCAATGGCGGAGCGGCAATGTTCGAGACGGTCGCGGTCGCAGACAATTCGATGTTCCGACGTTCCGTAATAGTTGTGCAAAAGAAGAATGCAATTAACTTCGGTCGGAAGGGCACGGCGATGGAAGGGGGAGTCAGGGAGAGGGAGAGGGGTGACAAGGAGACTCTGTCAGAGATTGAAACGGGGTGCCAGGTTCGTCACTGTCCACACAGTGGGCTGGCTTCGCCGATGCCTGTAGACCTATTCTTAGGGTTCTACGGCAATTGAAGGCCGAATGAGTGCAATATCGCGAATGACGGGGAAGTAGAAGGGATCGGTCTACCAGCACACGTATCGAAGGGAGAACGAAAGGTGTCAACGGTCAGAAATCGCGCAAAGGGAAAGGAGTGGAAGCCAGACGAAGACGGCTGTGGCCGATCTGCAGCGTGACCAGCCAACAGGGGATCCGGCGGATCTGCAAGCACTTCGAAGTGTTGTGCTCACAGTCGGGCTGATCATGCAACAGCACCAGCTCCAGCAAGGCAGGACGTTAGCACTGTGAAGGCGGAAGCTAGGAGAGAAGGGAGACGCGCAAGAGAAGGAAGGGAGGGAAACCCGAAAGATCGTGAGAGGCTTTGGGCCGCAGCGACGGTCCAAGTCTCACAGTACAGGGAGTACAGTACAGAGCAGACCCCAAGGTCCAAACTAAGCCAACGCCCTAAGAGAGACTGATAGCGATGTGGCCTGTGGGTTTGGGGGAGAAAGCTAAACGGGCAACGGCCAACAACAAAGGCATGGAGCTAAAGTGAGCGGACGGATGGCGGAGTGGCAGGATAACTGCATGAGAGTCGGCAGAGGGAACAGATTCAACAGAAGGAAGCCAAAGATCCCTGGGCTTTTAGTGCCAGGAACGCGGCACTTGCATGGGGTTGATGCAGCCACCGCATGTCCTAAATACTGTTACGGCGTAATAAGGGGGGGGAAATAAGGGGGTAAATGAAGAGAGGATGCCAAGATATGATACGGACACTGTACTCTGTTTGACCCGACACTTCCCAGCGGTATGTCGACCACGCTATGGTACCGCCTGGCTGATTGACTTTAAAAGGATGAGATCATGAGTCTCTACAAGACGCCGAGCTTCATCGAGAGCCGCCTACAACAGGCGGGCAGAGTGCCACTATCCGTCGGTACTCCACAATACCAACCGACAAATTGCGTGGGGAGCTAAGCTACAGACATAAAACAATTGACTATCATGGGACTCATTACTGATTTGGGACATGGATCGATGATGTCAAACCCGAGGTGGCGAAGTCTCAGTACCTGCCATTCGATATTGATTGCAATCATCAATTAGGTGCGTACCTACCAGCGCAAGATGGGTACGTACCATCTACTTGAAGAGACCTAAGCCCATGTACAACACTTAAAGTAAGTTAAGGATGTATACATTTTATTCATAATGCCTAAGTACCATGAACGCTGCTGCGACTCTCATAAAGCCGCGGCGCGATCGTCTCCCATGTTCCCCCTTTGCGGGGCCCTTGCTTTGTCTGCCACTCTTTCCCCCCTCCTTCATCTACCACCCCAGAATGCCCAGATTCATTTCTGTATCGAAGTCTTCCAGAACAAAATCACGCCGCAAATGCACAATCCTTCGGGAACGGTGAACCGTTGATATTTGAGAAACTCCTGTCTACGGGATCCTTAATTCCTTATTGCCCAGTGCATCCTCCGCGCTCCGTGGGACTCCAATTTATCGATCTATACGGAATACCTTGGTGTCCTACCGTCCCTGAATATCGATTACATATCGATTACAACCCACAATGTCGTGGTTGCGAATCCGGATTATTTGTACTCCTCCCCTATCACCGAGGCTGGTTTTCGTGTTCCTGTGTGCGGAATCGTTCGCAGGCGGCTATGCCAATCGATACCGAATCATCGAAAGGTTTCACCCGACGAAGAAGGTGATATTCTACGTAGTGAGCATGAGGCAACTTGTACCTTCGTCCTTCCATGATTCGTTTCGGCGCGACTCAGTTCCCCCCAACAGGCCAACAATCATCCAATGTTGGAAAGAACATCATCACATCAGATTGTCATCTGCTCTGCCGATCGACATACTGTGCCTGAGGCCTAGGACCTAGGTATATTAGCTCATTGCTTCTGCGTCACTGATGTTAATTCCGACGACGATAGCCTCTCACGTCTCAGCATCTCGAAAGTGCAACTGTGAATGAGAAGTCGAGAACCTGTGCAACAGTGACAAACAACCTATCGCTCCAACGCCGTGATCAAAAAATACGGCCAAAAATAGCCCCCTTTCGCGCCCAACTTCATCCCGTCTCTGCTCGTCAGGGGCGGTCTCCGGGGGTATGAAACACCCTATCCAAGCCCACCAAACTCTGATAGGCTAGCTTAACCTTATTGACCGCCAATGGGGAAGCCGCCTGTCGCCATCTCCATGCAGGAACACGGGTCCGATGCCCGTAGCGTATCCGGATCGTGGGAACCTTCGGCCTACGGATTTCCACTTTCTCTCCAGGAGGCAGTACTATGTATAATGTAAGACGCAACTTTCTCCTCATTTGTCTGACAGTTTGCTGAGAATCACGGGTGCAATATTAATAATTGGAGTGATGCACATATATGCATGTTTAGATTCGGAGCCGTCGTATCTTCCCGAGGAATTGGGGAATGCTTGCATGAACGACAACGTGGGCAACGGGGAAGAACCATCGCGAGTTCGTGAATCGTGATGAAGATTTCAGGAACACGAGCGTCTCTATCATCCCGCCAATCACTCCGCTCGCCCATCAACCCACCCATCCATTGGCCCGTCAGCGTTCAACAGCCTGAACACCAAGCGCTGACATCGTGACTTTCGTGAGTCGTGATCAGAGTCAGCGCGTTTGGTGCTCCTCCCTGAGCTACTCGACATCAAGGGCGAATGGGAGATGCCTGTTCGGTTTCGATGCGGGCTCATCCGTGGTGATGGCGCCGTGAAGTACGGAATACGTAGTAGCCACGATAAAACCCATCCAATGCCTAATCATCCGCCGATCCAGTGCCAACAGGTAGCCAGATCCGTGGCGTCCACAGCGGGAAGGTACTCTCGATATCGTTCATGCGTTTCTAGCTGGCTGGTCACTCATGGTCAGCCTGGCTTTTGGCACTATGTATCGGCAACCAATCTGGTTAAGCAACGCGATAGTGAAATGTGATAACGGATGCGATTGAGCATCATGTTTTGTAATCCTTATCTTGCGGTTGACACTCACTTGACAGGCTCACTATCGGCTCTTCCGAGTAGATCTATAAGCAATAACTACTTGTATGCGGATATTCGGGACTCCAGAGATCCTAGGTGTCCCCAGCTACAGACAGCAGCAGCCAGAACCCTATGTGAATAATGCGCTCCGTTCACAATTGAGCTTACCTCCCAACTTCTAACACTTAACAGGCTTTAGTATAACCGTACGTTTACTGTACAAGGGAGCCTGCCATTCCGCCCTGTCTCAAACAATATCAATGTTTGATCCACGGAAATCCTCCAAGGCTCCAACATCACCGTTCGATTGGCGCAATCCTTCCGTAAATTGCGCCCGCAGCCGTGTGGGGCCGTACGCGGAAGCCATAATGCGGCTGAAACGACAAGCGACAACGATTGCGAGATGAGCGCGGGACTTGATGAGTGACGACATTAGGGGATGACTTGGGGTCTTGGGAATCGGCGGATAATATGAGAAAGATATATCTGCCGAATGTACTCCGTAATACGGAATACCTATGCGGAGGTCATCCCCAGAATCGGCGCCAAGAGTAAGAAGATAAAGTGATATATCACTTACACAAGCGATGTTGATGCACAGATTGAGATGAACAACAGGGCTATGCAAAGGAGCTATACGGAGTTATTTGCAGATCTAAGAGGGCAAACACTCCAAATCCTGCTATGTACATGCCGAGAATTAGTCCATACAACCGATCGAAAACTGGATGCTTCAAATCAATCCCATAGAGGTACTCGGAGTTGTGCCACTGGATAAATCCCACGACAGGAAAGCTGCTGTTGTTCAAGAACCGAGGAATATGGAATAGGGAGCATTCCGATCGGGATACGGGGTTCCTAGTAGTCGCTAGGAATTATGGAACTTCAATGCGATCATTGTGATGATCGTCGTCAGTGTCCCCTTTTATGATTTATCATCATCAAGCGCGAGAGTTTCGTGTTTTGAGTTTCCCAGCCACCCGCGTGAAGAAGCCGAGTTGTGGGCTGCGGCTGGGTGTGAAGATCCGGACTCCACCTCCCGAACGTATCGCATCATCCTTATGATGCTTGACAGATAATTTCAACTTCGATGTTCGAAGAACCTAGGAAGTAAAAGTCCGTACAGTCTACACAGTAATACGGAGTACACGTGCGGTTTCATCAGTCGCACTCGCTTAGAGCATCTGATCTGCGTCTCACTCTTCCTCAGCTCGTCAACCGGTCGTCAGCAATGGCTGCAAGTGTGAGCGCTTCTCATGCATAGTTATGTCCTACAAACCTCGCGTGAAAGTCAATTGTGCATGGTGTAGGCCCTTGTGTGCTTAAAAGGGCCCCGAATGGAGATAAGATCTTCAGGTACTTTATGTCTGTGTTCACTCAATTCATATTCGCATCATCAAAGCCAGAAAGGGGGGTGATCGATGTTGTACTCATAACTCAACCGAGGAGGTACTCCACGGACTGTTGCCTCAGCATGCAACACAGCGTACGGTTAACGAAAGGTCGTGCTAAATTTCGGACTTCTACTTATGAGGTTGATTGTCTGTTTTCATGTTAGACGAAAAGGAGGTTCTGTGCATTTACTAAACGTAAGGTCTTTTTGACAAAATGCCCCTTTAACTTGCATTCGCTCCAGGCTTAATAGCTGGTATTTCCAGCTCCCAAAATATTCCGGTTCATGCAGGTATTTTTAGGCATTTACAGCTTGACGCTGTATATGACATTGGATACAGAGCATTGAAGACCTGGTAAAGATGACCGCAATGGGCTGTGTCATATTATGAGCTTGGAGACGATGCTTTATCATCTATATCTACAGCTCTACTATTCTTAATCCTCTTTGTTCGCCTTTCTAAGATCAAAATCTCTCGACCATACCGCCATCTTCATGATTTTTCATCACATGTTCCAGATGTCCTAGGTCCAACGTGCCGATATATTGTTGACTTAGGATAGGGAAGGGAGACACTGAAGAATTGGAATCGAGTTTTAGAGTGCCTCTTCAGGTTCTTGTACATCATTCTATTAGTTCAAGTCCCTCCGATGGTCATCCGATCTATTTGGTTGAGTCAATCTTGTTTAAGCATGTCTATGCAAAATTATGTCGATTCAACTTAGATTCCCCCAGAAGCACTCCCTCATTTGGAACATCAGACTCCTTGCTCTTCCCGACACACCTCAGTGATTCAGTATCAGCTATGGCCTTTAGCCGATTATAGTCACTCCCCTATTCTAGAATTCTCCGTCTGCCTATATCTCGGCAGTTTGTGTAGCCGTGAGGGAGCCTGAGCATCATCCTGCTAGTAAGTGATAGTAGAATAGTTACATTAGTGGCTGTCTCGACTGAATCGTTGGGGGAAAGACAGACAAAAAAGACTGGTTTAATGAGCGAGAGTAAGGAAGGATGCTTTATACAAACCAACAACAATAATACAAGGAATTCCTACCTAAATCGAGGCTTCTTTGAGGATATTTCCATGATTGGAAGGAGACTCCTCAACATCAAATAATCTTTCATTGTTTCTCGGACAAAATCACTCTCCTATTCATCCGCAATGACATTGCATCAAGTTTCAGCGGCACCCCTGATATTGTATTTCCGTCCATCTAGTGTATATATATCAGCGAGATGTTGACCAAAGCCGATTTTCACTTCAGGCACAACAGCTGCGGGCTACACAGTTTGAACTTCACATCTATACTTCACACAAGTAAAACCAGTATACTACGGCATCAGTCCGTTACGATCTAGGACACAAACAAACGGTAGGCATCAGCATCTTGCAGGCAAGATTGACAACCATCTGACTGATGGCTCTTCGACCAACTTCGAGAATAATCGCTCAGGAACGGGATCGGAAGCTAGGGAGAGACTTCTGTTCGTCCCGAAGTGCCCTCCAAGGTTTTAGCCATGTGGACCGGACATGAATCCCCCAAAGTCGATCAACAAGCCAACGTATAGGAAATTTTGAAGGCGAGATGCTCCTTGGCAAGTGGAGATACCAGTCGTCTTCATCCACCAGGCTCAGGGTGCGTGTTAGGGTAGTACACTCATAGTACGCCAGATAAAAGCCGCTGTCCTCCCAAGCGCCTTTCCCTCGTCCTGTCGAAGAGACCTCAATTGCAGAAAATGTCTTCCAGCTGCTGTTGGGTCGATAACTTTCCCTCGTGTGACAGGCCAGACCATGCTTGGGCCAATGTTGTGTCTGGAATGTAGGACATGAAAATAACGCGAAAAGGACCGAACGGGATCAAGCCGTGGGATCTCGGAGCAGGAATATCGGGCGCCCGCTCAGCAAGGAATTCCATGCTCGTGTATTCCGTGTAATTCCTATTTCCTAAGATGACTTTGGCAACAATGTCGTCGTTGCACTTAACCACAACACCTCTAACAGGATTCTCCCACAGCTTTGGCGATTTCGAAAGAAATTGCTTCAAAGGCACAATCAGTGCTTGCTTCCCCGTTTTCACTCGGCCCATCTTCCAAAGGATCTCCTGAAAATTGCGCCAGCAGAGTGGCCACCTCCTTAGACAAAGGAAAGACGACCGTGGCAGTCTCGGCAAGATCAAGACGTGTGCGGAACTCAGGGCCTTGCGACTCGGGTGTACCTTTCTCGGCCAGCGGCAAAACCTTCGGTCCAGTCGCCATTGTAATCCTGCGATTATAATTTTTCGGAAATTTGGACAGCATATTGACTTCTGGTTCATCCCTTAGTGTATCACGGAGCTCATGCAAGGTTCGGAGACTGATTTTCGCAGGATAAGAGAGCTGACGATATTGGGATTTCTGATGTTCAAGACGATATGAGTTGGAGAACATTGACATCAGGTCAGCCTCTGGATTTATTTCCAGTTCTGCCTGAAATGCAAGCATAAGATCTCTGTTCCATTGTGCTACGTCAGTGTTGGAGATGGAGCATCGCCCATAATCGTTGATTCAGACAAGCCAGTACACCAGAAGTTGTTCTTTAGAACGACATCGAGCGTCTACTACGTAGTAATTCCGATCTGGCACGCTAATCCCAACACGATAATTAGTCACAGGTCCTCATTTTACAATGGAAATATACCCCCAGAAGAACAATGGACAAAGGGGCTTGAAAGAAGAAACTTGATGAAACAATCAAACAAAACGTCCGAGTCCATAGAGTTCACCAGATGTTACGGAGACATTACGACTTGCTTGACCCCTTTACAGTCGTTGGAAGGTATTGTGGGCAGCTCGATTGAGGGGTCTTAAATATGTCATGATGATGCCGATGCCTTGCGCGATCAATGATAGGTATCTCATGGACCTGAAGAGGTGGAAATTTGCGACCAGAATCCGAGCGGAGGACCCATTAGTTAGCCATTCTATTCATTTTTCTTCTCTATTCGGTTAGTGGCATCAAGACATGTGAAACATCAACTGTTCATGTAGTTTGCTTCTCTTCACCTCAGCTCTCCTTACCCCATCTATACTCCCAGGCGTAACCCAACCGCGTTCGATCTGACTTTTCCAGAGCATTTGGGAGCCTAATGTGTAGATCTGTCGATGTCTCATGTCGTGCTCGCCATACGGCAGTCTGCGGAACTTGGTCTCCTGGACATCCGATACCACAGCTGACGATGCTCTCATACATACGAACAGTGAACATCATGATATCATCATTAAGATAGCTAGATGCGTCCAATGTTACAGTAGACTAACATCACCACAGGGTTTGATGAAATTCGTTTAATCACCTGTTTGTGGCTCTCCCAATCACCGCGTTCGGAATATTTCAAAACATGTCGCTAACGTGGTCATCGAAAATCGTGAACCAGGCGACCGGTATATTCTAGGTAGAGATTAGCAGGCGATTGTACCATGATCCTTCACATATGAGTCCTATGCGGATGTGTACGGTGATAATGTCGGTAATAATGTCGTCAATGACTTTGCCAATACCATATATATCGACCACGGATGCCCAGGGAACACTTGCGTGTGACGACTTCACGAACAACATCGCTGCAAATTTAGCCCCTATACAAGGTACCACCCAACCCTCCCGAGACGTCTACCGACACCGACTAATCGGAGGTAGAATACCAGCGATCGTGAGCATCTCTCAATCTCAAGTATCCCAACCAACAAAATGCGCGTCACCTGGCTTGCACCCCTCGCCCTGGTCTTCGCCAGTGGCGCCGTCGCCCAGGTGAACACGGACGACGTCGTCGCGTCGTTGACCTCGCTCATCCAGCCCGATCAAACGACCGCTGCCCCGGCCGCTGCCTCGAGCGCCGTTGCTCCGGCCGCCGAGTCCTCGGCTGCTCCGGCCGCCGAGTCCTCGGCTGCTCCGGCCGACGAAACCTCAGCGCCGCCTTCCTCAGAGCCGCCCTCATCATCGTCGACCTCGTCGACCTCGTCGTCGAGCTCTTCGAGTAGCTCCTCAAGCTCCAGCAGCATGGAAAGTACTGGGGGCGCGGCTGTCCCGGCGGTGACCCAAGGCGCGCAGTTTGCGGGGGTGATGGGCGCAGCTGGAATGGTTGCGATGGGGCTCATCTGAGCGTCTGCCATCGCTTGAAGAGGGGGATATGATGGATATTCCAGTCCTCTAGAGGTCAGAGATAGGTGCGTGGATATGTATGTTACGGAATGAGGGATGAGATTAGAGCTAGATATGGTGATTCCTTGTGTCAATACGACTTAAGTCAGCCATAATCAGTGGAAGGGAGGCTGCTGCTTCTTGATTTAGATAAACGGTTCACTGTCCGCTCAATTCGTTCGTGACGTTTGCAAACGCCGCCCACATCTCCTTCGCCCTGCCATCCTTGATCGCCAGTCGCGCAAGCCTGACGCCCTCCTTCCATCGGAAGCCACCGGGACCCGTCTCTTTGATCGTTTCTGCCTCGTCTTCGTCACATACCCCCGCAATAACAAGCAAGGCCGCCGTGTTCATAAGGACAAAGTGCAGAACGGGATCATCATCCGCAATCTTGCCATCTAAGAAATTCATCAGGATCTCGGCGTTTTGGGTGGGGGTTCCTCCTGGATGGACTTCGGACAACGGATGTGCTGGCAAGCCGAAGTCCGACGGCTGTAAGGCGAAGTATGTCGTGGTCGTTCTCTGGCGTTCTTCATCGTCCCCATCCGCCACTTCGTCGTCAGCAATTGGTTGAACCGCCCAACAGTGCGTCAATCCGGCGCAGCTGATTTCATCGAGCTCTTCGTCGCCGCATACAACCAATGCCTTCGTCGCGCCGCCGAGTGCTAGCGCCTCCGCGAAAGCAGGACCGACATCTCGTCGCGCGACACCGATCATTCGAGCCTCCAGTGTTCCTGTGCTCTCGATAGGGTTGCTCAGAGGTCCCAGCAGGTTGAAAATCGTTCTCCATCCCAGCTCTTTCCTGACCGGAGCTACGTACGCCATCCCGGGATGGAAAACGGGGGCGAAGAGGAAGGCATAGTTCGTCTTTTCGTAGACGGCAGTTATTGTACTCGGCGTCGTCGCAGTCAGAACAGCCGGACGAGGCCGGGCTACCGGGGATGTTAGTAGGTCTGCGGATCCAGAGGCAGAGGTCGAAGCTCGGTTGCCGTGTTTTGCTAGTAATAGGTAGGCAGATGCGATGATGCTGGAGGTCGTTGAAACGTTGTAGGTGTTATGGGAGTCGCCCCCAGTGCCCACGATGTCACACTTTTCAGACAGTTAGCTCCGATGATACAACAACGGATAGGTCCCCTACCAGTCCACCCCTATAACCCCCTCTCTTGAGCTTTGCGCCATTCTTCGCAACGCATTCCCTTAGCAATGTCGCGTCTGGTACGGTAGAAGCCCCTCTCATCTCTGCTGCGCATGCCGACAGGACGGCTGGTTTTCTATCCTCACCAGTGAAGTGCAGAGCTGTCAACAGCGCCCCCGTCTGGACGGGAGAGAGGCTATTCGTAAAGATATGAGACAACGCAAAAGCGATCTCGGAGGCCGACACGGACTGGTTCGAGGGGGATGGCCATAGCCGTTTGAGCAGAGGCGTTATCGATATAACTTCCGACTTGGACACCTCTGGGGTTGAGGTTGCCCCGGCTGCAATCTTCTCCTGCGTTCTTAAGGTTCCCGCCGCTGCATCACGAGTAGTTATGTCTGCTGCTCCTGAATGAGCAACATTTTGGAGTACATATGGTGGGATGAAACCTTTGTTGCCCGCCATTATTTCGAGCTCCTAAACCGTCTGCGGTAATCGATCAGTGGATTGGGTATCTTGGTAATACCTCATGAAAGAAAGCAATCCGCCTTCAAAAGTTCAAGTGCAATTGATCTATGAATACTCCATAATTAAGTCAAGGTTATCAGCTATTGACAATTGTATTCGGGTTGTGACGCATCGACAGCAAATTCCTGGAGAACTTGAACCGCAGATGTGCCGATTGGCTGGAGACGATCCGATCACGAAGTTTACGGCGCGACAACAATTTATGCTCTGCTCTCCATCTTCAGCATTCTGCACGTCTTGTTCAATAGGAACCAAAGTTCTCCTACAACAAATTGATCTTATCCCTTTTATGGCATTGTGATAACTTGCTCTTTGTATCTCCAGCGATACAACGCAATGCCGTCTGGCTCCACTTCGCTGCGACGCATTGCGCAGCGATCAATCTCAGTCTCCTCACGATGTCCCCGTCAAGCCTATGCCTCACTGGCGACGGCGGCTTCATCCTCACGAAGTTATGACCCGACTCTCGATTCCTCAATACCGCAGGCCCCTCGACATCTCCCCACGCAACCGCCTTCATTCAAGCCCCCGGAGTTCCGCAAATCGCAGCTGCTCCGGCAATACATCTCCCTCCTCAAATCCTCTCAAGTGGTTCTTCTGTTCCAACACAATAACTTGAAGGCATCCGAATGGGCCGCGATACGACGGGAATTGGCAGCGGCCCTCCTTGCCACGGACAAAGATGCTGCGTCTATCTCCCCCGATACTCCTCCGGCCACCACGGCCGACTCCATCAGGTTCAACGTCACGAAAACGCATATTCTCGAGATTGCGCTTCAGCTCCTTGAGTACTACAAACCTCCACAGCTATCGAGCAGCACGTCAACGTCGGCGCCTACCACACTTGCTGGCGAGGAACCGGCATATACCCATTACCTCTCCGAATACGCGCAGAGGTCCATCCGAAAGACCCCCCCACATCCATTGAAGCCCCTCATGAGCGGTCCGATTGCGCTCCTTTCCTTCCCTTCCGTTTCCCCCGACCATCTGGCGTCGGCGTTGCGAATCCTATCGCCCGACAAGCAATTTCCCGCGCCCAGGAAACGCATCAACCCCGATTACCACGAACCGGCGGTGCAGAGTGGACTGCAAAAGTTGATCTTGCTGGGAGCAAGGGTGCAGGAGACCCCGGAATCGCAGGAGCGGCGCGATGCGCGGTTTTTGGACAATTGGGGGATTCGATGGATCGCGGGATTGAATGGGCTTGGGGGGCTTCGTGGCGAGCTTGCCGCGTTGTTGAATTATTCGGGTATGGGCCTGGTCGGTGCTCTTGAAGCGAACTCGTTGAATTTGTGGAGGACCATGGAAGGGCGCAAACAAATGCTCGAGGATGGCGAGAAAGGTGAGAAGAGCGAATAGTTGGGGGGAGCAATTGGCGAAAGCAGAATGTGAATGAATACACCGTTATCAAAATGTACTATATGTGTCGATATTGTCCACGAAATAAAGCATTAGAGGCTTATAAAGCGTGCTTGATATTAACAATTCTTGGTTCAACAGAACTTCAACTCAGAGATATCTTTTCTTCGACGCTGATTGGCTGACACCCCTGGTTGTGCTGATTTGACATTGTGCCAACCATTCTTATTTCTTTGGTCATCACATCTTTTGTACCTTTCCTTCATTAGGATCGGCTGTGTTGACACGACCATTCAATCGCAGAATGATACCTACGCGTGCTCTTTATCACCATGCTGCTCGAATCACGCTCTTCTCGCGCGCCAGCTGTAGCCTCTGCGCCGACGCCAAACAAGTGCTCTCGCGAGTCTGGGACCGACAACCGTTCGAGTATCAAGAGATCGATGTTATGAAAGACAGGAAGTGGGCGGTGTATGAATTTGATGTTCCAGTCGTACGGATATATCCTATGATAGCGATGATTTGGATGCTAAAGGCTGTTAGATCCATGTCGAAAGCAATCAGAACGGTTCCAAGGAGACGAGTATGGCTGCGCCAAAATTGATGCATAGATTCTCTCCAGAACAAGTGGAAGACTTGTTGAAAAAGCTTGGGAAGTGACGATAGAGCCGGGAAAAGGATTCTATATTCCTTGTGCTGGTTCTGGGCCAGCACACCATTCCTTTTGCCTAATGTTCTATTTTAATATTTATTTATAAATACACTCTTTATACGGCCATATGGTTAAAAATGGTATCGCAATTACCAATAAGAGCCATGCGGTTAGAGAGATGTTGTTAAAGTAGTTACGGGGACGTCAATAAATATCCTTAATGTCCGTCAAGTTCTAGACTTCAAGCCAGTCCCAGCTCCCGATCGTTGAATTCGATAGCTACCACCAATCAGCCTGATATGAATTGCAGGGAGGAACGGAAAACACCACGGAAAGCCAAGGTGAAGAGGCAAAAGAAGCGACTGAGAACTTCTATGGATGGTTCTTCCAGATCACGGCACGATGGCTAAAGGAAAACCCACTTATCATGATGCCATTCGAACCATGTAGTGATCTACGGGGGAGGAATGAATTCGTGTGAGCATGAACATCTCTTTCCACTGATATTTCTGACTAGCTGGAATAGCTAGGGCGACATGGTTATCGAGTTTGGTTGCCATTGGATTCCTGCACTGCTCGGTGCACCCCACTTATAGCCCAATAAGTCTAACCTTGAGAGAAACCTGTACAGCTAATCAATATTGTGCTGTTAGGAATCCCTCCTATAGCTCCAATATCCCCAAAAAAGATGAGATAGTGCTATTATCTGTCCTGCTGATCTCCCAGCCAGGTGAGTATTACATAAACAATAACGTACGAGTCCGGATGGTTGCTAACCTCTAGAGAAGGCACTGATATCGGTCTTCTGGAGGTCATGGATAATATCAGGATACCGAATGGCTCGTTCAACATTCTCCATCAAACTACATGTCGTCGCATAGATGGCTACAAGGGCAAGCCTCAGGGGCAGCAGCCAACTGGAGTCCCGATGTTGCCGATGGCACATGGACATTCATAAGTAGAAGCAACGTTGTCCTGGTGTCATTGAGTTATGACACTAAGCAAGATGTAATTAACTGCCATACTCCCCCCCAGTCCATCATATTACGGGTTATTCCATGCCCGTTCCGCGACCCGCATGACCAAAATGCTCCGAACGCTGCAAGAACGCTTCAAATCCAAGGAAAACCAGATAACCCATACTAATAGCAAAATCGACCCGATATGCATGACAAACGCCATATAAATCTTCCTATGATCCCGGCGCCGATCTTTCCCTAGTCGAACCACCATTCACCGCGCCTTTGGACTCCGCCGCTGAATCTTCGGATCCGGCCGATCCCCATCCGTCGGCGGCTCCCCTCCCTGCGCTTTCCAGTCTAACAGCTCCGTCCTCCTCTTCTGAAACATCTCCTTCTCGCTCGCGGTCGGCAGAGGCGAGGTATGAAACGAGAGGAACCCGACATCGATCTTCTCCCGCCCTTTCGCCGGGTGGATGAACCGCGCATGCACCGAGCGCGACACCGGCGGCCGAAACAAATATTTCACCTCGACCTGCACATCGCAAGTTAACGGTGTTCTCTTCTCTTCTCTCCGCGTCGGATGGAAGGCTCATACCAGTCGCGCATAGAGGATCCCCCAGCGATCGCACTCCCAGTCTATCAGCCCGTCGTCGCGCACTTCACCTTCCGGGACCCAGCCGGCCATGATGGCTTGTTCGGAGATTTCCCTCCAGAGGCGCGCGCGCCAGGCAGGGAAGTCGGGGGATGAGAGACACTTGAGAAGCTTCTGCTCCATCCCGAAGCGGCGGGGTCGAGGGGGGATTCGTCGCGGAAGATGGGTGTCCCGGATCACGGGTCGATGAACATGCGGTCGAAGCTGGGCCAAGAGATATACCGAGTCGCCTTGGACACTCGACCTAGAGTGCGTATCAGGACGGGGAGCCGGGAAGTAAGGAACTATGCTAGGAGCGCTCAAGCAATCCCCCGGGATCGGTTGAGCGGAAACGCTTGATGAGGATAAAAGGTATTAATACTAATACTGGATTAATGGCACAGTGACACGAGTTGAAGAAGAGGTACATCAAGTACTATCCAGATTTCAGGACAATAGGAACAAGGGACAATGGGCAGCCTTGAAACAGACGAGATCTGATGTTGTATTCGGTAACACCGATGACAAACGAATAAGGCTCCCGAGTTGTTGCCTTATGGCCTGATCATCGTGTTCGCTGGCCGAGCCCCACTTCGTCAATGTCACTGCATGATGCAGCACTGCAGTCTGCAGGCAGCCTTATCCGAGCCTGATCTGAGCGATCTGAGCGATCTGATGCATGGATGGGCAAATGACAAGCATCCAACACCCCATTTTAATTGACGGGAATCTATCAAGTAACAGCCGTCAAATGGGAACACATTCATTTTCGGATATAAAAACCACGAAACAAGGGTTACCCAGCGCTGTGCATATTTATGGCAGATTCCCCTCCAGTGTGCATGTCCATTTGCTGCACACGGATCTCATCGTCCTCAAATGCTGGACGCATCTCTGATCTCTGCCATCTGCATCCGCTGGTGATGTGCAGTCAGTGCGGATCAGTGATGGCATTTAGCATGGGGGGGAAGGAAGGACGGCCATGTGTGCCGTCTACCATCTGCTGTCAGTGTCGAGTTATGTTTTCATATGAAGGTTCGCAATCCCCCAAAGCTTCTTGCTTTTTCGCCACTGCGGCTTTGGACCCTCCTTGCTGTTTGGGGGGCGTCTCAGTGACTGGCTGAGTCGCCTGCTTTTGGCGGCTTTTAACGATACCTGTGGAATGCCACAATGCACATACACCATTCAAGTGAAGCAGTTTACGATCCCCGTGTAACCTGAGCAATCCATTGTTGTCCACATTGGAACCGTCGGTCCTTTGTCGGTCTTTCTGTTTCATCGAGCTGGTGAATATGATGGTGGAACCGAGAGTGCAATGAAGGAATGTGAGTGGAGGTGCCATGCGTTTGGGACATGCCAGGGCTATATGAAGGTCGCGTGTGCCTTCCAAACGAGCTACTCCAATGTGACTTGTGAAAGTTGTCAGAAAAGCACGATGTCTGCCTGAGCATCACGATTTCGAGCTGTGTCCGTCGACTTGATCCTTAAGTAATCTGGCTCTGAGCAGATGGTTTACCCCAAATCCTTGAAACCCAATCACCTTGTTGCCCGACATGCTCCTGTCCCTCTTCGCTCCCCCGGAGGGTAAGATTTCCATTCCCAGCCTCATCGTTAGCGTCCCCGTCTGCTCCCTTGTCCTCTGGATCGTCTACTGCCGTACCTTACATCCCCTCGCAAAATATCCCGGTCCGTTCCTCGCCTCGTTTTCTCGGATCTGGCAGTTATACCGTGTCTTTCAAGGGGACATGGACGTCGCGCACCGAGACCTCCACCATCGGTACGGGCCGGTGATTCGTATCGCGTACGACGAGGTATCAATATCAGATGCTAGTGCGATAAAAGATATTTACAGTGCTGCGGACGTCTTTGCCAAAACAGACTTCTATACCCTGTTGCGGCCGCCATTTGCACGGTATCCCGATCACTTCAGCAGCACGGACGAGAAAGTCCATGGCCAGCGTAGGAGGATTGTCAATTCGCTGTACTCTATGACCAGTGTTATGGAGTCCGAAGGATGTATCGACCAGGTTTCCGAGCTCTTTCTGCGCCGAATGGATGATTTGGCGGGGGAAGGGAAATTCTTCGACCTTGCAACGTGGTTTCAATTCTACGCTTTCGAGGTCATAGGTGTGCTCTATTTCAACAAGATGTTCGGCAACCTAGAAAACGGGTGGGATGTTAGCGGTGTCACCACGGCGCTGGACACACTATTGCCCATTCACTTCGCGTCGTGCTTCGTGCAACGGTATCTGCGACCGGTATTCCTACTTCCCGGATCATTGTTTTCCAGAGTTCGAGGGGCGATCCGAGGTCTTTCCAAGCTCCGTGACGCTTCCCTGGCGTGCGTTGCCGAAAGGAAAAATCTGGTTCAGGATGGAAGGAAAACCAGAGCGGATATTCTCGACAAAATGTTCCGGATCTACGAAGAGCGAGGCAAGGAGCTGGACTACAACGTCATAGACGTCGAGGTGGAAATCTATGCTGCACTGTAAGTCTCTATCTCAATAGGGGAGAGAACGACTTACTAGAACTACGATGCTAAACGCTGATAGGTTTGCCGGAAGCGACACCACAGCTATCTCTCTCACCGCCATAATCTATCACCTGATGAAACACCCCAACGCGTACGATAAGTTGGTGGAAGAGATCGACAAGGCCACGGACGCCGGCATCCTCTCGCAGCCCAACATTCGTCACGAAGAAGCCATGAAGCTCCCTTACCTGGACGCCTGTTGCAAGGAAGCAATGCGGCTCCATCCAGGCATTGGTTGGACCGTACCTCGATACGTCCCCAAAGGTGGGAGAACCATTGTAGGTCAATGGTTCGACGAGGGAATAAGAGTCGGCATCAACCCTGCCGTTACGCATTTCGACAGGTCGGTCTTTGGCGAGGATGCGGATCAATTCAACCCGGATCGCTGGTTCCGTGGAGATTCGGTCAATATGGAGAAACACATGCTGGTGGTAAGTGACACATTGCGACCCCTTGCCGACCTGATAAGCGCAAGGCTGATTTCACTACCGTAGTTTGGCGCCGGTCCTAGAACATGCATTGCGAAGAACGTAAGACATCATGAACCGGCTCTTTTGACTGGATTCTGGCGCTTAACGACCTGTTAGATCGCTTTGGCTGAGATTCGCAAACTCATTCCGCAGCTCTTGCGTGCCTATCAGTTGGAGATGGTGGACCCAGGGAAGGAGTGGAAGAGGGCCAACATCTGGTTTAATCGGGTGTCTGGCGTGGAAGTGAGGGCTTCAAAGAGGAGTACATCGTAACAAGGTGAGTCGCTGGGTGTTCACTGTTTATACTCTTGAAAGTCAAACTTCAACTTCCAGGCGTCGGTTACCTGTATTGTTTGACAAGATCTGATCTGATGTTGATCAATCAATCGATCAGATCATACCAAATGGATCAATGAAACCAGGAGGCCAATCTATGTTAGCCTTGTTGCCTGAAGAGGCGATAACCACCCGTTCATAACTTAATTCTGGCGCCTCCGCTCACTCCCGCTGCGCGGAATAATACTTTAATGAAACTTGAAACGATTGAAATCCCAAGTCTAGAATTTCCCCGCAAGTGGTTCAAATCTCCGTGGTTCAAACGACCCAAGAAAACAAAAACGTCCCTGCAATTCAGCGTGACGAGTTACAGTGTGTCTAGCTCTGGAAAACGGGATTAGGGACGCACTAGATGCAAGCCGTCGTCGGGCTTCGCCTTGACATATGTCGATCTTCCGCAACGGTTCCCTGGAGATGATCCACTCACATTCCCGACCCATATCTCGAGGGAGTAGATGGTGGTCTAAGGTCTTGTCGATTAACTAAATTCGAGATTTCCATCACTCTCCCTGCCAATTCTGGGTGATGATCAGCATCGCGACGATGGCTTCGGGAGCGGGTCATAGCTACCCACTCACAGACCCATTGTCATGTTCGTGGCCGTCTCTCGGGGTCTACCGATATCTCCTATTGTTACCGTGGCGTCGGCCGTGTACGGTAGGTTGCTGACGATCAGTGTATAAATACTCCTGGGGAGAATCATTTCCAGATTCTGTGATAAACTCACATTATCCCAAACAGATTATAGATACCGCTTGCGTAGAATCTGACAATGAAGGTTAGTCCCTGTTGCAGCGTCGAAGATTTCCATCACTGACACGATACAGTTCACATCCATCTTCTTCAGCCTCGCCGGCATCTCCCTCATCCAGGCCGCGGCCGTCGAGAAGCGCACCGGGTCCGCCCTCACCCAAGCCGTAGCGCAATCCCGCCTGGAAGCCGCCGGCATCTCTTCCTCCTCCACGGGCGACTGCACCGACAAGACCGTTAAAACATGTACCTCGTACGACGGGCTACTATCAGGCACCGTTGCTGGCGCGATTACCCTGAAAGGCGCATGCGCCTGCACGCTCATCATCACGGGCGGCACCGAGACGGGGCATGCGAGCGGCACGTATAGCCACGCAAACGGGTACAAGCTGGATATCGGGAAGAACACCGCGTTGAACTCGTATGTGACGGGCACCTTCACGCAGATCGCAGATCGTGGGGATGGATACCCGCAGTGGAAGGCGGCTTCGGGGAACATTTACTGCGTAAGTTCTATCGGCGCTCTGAGTTGGGGGTTTGATCAGCTAACGTGCCATTAGGATGAGGGCAGCCACTGGGATATTACTTACTATTGAGTTGATAGTTGAAGTGGTATAATTTATTGGATAGGGCTAGACATACCATTAGCATTGTACCATGAACCATTTCTTGACCGTCATTGTGATACTGCATTTTCATGATCCAGGGAGGAGTGTGCTCTCCTTGTAGTGGACAATGGATATTGGTGACCTGCAGCATCCAACTGCCCTGGTGCAGTTCCAACATGATTGTAAACAACCTTCTGACGAACAGAAGTATCCACATTTATCGATTTGTCTCATCTGATTTCAAATTTCCCGTCTCATATTCTTTGGACATTCCCGCGAATTTCCCCATCCGGCTGGAGATCATAGCTAAGAGTGATCTGTGGACTGTGATCATCGCAAGGCTGCAAGGGTCCAAGATGTTCCCTGCCTTAGAAATCCAGGCATCAAAACTCAGCATTACATCACTCCATTGATGTCATTCAGAAGGATTGTCGTGCAAGTTGTGCAAGTTGTCTCGACCTGTTCACGTCTTAATTCACAATTTCACCTTTGTCGCAAACAATTCTAACCTCCTAATTGATCTTATTGGGTTTCCCTTTTCGAAATAAGGCAAAGAAGGATTTGCGGAATTCACATCAACTCTTGACCAAAGTGTACAGGACGGTCCACAATGCCTACTACACGAGCAGCGGCTCGCAAGAGCAATGGCAACGAGGAGCGGGCCAAGGATGGTTTGGTGGCCAAGCCTGGCGACAAGCACAAGACCACTGCTCCCCAGCGATCGCCAAAGAAACGCAAGGTCGAAGACTCGACTGAAGCTTCCAATGGTCGGGGTGAGCCTCGAGAAGAGAAAGCAGATGAGAAGAGTGAGGAGACCGAGACTCCTAAAGATGAAGAACCCACGACCCAAGGCCACGGAAATTCTCAAGAAGAAGAGGAGAAGAAACCTGCAGCGGGGAGTGGGGGATCCAAGGGGTTGAACGGAACTGGAGAGACGAAGTCGAGCGCTATTGGCAAGGAGTCTGGCCGCACCTCGTCTATCGTTGTAGAGAAAGGCATCATCTACTTCTTCATCCGTGGTCGCGTCAATGTTCCGGATCCTCACAGCGTCACCGACATCCAAAGGACCTACTTCGTTTTGCGCCCTCTCCCTGACGATGCGAAATTGAAGGATGGAGTCATTCCGGAAGGCAAGAACGCTCGTCTGATCGCTTTGCCGAAGAAGAAATTTCCAAATAGCCATAGAGATAGATTCATGGCTTTCGTTGAGAAATCCAAGGCGTCCATGGCCGAGCTGAAGGACACATTCTTCGTCGGAGCCGAGAAGGAGACCGAAACTCGGGGCACGCAAGAAATCCCGCCTGTCACGGCGATAGGAGAAGGCATCTATGCGGTCACCCTGACAGGCCGCACCTCGCACTTAGCATATGTCTTGACCATCCCCACTGAAATCAGCGAGGTCCAAACGAGTCTCGGCCTCCAAGAAAAAGGGAGTTTCGTCCTCTCGCTCAAGAACCCCGAGGGCGGTGGTCCCTCTTCCGCGCAACTCCCCGCGAAGCCCGATTTCCCCCATGAAATCATGGAGGAGTTCCGAGGACGGAAGTGGTTGCCTGTAGGAAGGCCGGAACATCTCGACTATTCGAACTCGCAAGTTCTGCTCATCGGGGAAGGGAAGGATAGCTTTGCAGGGGCGATACCAACGAATGGGGAGTACCAGACGGCGGAGGATGAAATTCTCCGGTTGGATGAGGAGGAGGAAGCGAGAATCGAGCATTTGAATGGTATGGCTCCTCTTCTTTAGTGGTGCATCGAAGCTAACTTGGGCTGGGATAGGCGACGACACTATCTTCGACGACTTGCATGTGAGCAAACAGGAATTCCCAGCGCTCAAATCCACTTGGTAATTTGGTATTGGCGCCTGAGGTGCTCCTGTCGATGGGTACGGTAGCGAAAACTGCGATGGTATTGATTAGTAGAGCGACGAAGCGGCAGAGTCAGCGGCTCTTGTATAGCTCATCAGGCCTCGCGATAGATATACGTGTGGTTACAAGCGGTTGTTCTTAATAGCAATGAAAGAAATGGAAGGCATTTCATTAGCCTATGTGTTGGAGATAGTTATTCGAACTAGAGGTGCAGTTGTTAAGAGAGCACCTTGATGGAAGTTCTGAAGCTGGGCCGCTCATGGTGACGCGTTAGGGCACAAAGGGGCGTGCACGAGAGCATTCTCACGAGTGGTGACGAGTCACGACGCGTTGGCACTCCAAACTTGAATCTTTCACATCAAGGGCGACCTCTTGAGTTCTTCTCGTTACGGACATCCGGAGCGGCTTCACCAAGATGACACGTTTTATTGAGACGAGATGATTATAGTTGGCAAGTGGCAATATCATGTTGATAGAACGCTTACGCATTGGTTATAACTATGAAAGGGATATTTTGACAAATCAGAAACCATGCGTGATGATACTCAGTTCTATGGCGCTTAAGATGAGCCCTAAGTTAGTTGCTTGACAAACTAAATTTCCCTCAATCCGGGAGACCTGCCTAGCTAAATTTGAGAGTTTATACCGATACCGCTATGGTATCGGTATAGCAACTCTTGGTCCTTATGCGAGGTAAAGTCTAATGCAAGGAACAGTTAGGCGTTTTTGCCCCCTGGATGTATCTTTTAGGACAATAGAATTCTTGATACTTTGACATTGGACGGCCGATACCAATTTTTTTCGTTCGACACTGAGACATCCCCTAATTCTGTCGATATGAGGGAACCTACGACCTGCTTTGTAGCGGAGCGACTCAATTCGACGACATTCAAAATCGTTGAGGAGGATCAATATCTCGAGTATCCCCAGGTATTTGTCAAAATCTTGGATGAAACGCTGGTCATTGTGGACACGGGATGTGGAGGTGCGGCGAAAGGTCCGGATGTGGCCTTGACCTCTCTACGAGAATATCTGGAGACCGTTCCCCTCGCGGATAATGGAAAGGAGCTGTTGAACCCGGGTGCAAGGCTGAGTTATACAGTAGTGTGCACGCACTGTCACTTCGACCATATCGGTACCTCTCTCTTAAGCATTGAGGATGGAGTCTGGTCTGACATAAATAAAGGGGGGTTGAACAATTCGGTGATCATCCCAAATCGTTAATCTGCGCCAGTTCCTACGACCGCTCGTTTCTTTCTCCTGCGAATCTATCTAGGAACTCACTATGCGAGAACATTGGAATCAGGACACCATTGTATAAGGTGTCGCATTGGCTAGGCGACGGCCAATTCCTCCAGCACAATTCCCACTCCCTTCCGCTGCAGGTGTTCCATACTCCAGGTCACACGCCAGACGAACTGGCGGCCTGGGATCCGGACGAGCGCGTGCTGTTCATCGGTGACTCATTCTATGAATGGGTTCCGATTATCTTCCCCTCGCATGGGAATATGATCCGCTTCAGTGACTCCATCGGTAAGATGAAGCAGCTCATTGCGGGGTGGAATGCAGATGAGTCGAGCTCCCGGGTCAAAATCGCATGCGGACATGTTACTTACTGCGCGGACGGAGAGGCGATACTAAATGACGTGGATGAGTTCTTGTGGCTTGTGGTTACTGGCGCCGTAAAGCCGAAACAGTCGGAAGAGTCCAGAGGCGAGATCTTTGACCTGTATGAAGGAGACGGTGGGAAGTACTCGATAAGGTGTCCTCGCAGATTAGTGGTCGATTTCCGTGCAGATGAAGAGGCAATGACGAAGCTGAAACGAAGAAATGGTCTCATTCTATAAACCATGGATTGTTATTCTGTTCTTTCTTTGGGGTGCGAGCACTGCCCTTCCCGGTGTCTCATTTCCAGAGCTTTAGATCAACTGCCCTCAAGATGACGCATTTCGCATCCTCTGAGCTCTCCTCTCCTCGTGTCCGCTTATCTTCTTCCCCCAGAGATCTTTCCAGACCCAAACCCCCACTATACCAACGATCACACCACCAAGATGTGCCGTCGTATTCATAGACTTCACGAAGAAGCCCATGACCTGATCGGCCGCGACAATTGTCGCAAGTAATCCCCAGGCAGGATATACTCCCGGCTCCTTGAAAAACAAACCCTCCAAGGACACCTGGAAAGGTGCGTAAGGGTCGAGCATGTGGAATGCGGCGAGGAAGGCAAAAACCGCGCCAGAAGCTCCCATGCTGAACACGTTAAACCGCGAGCGTAATGAATAGTAGTACAGAGATCCAAGGGAGGAGAGGACGCCCGCAGAGAGGAAGAGAGGGAGGACGAAGCCGCGATTGGTTGCGTCGTGTACTGTGCGTGAGAAACAGGTTAGTATTCTTCCGCACGCGAAGCCTTAAGAAGGGAAACATACATTGGGTGCCAAAATGCCACAAAATAAACATATTGCCGGCAAGATGGAAGAAACGCTGATGCGAGAACACGCTCAAGATCACGCTCGCGGCCCGCGGAGCCCCGGGCACTTCCACAAAATATTTGTTTAGGAGCCGCCAGAGTTCGGGACGTCTCCACGCAACGAATACGAGGACGTTGAGACCGATGATAGGTAATAGCGTCGCAGCGCTGGGAGGAGTTTCGGGAAAGAGACGTTCGGATTGAGGGGCGGGCTCGTAGTAGTAGGCGAATGCAACGCTTCCACCGGTGATGAGAGCCGCGAGGACTGTGCTACTGAGCAATCTTCGTGTCTAGAGTTTGTTAGCTTCTGTGCGGTACATGAAGAAGAAGGGTTAGCTTACTCTTGATTGATTGGGGGCTGCGGTGTCTTTGGTGAGAATCGCCTCCTCGTAGTATTTCTGCTTCTTGGCGTCCTTCTCAGGGTTCGCCTCTGTAACTCGCAATCAGCATTTATACTCTACTTCAGGACGACTGGGAGACTTACTTTTTACAGCCTCCCAAAACGTGAGCTGCTGACCACCATGTTCCGCCAAAGACGTGCTCTTCCCCTGCTCCAGAGCCTTCCGATTCTCTTCCTCCTCTCGCAACCTCTTTTCTTCCTGCTCCTTCTCCCACCTTTCTTCATTTCTCTGTCGTACCGCTTCCAGGACGCTCTTCTCCCGCCCCAACCCTTCAGGTAAGTCCTTCCGATCCTCCTCGACCACCTCTTCGGGCTTGTAGATACCCATACTCCTCGCCCGTTCCGTCAGCTCCTCCTCTTGATGCCTCGCCAGGTCATCCTCCGCGGACTCTAGCTCGCGAGCAAGCCATTCCTGCGCGTTTGCTTCCTCGTCCATCGGGTGTTGTTCGCGAAGCCAAGCTAAGGCTTGGAGGCCCACATCTTCGGGTATCTCTGGGAAATAGACGCCCTTTTCGACCAACGACCCATTGGTGCGGCGCAATTGTAGCTTATTCACCACACTCAAAGCGGTTTCCGCAGGTATCTCCGGGCCAAAAATGTCGTGCAGTGTCGAAGCCGGGGGTCGTATTAATGATGGGTCATCGAGCGGACTCTGGCTCGCCGCGGGCTCAGTCGGCGTCTTCTTCCGCCGTTTCAACCTCGAACTTGAGGATGTAAACACTCGCGAATTCCCATATGCTGGCCGCTGTGGTAGAAGCGCCTTCAACGGCCATCTCGAGGTGTGCGACGGGGGGAGCGCATATTGTCGCCAGCACGCTACGCTGGTGCGGCAGATCCAGGAAGGCTGCGGGATGCAGTGAGCTCGACACGCTATCGGCAGGACATGATTCATTGTTTCTGGACCCAGCGGATGCCGAGCGTTTCAACCGTATCGAAAAATCGGGAGGGGACGAGATTCGTCGGATGCAAATGGGTTCGAAGTCTCAAGTATCGGATGGAAAATCCGACCAATCGGAGTCGATGTTCGCCGCATCATTCATCAGCTTCAAAGTCTTTACGAAATGCTCAATGAACATCACAATAAACCGACAAACCAGAAGATTTCCTACTCTTAACATAAACTCAAATCACCGAGAAGCCACGGCTCTATCCAACCCACTGAGTTTCCAACACCCCCACTCCGCAATCCTATCAGAATGTCCTCTGCATCCCACCCCATCACACCCGCCCGCTTCGCCGCCGCCATCGAAGACCTTCCCCCGGGCCCCCTCTTCACTAAAGCCTCCGAACTCCAAAACAGCATTAACCACCTCGAGCGCTCGAACGCACAGCTTCTCAACTACGAAGACGACGCCGACTGCCGCGAAGCGATCGTGGAGAACGAGGCGGTGATGCAGCGGATGCGAGAGCGGATTCAGCTGTTGAAGGCGGAGGTGGAGAAGAGGGGGTTGCTGTGGATGGATCCGGGGGAGGGAGAGGGAGGGGGAGAGGGTTTAGTGAATGGGGAGGTGCAGGAAGGGGATACGAACGGAGAGGGAACGGGAGGG